GATAATTTACACAATTTTGATGACAATGCATAAAAGAAGAGCAGAGTTGTGTGAAAACAGCCCCAATACGAAAAAAGATTTACGTTCCTACGACTGTTTGCCTAAGATGATCATTACCCTCACCACCATTGGTAGAATCAGGAGCCTTGAACAGAGCCCTGTAGAGAACAAGTCCACTTCCCAGAAGTATCGAGTCCTTAAACAGTTGAGATGGATCAACATGAGATACTCGGGCCAGCCATCAAAACACTACATCTATTTACAAAAAAAATAAGTTAGAAAAGAACGGTATTAAGATAGAGCATTCCTTTGATTTAGGAGCTCTTGTATATACAATGGGTATCACACAAAGTAAAAAGATCATGAGGCGAGGAGGAAACATACATTAGGTAAACGAACTGGACAAAAGTTGGAGGGTAGGAAAAAAAAAGAGCGCTCTTTATTTTTTTTTTCTTTGTATGTTTCTTAGTTAAGATGAGAAAAAGACACTAAAGCAATCACACGATAGCGAATTAAGGTTCTAGGTTAATATACAATGGACAATGGACAACACATTAGAAAATGGATGTATTGTTAGTGGGATTAGGAAAGAGGAATAAGAGACATAAAAAAGTAGCGAAAAGAAAATTGCTAGATGATAATAATACAGAAAAAGTGAGGTTAATAATGAGATTGAAAAAGTAAAATAGCGTTAATAATGTGGAGTAGCCATAATGGATGGAAGTAGAAAATTTGGATTGAATTACTGAGGTGTGAGAGATACTTTTTTTAGCGGGCTATATTTTTTTTTCTTTTTTTTATTTTCATTTTTGTTATAACTGTTTTTTATTATAACATTTTTTTTTTTTTATTTTATTTTAGCAGTGCACTATTTAGATAAACTGGGACTAGAGAATTAATAATATGAGAGATATAGAAGAAAAAAATAGAGATGAAAAAAAATCAAAATAAAAAGTAGAGATGGAGGAGGGGATGGTAAATGAAAAGAGAGAGAATTGGAAACGATTTAGGATGTTGTTCATTGACTAACCAACCAATCATTCAGATATACATTATAGCATAAGTATGCCTCTTAGATCATGAAGCATAAAAAAAAAATACTACGAGATATAATTGACTTTTGTTATGCCACCCAGAGGAACAGAACCACCAGTTCCATTAAGATGTGCAAATTATAAGCCCTAGGAGTATCTTCAACTTGTTCAATATTTTATTACGAATAATAAAATAAATTTTGATCAGGTAGGAATAGAACCACCAGTTCCATCTGACAAAGAGAGCCGCGAGTCAAACAAGAATCCAATATTCCTATGTCAATTATTATCTCTGAAAAATTGTCCATTAAAAATCTCAAACACCATTTTCCTATTTCTTGGCTTGTAAATTCAACTACAACTGTAAAATCTGAAATCATGTAAAAAAAAAGCGCCTCTGTAAAACTATCACCTTATGAGTAATAGTGGAATCAAGAACTAAATTCAACTAATAAAAAATATCTTCCTCAAATCCTAAATTTGGGTTAACAATAGTCTTGAACTTGCATAATGGCAATCCACAGATCCTATTGTATTCACTCTCTTGGAATAGTAATGGAATTGAATAAAATTAAACAATAAAAGGGTAAAAAAATCTCCGAAAATTCTCTAGTAATAAAATATATAAAAAGTCTGCACTTGCTAGTATCATTCTCACTTGTTGGTTGCATATATGTCACAGCATATATATATATATATATATGACCTATATTGTCAGTATTCATTATATCAGGATAATAAGGGCTTGTATCCACCCATCTACAAAACATTTTTGCCATGACTGCTATTGAGTATTAGTATTAATATTATTATCGTATGTCTGTTAGTATTGTAAAGTAATGTGTCCTAATCCCTTGGGAGATATTCACTCATCTTAACGGATCTTTTTACCACATGTGGTAACACCACTGGATATACAAGAACTACTATGCCATTAGAATACGCTATCCTAACACAGTCCCTCCAACTTAGTTTTTCTGTAAATAGACGGGTCCCTTTGGTTGAATTCCTAGCACTCACATGAACCACCCACTCTCGTTGATTCTTTCATGTAAGAAATGGAATCCTCTATAAGGTCACTGTCAAAGTTTCTAATTCTCCTAGACTGGATTTTTGGGTATGTCTCTTAGCTACAGGTCGTAGCCCACCACTTTTTTTAGTATAAAGGAGAACAATTGTTCTTTTAACATTTCCACTATCAGCTTCACAGATCAAGCTATGTATTATTATCTCCATTATTTCATTATTTTAGAATCAAACTGAGAAATTCTTTTTTTTCAATCTTTTTCTTTGTGATCATTCTGACATGTTATATATTTTCAAAATTAATTTACTTTTTCCCTTCCACTTTTGTTTTCTAATAGATGTTGGACATGTTCACTTATTGGTTGGGTGTGACAGGAGCTATTGGACTGGTTTCTTTGTACCTTTTGGAAGAAAATGTGTATAGAGTAAACACCTATTCCTTTAAATATTATTTTGTGTCTCTTTCTTTTTTTTAAAAATAAAAAAAATTAATGTCAGTGTTTTCCCGTAATATTGAAGAAGTGACACAAAATGGAGTGCTCAACGACAAAATAATGATTTTTGCTTTTATTGCATTTTAAAAAGAAAAGACACAGAATCAGGGAGGGTAAAAAAGAAGAATGGGAAATGTGGTTTGTAACCGTATTACTTTTAAAAAACACATATTGTTTTTTATTATGCCAGAGAAAACAGTAATGATAGCAGCAATTTTGCGACAAAGATAAGAGAAATTTGGGATTGAAGAGTTTGTTTTTGTCTACAGCTATAAGAGTTTACACCATTAAGAAAAGCTTGCTATAAAGTTACTTTATTCTTCTTTTTTTTTTTCTTTTTTCTTTTAAGAATCTTAACAAGCTATTTTGGATAGAACAAAAGTTATTACGTTTGTTATTCCATCCTGTATGATTAGTTGACTTTTAAATGTTTAATTAGTTATATGTAGAGTCTACTGTAATTGTACCCTTGAGTTGTTATGTAGTTCTCAGTAATTTGAACAAATGATTTTTTTAAGGCTTCTAGCCAGTATTTTTAGATTTGTTTTTGAATGTTGATTTTGAATAGGGCAAAATTTTGTGTCTAAAATTAGAAAACAGACATTGCACTTTAAGCTATTAATCAAATAAAACACATGAATGAACCCCTTCCATTTTGGGAATTATGTAAACAAAGGGAACAAAATAAAAAGTGGTTACAATAAAGGAAAAGTTACTATTTCTGTTCATTTTTGTTCACTTTAAAAAGATATTACTCGGCGGCTAATTTTACTAGTTACAAGATGCAAGATAAATCTGCTTCCAGTTTTGATAATCCCTAAATCATATTATTGTTTGTGTTTAGTTTTAGTCTTACCTATACCTATATATATTTATATATATAATCCAACTAAGAGTAAACAAACATCGGCTTTCCAAATAAGACCTCACATCTTGAAAAGTATTTTATTTTCTTTAATCTTGACCTTAATTTTCTTTTTCCTTTCATTGTAATATCGGTATATTTACATACATCTTACTCTTACATATTATTATAATACTCAAGGTTTTATTTCTAACTATATTCGAACTGACTGACAATTTATCACACCAAGTCCACATTAATTATTTTATAGAATAATAAATCCGACTGTCATCAAAAGTTTCTGTTTAAATGTGAAGATACGTCTGACTCTAGTCAAAATAAGCTTGTTCAAATAGCATACCAAATACTTTAGACATAATGATATGGCGAAATTTTTATGAGAACATAGTAATGTACGAAATATATGTGAGTAACCCTGATGAGGGTTTGGGATTTAAAAATCTTACAGAAAAATTGTTTATTTTTATTTTATTTTACTTTTTCCCCATTTGAAAAAGAAGAGATATTTTAGTATGAAAGTAAGCAAAGTAGGTAAGGTTGAGTTATTTATACACCAGTGCACAATTGTGATTTAATATGGAACATATATGTAAATAGTGAGGTTTAGATGAAGAGAGATATATAATAGAAACGATATTTTATTAGCAAATTGGCAAGTTTAGGTCGGTCTGAAAGTTTGTAACTGATGTTTTTTACTGTTTTTGTCTGTTTTTATATATCTGGGAGAAATGCAGACATAAGAAAAATCTAATGAGTGTTTCGTAATATTGAAAATTACTATGACGAGTTCAAAAATAAAAAATCATTTTTCTCGGACTGTGGATCTTGACATATTTGTTCCACTTACCGACATTTCGGAAAAGCCAGACAAACAATATAATAATGTAGAGATTTTTTTTCTTTCTTTTTTTGGTGTTTTTCTTTTTTCGCGTTAGTAAAATTTTTCAAAGATCTTTGAAAAACCGAGATTGAAAATTAGAAATTAAGGGATAATAAAGGTGTGGCGATATCGATTGTACTTTTCAGAAAGAGAAATATTATGTGTGAAAAAGAAAAGTAAACGTTTTTGTTTTCTGTTAATTTTTTTCCAAAACCGACATTTCGGATACAAGAAGAAAAATATTTCATTCAAGAATAGATCACCGACATATAATTTTTCTTTGTTCTTGGTTTTTCGATTTTCCTATTACTTGGCACTTTTTTTTTCATTTTGAAAGTTTAATTTTATTATTATATAAGACACTTGAGATTATTAAAGGTAGTTGTAACATATCTTTCTTCAATAAGTGGAGAAGAAAAAACAACAAACTTTTAAAGACTGTTATTTAGAGAATAATCTATTTTATGTGCAACTATTAATGATTAATAGCATACGAGAACTAAGATTATGTATATGAAATCATCTGCAATTTAAAAAGTTTTATTATATTAAAAAAAAAGTTAGCATATTGTAATTCTGAAAAGGGAATTTAAATTAACAGCTCAAAGATACTTTCAAAAATAAAAAAAAAAGTATTAATAACTTTGACTTAAAAGCATTAAAATTATTATCCTTCATACGGGAATAAATAAATAAATAAAATGAAAGACTATGAAAACAATATAGAACCAGTTTCATCGTTGCCTAATTCTATTTCCTCCATTAAAGATGATGCTTCTATGGCATCACAACTACAATCTGTTACTTCTTCAGATGTGAATTTAGGCCAGTCTATTTCTAGTGACTATGATTTAAAGAATAAAGAAGATTTAGATGACATTGGTATAATCCATACAAAATCCAATCATATCGATGAACCTGAAATATCAGCTCCTCCTTATTCAAGATTTGGTCGTCCATCTAAACTATTCCTTGTATTGCAATGTGCCTACACGGGTTTTTTTTCTAGTATTGCTGGTGCCATATATTATCCAGTTTTAACCGTTATAGAAAAGAAATTTGATATAACAGAAGAACAAGTTAATATTACTGTTGTAGTTTATTTCTTATTCCAAGGACTATCCCCAAGTATCATGGGTGGTATGGCTGATTCCTTAGGAAGAAGACCAATACTACTGATATCAGTTATTGTATATTGTGGGGCCTGTATTGGATTAGCATGTTCTCAAAGTTACGCACAAATCATAATTTTGCGTTGTTTACAAGCTGCTGGTATATCACCTGTTATTACAATAAGTAGTGGTGTCATGGGTGATATTACTACAAGGGCTGAAAGAGGTGCATATGTCGGGTATACTTCAGGTTTTCAAGTTATAGGGGGTGCTTTCGGTGCCTTAATTGGTGCTCTATTAGCTTCGAGATGGAATTGGCGAGCAATTTTTTGGTTCCTAGCTATAGGATCAGGTATTTGTGCAGTGTTTTCAATTTTATTTTTACCTGAAACAAAACGTACATTGGTAGGAAATGGTTCAGTACCACCTAAAAACTGGCCAAATAAATCCCCTGCATTATTAGTACCCATTATTAGGCGTAGATTACATATGGATGATCCAGATTATGAGACTTTAGAACCACGAATCAAAGTAAACTTTTTGGCTCCATTCTCCATTTTGAAAAATCCATGGATTAATATATTGTTATTTGTGGCTGGCTTCCAATTTGCTATGAACACATTACATCAGACCACCTTATCTACTGTTTTAAGTAAAACATATCATTATAAAGTTTCCACTATTGGGGTTTGTTTTCTACCAGCAGGTCTTTGTACATTAACAAGTGTTGTTACAACAGGAAGATTTCTGAATTGGTATTATCGTAATCAGATGGCAAAACATAAAGTATGGCTAAAACAACAAGAGGAAAAGTTGCTAAAAGAAAATCATACTATTGAAAAAGTTAAGAACATAATAGATAACGATCCATATTATACATTTAATGTGGTTCGTGTTAGACTAGCACCAGCCTTTTTTACTTTGATATTGAGTGCATGCGGATATATTGCCTTTGGGTGGTGTGTTAAAGTTAAAGCGCCATTACCTGCAGTTTTAGTTGCTAGTGGATTTGGTTCATTGTTTTCTAATTGTATTTTGACAATGTCCACAACATTAATTGTGGATCTATATCCATCAAAGTCTTCAACCGGTACTGGATGTTTAAATCTATTCAGATGCTCTCTTTCTGCCATTTTTATTGCATGTTTATCTAGAATGAGTGACAAAATGACATATGGGGGTGTTTTTACTTTCATGGGAGTATTTAGTGCTGCTGCATCATCTTTACTATATATTTTAGTAGGTAATGGTAAGAAATTGGCCTTTAATCGGAGAAAAGAAGAAGAAGAACAATTAAGAAAATTCAAAAAAGAGAGGGAAGAAAAAGAAAAAATAGAGAAATTTGATGTATGAAATATGTAGTTTTAATATGCTATTTTAATTTTAGGGTAATTTTTTATAGATATGTTCAATTTTAAGTATTATTAATATCATTACATCAAGAATTTTTGATACGACTATTTGTGTATTGATATTTAGTGCAGACCCTGAAAAGAAGACTATAATTGTTGAAAGGATGAATAAAAATAGGATAGTATTTGTTTTTATAAATACCTATCCAGGAACTTTTTGTTATGGCTTTTATTTCTTTAGTTAGGAGAAAATGTATTTGTCTATATATACAAAAAACTAGCAGTAAACAAATAAAGATAAATTATTTATGTTCTCTGTCAAGATAATTATTGGAGATGTAATAAATGGATCTATCTAAATATATTGATGATAATTAAAATATCTGTTCAAATATATAACTTTTTTAACTTATTTTCTTTATGATTTATCTATGGACATATTGTATTCACATAAATAGTCCATTATCCATTGTTTATTTGTTTTCCTGTTTATTTGTTTTTTTTGCCTAAAAATACGTCACTGACAAAAATAGGGCTTAATAATATATTTTTTCTTCGAAGATTGTTTGGAAAAAGAGAAGTAGGAGTATTGATGCAAATATTAAATTTCTTTGAATTAATGTAAATACCAGAGTTCTTCGTACAATTCATAATCCTGTATGTTGAGATATTACCCAGACTCAATGAAAATTTTGTGAAAAATTTTTTTTCAAAATTAACTTCCTGAAAAGTATAAATAGTCAAGATATAGAAATTAGAAATAATTTCTTTTACTCACGACTTTATATACGTAATACATATTTTGTATATAATATAGGTGTTATTTAAAATTGTGAGCGATTACTTATAAAAATACGATTCATAAAGTTTCGTTATAACTTATAGGTTATTACTCCACACCTTTTAAATTTCAACACTGTGAAAGTTATTATATAAAAAATGAATGGATTATATCAATTAGTTTATATTGAAACACTTTTACTTAATACTATATAAGATAAAAATAATATATCAAAGTGCTGGAATGATATATTACCGGTTTGAGTAACATGTAAATATATCAAAGAGGAAAAATGTTTGTTTTGCACATTCAACATTATGGAGATAAAATCAAACAAAATCAAAATAAATTAATATATTATGAAAAATTGCCAAAAGGTAAATATATATAAGTAGACGACTTTACTTATTAATTTTCAAATCTGGATGAATAAGTTATATACACTTTATCATATGTTTCTTTTGTATTTATATAATTATTAATTCCGAATCAAAAGATCGAGGGAAAATTACACTGCATATCAACATAATAATAATTCACAATAATAACATATAGTATGATCACCGACGCTAAGAACATGTATACTAATATTATTCATCTAGAGGACAAAGTTATTATTTAATTCCATATGGCTTATATTGGAGTATTTATATTTATACAAATTGAGATAATTCATCTATTTTTTTTTAAATACTCTTATCTTTGTTATACACCAAATTAGTTACAACAATATTACTATATTTTGAAGTTCCAAAATTACAAATTACCTTTGTTATTACAAATAAAATTTTTATTATTATGATAGATCCATTTAACGTAAATTTATCAACTAAATCAACTAACGACAAAATTGCTAATAATGATGGTGATTTTATTTTATTTTTATCAAAGATTAAACTTTTTTTACTCCAGGAGAAGGACAAATTGTTGTTATGGATATAAAAAGTGTGGATAACCTTTCATAAGGCCGTGATATTGTTAAGCTTGTAAATAATTCTAGAGGAAATACTGTTTAGTCACCAATTAATGTCAAACTGTAGTGAATGTATACTAAATTTTTTTACCGTATTGGCAATATATGAAACTTTGATAATTACAAACTCAAATAAAAATAAGTCCACACTACAGATGTATAAATTTTTGTCAGTTGTATGCAAAAAAGGTGCTTGTGCTAGAGATTCAAAGTTTGGTGTGAAGGGATATCAGTATTACCTTTGCAGTCAATGCTTTGATGAAGTTGACTTGGAAATATATTATTTACATTATCTATTTGTACTGATACTTCTTCTTTTATTACTTATATTAGTCAGTCAACTGAGAACTGGAAAGAAAATGTATTAGTTTTGCTAGTAATTGCCTGTTTCCCCCTTTGTCTTTTTCATCTAATTCTCTGTACTGATATTGAGAGTAACTTACGGTTGTTAAGTTCTAAATATGTAGTATATGTACCTTTTAGATCTCGAACTTTATTAATCTGGTAAAATTATGAATTAGCAGGTTATTGCTTAATATCAACATAAAGGTGTAAATTAAAAGCTTCTAAAATATGATTTAATGTAATTTTGACTATCCAAGGTACTTTCTAGTCATATTCACTTTAATTTTCAAGCCTTTGCATCCTTGACCACTTTAATCTTCTATCTAGACATTTAGTTGTTACATAATACTTTGTATATCGACTGGATTCTAGCTAAATTCTTAATAAAATGTTATATATATAGGTTTCCTGTTTAAAAAACCTAATATATATCAAAAAAATAATAGAGTTACTCAGACTAACTATGAACGTTTATGGTCCATAATTAGCACTTTTTGAAACTGTTTACTAAGATTTAGTTCAGTTCATTTGTTACTTTTTATTACTCTGATTTTTCTATTGTGCAACAGAGTGGTAATAATAAATTTAGTGTTTATCTCCTGATGAAATATAATTCATATTAACAAAACAAAAAAAAAAATAAAGCAAAGATTGATAAATATCAATAAAATTAATTTACAAACTACCACATTTTAATTAATAAATGTATTTTATTTTAAATTATAAAGTTTGCTATACTGCAATTAAATAAACAAACAAAAAAATAATAATTGAAAAAATAAAAATAATCTCTTTGAAAGCACTTGGTAAAAAGATATAAAAAAGAGTTTGAAAGGTACTCATATATAGGAGTATAGATAGCAGTCAAGAAAGAAGATGAAAGTATATTTCCATGTTATAATAAACACAAATATTTCAAAACACAATTTATGTTTCAGTAAATAAGTATATAAAATAATAGAACAAGGAGTATACAAAATCAAAAAAAAAAAAACAAAATACTTCGAATATTAAAAGTTTCCTTATTAACAACTTTTCTTTCTTCTTCCTTTTAAATGAAATACAACTATTCTCTATTAATACTATTCATATTTCTTTGCCCCTTTTTAAAATTAGCAGATACTTTACCCACAAAAAGTTTACTTAAGGAAAAAATTAGCAATTTAGTAACTATAAAAGAGGATACAATACATAATGGCACTAATGATTTGTTACTCGAAGTAGATGATTCAAAAGACCGTTTTAATACCGAATTAATGAAACTTTATAAAATCATCACCAATACAAAAAAAATACTCAGTGATAAAAAAGAAAAGAATCAAAAGGAGACAATCAAGACAGTTCTTAACAATATTATCATCGAAACCAAATATTTATTATCCAAAATATTAAAAACCAATTCATTTCAAAAAGCTACTAAACATGACATTGATACAAACTCTTTAAAACATTTATCCAAACTTTTATATGATTTAGAAATTTTAGATACGTATTATGAAAATGATATGATATATGAAAAGAAATATTGGTATTTACAATTTCTTGGTGTCAGTCTTGATAACTCAGTTCTAGCTTATATTAAATATAAATATTGGTACATTGACCATTATAAAACAACATTTACTAAATACGGTGAAGTTCCAAAATTAAAAAATTTGGCAAGAACAGTTAGAGAGATAAGATATGCCTTAGATTCCAAATTTGCAGCTTTAGAACTTATTGGTCGTAAAGACATGACTGAATTGGTTTCCATTGTCACCACAACTGTCAAAAATAGCCCAACATTAGAAAACGATATCAAATATCTACAAGATGGTAGTATCAACATCCTAAAGGGACTGGCCTTCACAACTATGTGTTTTGTAGCTAATTTAACATTCTGTACAATTACACTAGGCGGACTCCTAAGTGTTGAAATTTTAATCTGGTTAGCAATTCTTTCAAGAACGATAACTGTAGAATGGTCATGATATGTATGAGAGAAGAAAAAAGCAAGAAACAAAAAACAGTTTTAGAATAATTTTAATTTGTATTTTATCACCTAAGAATCTCAATTATATATGTAATACATATACATAATAGATACAAACATCTATCTTGTAAATAAGCATAGCCTACTCCAATATACCTAAACACCAAACACTAGTAGCAATAAAGAAAAAAAACTTAATGAACCAGAATTTAAAGAGAAAAGACATAAAACTACATCTACTTAAGTATTCGTTTATAAAAATGGTCTAACTAATTCGCCGTCATATACTGTGAATGGTAAATCTTTACCAACAGCTGCAATGGAAAGATTATCTACAGTTAGAGTTTCATCTTTTAAAGATTGCCTAATAGCCTCCACCCCAACTTTAATCAATTCATTAACATCTTCAATTTCAGTGAAATCTTTCAATACCCTTTCTAAATATGTCTTAGAACCTTGTGATCTAGCACCAATTGCAGATCCATATAACTCTAATATATTACCGGAAGGTTGGAATTCCAATAAATGAGGACCGCTGTTATCATAACCTACAACCAACAATCCCACACCATATGGTCTGCCACCGTAGGATTGTGTATTCTTTTGAGCTTTATCAGACAATAGATGCCCTGCTTTTTCTACTGATAATTTTCTGTTAAAAACTAATTTAGAGTAATTACATTGCTGTCTTAAATAGGTACTTAATACTCGAGCATCAGGTGCTAGACCAGCTAGGGAAAGGCCTAAATGTTCATCACATTTAATAATCTTTTTCTGATATGATGATAATTCATCAGCATTTCTCTTCAATGCGACTAGGACTGCATGTTTAGATGACCTTAGTCCAACTGTTACACTACCTTGCTTAATAGCTTCCAACGCATATTCAACTTGAAATAAACGACCGGTAGGAGAAAAAGTCACTGTATCACCATCGTAATTGTTTCTAAACATTTTTGTTCCTTTTCTTAGTCAATGATTAATGGATTTGTATATATATCTATTATAATAGGAATATAGATTGTTTTTCTTTATGGATATATTATAGGGTACAATATATATTGAAGCAAAGCACTAACTGTATGAGTGGCAAAAAAAAAATGATATGGGTGGAGTCTTATACCAAAGTAATTGTATATAATTAAGAAGATCCAACCACAATACCCAAAAAATCTAACTTCAGAAAGGTTAGTGTAATCCGTCACAAAACTATGTTTTTATACATGTAAATACATGGATTCAAGATATTATTGAACTTTTTACTAAAATATTATGCAAAATTAGCATACACCACTACTTTATTCTATATATTTTTTTTTTTCAATTGCTTCTTTTTCAATATCTCGACCAGCTTCCTTTCCTTTTTCATTTTTTTCCCCGATTGTTGTTGTTGCTGTTGTTATTTTTTAGGGTTGTACTATTTTCCCCAACACAGGAATAAATTTATTTAAGGGTTGAAGTGAAATTTCTTTTTCTATATGGTAAAACCAGTTAGGGTTATCTAGGTTTTTCTGTAAATGAACATGTTTCGAACATTATATTATAATTGATAACAAAGGAATGTCACTAATGGCAACAATTATTATAGAATTATTCTTACCGTCACCCTATTACGCTGCAATCAACAGATAAAGGAGAACGTAATTGACATATACAAAATGAAGGTATAATCTATGTTCTTAATTCATAATATATTGTTATCCTAGAAGAGTTAAGCATATTTGTAGCATATAAACTTGAACAATATAATGATATCTTAAGAAGCTCCTATAAGAGGGACTAGACAACTTTATGAACAAATAAGCAAGAAGTAGACTATATATATATATATATTTTGTAGATGTATCAACTCTTTGCCCTGTTTTTTTTTTTATAATTTGAATCTTATAACTAAATTTATTATCTATTTCATTTTACAATCTCCAAATTTACAACTGTAACCAAAACTGGAGACGTTAAAATATATATATATATAACAATATCATTTACAAAGCAATGAAAAACACTTTAATATACACAATCAACTAATGATGAAAGCAGTGTGTTCAAAGTCTTTGAGCCAAATCAAATCTCTGTTGATCCACATATTTCGTTAGAGCTCTGGAGAGGCGGAATGTATCTTATTTCATGCGACATTTAATATACAAAATAAATTCCGCTTGAAAGCCTTGAATTAACCGAAGTGTAAAAAGATGTAATACACAATATATTCCGAAAAACATAGTAAATAATTATATATCATACATCATTTAAAAACTACAAGGAATATAACAACAACACAGAAATAATATATATACATATATATATACCTGTATGTGGAGAAGGAAGAACTAAGAAGGAAAAGATTTATCATAGATTTTTCTATTTTTATTTTTATCTGTAACGTCTATATTCGAATACAGTGTGTCACCAGTTGTTTGTATTTTTATTCGGTTAAATTTGTTTATCCTTTATTTAGAATATTACTTTTAGTATGCTAGAGTAATGGTGTTTACTTTTATGAAAAAATGGTTACTACACTTATTTTACTCCACTTTGGATCATATACCACCATTTTTTTGGGAGGTATTAAATGTCTTAACCGACATATATTTCTTCTGGTTTTATAAATTAATGAATTATTTAAGACCCAAATCAAGAGCAATTTACCATGAGGCTATCAAAGAACTAGACCAATGTGAAACATATGACTTGTGGTGTCATAATGCATCAATGGTAGATGAGATCACAGGTGCTAATCTGTGGAGAAGAAATTTTTTTTCTAGAAGATATGATTTTAATTCTGTTTTGGAACAGTTCACTATAGTTAGTAAAGCTTTAGAAAATAATGATATTGAGTTATTAAGAGAAAAATTTTCCACTACTGGGCCTTGTATGTTAAGGAATTTCGCAGGTATTGTAGATAAAAGACTTTTCACCAAATCATTATTAGGAACAAAATTATTGATTGAACAATATTTAGAAAAGAATTTAGAAGGTTTACAATTATTAAATGATGAACATGTACCAACGTCGTTCTTCCAAAGGTGTAAGCTATCTTTGGGGACCACTGCATTAATATTGAAAGGGGGTTCATTATTTGGGTTATTTCATCTCGGTGTCATTAAAGGGCTGCTGGTTCAAGGGTTAATGCCAAATATTATAAGTGGTAGTTCAATGGGTGCATGTGTAGCCAGTTTTTTTGGTTGTTTATCAAATGATGAGATTGATGAATTACTCGACGAGTCTAACGGTATATTAAATTTAATTAAAGATGATTATGAGTTATTACGAAGTTGTGGATATGGAAATGTAGAACAGCATTTAAACTTAGGTTCATTAATACAAAATTTGATTCATCACGGATATTCACAGGATGTTTACCTTTTTGTTCAATTTGTAATCAAGTATATTGTAAGGGATTTAACTTTTGAAGAAGCCTTCCAACAGACAAGGAAAGTCTTCAATATCGTTATTCATCCAACAGATAAGTCATGTCCAAACCTACTGAACTATGTTACTACGCCAAATGTGTTAATACAATCTGCTATTAAATGTTCTTTAGGATCGGATGTTATTGATAACGACACAATATTGTATTGTAAGAACCTTGACAATGAGATTGTTCCATTTTTAAATGAACAGAAGACCAAGGAGACGAAATTCATGGCTCCAGAAAAGGCAACTAATGTAGATGAATTGGAGAGCCCATATACAAGATTAACTGAACTATTTAACGTTAATAATTTTGTTGTTTCCTTAGCAAGACCATATTTAGCACCGTTGATTGTCAATGATTTAAAACACGAAATTAAAACTTCAAAATACTATTATTATAAACATTATCCAGAGACAGAAAATAATATCAACTTACCTGAATTAGGTATACCTCAACTAAGTTTTACAGAGATGGAACCTTTAGCATTCAAATTTAAGTATCATCTTGAAAGGAAATTGAAAAATATCATGACGATGGAGTTTCATCATAGAATGCAGGTACTGAATAATTTAGGCTTATTAAGTTCATGGATTAAAAGATTAATTATTGATGAAAGTACACCTAGATCCGCCACTGAAATTGTGATTGTGCCCAAGATTAAAAGTTTATCTTTGACTAGAATCATTGAGGGACAAATCGACAATATACCCTACTGGATTAAATGTGGTGAACAGAGTACTTGGCCGGTGTTACCTTTAATCCACACTCGCTGTACAATCGAATTTAAATTAGATGATATTATAAAAGAGAGACGAAAATACTAAGAAATATATTATTTCTTCACACAGTATGATATATTGCAATCCTACATATATGTACCTACATACATACATATATATATATATTAAACTAATGCAGTTGAATATGAGATAGAGTAAAATATAGTTAAAGTTAACCGTAAAATAATTTTGTATTCTCCTTTTCAGTTAAATATAAATATTCGTTCTCTACAACATGAATAGTGGTATTACTATTATTAAACCAATCTACTCCACCCCTTGTAATACGTAAAGTACCTGTCACGTCTTTAGCATGTCCAGTAGTTAAAGGTCTTAAATTTAAAACAACAGTTGATTTATGATAACATATGGTTATAAATCTTTGAAATTCGGTAAAGGTTTTATTTACTGTACTATTTAATATGCCACCTTTGAATAGATCTACATTATTGTTTATCATCAATATTTTACACTTTTGCCAAATGGGATTAATAAAATTATTCCAAAGTTCATTTGAAGTCAACCCAGATACCAAAGACAATAAGAATTCAGGTTGATCCAAAATAACAATGTGGTTATTATTAGGAATATCATTTGTCAATTGATCTGTAATTGATTGCAACAAAGCTAATTTATTATTCATGAATTTCGGGATTTGTTTTTGAACAAAATCGGTTAAACAGTCTATCACCGTATATTGATTTGAGTTTATTTGTAATTTTTGAAAACTAGATAAATAATGGTTTTCATTGTGCACAAAAGAAATAATAGTGACTTTATTAAGATTTGTTATGGAATGACTAAATGTACTTCTACTACTACTACTATTACTGCTACTACTATTACTGCTACTACTATTACTGCTATTACCCACCTTATTACCATTCAAAGAGTACGATGAACCTTTAGTATGTGTTTCAACAAGTGCATTAATAAGCCATTGAGGTCCTGAAGAATGTGTTGAAGTGATCAAAAATAGTCTATGAGGATCATTTTCCGTAACAGTAGGAATAACACTCTGATCAGAAAAAAGTACCAAATCCTGCCTTTGCGTAGCCATAATCAATCAATTAATCAATCAATCAAAATAAAAAAAAAAATAAAAAATAACTGTAAAATCCTAATCCCTAAATCCTAGTTCCTTTCTCTTTCTAGTTTAGTGATATTGACCTTGTAAAGAAAATGATAAGATATACGTACATGCACCTATACAAAAATAGCTCACCTCTTCACCGTTCTCCCATCGATGAATGTGTCCCTACACTTTTTTTACTCAGAGTATAAGAAACTTTTGAAAAATATCGTTTAATCTTTAATAAATTGCACCAAACACCCACACACCACACTATGTGCAGCAGTCAAGGATTACTCGATGAGCAGAAAATTTGAAAATTGAAAATGGAAACCAGAAAAAAAAAAAAGGAAAATTAAAAAAAAAAAATTTTTTTTTCCACCTTTCATCACAATGTTTGTTCTAATAATTGAATAAGTATTTCTTTTACTTAATGTTTACTCTGCTATTTCCACTACATCTCACTTCTAAGGTGTGTTTTAAGATTCGCCAATTAGTATATTTTGAAGAGTGGAGAAGATAACAACCCAAAGCTGCAATAACATATTTTTTAATGAAAAAAATGTTTTCATTACCAATCTTACCAGCAGAAGGTGCTTCTTCTGAAACCAACAAGTTTACTGAAGCCATTCGTCGTCCAATTGAACCGGTCGGTACAGCATTTCTACACCATGCTACAAGAACTTTAAGAAACCATACCTGGTCTGAATTTGAGAAAATTCAAGCTGAACAAAACGTCAAGAAAGTCGATGAAAGTAACGTCGATCCAGATGAGGCATTGTTTGACGACGAATTAGCCGACGAGACCTTGTTAGAACATGATCCAAGAGATTGGAAGACTGCTGACTTGTATGCTGCCATGGGTTTATCCAAGTTGCGTTACAGGGCCACTGAAGAACAAATTATCAAAGCTCATAGAAGACAAGTTATTAAGTACCATCCAGATAAACAATCCCAACGTGGTCATGGTCAACAGGATGGGTTCTTTAAGATTATTCAAAAGGCATTTGAATATCTAACCGATAAGAACAAGAGATTGCAATACGATTCCTGTGATTTTATTGCTGATGTTCAACCACCAAAGAAGGGCAGTCAATACGATTTCTTTGAAGCATGGACCCCAGTTTTTGAATCTGAGGCGCGTTTTTCAAAGAAACAACCAGTTCCTCAATTAGGTGATGCTAATTCTAGTAAGAAGGAAGTCGAACAATTCTACACTTTCTGGCACAGATTTGAATCCTGGAGAACTTTCGAATTCTTGGATGAAGACGTTCCAGATGATTCCTCCAACAGAGATCACAAACGTTACATTGAAAGAAAGAACAAATCTGCCAGAGACAAAAAGAAGTCTGCTGATAATGCTAGATTAGTTAAACTAGTGGAGAGAGCCATGAGCGAAGATCCAAGAATCAAACAATTCAAAGAGGAAGAGAAGAAGGAAAAGGAAAGAAGAAAGTGGGAAAGAGAAGCTGGTGCTAGAGCCGAGGCAGAAGCTAAAGCTAAAGCAGAAGCTGAAGCCAAGGCCAAGGCTGAAGCCGAAGCTGCTGCTGCTGCTGCGGCTAAAGCTGACAAAAAGAAAGCTAAGGAAGCTGCTAAAGCTGCCAAAAAAAAGAACAAGAGAGCCATCAGAAACTGTGCTAAGGAACAAGAATATTTCGGTGATGCTGACCAATCTGCTGCTATCGACGAACAAATTGGTTTAATCGTCGACTCATTGAACGATGAACAGCTAGTCTTTGTGGCTGAAAAGATTAAGGCTAACGGTGCTGAATCTAAGACTGTGTTACAAGCAATCACCAAAGAATTAGTCGATTCTGGTGTTTTACCATCCTCTGTTGTCCCATATTTTGCCTAAACAATGTTGCGAAAGAAATAAATAAAAAAAAAGAGAAAACAGGTAGTAAACAAACACTAGGATAGAAATGATGATAGAATAGTTCAATAAATACACATCGATAATTTATAGAATGCTTATAATATGTACTCTTATATCTCCATGTATCTATGTATCCATGTCTATACCAAGAGACGGAACAGCTTCACAGAGAATATTATCGATACGAATATTATTTTCATATCCACTTAGATAATTTCTTTTTTTCTTTCTTGTGTCTTTTTCTTTTATTTTTTTTTTTTTTTTGTTTCTTCCATTTTTTTCGGTTTTTCCATTTTTCCGCTGGCCTAAGGGGGAAAAAACAAAATAGTTGATTGAACATGGAAGGATCAAGTTAAACCAAAAACATACACACGCATACACATATACATGCATATACATATACATTAAAGGTGGAAGTAGGGGGAAGACAAGTGTATTTAAAAACAGAGTTACATTACTAACACTATCGTTTTGTGTACAGGACTCTATAGTTAGAGTTGACCGAATAACAGAGACCACTGAACAGTGACATTCTCTTTACAAACACTTACTGGTAGTACTATTTATCTCAAGAGAGGATTTACCTTTTTTAACATTTAATTCCATAATGGGTGGTATCTTAAAGAATGCTTTATCTCCTGAAGAACAACTCTTAAAAGAAAAGACAGTGAATGAATCAACTAGTGAATTCCGTCAAAAAGTTTATGAAAATACGCAATTGAATGCAAAATTGACCAATAATAAGAACAAGGATATCAACAACATAAATAATGTCTTAACCTCTAAAAATGATATAACTGGTAATAAATTTATACCAAAGGATACATTGTTAATGAAGCGTGAAGAAATGGCCAAGATATCAAAAGAAAATAAAAATTCCAGTGGCGATGAAAATGCGAATATAGACGAAAATGAAGACGAAAGATTACAATGGAACCAAGAAAATTTAGAACAAAACGAAATTACCAAAAAGCAATTTCAAGATATCCATGTTGATGAACCAAAAACACCGTATCAAGGCGCTATGGATCCAAATGGTGAGTATTATACTATAGATGATGAAGACAATTTGAACGATTTTTCTCTAGGAGAACCTGAGATACAGATTCCTGAAAGTACTAGTTTACATGAAGGAGTAACTATAAAAGAAGATTCTGAACAAGAAGAAGAAGAGGAAGAGGAAGAGGAAGAAAGTGCAGAAGCTCGTCATAAAAGGTTCGAAGAAATGAGAAAGAAACATTACAACGTTAGACATCTTTTCAAGAAAAAATAAATTCAAGTATTTACTTTCTTGTATCCCTTTTCAGCCTCTCGTACCTGTTCCCTTTTAGCAATTTCGATACATATTATCTTTCTATCATACATAATAATACTTTAGAAATTATTATAGTTATTATTATTATTATTAGACATTCTATTATATATATATACAAATAAAATTAATCGAAACAAAACAAATATTCTCTTACTAGTTATACATGTATATTAATGTCAAGGACCATAGAATGTATGCTACATTCACGATCCTAATACCTACAATTAACAATATCTTTGTATATCCTTTCCTATATTTTAATTAAACACAACTATCAAAGAAAGAATCAAAGAAAAAATCAAAGAAAAAAACAAAAAAAAAATGAGAGCCGTAAATTTTTCAAAGTTTCTATGTCGAGAGCATCGACTCTAATCATTTTACTCATTTGCTTACTCACTTACAGATGTGTATCTTGTTTTAGTAGACATTAGAACTGATCAACTAACCTGATCTATCTATCTATATAGATATTTCACCAATTCATTTCATTTCATATCTTTTTTTTCTTTTTATGTTGTTTTTTTATTAAAGATTTCTCACTTTTGCCCTTTTCCCTCCCCAATTCCATTTCACATCCCTGTATAACAATTCCTAATAGTCATGTCTCATCGTTATTCAGTTTGTATTCCAACAGATTGCATTTGGTCTTGTGAGAATTTGGAACAGATAACGAATAAAGTGTACCAAATTGCCAAAACTTTGACTTTATTTAATGTTCAAGAATGTGTGATCTTAGAAACTAAAAGACCTTCCAAATCTAACAAGATCCATCCGCCAAAAGACAATAAATTGAGTGATTCCATGTTAATTTCATCGTTATTACAATATTTCATCACACCATCCTATTTAAGAAAAATTGTATTTAAATCAAAATTCCATAACTATTTCCACTATGCATCTAAATTACCTAAATTGACAGTATTGCCTTATATGAGACAAAATGACGAAAATATCAAAGTATTCCGTGAAGGTGTGTCTATCCCAATGAAAAGACCAGTGAATGGCAAAAAAGTCAATAAACAAACTAAATATATTTGTGTTGGTAAAGAAAAACCGATAGAATTAAAGAGTCAACTGGTACCGAACAATGTAAGGGTTACCGTAAATATCAAAGAAAACAAAGTTGTATCTCCGTATGATGCATATGGTACAGAGAATGTTGGTATCAATGCTTCCTATGGGTATGGTGTGCGTATCGCCCATTCATTTAATGAAATTTTCACAGAGATGGTTGTTCCTTATGAACAAAGTTGCTGGGTTGAATGTGGTGACTATTACAAAGTAAAAGAGAACGAACAATTGTCAACTCTAGCTAATTTAAGGGACGGCAATATTTTGATTATTTTTGGTCAATGGAATAGATTACAAGATTCTCTTATCAAGGATGAAGAAATTGTCAGTGTTTCTCAATTTATGGATGGCCAATGGGCCTTACCAAAAGTCATTCCAACTGGTCATTTAACTGTAGAGGATGCTTGCATGGTAGCCCTGACAAGTCTATCCATCAACAGTTAAATAACTATATATATATATATATATTATCCATCCTTATTATCATTAAATTAAGGCTATATATAAATACAATAGTTCTTATAATTGTATATTAACTACTGTTAAAGGACATACACCCAATTCATTAAAAAACTTGTACCAAACAACTAAACCAGCTTCTGGTCCTAATCTTAAGACTCAGATCTAGTGTCCCACAATATTTGTACTCAAATTGAATACGCTTTTTATTTATTTCTACTGTTCTGTTGTTTAACAATTCAAGATATTAGGGCTAGAGTAATTTTTTGAGATATTCCATTACTAATCCTAAAAATTAGCATAGGTCTTTTTAAAAAAATATTATAAAAAAAAACATATACAAATTCTATCCGTATTAAACGATCTCCAAAGCACAAACTCACGTGACCTTCAATCAATTCCGGGTAACTACTATCGTTGGAAAAATTTTCCAAAAGAGTTTTCCAAAAGCTGCCCAACACAGGCAAAAAAAAAAAATAACAAAGGAACAAGAAAGACAGGGAACTAAATTTTAGTTGGACAACAACGCTACAAAAAAAAAACAATTAGCTTATTATATATTTAACTTCAAGCCACTTTTTTGTTCTTTTTGTTTCTTTATAGGATCGGAAACTATCTCTCTTGAACCTAGAGATACTCAATTGCCACATAATAGTGAGACCAGAACATATTCCAGTTATGTCCCGATTCTTTGCTGCCTCAACTTATAACGACGATGACGATTTCGGTGGTCTTTCTTCATCCAGTGATGAAGAATCTTTAAGATCCATCTCCTCTGACTCCTCTATGGATTTATCCTCTAGCGAAGACTCTGATGATTCTTTCTTTAATGACAGTGACGAATCTGAGTCTAGTGATGAAGGAGGTAGAAACTATGATGATGATAGTGATTCTAAGCCTTATGGTCCGGATTGGTTCAAAAAATCCCAATATAGAAAAGGTCCACCACAAAATAAATTCTTAAAGTCGGTTGAATCATCTGATGAGTCTAATTTATCAAGTGATAATGACGGACAATGGGATTCTGATATGGATAATGACGAAAGTGGTAAGAAAGTGGTCAAGTCAGCACGGGACAAATTATTAGATGAAATGAAAACTATCTTAAATTATATATCCAAGGCTGGTATAGATCAATCTAATTCTACTCAGTTGCTAGATAATTTCGATCTCTTATTAAGATTACAAATTAGATCTATCCAACAAAACTTTGGTACTCCGCCAATATTTATTGAAACTTTAATTAAATATAACGAATTTATTAAAGATTTAGATTCCAAAGAAGATGACTTACAATTCGATAACAAATCTGTTGCTAAAGCTTACAACGTTTTAAAACAAAGAGTGAAAAAATCTATTAAAGAAAACCAACAATTCATCAATGAAGATGGTACTGTTGCTATAAGTGCTATGGAAGCAACCATTTCTCAAGTCCCATTATTATCTGGTTCTGGTGCTACTAATCTTATCTCCGCTCAAACAACCACTAGTGGTAATTTCCAAGACTTGTTAGAGAACACATCCTCCGGTAATTACTTCGAAACTTTGCAAGCTGTTATCGATTCTCGCGGTAAGAAGAATGTTCAATCCTCTGACTTAATCTCTGTTTTAAATGGTCTTTTAAATATCGAAAATATCTCCGCATACCAAAAGATTATGACATATTTGACTTTGATTCCAATTAGATTAGAATCCTCTCAACAATTGTCTTACCAACCAATTGACCAATGGAACGAAACTTTTGTCACTGTGGCTAATTTCATGTCTTTATTAGAAGAAAACATTTCTAAATACCATGTTTCTGAATTTGCTAAATACAACGACAATTTACCAGTTGAACCTGAACCAGTAAATGGAGTGGTTCCAATTCTAGGTTCTATTTTTGCTTTTGTAGAAAGATTAGATGATGAATTTAACAAGTCTTTATTAAACACTGATCCACACTCCAGTGATTATTTGTTAAGATTAAAGGATGAAACTAAATTATACACATTATTGATTAGAGTCCAATTATACTTAGAAAAAGTCTACCTAGAAAAACATCCATTGGCTTTGAATAGAATTATCATTAAGAGATTGAACCATATTTACTACAAATCTCAACCAATTGCTTTTAAATTAGAAAAGTTAGTATGGAAAAATATTTCTTATTCTTCTTCATCTATTATTGCTTTTAGTGAAGACAAAGATTATGTTACCAACTTAATTAATACATTAATAGAATGCATCGCTTCTAATATTGAGGCTAGCAAGAAATCCAACGAAGTCAATAACTTTGCTACTGATGTAGAAGATGATATAATCCGTTCTAATCTATTCAAGATTTATTACCATGCATTGAATTTAACTTACGACTTCACCGAGATTAAACAAATGTTAATCACCTTAAATGTCAACAAAGTTAGATCCCAATCAACATCCACTTCTTTACAAATATTATTCAACCGTGTTGTTGTCCAACTGGGTCTTTGTGCATTCAAATCTTCGTTAATTGAAGAATGTCATGAAGTATTAAACGAGTTATTATCTTCATCTCATTTAAGAGAAATTTTAGGTCAACAATCTTTACAAAGAATATTGCATCATCAATCCACTATCGGCAATAATAACACTAATATTAATTTAATCGCCACTGAACAATGCTTACCATATCATAAACATATCAATTTAGATTTAGTTGATATTGTTTTCATGACATGTTCTTTGATTATTGAAGTTCCACAAATCACTGCTTTCTATTCTGGTATTAAGATTAAGAAGACTCCATACACTGCCAGATCTATAAGACGTATATTAGAACATTTCGACAAGCAGAATTATCAACCACCTGCAGAAAGTTCTCGTGATCTAATCATTTTTAGTGCTAAAGCTATGCAATCTGGTGATTGGGCTAAATGTTATGAATACTTATTGAAGATTAAAGTTTGGAACCAATTACTAAACCATGAAGAAATCTTAGAAAACTTACAAAAGAGAATTAAGTTGGAATCTTTAAAAACATATTTATTCACATACAAGAGATTTTACTCCAACATTTCTATTAAACAGTTAAGTGACCGATTCCAGTTACCTGAAGATACTATTTTGGAGGAAATTCCAAAGGTTCTAAAGAACATGGAAATCACTTCAATTAAATTGAATGATTCAAATGACTTTATTGTGTTTGACAAGACTGATGAAATTACTAAGTTGGAAGAAGTTGCCATTAAATTAAACAAAGAATATAAGATCACCAAAGAACGTCTATTCCCACCACGCCACTAAAGTGATAGTAACCAATTTTAAACTTAGATAGTATAATCATTGATATTTAAAATATTGTTTAAACTCTAAACGTATATTCCAAAGTCAAATTTCTCTATAAACTATTGTATCCGAATAAAAAGCAGTATACATATCTAAGAACGAATACTTACATACATATATCATTAGTGTACATAAAATTTAACTGTAGATTAATTTTATAAATATTTGAATAAGAAGATGCATTTGTTTCATTATATAGCTTTTGATGATTGTATCAAACGATAATTTATCAGGGAGAGAAGGGAGTGTAATATTATATCACTGACTAATATATGTTAAAACTAATTAAATCAAGTATTAAACGCAGTAAAACCATTCAGCAATGTAACTCTTGGGAATGGATGGTATGCTGTCGTTTCATTTATCGAAACAAAATGTAAAATAAAACACTTAAAGATGACAGAATTGGAAAAACTTGCAGGTATCCCAAACCCGCTCAAAGATTCCGTTAACACACCACATGATTATCACGTGCACATGAATTTCCTTTTCCATTTTTTATTTTTTTTTTTTCATTTGCAATGACCAGAACAGAAATGAAAAAAAAAAGAAACATTTGGAATGAAAATAAGAAAACCAATAGAAACAAAATATAGATGAGATGATGTAAGAATAAGAAATAGTCCATATATTTTTAGACCCTATTGGCCTTTAGTGTTGTTAGTACCCCACATTGTCCATTACAAGATACTAATAACAATATAGACAAACTAAAAAACTATAATGATTGAATTACCTACTGAGGTCACTGAAACGTTACTTCAGATCTTACAAGGGTTTGCCTCTTCGGACAATGCTATCCGTTCTGCCGCTGAAAGAAGTTTGAATAATGATTGGATTACACCAGAAAAGATTCAAGTTTTATTAATATTTTTGGCTATCCAAGCTTCCTTCTCCCCAGATATTACAGTTGCTGCTTTATCTGCTGTTTTGTTTAGAAAATTAGCCCTTAGAGCACCTCCAGAATCAACTACAGTTATAATCGCTAAAAATATTACTAATATCGACAAACAAACTTTAACAGCTATCAGAGAAACATTGCTAGCAGGGTTTCTCTCTGAGAGACCACGTGACATTAGACACAAATTAGCTGATGCTATCGCAGAATGCGCTCAAGAAAATATGGATGATTGGCCCGAATTAATTCATGCTATTATGGAATGCTTACAAAGAGATGGTTCTATGTCTAATTACAAAGAATCCAGTTTCAGAATTTTAACGTCTGTTCCTCACTTAGTCAACACAATAGATATCAATACAATTTTACCAATTTTCGAAAGTGGATTCACAGATCCAAATGATGAAGTTAAGATTTCCGCTGTTACAGCTTTTGTTGGTTACTTTAAACAATTACCTAAGGCCACTTGGTCCAAATTTGGTGTTTTATTACCAAGTCTGTTGAGTAGTCTACCAAAATTTCTTGATGATAATAAAGATGAGGCTTTAGCTTCAGTATTTGAGTCATTGATTGAATTGGTTGAATTAGCACCAAGATTATTTAAAGATATGTTTGACCAAATTATCCAGTTTTGTGCAATTGTGATCAAAAATAAAGATCTTGAGAATATGCCAAGAACTAGTGCGTTGGAATTATTGACTGTTTTTAGTGAAAATGCTCCACATATGTGCAAATCTAATCCAAACTATGCCGATACTATTGTTATGTGTACATTATTAATGATGACCGAAGTGTCATTTGATGATGACGAAGCTCTTGAATGGAAAGAATCTGATGACACAGATGACGAAGATGAAGTTACATATGATCACGCTAGACAAGCGTTAGATCGTGTTTCTCTAAGATTAAACGGCCAATACTTAGCTCCAACTCTTTTTACATATTTACAACAAATGATTGCTTCTTCTGATTGGAGAGCAAGATTTGCTGCTATGATGGCTTTATCATCCGCTGCCGAAGGTTGTCAAGATGTATTAATCGGTGAAATCCCTAAGATTCTTGATATGGTAGCCCCTCTTATATCTGATCCACATCCAAGAGTTCAGTATGGTTGCTGTAATGTATTAGGTCAAATATCTACCGACTTTGCTCCATTAATTCAAAGAACTGCACATGATAGAATTGTCCCTGCTTTAATATCTAAGTTAACTCCAGACTCTTGTGAACGTGTTCAGACTCATGCAGCAGCTGCTTTGGTAAATTTCTCAGAACAGGCAAATCAAGCTATTTTAGAACCATACTTAGATAGTCTTTTATCCAATTTATTGACTTTACTACAAAGTAACAAGTTATATGTCCAAGAACAAGCTTTAACAACGATTGCCTTCATTGCTGAAGCTGCTAAAACTAAATTCATTAAATACTATGATACCTTGATGCCTCTTTTGATTAACGTCTTAAAAACTGAAAATCAAGGTAATAACGGTGTTTTAAAGGGCAAATGTATTGAATGTGCTACACTAATTGCGGCAGCCGTTGGAAAAGAGAAATTCAGTGAACATTCGGAAGAATTAATAAATCTTTTATTAAATCAACAAAACTCAGTGATGTCAGATGATGATCAAATCAAATCATATTTAGAACATGGCTGGGGTAGAATTTGTCGTATCTTAGGTGAAGACTTCGTTCCATTATTACCAATGGTTTTGCCTCCATTATTGGAAACTGCTAAAGCAACCCAAGATGTTAGTTTAATCGAAGAAGAAGAAGCTGTCAATTTTCAAAAGTACGTTGAATGGGATGTGGTCCAAATCCAAGGTAAACATATTGCTATTCACACAGCTTTGTTAGATGAGAAAGTATCTGCAATGGAGCTAATTCAATTATATGCTAGCGTTTTAAAAAATTTGTTTGCCTCTTATGTTAAAGAAATTTTAATTGAAATAGCTATTCCTTCCATTGATTTCTATTTACATGATGGAGTACGTGCTACTGGTGCTGCTTTAATCCCTGTTCTTCTATCTTCGTTAGTTTCTGCTGCAGGTACCGATAATGAGGAAGTTAAACAACTTTGGGATTTGTCATCTGCAAAATTAATAAGTGGTATTAACACTGAACCAATGCTAGAAATTGTCCAAAGCTATCATACTGCACTTGTAGATGGCTTGGGTATTATGAGAAATATACCTTTAGCTGATGAATTGCTAAGTGGCTATATCAAGGGTATATCCAACAACTTGAGCGATGTTTATGAAAATATAAAAGACCGTCACAATGAAGCTGATGAGTACAATGAGGAAGTTGATGATGATGACAGTTATACTAATGAGGATTTATTAGATGAAGTTAACAAATCGTTTGCTGCCATCATGAGGACATCACGTGAAAAATTCTTACCACACGTTCAAAATGTCTTACCCTTAATAAATACATTTCTACAAGAAAACGAAGTAATATTGATTCTATTCTCATTAGTTGCAATTGGTGATATAATACAAAATTATGGTGAGGTCACTTCCTCATTAAAGGACACTTTTATTACCAAAGTTGTTTCTTGCTTAGTTTCACAAGAACCACAAATCCGTCAAGCTGCTAGTTATGTGTTAGGTGTTTGCAGTCAGTATGCTCCACAATCATACGCTGATATATGTGTTCCCTCCCTAGACACATTAATCCAAGTGATTAGTATTCCTAATGCAAAAAATGAAGATAATCAAACTGCCACAGAAAATAGTAGTGCTGCTATAGCAAAGATCTTATACGCATACAGCTCTAATATTCCTAATATAAATTCCTTTGTATCTAGTTGGTTAACTTCATTACCAACCATCATGGACGATGAAGCAGCAGCATTTAATTACAGATACTTAGCCCACCTAATAGATACCAATTCCCCAGTTGTATGTGATCCAACAAAAGTTCAAAATATATTGGACTATGTTCTCAAAGCTTTGTATTACAAGTCAATTACTGGTAAAAATGCTGAGGATGTAGTTAATTCTGTCAAAAAACTAATGGCTCCATTACCCCAAAATGATGTTGTAGCCATATTCCAAAGATATCCACAAGATTACATGCCTATTATCCAGAAGTGGTTCTCTTAAACTTCTGAAATGTGGGTTAAGTACTCATGTTTAAAATCCATAAATAATATAGTCATACTGAATCGACAAACACCTACTAAGAAGTGGTAGTCTGCATAAGGATATCTATAAAACAAATCTCTTTCTTTGTACTATATAATATATCCCTCTATAAAAAACAACTTTTAATAGAATATTTGTATATCTCAATCAAGAGCTACACAGAAAATCTTAAATATAAAGACATATTGAAAATAAAATAAGTATAACCTAGTATTTATAAAAATTTTTATATTAGCAAAGCGATTTCTATTTAGTGGTTTGAAATGCTGTGGAAGAAGGAGTCGATCTCAAAATGTGTAATGGTGCATCCGGTCCAGTATCATTATTATCTTGCTTACTAGGTTGAAGCATATTCCATAGAGGTATACCGTTCATCATCTCTTTTGGATCCATAGAGAACTGATCAACAAATATAGGAATGATCAAAATGGTTAAAAACAAGATAAATAAAACAAAATAGACAACACAATATTTTCTGATTGTAGCATCTCTATATTTTTGTTGTTTTATTGTAAAAATTCTATTATCTTTTTTAATATTCTTGGGTCTTAACCAAAATAATATCATCGAATGCCAAAAATCGATAAAAGGAAAGAAAAGTATTGGCGTTTGAAGATATAATAAGAAATGTACCAAAAAGAAGTCTGCAACAAAATATGACATTTCCATGACTTTAATAAAATACTCTCTTACAGGTTGAAATACCACTGACCATCCCATCCCAGTATTATACCACTTTCCTGACCACCAAGCAAGGTTTGATTTACTGTTTTTAAATTCCTTTGTAAAAAATTGAATGAGGACTCTAAACATAGATATATGCAAAAATATCGTAGTAATTACTAGAATTAACGTTCTTTTGAAATGCCATCCTTCTAAAAACCACATTATGACAAAATCCAATAAATATATAAAAACAGATATACCATGTGCAAGGAAAGCAACTGTTGCACCTGTATTATAATGACAACAGATGAGAATTGGTCCACAAATAAAGGATATACAAAATAATACCAAGAGACTACCCATATTGACTATAATAGGGAAAAAAGTTACTAGAACCAGACGGAATATAGAGTTTGTCGGTGTTGTATATTTTACACCAGTCTGTGCATTAGCAAATGTATATGCAGTGAAGCTAAAAAGAAATACTGCAACTGGTACAAAAAGTTCTGAAAAAAACAAATTCCATAGTTGAGGCCGATGATAACTTATTACATTTTGCTCCAATGTATTGGCGCTGTTTCTATTCTTACATCCAATGTATCTTGTTCTTTGTTCTTTGGTAAATGATGTCCATGAATGTTTTTTAAAGTAATGGTTACCATCGGAGAACCAATGAAGAATATTTTTATAATCAAGAATAAATTCCGACAAAAGATATTGATGTGGATTAAAAATAAATGGGGCAAAACAAAGAGAAACAACTGTGATCCAAAACCATAATAATGCTGGTTGCCACATTGTAACAGTAGCAAAAAGAAGCATCAAAAATATATGAAAACCTGAATAAATCGACACAGTTGCATATCTTGAATAGAGAACAGTAAAATCAATTCTTGTTATTGCAAACCCACGTCCACTAGATATATATCTGGCGCCACCAAAGGTTAAATCATTTAATAATGAACTAGCGTAAGTTTGGCACACAAACACTTCAAAAAGTGGAGCCATAGATAGGATGTGATGAAGGAATCTCTTCAAGGCTCTCAAGATACCTTTTTCCAGTAATTCTTGAATAATCAAAGGTGCAAATGCAATAAAAAACACAATAAAAATTGACAATACAAAAATTGAAACCCAATGTAGTGCAGGGTCAATATTATAACATCCTATTGGTTCTTGAAGATCTGTTATTTTTGAATTCTTTTTTTTATTACAGCTGATTGTTTCCAAATTCAGAGATCCTAAATTAAGGAGCAAAATAAAGAAGAGATTAAGAGACATAGATATGAATAAGTTATTGAGATGAAATCCAGGGTGTGCATAAAAGAATGTTAAAAATCTATCAACAGGCAATTGTGTTCCTAGATAATAATACTCTCTGGAAAGAAGCTGTTCACCCATACCTGCACCAATTTTTGTGGTGAAACTAAGAATTGAATCAAAACCTAAGTCACGACCTTTTCCACATTGATAGTAATCACTATGCTTAATACGACCTCCTCTACACAATGCTGTGATACCAGCATATATATCCTCATTCAAGTGTAAACCCTTTTGTGCTTTTGATATTCCTCCTCTTGTAACCATAAATATGGCATTTAAAAAATCAGGATGTCCATAATGCAGCTTGCCACCAATTTCAGCAAGAGTCCTTGCAAATAACGTCCCAAATGTTTGTTCTTTTCCCGCAGCTACATCCCCTAATACTCCAATATTCTCAGAAAAAATATATTCTCTTGCCCCAATAATAGCGACTGGGGCCTCACACTCATCATATTCAACACCAGGCACATAAGGAATATCGTTTGCTATAGATAATTCCTCAAATTCACTTAAAATAGAACGAATTTTAAGACATTCTTCTATATAATTATCTTGATTAGCATCTATAACTTGAATATACTCACCACGATAAAAAATTAACGAGTGATTTTGATTGTCAGATTTACCATTTCCTAAAATGGGATTCCCAGATAGTTTAATTTTAAAAATTGGCATGCGACGTTTCGTATCTTTATCAAAATTTGCATGGCCACTCGTCAAACAAGAATAGTATATTACATCTCCAGTTTTTTCACCTTCCTCTTCTAGAAGGTAGGATATATACATGCAGGGAAAAGACTGTAACAATAATTCGACAGATTCTTTCTCCTCCTCACTAAATTTAGCATACCGTTGCATAGCAACAACCATCCTAAACTTTCTATAGCTCATTTGTTCAAGATCATCTTGTAACGCAATTTGATTATTATCGTAAAGTTCTAACATTGAAGGGTTTTCTATTCTATATAATAATTGAATAGCATCATTATAATTCATAAAACCTGCAACAGTTCTATACAAAGTTTGAGCTCTAAGAGAAGCCCATATTCTTGTTCGAAGTGTGTAAAGTGGTTCAGAGGATGAAAATCCAATTAAACTATATGGAATATCATTTGCGTGATCCATAGGTTTCGCAGATCGAGTAGTAAAACTTTTTTCATTACTATTTTTATTATTTTCTGCTGATGCGGTATCTTCATTTTTAAATGATTGAACTGCCCCTGAACTGGTATCAGAATCATGATTCATCAACAAGATATTATGAATATTTTCTATTTTATCCTTTTTTTTTGCCAATAATTTGGTGTCAGTTATAAAATTTTTCCACTCTTCTTCATGTAGGTTTTTAATATACTCTAAAACTGGTATTCTACTTTTAGATGATTCATCCCTTATTAACTCTCTTAATCCTAACACAATTTTTTCTTCATAATGGGGAATTAATACTGTAAATGATGGCATACATTCGATTGGCATTGGTTCAGCCATTGGTGTTGATAAGGATTGTGCAAAAAAAGATACTCTTCTTTCTGCTTGCGAATTAGGTGGAAAGTATTCTTCTGACTTGTATGTAGAATCATCTTGAGCTATAAAAAATATAGGAGGTTTTAAGCCCTTTGACTCTGCTAATAAAGCATCAACTTGTATATAAATCAATTTTTGCACATGTTCAATAGCCAATAGATGCTCTCTATACATTGATACAATTATGGCGTTCCATGTTTGGGATATGAGCCATTTTGGTTTTAATCTAACTCGGACTTCTGTAGTAACCAAAATCTTAGCTTCTAATCTTTTTGGTAAACGTGAATAGATGTTTTTCCATGGTGTAAAGATTGAGGTACCTAATGATAATGAAATGACAATTGAAAAAATACAATTACAAATAATATACCATAAATAGGTATCTAAGAAGAATAACCCCAGGTCAGAGAGAATAATCAAGAACAATGTGATTTTCCCTTGGAGTTTGCATAGATAGGTTCCCAAAATAAGATCTCCATTACATCTTGATAAGTCAAGGATCGACAAAACTCTAATAGGATCTTTTATTGATAGGGTGAGAAAAAAATATGATTCAATATATTTTGCTAAAAAAACAAAAAACCAGAGTCCGCAAGAAAACCATCTACTTCTTGTAGGTAATTGGGGAAAAGATGCTGTAAATGTTTGGGAAGATATATATCTTCTCTTTTTTCTGCCTTTGTTTAAGTATGAGCCAAAGAAACCACCTAAGGGTCTAATAGAAAATATCAAAGTTGTTAGAACAGCAATAACAATCTGAATAATGGATAAAACATATGCATAATATGAATAGGTTACAAAACCATAACGAGATAGAATGAAGATAGTAGGTGTTATGTTTATTATTAAACAAAAGATTAGGCAACACATTCTCCAAGAAAGGGGCTGAGAGCCTGGCCATAATCTTGGGACACACCACCATTCAAAAAAAGTTGCTAATATTTGAATTAAACATGCAATAGAACCACCTAAGGCGACAATTGTATACCTCACTTGTTCCAACGGAGGATTATCTAAAAGTTGAACATAATCCTTTGTATATATAGTTGGTGTGTTATAGGTTGTGAAAAACCAAAATGGTGCAAAATGAATAATCCAAAATCTATTGAAATTTGTAATACAATGAATCCAACTTCTACTCTCTAAAAATGTTTTATAAAAAACTTTCTTCCAAACAATATTCTGAAAATTCAAATATCTTTCTGGCAAGGGGATATCTATTAATCTTTCACCTGTATTTAACACTATTCTTTCAATTCCCTCAGGATACCAGAATAATTGATTAATATCATCATATCCTATAGTTCGCTTATGGTCTTTATTTCTTTCAATCCACTGATTATCAGCGGTTGGCTTTTTCAATTGATTCCTTAGAAATTCATATAATGGTGTTATAACGTTATTTAAATAACTGTATTCTGGTAATTGTATATTTTGGTTATTTTGCTCAGTATAAGCATCAAAATCCAAAGCACATTTATATATAAAGCAAAGACATTCTGAGGTAAACCTGATTTGATTTGCTTCTCCCCAACATAGCAAATAAAGAGCTAGTTGTCTGATCATATCAGCTGGGGTAAGTTCTTTCATTTTTAACTTCCATTTATAATCAGCATTTTTCAATGGGTTATTTTTAGTCTCTTTATCCCAAGTGTTAAAATGTGGATGTGAATTGATAAATTCCTGCTCCCTAATCTCCCATTCTTTTATTTGATCTTTAATCGGAATCCCATTTTTCTTAGATATCTTAATATTTCTTTTATAACCTTTCCCTCTAAGATTCATATTTCTGTATCCTAATTCTTCATCCAAATCCAATTGAGCAGCAAAAAACCATTTTTTGAAATTTGCTTGATCGCCTCCGATATACGACGCATGAAGAGAGATTAAGGCATTATATGCATTTGCTCTGCTTGCTCTAGAATCCAACTGGGATAGTAAATGTTGAATCATATTTAACTTTGAACTATGTTGAAAGCCAAACTTCAGAGTTAGTTGTTCAAATATGTCTTTAATCTCTTGTTCTGTAACAGGAACATCGTCATTCTGACACCAAGCTGGGTATAGCATTGTGTAGTTTTAAGTCTTATTTGTTGAATCTTGTAAACAAACACTATGTTTATTTTAAAAAAAATCTAGTAAACATAGACATATCATATATATACATATATATATACTTCAAACCTTTTTTGAATTGAACATAAATTAGCCGCCGAGTTCCTTATGTCCATATTCTTCTCACTAATTATTAATGATATCAAAATACAACCCTAAATTAGGTCTTCTCTTTAAAAAAGAAAAAAAAAAAGAAAAAAGAAAAATGTAAAAAAGATTTTCAATATGGAATCCGTCGGATTTAATGGCAAATATCTAGCCTACAAATTTGTAAGCTGTATAAAGAACAAAATAAAAAAAAAATACAACCGTTAACAATTCCTTGAGATAATAGGGTTCAGGAAATCAAATCACCAATAGACGGTAACCTCTTTAAACATTTTATCACACGGAAGGTCTTGTAAACAGAAAAAAAAAACAATAGTCTTCTCAACAGTAAGATAATCCCTACTATAAATTAATGTGTCTTTCACTTTTTCTCTGGCAAAACCCTAACACTATTTGGTTTGAACCACCAAACAATTCGAATGCATAACAAAATTGCATAAAATAACATTGACTATACAGATAAAAAAAATAATTATGCTTGCACCCACTCATTAAATGCTCAATGCCCTTCTAGACTTCTAGAAAAACATATTGAAAAGTTGCACTATTTGATTGAAAAAAAAAGCAATAAACGTGGTAAAACAAAAAGAAAAAATAAGGTACCAAATTGTTTTATTTTTCTTTCTCTTTTTTGTTTTTTTTTCCTGTTTTAGAGATGGAACGAAAGATTCTCGTATCTCCGAACTAATCCGGCAACTATTTAGAACAATATCGCGGAAAAAAAATCAACACCACCACGAAAAAAAAAACAAAGCAAAACAAAAGAAATGCACGATCTGGCACGAATTTCATTTTATACTCTATTCTTGGCATTAAATGGTGTCTCCAAATTGTTTCAGAACTGTTTAAAACAATGTTGTTTACAATTCACCATTTTGAAAACCTTTCTGAAATTTACAGCCAAACAATACGTAAAAGTTAGTGGAAAATGAACATGCTCGAATGTTCAAATCTTCGAACTTGCCCACTTATACCTCACATTATATAAAATGTATGGACGCTTTATTTATATATACATATAAATACATTAATATACTTACTCTGGCGTATCTTGTTGACTCAATAAATTTATATATTCAACTCGACATTTGTTCTTTACCCTTTGAACTCATCTTCCTTTCCAGACATCTTGTAATCAAATTTCAGTTATCCTGCTAATCCAAACATTTAAAAGTGGTTAACGTCTATTCTGATTCCAACTTTTTGTCACTCCTTTTTAACTGAAAATACAAAAAAGTTCCTGTCAAATCTTTCTCTAAGGTTGCGTGTAACAAATGCGTTTTTCAAGTGTCTTAACTAGTAGTGCCCTTTTAGGTTCAGCTATTGCTGCTCCAGCTTTACACCATGGACATCAAAATAAGAGAGATGTCGTTGTTACTACTACTGTCCAACGTCAAATTACTGTTGTGGTAAATGGTCCTGCTCCAACCACCGATAATACCGCTGCTCCAGCTAATGCAAATACAATTTTGAATAACGAAACAGCTACAATTTCTACCCCTGCTGTTGCTGCCTCCGCTGTTGCTTCCTCTGCTGTTGCCCCTGCAGCTGCTGAAACTTCTTCCACTATTGAAAACCAAACTACTACTCTAGTTAACAGTGAAAGTACCATTGCATCCTCAACTACTTCCGTTGATACATCTAATACTGCAGCAACTGCCGGTGCTAAAGGTATTACCTATTCTCCATACAATGCCGACGGATCATGTAAGAGCACCTCTGAAGTTGCCTCTGATTTAGCTGTGTTGGCTGATTTCGATATTATTAGATTATACGGTGTTGATTGTAATCAAGTTGCTAATGTGTTACAAGCAAAGACTCCATCTCAAAAACTTTTCTTAGGTATTTTTTATGTTGATGCTATTGAAGCCGGTGTTCAAACCATAAAGGCTGCTATTGACCAATACGGTTCATGGAACGACGTTTACACCGTCTCTATCGGTAATGAATTAGTCAACGATGGTAAAGCTACACCTGCTCAAATTAGTCAATATGTGTCCACTGGTAGATCTGCTTTAAAGGCAGCTGGTTACACTGGTCCGGTTGTCTCTGTTGATACCTTCATTGCTGTTATTAACAACCCAGAATTGTGTAACTATTCTGATTACATGGGAGTTAATGCTCACGCTTACTTTGACAAACACACAGTCGCTGCTAATGCTGGTCCATGGCTTCTTGAACAAATTCAAAGAGTCTGGACTGCCTGTGATGGTAAGAAGAATGTTATGATTACTGAATCTGGTTGGCCAAGTAAAGGTGATACTTATGGTGTTGCTGTCCCCTCTAAGGCCAATCAAAAAGCTGCAATTGCTTCTATTGAGAAAACTTGTGGAAGTGACACTATTCTATTCACTGCTTTCAATGACTACTGGAAACCTGATGGTCCATATGGTGTTGAAAAATACTGGGGTATTTTCTCAGATTAAGATATAACGACTTCTTATTTTTTTTATGAAACTTTACGCACAAAGATGTCAACTATATACACACACTTCTTTTTCTTTTTCTTGCCTCAGTTTTTTAAAATGTAACAATCGTGCAATACTTCCATTTCTTTCGTTCGATTTATCTTTATTATATTCATTTCGATACCTTACTTTATATTTTATTACTACTTATGTAAAGATACATACATGTTTGAATTCGTATATAGTATATTTATGAATCTATATATATATATATAATAGAACATTATTAGTTCTAATGAGTTTTTAAAAAAAATTAAACATGAACCTTACTAATTTTTGATAAACATTGGCCTATCCCCGGTGGAATGCGAACGTAACCTATCAGGATGATCCATAACTATACTATCCCAATCTTTCATTTTGTCGTACAGAACAATCTTCTCTAATTCTTCATTAGTATAACCAGATAATGACTTCATAGACATACGATTACCATAAGAAATTATAACACCTAATTTAATCCTTGAAAACTCCTTTTGTCCTAGACCAAATAATTGATGAAGTCTCTCCTTCGTATCAGTAAATTTCTCCCCTGGTAATAAACTAAATAAAAATGATATACCATGTCTATTCTCCAAATCCTTAAAATATTGACTGACGATTACAATTTTGCCTTGGTTAGAATCGTTCTTATCTCTACTGAACGTGACACTGTTCTCCATATTTACTTCTGGAGTGGTTGAATTAGTATCACTATCTGAATCAATATCTTGTTTTGATACCAAATGATATAATTCTTCCGGCAAAACCCTACCAAATATCAATGAAGTTTTAGGAATTTGTTTAAACATGGTATCTTCTGATAAAACCATCTCAAATTTAAAATTATTATTTGTCCAGAGTAACGTATCGTTCTTTTCTTTATCAGAAATACCGATCTTATTCTGTATTTTATCTAGAAATTCCTTTACTGTACAATTATTTGGTATTTCAAATTCAAAACATTGGAAATGAATATAACTATTTTTTAGCCAGTAAAATTTAACAGGTCTTAAATGTTCAAACTCTTTTAGTGGGATAGATAAAACTTCGTATTCAAACGGTGGTATTGAAGAACAGTTAAAATCTTTGATCAAAAAGTCATTTAATATGGAATATGATTTTAGAGCAAAGCGTCCATTGGAATATATAGCAAAAATTTTTAAATAATTGGCATCACATCCAACTTTTTCAGCAACAACCTTGGACAATTCTTCAAATGGTGTATAAGCTGAGGCCCATATTTCAAAATTTTTATCAGGTGAATTAATATCATTATATTCTTCTTGTGTATCTGTTGACTTAGTAAATTTCAAATTAACCCTATGTCCTAGAAAATCGTAGTATTTAACAATATCATCATAGATAGGTTGCCTATTGTCATGAATATTGTCTTTTGAACACAGCTCAAATGATATAATATCACCAGTATCTATTTCAGCCGTAATAAATTGGGAATTGTCTGGGAGTAATGCAATGTTATCTACATTAATCTCTTCGTATAATTTCAACTCCTCTTTGTTTCCAATAATTTCATTCAACATCTTTTTAAAATCAGAGACTTCATCAAATGGTGATACTAAAACATGACCGAAACCTAATAATTTTTGCTCTTCCATATTAAATTGTTTAACAAAAATAAGATTAGTAGAGTCTTTTAAAAGTGGGACAGGATACACTTCTAAAAATTCATTTAAATTTTCTCTTATTTTTCTGATTAGTACATCATCCACCTTTTCAAAATCAATTTTATTATGTTTCCTCAACTCCAATAAATACTTCAAATCTAAATATGGTTCTTCAACAAAAACATCACATCCTTGAACAGATTGTTCTTCTTCCAGTCTTAATACATCTTCTATTGTTACATTCACATCACTTGGATCTAAATAATGAGAGGTTCTTAAAGTACTATTTTGACGCATAATCATATCCCAACATCTAATGGTATTCTCCTTGGGAATATTTAATTTATTTTTGAGTTCATCATAAAAGTCTACCAATTTTTTTGTTCTTTCGACCTTTAATGTTAATGGTTGTTCTTTACCATTATTAAGACCCTCATACGAGTACTTGAATATTGGATTAGGAACAGTATCTAAACCTTCAAAGTTGATAAAGTTCAACAAATTATGAACCCTAATGTTCAGATATAAATGTGCATCTCTAAGTTCCTTTTCACGAGCAGCACGTTCTTTGTTTTCTCTTTCCACTCTTGCAATAATATGTTTTGGAACATCTTCAATAGTAACAGGTCGTAACAATTCTTCTTCTCTATCCTTTCTGATATATACTAACATATATGCACTTGTATGACGGGCTAACATATATTCCTGATATTGCTCTCTCGACATCATTTTAATTTGTTCTTCAGGGAGCCTTTCAATACCAAAATTTTCATCTAAAGCTTGCTTTTTAGTTACTTTCCATACTCTTTCATCATCAAATCTGTACCATTGATCTTCCACATTTGGCTTAATCATGGCATAATAATGTCCAGTTGAGATATCACCAGCATGAACCAATATACCATGTAATCTATATATATGTGCATATGGTTCATTAATTTGTGGACTATCTTTATCAAGATATGGCAATACATCAATAGTCTCTGGAAATTCATAACGATCGTTAATTTTTATTAATTGGTCATAATTAAAATCATATTCAAATCTTTTCAATTGTAAATGCAGTATTGATGGGAACGATTCAAATATCACACCCTTTTCAGCATCTTGTAAACCATGTCCCTGTGCAGCATATTGATTTTCCCCATTCATTAGTTCAATTTCAATGTAATTTTTAAACGAATCTTCCAGTCCTTTTAAATTTTTAACATTTAATTGTAGATCCCAAAAATCTTCTACTCTAGATGATTCGTAATCCACATTAATACATCTAATATAACTTTTCATTTTTCCAACAAAAAGATTATTTAAACTTCCTTCAACAGGTGTGCCTTTCATCCTATTCTCTAATCTATCCATTAATATTCTATTTAATTCTTGCACATCATGTTGTGTGAAGGCGTCTCCACTATCCCATCCGAATGAGCGTGTTAACTCTAGTGTGTCTAACGGTTCATCTGAGACTTGTAATTGATAGAATGCTCTCTGTAAAGCCATAGGAACACTATTATTGGGACTATCCTTATCTGTTGGAATTTGATAAACTAATTTTCTAAAGATTTTTGTGAAGAAATATGATTGTAACAAAGAATTCAAATAACAAGTAGCACCTTGATTTTTGAAACCGACGTATCCAGTTTCTTTCTTAGAATTGTAGTTGATAAAATTATGCCATAGAACACCAGTAGGGTCCTTTAAAATCCGAATATAGACAGTGATATTTAATGAACCGTCATTTAATAAAGGTTTCAATCTTCCCTTGGATGGATATTTCAGGTGATTAACATCAACAACATTAGAAAACCCCCAATCTGTATCTGAAGAATTAAATCTATGAAATGACCTATTAATAACTTGTACAGTGGCATCATCTTCAGGTCTTGACAGCACTATAGCGAATTGAGCACAACAGTACCAATCAGGATCTACATTTTCTTTTGGATGAGGTGCCAAGTATATGGCAATACCTTTATTATGGTTTCCATTCGGAAATAGTAATAGATTCCATTTAAAATTTCCTATCTGAATTTGCGGAGACTCATATTTTAATTGTTGTAATTTAAACCAATTATCAATATGCCATGAGAATATGCCTTCTATTTCAGTCTCTTGATCTTCCAATTTTGGTATGATCTCTTCAAACTTTTTACCTAAATCACAAGGCTCTGAGAGGATTTCTCCATACTGTATAGCAGCCATAGCTTATGCAATTAATATACGACAAATAACTGTGTTTTTGGTAGTAATAGAAGAAAGGCCAAACCAAAACAGAGCAAGAATATTGAACAAATATATCACAACTTGCAGTTATTGAACTAAACTCTCAATCTTTTGATCAAGTCACTAAATATTGTTTTACAATTTGACTATTCCTTGTTATTATTTCTGTTCTTTCTTCTTCTTTCTGCAAGAATGGTTGTTACTTGCTTGCTGTTGTCAGGAGTTTGTCTGACATATTTGAATTCCCCTTTAAAAATTAAATAACCCTTCCTAAACGAAAATCAAAATTAAAAAGAAAAGGAAAAAGAAAAGGGAAAAAAACAAAGAACCCCAATTTTTTCTTTTTTTTTTTTTTAATTTTGAAATCTCCGTAAAACAAAGTTTCTTGGTCATGTGACCTTAGAGCACACCATATATGTTAATAGTGGTTCAGATTTCTTTTTGCAACAACAATTACTTTTTACAAGGTACAAGATTGAGGTAGACAAGAAAGGATTCATAAATAGTAGAAGGTGATCATCAGATTTTTTACTTCTGGATCCTAGTCTGAACAATTTTAACCAAAACTCAACCAAATAGAAGGATACTTTATTTTTTAAAGCAAGAATTATTTAAGTTTTGCATTTCCGAAGATGTTGGGACCAATTTGTCCAACAGCTATTGCTTATTCTATCGGGAGACACACTATCAAAACAGGTTTGTTACAACATGTACTAGGTATATCACCTCTATCAAGACTACATGTGTTAACTAAAAGATATGTGTCTAGTGAAATTCAAGCTAAAGATCAACAAGCAGGTGAATCAAACACAGCTACAGACACAGGTGTGATCCATAAAACAGAAAGAGAAACTTTAATCTATTTCCACAACATATATGCAGGAGAAATGTCCATTTGGAATCCTATGCTATGGTTCAATTCTTTGTTTGTTGACCAATCTAGAGATGCAATTAGATCAAGAATAAAGAACCTGGCTAGTCCTGAAACAAAACCTATTGATGGATTGGAATTGCGTTCTACCATCCCAGTTAAAAGAGATGGTGGTGTATTTGCCACTTTTTTGGTACCTTATAGATACACTTTAGCTGAAGTTAACTCAATGATTCAGCAAAACACCACAAGGGAATCCTCCAAGAGTATCTTTTCATACTTCACAAAAGTCTCTGCTTTTCCAGTGAAAGGTTCTCCATGGATTGAAGATTTAAAAAGACTACCTAATAAGACTATAAAAATAAAATTCCAAGGTCCTATTTTAACTGAAGAGGAAATTTATTTGTTGTTTAGAAGATATGGAAAAATTGTGGATATTTATCCTCCCAAAAAAGGTGAATCTGTTGCAGTACTAAAATATGATTCATATAGAGGTTCGATTTGTGCTAAAAATTGTGTCTCTGGTATTGAAATTAATAATACAGTGTTGCATATACAGTATGAAGCCGTTGTTAAGACCCCTTTCATTACAAATTTTTTCGTCAACCACACAAGAATTGCAATCCCTGTATTCATTGCACTTCTTTCTATTGCTGCAGTTTTAATATTTGATCCAATCCGCGAATTCTTTATTGAACAAAAAATCACTCACAAATATTCATTATCTAAGGATAACATCTGGATTAAAAAAATTATTAAATTTACTGATTCAACAGTTAATCAATTTACTAAGTATTGGTCAAGTGATGAAAGGAATCACCCAATTGTCCATCTTTGGGGTGAAAGGATGGAAAGGGTTGAGGATTTGAAAATGTGGTTAGAGGAAAACACAAACACTTTTGTTATCATCAGAGGTCCGCGTGGCTCAGGTAAGCGTGAACTTGTAATGGAACATACTTTAAATGAAAGAAATAATATTTTGTATTTTGATTGTGACAAAATTATTAAGTCAAGAACTGATTCAAAGTTCTTGTGGAACGTTGCTAATGAAATAGGTTATTTCCCAATATTTCCATGGGTGAATTCATTTACTAGTATTATTGATTTAATGGTTCAAGGTTTGACTGGTCAAAAGACTGGGTTGTCTGAATCTAAAGAAACACAATTCAGAAATATACTTACCACGTCTATTATGTCCATCAAAAGAATTGCCTTAAAGTATTATAAGCCAATAATAACAGAAGGAAATGAAAAGATCAACATTAAAGAAGAAGATTATTTGCAACAGCATCCAGAAGCCAAACCTGTTATTGTAATTGATAGATTTGCTGGTAGTTCAGATATAAATGGATTTATATATAAAGAACTAGCAGATTGGGCTGCAATGTTAGTGCAAATGAATGTTGCTCACGTCATATTCTTAACTGAAAATGTGGCTTCCGATCAAATTTTGTCAGAGTCATTCCCAAATCAAGTTTTCAAAACATTAATATTATCTGATGCGTCAAAATCCAATGCTAAAAATTATGTATTATCTCAATTACAAGATAAAACTAGAAATGGGAATAATTATATTACTAAAGAGACTTCTAATGGCGAATTAAATTCTCAAATTATTGCTGAGATTGATGAAGCATTGGATCCTTTAGGAGGTAGAATGCTTGATTTACAAGCATTTGTTAGGAGAGTTAAATCAGGTGAGGATCCATTGAAAGCTTTAGAAAAAATGGTTGAACAAGCTTCTGAACAAATCACTCAAATATTTTTAAGTGATAAAATTGATGGGGTCAAGAGTGCACAGGCCTGGGAATTAATTGAGATGTTGAGTACGAAACCTGTAATTTCATATAGTGACATCGTTTTCAAACCACTATTTAAAGCTGCGCCTGAATTAGGAATTATGGAATTAGAAAAAAAAGGTCTTATTACAGTGTCAAGAGATCGTGGTGTTTTCCAAGAAATTCGTCCAGCTAGACCATTATTTAGAGCTGCATTCAATTATTTGGTAAATGATGCTCAGTTATCTACTGTTTTAAAGACAAGATATTTATTAAGGGTTGTTGCATTTGAAACTAAACGAATTCAAAAATGGGAGGAAGAGTTATTTCCACTCAATAATCTTATGGATCAAAAACCATTCAAAGCTAGATTGGATTATCTTTCTGGGAAGATTAAATTAAGTAGCGCAGTTATTGATAAATGTGAAAGTGAGATAAAAGAATTGTCAATGAAGAAATGAAGATGATAAATATATATACAAGAAGAAAAAAAAGGAAAAAAAAATGGAATCATTTTTTTTTAGCATGTAGAACTTAATAATATTCTAAATTAAGCAAACTATATACATTATTTTTATATTATTTGAATGTTAAATTAAATAATATTTACAAAAAAAAGCATATAAATAACTTTTACATATGTAGAAACTTCTAACCATATGTGAACTTAATGAAATTGAATAGTATTAACTAATATTTTGAAGTGAGAATATTTCTTCTTATGCTTTATTATATGTTTTTGATATGTTATTTTTTCTAGTACTGTTGAATAGAATAGTTTAGAATAGAAAAAGGAAGCGTTTTGGATAGTTATTCCACCATCAACGGTGTTTTCTCCAAAATTTCTTACATAAAAACTTTTACAGGATACGTAGTCTTAAACGAAGGCTTTTTTACAAGATTAGTTACACCTCTACCATCTTGTAAGAGACTTCTAACTATTTTTATGATGAACTGTGACAATATTTGTCTTAACAAAAAAAAGTATTCCAAGAAGACAAGCTATTACCAAACTATGTTAGTATAGTTAAACTCATCTGAATAATGTATAGGAAAAGGCGAAAGCAGAACTACATAGACTAATGCTTATTCCACAGTTTTGAACATCTGAATACACCCCAATTTTTTTCAAAACTTATCTCTATTTTTTATTTTTTTGGTCATACTCATTATCAAAATTACCACATTGGGGAAACAGTACTAACATCACAATAGTTGGAAAATTTGGAGATTTTAGAGACATGAAAAATAAATAATTGACAGGTAAAAAGTGGTCTTAATCCAACATATTAACAAGAAATCCATCTAGTCAGTTACCAAGATGAAATACTTATTTTTTTTTGTTAATATTCAAAGAAAAGAGAAAAAGGAGAGTGAGCAAATTTGTTTATGTCAGATGCTAGGAAAAGTCTAATTTTCAAGCATTTACTAAGAGCTAAGGAACTACTACCAATTGCATAACATTTTGATATAAATGGTGATCAAATTAGGGATCCAATATCCTCAAATAGTATCGAAGCTATCAATAAAATGCTTTAGACAGAATTCTATAAGATTGCTACATAAAAAGCAATATCAACCAAAATTAATATCTTTAAACACTATTACTAAGTCAAATGTTATACAAAATTTGATTTATAACAAAAGAAGTTATAGTTTAACTCCTGCTTCTCATTTTAAATGTTTATCTCAGTTGAGCCATGCACATATGTCTTCTTCAGAAAATAAAAATGATACTATTATTAAGAGTGTAAAAAACGAGCTTTCAAAATCCTCAGCCTCCAAGGTAAAAAAAGCAAATGTTGTTGGTTCTACTACTGTTTCCAACACAACAACAAAAAAATTACCAACAATATCCGAATTAAAAATCTTAAAAGATCTTTTTAAATATATATGGCCTAAAGGAAATAATAAAGTTAGAATTAGAGTTTTGATTGCATTATCTTTATTAATAGGTGCTAAGATACTGAACGTACAAGTTCCCTTTTTCTTCAAACAAACAATCGATTCAATGAATATAGATTGGTCACACCCTACTGTTACGTTGCCTGCAGCTATCACATTAACCATCTTATCATATGGTGTGGCCCGTTTTGGAGCAGTTTTGTTTGGTGAATTAAGAAATGCAGTCTTTGCTAAAGTCGCACAAGACGCTATTAGAACAGTATCCTTAGAAACATTTAAACATTTAATGAAATTGGATTTGGGGTGGCATCTGTCAAGACAGACAGGTGGTTTAACAAGAGCCATGGATAGAGGCACTAAAGGTATTTCCTATGTATTAAATGCCATGGTCTTCCATATTATCCCTATTAGTTTTGAAATATCTATTGTGTGCGGTATTTTAACTCATCAATTTGGTGCATCCTTTGCTGGTATTACGTTTTTAACTATGCTATTGTATTCAATCTTCACCATTAGAACTACTGCATGGAGGACAGAATTTAGAAGAGCAGCCAATAGAGCTGATAATAAAGGTGCCAGTGTTGCATTAGATTCACTAATTAACTTTGAAGCAGTTAAATATTTTAATAATGAATCATATTTGGCTCAGAAATATAATGCGGCATTAGAAAACTATAAAGATTCACAAGTGAAAGTTGCCCAATCTTTAGCATTTTTGAACGCCGGCCAAAATTTGATTTTTACGTCGGCTTTAACTGGTATGATGTATATGGGTTGTACAGGTGTCCTAGGTGGTGATTTGACTGTGGGTGATTTAGTATTAATTAATCAACTAGTGTTTCAACTTTCTGTCCCACTAAATTTTCTAGGGAGTGTTTATAGGGAACTAAAACAATCGTTAATCGATATGGAATCTTTATTTAAGATAAGAAAAAATGAAGTTAAGATTCAGAACCCTGTTCAACCAAAAATGCTACCAAATTCTAATATAAAGCCATATGAAATAAAATTTGAAAATGTCACCTTTGGATATGAACCAGATCGTAAAATCTTACAAAATGCCAGCTTTATGATTAATGGAGGTGAAAAGACAGCCATTGTAGGTCCCTCAGGTAGCGGTAAATCGACGATTTTAAAGTTAGTGTTCAGATTTTATGATCCTGAGGAAGGTAGGATATTAATTAATGGTGAGGATATTAGAAACTTCAATTTGGATTCGTTGAGGAAAGTTCTTGGTGTGGTGCCTCAGGATACGCCTTTATTTAATGACACAATCTGGGAAAATGTGAAGTTTGGTAGAATTGATGCTACAGATGATGAAATTAATACAGTTATTGATAAGGCACATTTACGACCCTTAATTAATAAGTTAGGGAAGGGTACAGAAACGATTGTTGGTGAACGCGGATTAATGATAAGTGGTGGGGAAAAACAAAGATTGGCAATTGCCAGAGTTTTACTAAAAGATGCGTCGATTATGTTCTTTGATGAAGCTACTAGTGCATTGGACACACATACCGAACAAAACTTGCTACGTACCATAAGGTCCAACTTTAAGGACCGTACCAAGACCAGTGTATACATTGCCCATAGACTAAGAACTGTAGCAGATGCAGACAAGATTATAGTGCTGGAGGAGGGACGCGTCAAGGAAGAAGGTACACACACTGAATTATTAGCCCGCGAGAAATCCCTGTACAAGGACCTTTGGAATATACAGGAAAATCTCGAACTTATTGAAAATGAGATCGAAGAGGAAGCAAAAATGATTAACCAACGCCCATGATTAGTAATAATTCATATAGCTTATAGACGTATATACATATATATGTAAATATATATCTTTTTTTGTGTATCATGCCTTATGTTTGTTTGTTTGTTCTTAATTCGAAGTAGAAAATATATGAACTACGAGATTCTATGTTTCAATTAAATGTTAAGTATCCATTTATCATAGAGATATCACATATTGACTCTGATCTTTTGCTACTATTACTATTATTATTATTTTGCTGTATTCCCTTTGAAAGACAAAACAATTGATCTTTCTAAGAAACAATTCCAAACAGAGATTTTTCCAAAAGGGACGTCTGTCTGACTCCCCCCCTCCCTTTTTCCACCAACTTCGACCGAATCATCCCTCAAATTATTCACTTCTTTATTTATCAAAGGCGGAAAAATAACGACTTTCTTACTCTCCAAGAATCCTCGGTATTTATTTTTGTTTTTATTTTATTTTATTTTTTTATTTGTTTTGAATTTTTTGACTCGTTACCATTTTTTGTTTTGTTTTCCTCGAGATTTTCTTATAAATCATTCACTTTGGCCACTCAGAGAAAACTCAGGAAAAAGAAACGAGAAGCAAAGGAAAAAAGAGCGCACTAACTATAAAATGTTTAAAAGATGTTAAGGAAGGTAGTTATCAGGTTTCCAAATATTATATTTCACCTAACCCTCTAAAGTATTCCCAACTAGTAAGAATCATTACTGTTTGCTTCTTTCGTATTTCAATTACTTCTTTACCTATTTGTCTTCCTTATTCTTTTTTTTTTCCTTTTTTTTCAGTTTAAGCTAGGGAAAAGATTCTAATAAGAATGTCTTGCTGATCTATTGACTGAAGTTTCTCTCAAAAAGGAGAAAGAAATAATTCCAAGTTTGACAAGGGATAGAAGAATATTTTACTGCATTTTTATTTTTTTTGTTTTTTTCAAAACTATCGAGTACAAGTCCTGTTTACACTTTAACATAGAAAACTTTTAATTTTTATTTTATATTCAACCTGAAGAAGAAAAAAAGGGGTAACGAAGTAACAAATAATTAATTAACATGTGTGGTGTTTTAGGTATAGTATTAGCTGATCAAAGCCGTATGGTGGCACCAGAATTATGTGATGGTTGTATCTTTTTACAACACAGAGGTCAGGATGCTGCAGGTATTGCCACTTGTGGTAACCGTGGTAGAATTTATCAATGCAAAGGCAATGGTATGGCAAGAGATGTCTTTACTCAAAACAGGGTTGCTGGCTTAGCTGGATCCATGGGTATTGCTCACCTACGTTATCCAACAGCAGGGTCATCTGCTAACTCTGAAGCCCAACCATTCTATGTCAATAGTCCCTATGGGATCAATTTAGCTCACAATGGTAATTTGGTTAACACTGCATCTCTAAGTAGGTATATGGACGAAGATGTCCATAGACATATCAATACTGATAGTGACTCTGAGTTGCTGTTAAACATCTTTGCGGCTGAGTTGGAAAAGCATAATAAATATAGAGTCAATAACGAAGATGTTTTCCTTGCTCTTGAAGGTGTGTACAGATTATGTCGTGGTGGTTATGCTGTTGTTGGTATGTTAGCTGGTTTTGCCATGTTTGGTTTCAGAGATCCAAATGGTATCAGACCGTTGCTGTTTGGTGAACGTGTCAACAAGGATGGGTCTAAGGATTATATGTTGGCTTCGGAGAGTGTTGTGTTAAAGGCTCATAATTTCAATAAGTTCCGCGACTTGTTACCAGGTGAAGCTGTTATTGTACCAAAGGATTTGTCTAAGGGAGAACCAGAATTTAGACAAGTGGTTCCTATGAACAGTTATAGACCAGATTTGTTTGAATACGTTTATTTTGCGAGACCCGACAGTGTCTTGGACGGAATCTCAGTTTATCACACAAGATTAGAGATGGGTGTTAAGCTGGCTGAAAACATTAGAAGTAAAGTGTCACCAGATGATATTGATGTGGTTATGGCCGTGCCAGACACAGCTAGAACATGTGCTATGCAATGTGCCACCACACTAGGGAAACCATACCGTGAAGGTTTTGTTAAAAACAGATACGTTGGTAGAACTTTCATTATGCCAAATCAGGAACAACGTGTTTCTTCAGTGAGAAGGAAATTAAATGCGATGGAATCTGAATTTAAGGGGAAGAATGTATTGATTGTTGATGACTCTATTGTCAGAGGTACCACATCTGTTGAGATTGTTAATATGGCCAAGGAATCTGGTGCCAAAAAAGTATATTTTGCATCAGCAGCTCCAGCTATTCGCTATAATCATATCTACGGTATTGATTTGACCGATAACAAGAATTTGATTGCATTTGATAGAACAGAAGATGAAATAGCTGAGCTGTTAGGTTGTGAAAAGGTTATATACCAGACGTTAGAAGATTTGATCGCATGTTGTAAGACTGATAAGATTGACAAATTTGAGGTTGGTGTGTTTACAGGTAATTATGTTACAGGTGTTGAAGATGGATATTTAAATGAATTGGCAAGAGTTCGTGCAGAGAATGCAAAGGCTACCTGTGATTTGAAATCGGAGGTAGATATTGGGTTATATAACTCGGCAGATTATTAAAAAGCTCTTATAAAAAGCTTTCATGGCAAACAGAGGAAGAGGGAGAAAGAAGGAGAAGCCAAGGGATAAGTAGTAGCTTTATATGCATGCTATTGTCATTTTTCTTCTTTGTATTTCTCTTTCCTATACCGATTTACTGAATTACAATATTTGTGCAATATAAAATATATATCATGTCATTTCAAATAATATATATATATATATATATATGTGTGTGTGTGTGTGTGTGTGTGTTTATATTTGTATAAATTGGTAAGTAAAAATTTAAAGATTTTAGATAAAAGAATTAAAAAAAAAAACAAAGGATAAAGAGTAAAAAAAGGAAATAGCGAAATATAAGTTAACAAGTACATACAAATGTGTCCATATATATATATATACATGTGCATGTATGTGTAAATGATAATATAAAATAAATGGACGAACTATTAAGTAAGATAACAAATAAATCAGCAGTTCAAATAGAAAAAGAAGAAAAGAGGAAGGAAAAAGGGGAAGAAAGAGCAAGTAATAGTTCAAGGACATTAATAATAATACATAGAAATAATGAAACATTAAAATCATTTCAAAGACAATTTTTATCATTTAATTCATCAAGTATAGGTGATAGTACCAGTAATACCAGTACCAGTACTAGTCTTTTATCTTTCAGTAATATAAAATTAGACGATGTATCGATAGATACGTATTGTTGTCCATTTGATGATGAGGAAGGTATAAATCTTATTAAAATGGCTAAAATATTTTTAAAGTCTGTTAAAGAAGAAAACGTCCATTGGATAATATTATTGGATTGGTCAATATATGATCAGCAAAGATGGCTACGTCATATTTTAAAATGTGTTGGGGAGATAGATAGCGAGGGTAAAGAAGATCAAAAACATGTAGTAAACAAGTCTATTATATGTATAAATAGTGAACATATATATAAGATACAGAAGAATCTCCCTTTGTGGTATTCGCATCACATAGATTATATTCAACAGACGTTGAGATGGTACAGTCTACGAAAGCATTGCAATTTGATGTACAGCGAGGCAGGACAGAAGAAACTTTCAGATGAGCTGATCAAGAAAATAGTTAATATTAATAGCAATAACAAATTTGGTATAGAGGATGTTGAGATGGCTAAGACAACAAGGATTCTTATACCCTATGGATATGATAATATAAAGTTGATTAAGACATTAGACGAAACGTTTGATGCGGAAGAATGTACTATAGAACGATATGAGGAGGTTATACCGACACCTATTGATAAAAGTAGACAAACTGGATCCATATTAATAGATTCAATTGAACCAAGCGTTGAGTATTTTGATGTGACTGAAAGATTGGATATTAATGAAATAACAAGACATAAACCAGAATTCATTGATGAGCAAATACAATATAGGCGGCTGTTGGAATATAGTAAGAAGTTGAACAGAAAATAAATATACATACAACCATAACATACATAGACATGACAGATAGAAAAATAGCCAAACTGCACAAAGCATATACACATCCAAACACAGTTATGAGATATCACAGTTCGATAAAATAAATATTACACAATTTCTGGTTTTTTTTTTTTTTTTTTGTTTTTTGTTTTCCTTCTTTGCCTATCTCTTGTCACGATGGCTCAAAGGGCGATGAGATCATAATTGAGAATATCTAGACAAACAAATACAAATATAAACATATACATATACATACATATATATATATATACGTGTACGTGCCTTTGTAATGAATGTTTATATGATTATAACAGCGTGTTTAATACAGCAAAGTTTATTAAAAAAAAAAAAGATTAAGAAGGCTGCTAATTATATCTTTTTATTTTTTGTTTTTTTTTTTTTTTTCCTTTTGGTTGAGTATATTAAATCCATGGAGTAGGTAGCCATTTTTATCAACTGAGCAAATCCCTTAACAAGAAAGATATACAGTTGTTCAAAGAGATAGGAAATATTACAAATGGTCTATTCATGTTCCAATACTAGCACCAATACTACTAGTAATACCAATATCACTAATACTGGTACCAACGTTAGCATTAGTACTGGTAAGAATAACACAGCCAGAGATGAAGCCACACATAAATTATATCACAATGGTTTGCCTATTGCATTAGTCACTGTTGTCGAGAAAGAGAAATTCCACGGTAGAGAGGTGAACCGTAATGTGAACTCGATCTGCAGGGTTGTCGAGATACTGGACTCCTGTCCCAGAGATGTTCCCCTGGTGGTCGAATATCCCAAGAACAAATACCGTTATGTACACGAATTGCTGCCAGGTTTGTTGGTCGTCTGGCAAAGGAAAGACGTCAGGGAGATTTAGTGTGTAGGTCACGTGGACGAGCGTCACGTGCTTACCTGTTTGTTGTAGTACGGTGTTTTTTTTTCTTTTTTTAACACGCGTTGTATATACTTTTTTTTCTTTTCAATATTTCTGATTCGTATAGAATGCTGTTCTAAATTATCATAAATCATTTTTCTGTTTCTTTTTTTTTTTTTCTGTTTGCTATCCCCCCCCCTTCAATTCATTTTTGATTATCTCACTACTTTATTACGTATATGGTGAAGTATTGAAAACAAACTAAGACATTTTTTTCTTTCTTTCTTTTTTTTTTTTTTTTTTTTTAAAGAATCCAAAAATATATAGATATCATCTATCATAGTAGGACTTGAAAATAAAGAAGGATGAAGAAGTAATTGGTTCGTATTATCTATAGGTACTTGTCCTGAGTGATTACCAGTGTTGAAATAATTAGTATCCTGTAATCATTCTAGTAGTTATTGTCCTTAGGTTAACTCCTGGTCTGTTTTTTTTAACCTCTTTGTTTCTGTTTGTATCTGTTTGTTTCTCCTTCTATTTCACTGTACATCTTTGGTTAATATAAACAGACAAACATATCTCTACTATTGAATAATGGTCAATATTATAACGCCTCCCATAACGAAAAAAAATAAAAAATCAACTAATACTAGCAATTCAGGTTCTGCGGTCAGTACTAGAGATTTAACAAATGAGGATGATGCATATGATGCCATTTTTAGTGGTGATTTTGGCTCTTTAAATATTGGCTCCTTTATTGGTAATGCTGACCCAGATGACGGAAGCTATGACGCTACTGAACATTTACCTGACGCTATAGATTTTGAAGATGAAGATGAATTAGCAGATGATGAAGATGACATACAGAATAACAATAACAACAACAACAATAATAATAGCATTATTTTTATGAATAATAATGAAAATGATCAAATTTCTGTTTCTCAGCATATATTTGGTGTTTCTAATGAATTAATATTGGACCATCATCAATCTAATACTATGGATGATATTGGTTTTCCTGGTACTAATACTTTCGATCATTTAGATATTAACAATCCTAATATGAACATGAATATCGGTATAAGCACTGATGATATCAGTAATACTAATACTAATAATAATAATAATAACGATAATAATAGCAATATTAATCCTAATCTTAATCTTAATCATGATAACGATAATAATAATAATAATGCTTTGTTTATGATTGATAATAATATAAGTACTAATGATAACGAAAATGATAATAGTCATACTAATGAGGATATTAATGTTAATAATAATAGAAATAGTAATAATAACCTTGATCTAAATGGTTCGGAATCGTTATCTGTTACTCATATAAATAATATGGATTTGGATTTAACAAATGGTTATCCCAAGATTATATCCTTTAACAATGACAATAACAGTAACAACAATGACAATAGTAAAATAAACCAAAATAAACTTAATGATGCGCACTCATATAATTTATTTGATTTGATGATACAGCATAATAATAACAATAATAACATAAATATCCAAGATTCTAAGATACGAAATCCATCAAATGACGAGGATATGAAAAAATTTAAAGAACGTAGAGATAGTCTCTTATTACAGTATTACTTCCCCACTTATAAAAAGGGTAAAGTACTGAAATGGAATAGTTGTATCTATCGTAGAAGGAACAATTATCAATATCAATCAAAATTATTGGTGTCATTACTGTGTCCAAATGGTAACATGGATGAAGTTAAATCCTTCTGCCCAACTAATTTGAAATTTAAAGTTCAGCAAGATCAAAAAAGATTATTTAATAATATGGACTATTCTACTTTATTCAATGAATCCAAAAGAAAACTAAAAAATTATGGGATCAAGTGCGTTCCAGTTTCGCAAAGATTCTCAGACCCACTTGTAGAGACTGAAATGAATTCAAAGGATGGGGAGGCAGGAACAAAAAATAACGAGATAGTTGATAATCAGTTGAACACATCCGATGACCTTTTAATTGCCATTCAAAAATGGGACGAAAATAAAATTATTCATTTTGATAGTGATAATAATAGTAATAAGGAGAATAGTGTTAACACCAATAAATTAGTGTCTCCATTTGATTATAATGAAGATTGGAACGAAGATGACTTAATTGACGCCAAACTATCAATGGCAAAATTCGCAGAACTAAATATGAATGATAGCAAATTATTGTTGGTCCTTAATAAAGAAAATGATTTAAAGAAAAGGGAACAAGAATCCAAATTATCTAACCTAGCAACAAAAGAATCTTTGCTTTTACAAAGATTCAATATCTCCAACGATCACACTTATTCCATCCTGAAACATACTCATAAGCCAAAAGTCCGTGCTACAATATCTAATCTAAACATAGAACATTCACAACCTGCAATTAACCTACAATCACCCTTCTATAAAGTTAATTTGCCAAGAACACAATTAAGATTTTTTCATAGACCTAAGTTCAGTCCACATGTACGTATTGGTTCCACTATCACCTTTAGTAAATTGAAAACAAGAAAAAGAAAGAAGGATAAAGGTAAAAGCGTTCGTGAATCATTTGCCACAACTCAAGATCTTACTGTTGGTGATTCGGCTGCAATATATTTAATGGAATATTCTGAGCAGACGCCCCTGGCACTATCTAAATATGGTATGGCAAATAAACTGATCAACTATTATAGAAAGACGTCAGAAGATGACACCTTGCGTCCTAAATTATCTGTTGGGGAGACACATGTTCTTGGTGTACAAGATAAATCTCCGTTTTGGAATTTTGGATTTGTTGAACCTGGTCATATTGTGCCAACTTTATATAATAATATGATTCGTGCACCTGTTTTTAAACATGAAGTATCTGATACAGATTTTTTGATGGTCAGAAGTGTCGGACATGGTATTAATAGATTTTATTTAAGAAATATTAACCATCTTTTTACTGTAGGTCAAACTTTTCCAGTGGTAGAAATTCCAGGACCAAACTCCAGAAGAGTTACTTCTTTAAAATCAATCAGATTAAGAATGATCGTTTATAGAATTCTAAATAAGGTTCCTGAAAGAGCAATATCAATTGAACCCATCGCTAAACATTTTCCAGATCAAGATTATGGTCAAAATAGGCAAAAGATTAAAGAATTTATGAAATATCAAAGAGAAGGGCCAGATAAAGGGTTATGGAAATTGAAAGAAGGAGAACCCTTCCTAGATAAAGACAATACAAAAAAATTATTGAGCCCTGAACAGATTGCTGAAGTAGAAGCAATGAGTCAAGGTTTACAATTCATGGAAGATAATGAGAATTTTAATTTTGATGATAAATTGGTTAAATTAGAAGAAAAATTGTTACCTTGGAATATATCTAGAAATTTTGTTAACGCTACACAGATGAGAGCGATGGTTCAAATTCATGGTGTTGGTGACCCTACTGGCTGTGGTGAAGGTTTTTCATTTTTAAAGACTTCTATGAAAGGTGGTTTTATTAAATCTAATAATGAATCTAGTAATAACGATTTGATAAAGGGCAAAAATGGTGCTCATACTTACAATATTGTTCAACAGCAAAAGGCATATGACGATGAAATCATTCGTACATGGTATACACACGCTAAAAGTTTAAGTATTGTCAATCCATTTGAAGAACTGGATGACCCAGATTCAGTTAATCCCACCAACAGACACGTGTTGACTCATCGTGATGATAATAAGATACTTAGAATTGTCAGAAAAAGACGTGATGAGAATGGTATTATTCAAAGAGATACCATAATAATTAGAGATCCCCGTGTTATTAAGGGCTATTTAAAGGGTAAAGAACTAAGAAAGAAATCAGTTGATGTTGCTACTCTATTGAATATGGATGAATCTAAGATTGATAACCTTGATGAAATAGAATTCCAAAAGAAAGTGCTACAAAATGAATTAGCATCTTTAGAAAAATCACAACAAAGAAGAGCTGCTAGGGGAAATAAGAAACGTTTTAATGTTACTGCAGTTAATAATGCTACTTCTAATACTACTAATACTAATAGTACTGGTAGTAATAATACAACTAATAATGTCAACTCTCTTGCCGGTAGTAGTGAAGGTAAAGGTCATGGTAAGAACACAACAAGGCGCTGTGCTACTTGTGGACAGATTGGACATATTAGAACAAACAAATCATGTCCAATGTATAATGGTGGAATAACTAGTAATAGCAGCACTCCAGCGCCAAATGTAAGTGACCAGTAGTCTTAATTTAATTGTAATTCAATTTCAGCATAATTTAAATCAACTTTGCAAATATTGGACATACATAAGCATAAATATATATATAGTATACATCCTGTTAATTAAAGATACTACTACGTATATATATATATATATATATGAATTGTAACATTTTTTTTTACATATGATAAATGGTGGAATCTTTACATACTTCTTTTACCAATTCTTTGTCATAATCATAACCAACAAAGGCGTAATAACCGGGTTGGCCTTTATCTTCAGTTAAAGGATAATGAATAGATGGCACATTTTCATTTTCTACAATACAGAATGAGAAATTTTCATCATTTGGTTCATAGTCACGGGTAATTCTTTTCATTATTATTTTCAATTCACCTCTCTTATCACAACTTGGACCACCCTTAGCGAAAATTTTGTTTACAGATGATTCAGATCCATCGATATAGTTGATTTGTTCCTTTACAGCAGTACAATGGAACCACTCATAGTGAATTCTAGTTGAATATTTGAAATACTCTACTGCAGCAATAAGTAATAATGATATACAAATGTACTGGAAAAGGGCTTTAAATCTAGGTTTACGTTTTTCATGAACTTTTTCTATCTTTTCAGTAATATCTGTGGACATCTTTCTTCAGTGATACTTTCTAACACAGAGTAAATAGTGGCAAAAATAATGGGTCTTCTACCTTAAATGGATATATATATATATTAAAGAAATGAAATGACTCTCTAACGATGAAGCAATAATTGTTGAAGGACTAATGGAAAGGGTGTTATTATATTTTTATTTTTTTGCATTTACATTTTTTCAATTACTTGTTATGTCAGATATCTATAAAAATAAAAAAGAAAAAAGGAAATTATATACGAGAAAGGAGTAAAAGTTACGAAGTAGAAATAAGCTAACAAATAGAAGGATTGATAGTTGGATAACGACGAGCTAATAGACATTAGACAGCATTAGTATAAAATTTCTTCTAGCATATAATATATATAAATATGTATATGCGTGTGTTTGTATGCGTGTGTGTGTACAAAGGGATAAAATAATTAGTAATCATAAAACACATAACGCGAATAAAAGTTAAAAAAAAAATAAGGATAAAAGTAAAATTAATCAATTCAGAATTGCTGTCCATGAACCCATTCATTTAACATTGCCAAAGAAGCTTCTGGTTGATCATAAGGGACCATATGACCACCATCGAATAATCTTAGGAAAGTTAGTTCATTGTAAGATTTAATTTCACCTGCTTGATAGGTACCTTCTTGACTGTTAACAATCCATGGTTGTAATGGCGTTGTGGCATATTCTTCGTGATGCTTCCATGGCAAGTCATCAGCCCAAGCTTGGTTACCCATCCAGTTACAAATAAAATCTTTGTCACCGGCATAGATCAATATTGGCAATTGATATTCATCCAATAGTTCCATTACATGTTTTTGGTATGGCTTCATCCAATCACCAGCAAACAAGAAATTTTTGTTTATATCGAAGTTACAAGATTCGAAATTGGAAACTTCTGCGCCAATAGCATCTTGAACTTCTTTCAAATTCAAATATTGATCAATAGGCTCCATTTCGGAGTAACATAATGGACCATTGCAGTCTTTTCTAACGTCATAAACATTTTTACCAGTACGTTGGAAAGGACCCAATTGAGCATTGTTACAATAGATGGATGCAGGAACACATGTCCAAACAGAATCGTAGTTATAGCATGATTCAATTAAGGAAAGACATCTTGGTAATGAATCTTCCATTGCTTGGCATTCTTGTGGAGATAAAATTGGATCATAGCCAGAACTTTCGCCACAAGCCATAGGTTTGTAGTACTTGTATTGAGTTAACGGATCAGTTAATCCATTTCCGATTAAAATAGAAGATAAGTTAAAATTTCTATTTTTGTGAGATAAAATTTCGGTAGCAAAAGCAGGAATATAATGGCCTGCATAAGATTCACCAGCAATATGGAAGTCATGTGTTTTTGTAGAATATTGTGGAAATTGTTGGAAAAACAACTGTAAAAAGGCATAGACATCCTTCCCAGCAGCAATGGAGTTTGTAATAGAGCCACTATTTATATCATCTGAATATGAAAATCCAACATTGACAGGTTGGTCTAAGAAGATAACACTTGCATTATTATTCCAAGAATATGGGTTGTAAATAGGTTTCAATTCAACATCTATAGCGGATGGACCTAGTTCAAAAAATAAACCAGTCATAGATGAACAACCTGGTCCACCATTTAACCAAAGAATAACTGGATCATTTTCTGGGTCATTTCTACTTTCAAAGAACCAAAAGAAAAAGTGTTTCCCCTCATCTTTAACATCCAAATAACCAGTGTATTGTTGAACTGTATCAATACCTAGTTTGGAAGGATCTTTAATTTTGTTGACACGTAGTTGAAAGTTATTCAACTCTTGACTTGATACGATATGGTCCCACCCTTTCTTAGGAGATACAATTTTTCCATTAAAATCAGCTGAAGATGAGGAGGAAAAAGGAAAGGATTGTACCATAAAATCATCTATTTGACCTTGTGGGAATAACCATTCTGATTTTGAACAGGAATGAGAGGAGTATGTCGAGGGTTTTAAATTGTTGGATAATTTGATGTCCTTATCGTTTGACGAGGAGGAAAAAAAGGGGATTTGTAGGGATATAGCATTTGCAGTCGTTAAAGTCGTCACTAAAGTAGCAGGAAATATAGTTGACCACTTCATTGTAACAATATATATAGTATACTTTACACTGTATTGGCTTGTTGGTATGCTTAGTGTAAGAAGAATGTGTGTGGTCTAAATGCAAATAATAAAAAGTGTTTATCAAAGTGGGTTCGAGGTATTTTTCTTATCTGCAACGGTTTTTTTTATACTATAAAAAAAAAGGAGAAGAAAGCGATTGTAATCATTTGAATTGAGAGGGGAGAATGAAATAAGTAGAAATGGTCAGTAAGAATACAGCATAACTTGTACAGAGAAGTGGTCACTGTTGTCCAATATAGGAAGCAATGACGGTGAAAAGTAGGGAGATGGATATTCACAAATATAGATATAAAGAGAGGTTAATAGTATTAGACTTCGTACGAAAAATGTATATATAATCTGTATGCATATATAGCTAAAAAAAAGACAGTAAGTACTATTGATATTTATCGGTTTAAGATCATGTATTTTCGATAATTGTAATAACCAATGGTTATGTTTTTTAAAATATTTTGTATTCTTTCTTTTTATGCATATATTTTTTACCAAAGATATGTTAACCTGATTCTTAAATTATATTAATATGTTTATGACGTTGGATGGTAAGTATATACTATAGCAAAAATTATTTTAGTAGTTCTATTACTTTAGTTTATTTATTTATTTCCTTTTTTTTTGTTTTAACAGAAGAAGATTTTGATGTTTAAGTGTTTTATAAGAAGCTACCTACTTTATTTATCGAGTATTATTTATGATACTGTTAAGTAGTAAAAGATCTCTCAATGAAGGTAAATATATAATTACTAGATTTGGATAGTATTTAGACTAGAATAGATTTTATATAAATATAAATGAACAAATATTATCCTTTTTAAGCATAGAGAGGAGAAATGTAGAATCCTCTTTCAACGATAAATATATTAAAACCGTAATGAGATGTCCGAATTATTCAAGGTACAGAACACAATTCTGATACAAAAAAAATCAGGAATGTTGGTTATTCTATCCAAAATAGACATATTATAAATGTTTTGAAAAATCTTCAATTTTTTAAATAGTTGTAAGTGTAGAAATAGTTACAATTAGATTACGTGAAGACACCTTGATTGGATATCCTAAAATATGTAGTCTACAGGTAATAGTTGATCTCAAGAAAATGGTATGTGACAGCAGAAACTTTAGGCTTTGCATGTGAGTATATTCAAACAAATGGTGGCTTAATGTTAGTGGTAAAATAGTAAAAAACTGGTTTAAAAGATGTCTGATCATTGAGAGTTTGTACCAGCGATTGTTATCAAACTTTACATTTTTATTATATCTGTTAGGTTTTTACCTGACGGATCAATTAATGTTAATAATGATAAGAAAAATAAAATTTTATAATTAGTTTATTGGTTTGAATTAACCAATTATATAATTTGTAAGTGTCTATGTATAATTAATATCCATAGTTTGGTGCTACTTGTAATAACCCTTACATTAGTAATTGATCTTTTTTTTTATTTTTTCAACAGAATTTTTTATTTTTCACCAAAAATATTAATTTTTGGGATATTTATTTGCAAACCAATTTTAACTTGAGATAAAAATAATAACTACTGAACCACTTTTTAATAAGCCTTTTAAATAGTAAGAGATCATTAACCAACAACAACCATCAAATACCAAATTATCTAGTATTTAATACCATTTAAAGATATGTTTATTGAAAAATGAAAAAAGGGAAATTACTAGTCCCCAAACTTACAAAAACCTATGCTATATTTTTTAGTGTCATTATCATTAAGGAAATTATTAATAATCTAAAACCATTCTTTTTAAATTGAAAAAAAACTTCCTAAATACTGATGTTTAATGTTTTGACTATTAGTTTAGGAAAATGTTGATAATCTTCTGTTGACGCAAGGCTTCGGAATCAAACATTCTAGTAGAGTTCATTTAAGACTAATATAATAAGATAAGGTAATTTACAATAGGATATTGGTGGTATTATAAGTTATTCCTTGGTCCTTTCCTTTCTATATAAGCAATATACAAGATACAATATTATACAGTATACTCATTTTATCTTTGAATCTTCTTTACTATAAATTTTCATAACTTTTAATCACTTAGTACGATGAATTTAGATTATCAAACATAACTCTAATAATTATATTTTAACATCTTCATTTTTCTAAACTTTCCTTTTTGCAAATTTTACAAACATCGATAAAGACAAGAGTAACCAACATAAGTATAACAGGGCAACCAAGAAGAACAAGGAACCAAGGATTACATAAGTCTAGATATATAGTATATAAGTGTATACTATTAGGCTATCTTAGATTAAATATATAGATATATAGGAATACTACATCTAGAGATATAGGAAGAGTCTATATCTTATATCTATTCAAGTGAAATATTATTAAGATTTCGTCATGATCAACTGTTATCAGAAACACATAACCTAAGGGTTATTGCACAACATATTACAATATTACGAAAAAAACAAAAAACTCCGCGACGGGGAATTGAACCCCGATCTGACACGCGACAAGCGTCCATTCTGACCATTAAACTATCACGGACCTCAATTTCCAAAGGTAGAATTTACCTATTGTTTTAGTAAGTCCCACGTGTATTACTAATCACCATGATTAGAGAATTGGGATGCAGTTCTAATCCAGTAGTGCACCTAAATTAATATAATAAATTTTAGGGTTGAATCAGTCAAGTCATTAATGTAGTAACCTGAATAATCGATCGAGCTCCAGAAAACATATAAAAGGACAACGTTTTCTGGAGATAAAAGATCATCTTCCATAACCGTTTCTTGTAAATAATTTATATATTATATATGAAAAAAGCAAGTAACAAGTCAAGTAACAAGTCAAGTAACTTCGAATAAGTACATTAGCTCGATATAAGTCGCTTAATATATAAGACCGTTTAGTAATTATACTATCGACTATAGTTGATTACTGTCTCGATTATTTGAATTACTATTAATATTATTTGCGCTTCCCTGGAATACACAAAGAACTTCACCACACCATACTACAACAGAGGCGTTGCAGAATAGAATACTTATTACCATCAAGATTACATAAGATCCTGAATGAATCTAGAATTATTTATTGTTTTAATAAGCCATACACGTGCTACAACATTAGATGCTGCATAATAAAGAGATTAGATTACATAAGATTTTAACAAATCTAGAATTTACCTATTGTTTCTATTGGAAAATGAGAGTTTATTACTGTCATTTCCATAAGAATTATTTTTAATTAGTTTTTCTGTATATTATGCGGTGTACGGATGTACCATAATATCAAGAAGACATTTTATTTTTCACCAAATATGTTTTTCGAAGATTTGAAAAGAAATGAAAAACTTTAAAAGAAAACTTAAAGTAAATAAAAGAATGTATACTAAATACACTATATAATAAATATGTACATGTATTTAGTATAAAGTAGAACAAGCATCTATAACTTAATGATGTCTACCATTACCATAGACGCTGAAGGCTCCAAATTCCAACAGGTTTTATCAAGTATTTCCCCTTAATATTTTTCCAGTGAATAAACGATTACGCAATTATAAATAAAATATAAAAACACAATATATATATATATTCTTCACTCAGATTGAAAATTTAATAAGTAGAGTTATCCATCTATATATTCTTTACTTTTGGAAGAATTTTTCATGATTTTTTTTCCTATCGACATTCTTTTCATCAATTAAATCTTCGTCCCACGTATTCATTTTCTTTAGCTGTTCAGTTTCCTTTTCATATGCCAATTTATATAAATATTTTGAGTCATTATTAGCGTTTTTTATTATAGCATCCCGATAGTTTATTGAGTGGGAGGCATTGTTCAATTCATTTGATCTCTGATTAGCACGAATATTACTTATTTTGTATTCTTTTGAGAATTTCGTTAAATATTCTTCAGCTTTTTTTGCTAGTCTTGAAGCATCTGTATTTTTCTTACTAGATGGTTTCGTAATTTTAGCATCGGTATTTTTACCACCCAACACAGTGTCTTTTTGTAGATTAGCAAAAGAAGTGGAATCAGGAGATAGATTAGAGGAATTAGATGAATTTGTACCACCCAACCGGGTGTGCTCTATTGGCTTGGATTGAATGGGCGAAGTAGATGATATAGCTTCATTTTCATTATTACTTTCATTTTCTGATGTATAGTCATCAGATTCATAATTGGAGTTCGTATGTACGATGGAATCAAATAGGTTGTCAACTTCTTCATGAGTGTCATTGTTTTCAGAAGAATGTTGAACTGATGGTAGTGCGGCAGTATGGATGGTGATTGGTTCTCAGTAGGAATGTCAACTTTGTCTGGGAATGTTGTTGTGGATTCAGTAAAAGAATCTATAGGTGAGTTAATGTCTGGTTCAGATTCTGGTTCAATGTTCTCGGGATAGTTGTGGATGGCAATTAGAGTGTCGAAGACTGTGGATTTTGGTGTGGAGCCTTTTGATGGTGAACTTTTAACAGTTGAATAATTGGATGTGTCAACCACTTTTTTGGTGATGGTGTTATATATTAAGTATCCATGGGATACTAGGGAAGGGCATAATGCCAACCCATCGTCACCACGAGGAGAAAGCGTGGATGTTGTTGATCCTTTGTGAATAATAACTTCTTGTCCAAAAGGAAGAATAGTACCCACATCCAGACCTGCAAGACCGGCTTTTGCTCTTGATGAAGTTTTAATAGATGAGTTAAAAAATGCATTACGCATGAGTGTGGCGAATTGAACAGCATAAAACCAAGTCGAATTTGGTAGGTTTGTAGCTTGTAAAAGTGTTCGACAATCGTTTAAAAAAGTTAGATTAAATCGTTCTGCAACACCATTTGCTCGTGAATCACCAGCAGTAGTATAAATTGGGTTAATCCCTTTATCTTCGAAGAGTTTGGTTATCTGATCGTTTGTAAATTCTGAACCACGATCCATTTGAAAAGATAGGATGTTGGTCTTGAACTGATTAGACACCATATTAATGAACTTTGAAAATATGCGAGTAACATTTTGTGAATCCTTTGAATATAATGGAAAAGCCCAGCGAAAACGAGTAGATTCATCGGTAAAGCTGATGAAATAGGAAGGTGTTCCGACTGGTAGATGTGACATGGGACCGAAAATATCGGTATGGATATATTCAAAGGGAGCATATTCTTTTTGATATTTTATACGAGAACCTATAATATGCTTGTGACGAGTTGATTTTCCTTTCATGCAGGATGTACATCGAAAGGAGTGAATGCCAGACCAATCGACATCAGCTGATGTGATACCAGAAATCATCTTTCGATCAATTGTGGTTTTAATATCATGAACATTAATATGTCCAAATAAATTGTGTAGAAAAGGTACAGTTAATTTGATACCTAATTTGTTTATGCTGTATGAAGTAGATTGTTGATTAGATGGTTGTAAAATTGATCGAGGTATACACATGTACTTACCCACATTAATGATGGGAGACAGAATGTGTTCCGACTTGTCTAGTAATTGGCGATGACGAGTGTCAACTACAATACCGGCTTTTTCCAATTGGTATGTACTAATGAAATTGTTCGATATGTCAGGAGCATGAATAGCCCTTATAACGTAAGGTTTGGAATGGGTTTGAAATTTTAGTGATATTATACCACTAGCAGCAGAAGGAATTGATTTGTCATTTGCAGCATATAGGACAACGTTAGCATCAGTAATATGATTTAGAAAGTCTTTGTCATTAATAACAGAAATTTCTGCACCAGTGTCAAGGACTAGATAGTCTCTAAGATTTTCTGGGGAGTCATTCTATGTGTGTTCTTTAATGGGATGTTCGCATTGGATGTTTGAAATTTTCTTTTTATTTTTTGGTTTTTTAGATTGGTGGGTTGGTTTGATAGAAGATAATATATTGGTGTGATATTTGATTGGATAAGAGCGTGGTTAGCGGCTATGGATATTTATAATATCATTTAAAATATCATTCAATGTAATGTTGTGAAAGTTACAATTGTGATTATCAACGATTATTTCATAAGGTCCGTGTAATAATTGTATGATGGTATCACATAAAATTCTGTCAAGAATAGCGATATTGTAGTCTTTTGCTTGTTGTATCATATTATTTATTCTTTTTTTAAACAACATAGAATCATACTTTGGGTCATAACGGATATATTGTAATTGTTGATATAGTTTAGTAGGAGTATTCTGTTTGTCGTATTTTAAAATTGCACATTGGATTAAATCAAAGAGGAAAAAAATAATTAATACCGTATTCATATTTACTACAATAAGAGATGGAACATGTAAACATGGGTTTGTAACAAGGGGAAATCAACAAAAGAAGAGTATATATAATGAGGCTGCAACTTCTATTGCAATTCACCACTATATACTAATAATAGTTCTTTCAGCTGCTTCAATCAATAGTAAGTACATTGCCCAATTGGATATTTCCTCAGCATATTTCTATGTTGATTTAGAAGAAGGACTATATGTAAGAGCCCCATCACATATGAATATGAAGAAAAAGGTCATGAGATTAAAAAAGTCCTTATATGGATTGAAACAATCTGAAGCTAACCGGTCCAAGAAAATATCGAATTGTTTGTCATCTTACTACAGATTAAAGGAAATTTCTAACTGATCATGTGTGCTTATGAATGATAAAATTACAGTTTGCTTATTTACTGATGATATGATAGTTACATATAGAAAAACATCTGATTCCGAAAAATTTATTACACAATTACAAGAAAAAATTGATACAAGAGTCATAAATCTAGGACAACCAACGGAAGGAAGCACAGAATATGACATATACGGTTTAGAAGTTACTTATATATTTGATAAAGAACTATATTTTGGTATGGAAAAATCGCTAAAAGAAAAACTTCTATTATTGGATATACCACTAAACAAATACGAAAAATTATTAAAAGCTCCAAGACCCCTAGGAAAATATATCGAAAAAGACTATGTAAGTATATCTGGATTAGAGTACAAGAAACAAGTAAAATGGCTTCAATTAATAGTTGGCTTAGCCTCATATGTTACTCACAAATATCGTTATGAATTACGTAAATGCAATTGCATCGAACACATTATTCTCAAGAAAAGAAATCAAGGAATTAGCTAGACTTTTAGTGCAATATCTATGGGGTACTAAAGAGAAGAAACTTATATGGTACAAGAAAAGGAAGAACGAAAATCAAACTATGCTAAGCGCTATTGCTGATGCATCATTTGCTAAGCAAAAGGAATTCAAGTCTCAACTAGGTTACTACATTAAAATTGATGACAATATAATCGCTGGTAAATGAACAATATCAAAAACAACTTTAACATCAATTGCCGAAGCAAAAATTGGTGCTATTGATTTGTCTAATCCTGTGTTGAAACATATCCACTTATTACTTAAAGAATTATCTGCTGATAAAATATTTACTACCATTGAAACAGACAGCCAACCAGCTATGGCAATAATCAAATCCAAAGGAGATAAATCGTTTAAAAATAAATTCTTTGGGATAAAAGCTTTAAGGATAAGAGATAAAATAAGTGAAAATAATCTAAGTGTTGCAAGAATAGGTACTGAAAACAATATTGCTGACGTTTTAACAAAACCAGGGACATGCTAGAGATACAACAAATTAACCTCAGAATGAATTATATGAGTATTTCAAAATTTGGGTGGTATGCAGAAATGATTTCCTACTTGTTTAGAAGGTGATTCATTCCCTCAAAGAAAAGAAAAGAAATGCTTGTAATGCACAATCCAATTATGTAGAAATATATCCACACAATTTCAAAATTGAAGAAAATTATGAAACACTTTTCCAAAAATAAAGAATATATAAATGGATAACTTTACTTATTAAATTTCCAATTAGGACAGAAAATACATATACATTATGTTTCATTTATAATTATATAATTGGGAAAATATCCTATAGAGTCATTTTATAATAAAATAAAATATTGCTCATAAAGTATAATCATTAATGCTGAAGAAACATATACTAATTTTCTTCTTCCAGAGGATACAATATATTATGTCATATTAAATGCTATAAGTTAATGATTTTCTTGATTAGCCTCCCTAGTGATTACCCCATTATTCTTACAAAATTCTTTTTCATTAATCAAGATATGTACTTATGTATTTTAGTATTGCTTTATTTAGTGGACTCAATATTTTATTCATTTAGGTGTTTAACATGTCTTTTTTTTTTTTTTTTGACAAACCCTAAACTCCAAAAATTCAAACAGGAACAATTTATTAATATACATCACAAAACTCTAGATACCAATAACAAAGTGCCAGAAATCTTTATCTTCATCCTTAAAATGATAATTAGTTTGTAAGGAACCTAACTGGAAATCCAGTAGATACACAATTCCGAGGGTAACACCTGTATAGGTATTGAATCTGACTGGAGGATTTCCAGGGAGCGATAATTATATCAGATCTTGTCAAGAGGCCTTTGATTATTGAGAGATAGGCTAGGGGTAATCATTTTATTTAAATACATCTTAGTAATTATATTAAGAAGTAACTCTTAATATCATGGAAGAGGAAGACTAACAACAAGAAGAAGTAATACTACAACATCAGGGTTATTAAATAGTAATATATAGAGCTTACGTAAGGGTGTTTATACTTATACTAATTGATATGATTCATCCATTTACATACAACAACTCTTACATAGTTTAAACTATCTTGTAGTAAAATATTATTTCTTTTTTTGATCACCCTATTGTTATATTTTGATTCTTTGAATCAAAAAAATAAGTGTGAATATTGTAAAATATATAAGTCCAAATGCAAATCCATGAAAATAAAAATTTTTCCTTGTCAAAATTTACCATCATTACAACCATATTTTTTTATTTTATAAGATAGGTTAGTCTCAGAAAATATTAATAATATGTATCAACTGGTTATACACCTTAAAAACTCATAAATAACTTACCCTCTCAGTATATAAGATATATAAAGGAATGTATGATGAAGTTATGGTAAATAATAAATAGCATTAGGAACAGAGTAATTTCCTCTGGAATAGGATTCTCCAAAACAATTCTATAACATAGTCACTAACAATATCGAAGAATAACCTTACAGCATAAAATTGTCTACTGATTAATTATATGTAATTTATCATGGCTGTTTTGCTTACATTTTTTAAGGTTTCTAAATAAATCTTCCTAACGAAATACAATCCATTACCAAGATATATACACCTTTAATATTATTAAGCATGCAATCTCAAGGAAACCTGAATATAAGCTTACAATTAAATATACATAGTAATTATTTTGTATAGATTAATTTAAAGTTTCACATACAATATGATTTATTATTACACAAAGTAAAAAAAAAAGAAGATATTGCACTGTAACAAAATAGTATTATAGATACGTAAAATAAAAAAAAGTAAAACATTTAACATATTTTCAAATAATCGTGATACCTTCAGTTCTTCTCCCCCCTTAAGAAACTAGAAAGAAATAAAATTATTTGCAAGCCAACATTTGAATGGATCTGCTTTTTATATTCTATCTGTTCTTTTTAGATATACAACAAATGCCTTATTTACTTGGGATCTACAAAAAATAAGAACTGCAGAGATTTTATCACCACCCTATTGAAGTTCTGTATATTTCCATGTTTTTTCTATTACATTCATATTCTAGTAACGTTTCCGTCTAAAGGCTTTTACGGATTATTTTCAAATCCGGAGGTGTTTCTGACGGCAAAAAAAATACAAAAAAAATCCGGATCTTTATTATAAATCTTGCCGGTTGTTTCTTTTAAGCGTGTGCTCGAGCTTTTTGATCACTGAAAAATTTTTATTCTGCAAAACATTTTAAACACTTAATATTATACACAGTTAAAAGATATAACAGTTGTTCTTCTTTTAGCATTTTGAAAAGACACCGTGAAATACACTACACTTTTCACTTCCATTATATAAAGAACACATATCTACCGTTTAGCAACAAAAATATATATATTTTTTTTTGCTAATTACCATAGTTTGTTGTTTATGGATTGTAAGCTTGGATATAAAAAAAGAACCAAAGTTTAGACAAAATCATAGCGATGTCCTCTCAAATTTTTTTAAAGACTTCACAAGACATTGAATTATTTCAAGGTTACCCAAAATTCGATCAAATTAATACCACTGCACAACAAGAAATTGTATCTTTAAATGAGGGCAAAAAACAAACCAATGTTATTGCATCTACATTGTCGCCATGTGGTAGATTTTTGGCCTATTCAACAAAGAATTCTTTAAAGGTATTCCACAGTGAATCTCTAGAGACCTTATTATTTTCAATAGATCTAAAAGATGTATACGATTTACAATTCTCACCAGCAGGCAACTTCCTTAATACTTGGCAAAGACCAGCTGTCGATGATCCGAATGATAAAAATGTTAAAATATGGTATTTAAACAAAGAATTTAGTGAAAATGCTGATATTAATCCAGTTTATGAATATCAATACAAGTCTCAAAATTCTTGGGCTTTGCAATTCTCGAAGTTGGATACATATGCCATTAAGTTATTTTTAAAAGAGATTAGAATTATTAAGTTAGAAAGAGACAATGTCAAGTTCAATTTTGACCAACCATACGCAACTTTACCACAGCCACCTGAAGGTCAACCGTTTTCAACTTATTTAATTTCTCCTGCTGAATTCCCAACCATTGCTACTTTTATTCCTGAAAAGTCGGGTAAACCAGCTCAATTAACCATCTGGCCTATCAATGAAGGTAAAATTGTAAAAAAAATCGCCACAAAATCATTTTTTAAAGCAGATTCATGTCAACTAAAATGGAATCCACAAGGTAATGCTGTGTTATGTTTAGCAATTACCGATTTTGATGCTCAAAATAAATCTTATTATGGTGAAAACACTTTGTACTTATTGTCCTTCCAAGGTGTAAACGGTACTTTAGGCAGTAATTCTGTCCGTGTGTCTTTGACTAATGGACCAGTCCATGATTTCACATGGTCCCCAACTTCGAGACAGTTTGGTGTTATTGCTGGTTACATGCCTGCCACTATATCCTTTTTTGATTTAAGGGGTAATGTAGTTCATTCGTTACCACAACAGTCAAAGAATACTATGTTGTTCTCCCCAACAGGTAAATACATTTTAATCGGTGGGTTTGGTAATTTACAAGGTTCGGTAGAAATTCTTGATCGTCATAACAAGTTCAAATCTATTGCCAAATTTGAGGCTACAAATACTTCTGTTTGTAAATGGTCTCCAGGTGGTGAATTTATTATGACTGCCACCACATCACCAAGATTAAGAGTTGATAATGGTCTCAAAATATGGCATGTTACTGGTTCGTTGATATTTAACAAAGAATATAAAGAACTTTTGAAAGTTGACTGGAGGTATCCATGCCCTTTTAAATTAATCAACGGCAGTGATTACATTGTCAAGGAATTTTCCATCAAGGATACAGTTTTGGAAGAAATGAACGATAAACTTGATCCAAAATTAAGTAAAAACCAATTACAAATTCACCCTAGTGCCGTGGGCGTTGTTGTCAAAAAGAAACCTGTATCTTCTGGAAGTGGAAAATCTGGTGGTGGATATAAACCACCTCATGCAAGAAGAGCTGCCGCTAATGGAGGTCAAAGAGTGGTCCCAGGTTATACCCCACCTCCAGGTTCTGGAAATCAAAAAAATAAAAAACAAAATGCCCAAACATCCCCAAAGAGTAGTACCTCTACAATTTCACCAGAAGAGAAAAAAATCAGATCTCTTGTTAAGAAGTTAAAAGCTATAGAAACTTTAAAAGAGAGACAGAAGAACGGTGATAAGTTGGAAATTACTCAGGTACAAAAAATTGGCACTGAAGAATCTGTTAGAGAAAGCTTAGAGGCTCTTGGCTGGAAAGATGAACATTAGTTGCATTTGTATAAACAATAATCGCATTAATAACATGCATATATATATATATATATATACATATATTATTTTAACTGTAGAATAATCTTAAATTGTACAAAATACTTATCTACTATGATTAATAAGTCACCAGCTTGGTAAGCAAAGTTTTGTCTTTTTAGCTGTGGCTTAACAAGTTTATATTAAAATTAGTTGCTTTTCACAAACCTTCAAATTTTCAGTGATTGAGCTTCAGTAAGTGGATATAATACAGAGTACTATAAAAAATAAACACACATTCAAAATTTAATAGTTTTGCTACAATGTTTCTACCACATCATCATATTTATTTCGATTATGCTACTGTTTTATGTGCCAGAGAATACGTTGCATTACAACAGATCATCTTGAACGAAGCTACAGTACTTTCAACTTTTTTTTTTTTTCTTCTTTCTTACGATTTCTGATAACAAGAAAAGAAGAAATTCTATTTAACAAAAAAAAAAATAATTTCCTCCAAAAGCGCATATGTTTAGATGAAACAAGATGATGCTACAAGGAAAAAAAAATAAATTGCAAAGCGTTTTCTACATTTTGGCGGCTAACTATATCACGAAGATCACCAACTAATAACAAAAGTGCAATAAATAAGTTTTCTTCATTGAAATCATCTCACAGACAAAACAAGAATTGAATATAGCACAGTTGAATTTTTCCAATAGAATAAAAATTCCAGTGAATATATCTTTATTTAATTCCATTTATTTGTGCCTGTTATAATTTAATAAACACTTAATACGTATACACACATATATAGACAGTTTAATTGCATTTATCTCTCTTATTTATCAATATCCTAATACTTCACATAGTCACGAACGAGAACATATTAAGATGTCTAACCCATCTTTGGCATTGCTAAAATCGAGGATACAATATGAATATAACATTTTAATAACATTAAGTGACCCACAAACAGGAATTAGCTTAGGTCCTATTTTTGAAAATGTTGTATCTCAAGAAGATGCACCTGGATATCATCAGGTAATCCGATATCCTGTATCCTTTTCCACACTAAGAGAGAAGCTTCCAAAATATACAAATATAGTCGAATGGATTATTGACGTTGCTTTCCTGCCTTGGAATGTTAAGAAATATTATGAACCACAATCGGAATATTATAAATATGCCAATATTATTGAAACCCATCTCAGAAACGTCATGATGCCTCGATTGAAAACTTACTATCCCTTTGTCATGTATCCAGATTTAGATTCTTTAACACAGCAACAACAAGAAGAAAAAAATAAGAAACCTTCATCAAATATACATTCAGATAATACTACACAGAGGTTACCCATACTAAAACATAGTGATATAGCAACTTATAATCAAAATTTGAACTATAATAACAGTAGAAATGCGTTAATAACTCACAATAATGTAAATGTCATTGCTGGAAACTCAACCTTCCCTTCTGACCTGAAATATAAAAGAGCTACTTTATCTCTAGGAACGAATAATGACCCAATATCTTCTCCAAATCTTGCCAATGATACTACTGTTAATAAATCTAACGCATCACACTCACCTACCAACTCTCTAGTTCCACAAACAGCAACTTCTCAAACAGCTGATAACTCACTTAACACGAATATAGAAAAAAATATTAATGAACAAATTAAAACTTTCATGCATTCAAACCACCTTCAGACAATCTCCTCACATATAGATCCATCACGTAATACATCGAGCATATCAGATAATAATTTGGATCCGTCCACTTATTTGCCACAGTTATTAACTAATGACATGCTAGATAGAAGACCTTCGTCGAAATTTAAAAAGAAAATTATTAAGCGTGGTAGACCACCTTCAATAGACTTCCCTTATGTTCAAAGAATGAGAAACGTCGTAAAGAATATAACTAGAACTGCACTGATTGGAGTAAAAGAATCTGTGACGGTTGCATTAGAAAAATTACCCGATAAAACAGATCATCCAGAATATTATTCACAAATTTCTAATCCAATATCATTTGAGGATATAAAAAAGAAGGTAAAAGGACGGAAATACAAAAGTTTTGATTCATTTCAATCTGATATCCTGTTGATGATAAATAATTTCAAAAAATATTTCGAAAATGATCCTATTGCAATTGATAAAATAAACCAATTCCAAAATGCTTATAATAGTATATCACAACATGAATTAGCAAGACCAGATAAAGATTACATGCCTGAAGGTGAATTCAAATATCCTCTAGAAAATGCTTTTCTAAATAATACAAAATATAAAATCGGTGACTGGGTGCTTATCTCTAATCTCAATGATGCATCGAAACCTATTATTGGCCAAATTTTCAAAATATGGAAAGATGAGAAGGATGAAGTTTGGTTTAATGCATGTTGGTACTTTAGACCTGAACAGACAGTTCACAGGGTTGATAGACTATTTTATAAAAATGAAGTTATGAAAACTGGACAATATAGAGACCATGAATTAAGTGACTTACTTGGTCATTGCTATGTTGTCCATTTTACTAGATATCAAAGAGGAGATCCTGTCTTTGAGAATAGTGCAAATGATGTCCCGTTGTTTGTGTGTGAATTTCGTTATAATGAAAATGATAAAATTTTTAATAAAATTAGAACATGGAGGGCGTGTCTGCCAGAAGAAATTCGTGACATGGAGGAAGAAACTAAGCCAGTATTAGGAAGGAAATTCTTCAAATATGCATCACCTTTAAAGCATCTATTACCACCAAATGCTACGGCCAATGACCCTATTCCAGAGCCTCAGATGGGTAATCCTAATGCTCCACCCCTCCTTGGTGCTGTATACATAGGCCCTGTATACGCCAAGGATGACTTAGGTGAATTCTCCACTTCCTTAGACTGTCCAAAATATATTATTAGACCAGGCGATCCTTATGAAGAGGGTACTATAGATGAAGAACATGGTTTATTAACTGTAGATCCTTCAAAAGTATCTGCCATAAATCAGAGTCAACCAAAATCAAATTCTCCAATTCCTCCACCTGGAGTACAACTATCTACTCACAATAGTAGACAACATACACCTAAAAATAATGGTTCGACATCATCATTGAAATCTTTAAAGTCAGACCATAAGGTTAAAAAATCTTCTTCCAAGATATCTACTGGTTTACAGAGTCTTAATCAGATTGTGTCTCAATTCAATAAGAAAAGTTTTAATAAATTGATGCAACAAAAGACAAATTCTGCAAATATAATGTTAACCAAAAGTAATTCAATGAAGAAATTGACTAATAAGACAGCACAAGAAATGTTTTTTCAGTTTAGTACACAGAAGAATAATTTGAAGTCTGTACCCATTACTTCCAATGGTACAAAACGTGGTAATCCAAGTCATAATATTTCGATTACTGCTACCAATAATATTGGTACTAATATTATTAATAGTACCACTAATATTACTGGGGGCAATACAAACATCAACAGAATTCACATAAGTAATAATAACAACCATAACACAGGTACTCTCCCCACCAGCAACAATAATAATCACGATAGTATGATGCTACCTACCAAACGTGGCCGTGTTGTACTTGATACACCCAATGCATTTTTATTCCCTATAACAACAAAGACGAGTGGTGGACAGATTAAAACTAATGACGTAAATTATATACATAGTGATATCGATAAGTGTGTACAGAGAGCTGATAAGGGGAACCAAAAGAGAAGGTTAAGTAAAGAAGAATTCAGATCAAGAAAAAGTACAAAATATGGCGAAGTAATATGGTTCAAAGGATCCAGTTTGTATTTAAGTGAAAGAATGATCAATCTAGGTAACAATAATATTAGTGGATCCCCATTAGACACATATGCCCATGTCTCTAAAGTAGTGAATGCTAATAACAACAATAGCAAAAGTACTGATAGCGATGATGTTAGGTTCAAGAATTTGGATTATCAAGAAGTTATAGAAGAAATACCGGAACAAACTTTTGGATTTCAATCTGATTTGTCATGTAACCTAGCGTTAAATTCAAAGTTTGATTATAAAATTATCTCATCACCAATTAAAATCAACCCCGCATATAAAGTGATTGAAGATATTAAAAATGAATTTCCCTCGACCTCAATAGGGCTTCGACCATCAAGTAGTTACATGGCGTTCAAATTGCAAAAATAATACCACCATAAACAAGAGTAAGAAAGAAAGACGTATTTCTAATTTTTTTTACTAAGATTAATAACAGGACAAAGGCAGAACCTTAATCAATACTGTTTTTAAACAATTACTGAATCCTTCTATGTGAATTTATGTATGTAAATACACATACACACACATATATATATATGTTTGTATTTATATATATACCATGATATATTGTTGTCCCTATTCTCATGAACTGTCTAACAAATAAAACTTTTACAATTTTCACATTCATCTTCTAAACCTACAGTAAGAGACGTTCCAATGTTTTCTTAACATTCCCCCCTCACTTCCTCTTTAGTGGGTCACTTTTCTGACAGGAGCAACAACTAATTACTGCCACTTATAAGTAAATGAGTGAACAGAGAAACAAAAGAAAAATAAAGGAATCGAAGGAGAGTCAGATGAGGGAAGTCAAACGGAGAGGAGAAGAAGTCAAACCCGAGTCAGAACCTACAACTAAAGAAAATAAGAAAAATACGTTAATGAAATCAAACAAAAATATTGAAATTTCTCGAGAAGTTTTGCAGTGGACGGTGCAATTTTCCAATTTTCATTTTTCAGTTTTCTTCTCTTCTCTTTTCTTTTTTTTTTGTCCTTTTCTGCCTAGACCTGTGTATTGGAGACAGTATTTGCTATATACATATATATAGGACCCAACTGAGATGTACAGGCCCAACGAACTAGAAGAGCCGTTCTGTGTACTCTGATGTCTTGCAAGAACTTGTTCCCACCATTGATTACTATACAATCGTTGCTCAAGCTATTCTAACCATACACCTTAACTCGGTCTAAAGATAACCCGTTTAATAACGCCAGCTGGTGATATTGTATGTGATCTAACTTTATTATTAAATCTACTTGGGAAAAAAAATACATACACAAACCAAATGTCTGACTTTGATAAATATGCTACTCCATTATCCTCAAGATATGCTTCTAAAGAGATGTCTCATGTTTTCTCCTTAAGAAACAGATTTTCCACTTGGAGAAAATTATGGTTGAATCTTGCTATCGCCGAACGTGAATTAGGTTTAGATGTCATTACCGAAGAAGCCATCCAACAAATGAAAGACCATTTAATTATCACAGATGAAGAAATTGCTGCTGCTTCTGCCCAAGAAGCAATTGTTAGACACGATGTTATGGCCCATGTTCATACTTTCGGCCAAACATGTCCCGATGCTGCGGGTATTATTCATTTGGGTGCCACATCTTGTTTTGTTACAGACAATGCTGATTTAATCTTTTTAAGAAATGCATATGATATTGTGATTCCTAAATTAGTCAACGTTATTGATAGACTAGCCAAATTCGCCTTGGAATATAAAGACTTACCAGTCTTGGGTTGGACCCATTTTCAACCTGCTCAATTGACAACTTTAGGTAAAAGAGTCACTTTGTGGATCCAAGAGCTTTTATGGGATTTAAGAAATTTTGTTAGAGCTAGAAACGATATTGGACTACGTGGTGTGAAAGGTACTACCGGTACACAAGCCTCTTTCTTAGCCTTATTCCATGGCGATCATGAAAAAGTTGAAGAATTAGATAAAAGAGTCACTGAGTTATTAGGATTTGACACCGTGTACCCAGTCACTGGTCAAACTTATTCCAGAAAGATTGATATTGATGTCTTGGCCCCATTATCCTCCTTTGCTGCTACTGCTCACAAGATGGCCACTGATATTAGATTATTGGCTAATTTGAAAGAGGTTGAAGAACCATTCGAAAAATCTCAAATTGGTTCTTCCGCCATGGCCTATAAAAGAAACCCAATGCGTTGCGAACGTGTATGTTCCTTGGCAAGACATCTCGGATCTCTTTTCAGTGATGCTGTCCAAACTGCATCTGTGCAATGGTTTGAAAGAACTTTAGATGATTCTGCTATTAGAAGAATCTCCTTGCCAAGTGCATTTTTAACTACCGATATTCTTTTAACTACACTATTAAACATCTCTTCTGGTTTAGTTGTATATCCAAAGGTTATTGAAAGAAGAATTAGAGGTGAATTACCATTCATGGCTACAGAGAACATTATTATGGCCATGGTTGAAAAAAATGCTTCTAGACAAGAAGTTCACGAACACATCAGAGTTTTATCTCATCAAGCTGCTGCTGTAGTAAAAGAACAAGGTGGCGATAACGATTTAATTACACGTATCAAGAAGGATGAATTCTTTAAACCAATATGGGAAGAATTGGACTCTTTATTAGATCCATCAACTTTCGTTGGTAGAGCTCCACAACAAGTGGAGAAGTTTATCCAAAATGACGTTGCCAAGGCCCTAGAACCACATAGACACTACATCAACGATCAAAAAGTCGAATTAAATGTTTAATTTCAATTAAATCTTTATAAATTCATTTTTCTGTTTTAAAAAGTTCTCAATTGCTACTAGATAACTTTTTCTCTCTCTTTCTCTCTCTCTCTCTATATATATATTTAGATAATGCATGTACATGTAAAAAAGTAAAAAAACAACTAACGAACAGAAGATCAAAATCGTTAATAATGTTTGTTTAATTAATTATTACTCTTTCGAATGTTTATTTACTTTGGAGTTGAGTCCCTTTATCTTCATTATGTGTTGGGTACTATGTTTAATTTAAACCCAGATTTGCTAAATACTCTTTTATGATTTGGGCTTTTATTTTTAAATTTTTTTCATTATATGATGCTCAACAAGTATCGTCCCATACATGCAGATACTCAAATATATATATATACTTTCTGTAAATATAATAAGTGAATAGTGACTAATAACAACGGTGAAACTTGGGGTTTATACGAAACTAAAATAGTGTGCCTAATTTTTTGAAGAAGCCATAACATCTCTATTTACTCCTATATACATAAAAGCAACTATTTAATCCGCTGTGCTTCTCTCCATTTATAAAATATTGTTACTATTGCTACTATTTTTGATGTTGAATCAACGTTCTGAGATACTTTGATTATGCCTTGCTATATAATGAAAAGAAAACTACGACATATTCAATCTATTGGAATCTATAATGTATGCACACCATTAAATAAAGATACTACAACTAATTTCATTAAAACCCATGCATGCTTTTTCACAATTGAAACTACTAAAGGTGATATAATATATGTAAGTGAAACCCAGCAGACAACGCTATGTAATGTTCAATTTAATGCAATCAATTTTGATGGATGTCCATTAGATCGTTTCATATTGAAAATATTTACAGAGTATCCCTTAGCGGAACCGTTAAGATTAAATTTAAATAAAAAGAATGACAAATGGAATCAAGTCGCTTTATATTCTATCAATCTTAATAATCTAAATGTTATTAATATTAACAAACTTTCTTCTGTTAAGGGTATTATTATACCTATACTTAAGATGTCTGACGGATATTTTTTACCGAATCAATTTAAATTAGGCATACAAGATCATAATAATCAATTTGCAAATTATAATTCATCAACGATAAAAAAATCTTTCAACTACAATAGCTTAATTAAATTAAATAAATTAGTTGAATATCAAAAACAACTTAATCAAGATAAGCTTAATTTATCGAAAAGTATAGAAAATTGCTTAAGTGATTATAAATTTAAAGAGTTCAATAAAGAAAGATTAAAAATTATTAAAACTTTAATTGAAAAAATCGAACTTAGATTATCTGAAAAGAGAGCAAAGATAAAAAGTTTAAATCTAGAATTATCCAAATGCAAATCCCAAATTTCCTTACCATTTAAAAAACAAAGTTCCAATGTTACAATCGAACAAGATGAATATGGTAACACTTACTCCAATTTAATACAATTAAAAGATAAAATAGGCAAGATTAAGTCCAAAAAGATTCAACACTTGGTAACAGTTTTCAATAATATCCCGTTTATAAATAACACAGATATCAATTTTTTCCAAATGGTTACTAATAAATCACCAAATAATATGTATGAATATACCTTAAAACTATTTAATATAGATTTTGATCATATTTTAACATTATCTCAAGAATCTCGAGAAAAGAGAATCAAAGCAAATACACAATTAGGTAGTTATGTATTATTACTATTACTAATCAGTAATAAAATCCTGAATATTCAAATACCATTTAATATGTCCTATTATGGGAGCACCTCTATGATTAATTTTCACTATCCGTTATTTATAACCCATGTTCAATCTACTAAACACTTAAATGAATTCAAACTAGGCATTAATTTATTAAACATAAATATTAACCAAATTAACCAATTCCTTCAGAACTAGACTGACACGTTTCAATATTGTATTATATACTTCTATAGTCTTTAATTGTACTTATGAATATACTCAGGTTTTGATATGAACACATATAAAAAAAAAAGCAAAACAATAATGTTAAAAATAATAATATGCTATGAAATGGAAAAAAAAAATGCAAACAGAACCTATCTATATACTTTGATTATTAACTAGTATTTGGAAATCAAATATCTCTTCAGGTGATCCATTGAGTCTTTTCCATGATTTGATAGATCCAACTTTAGTGTCCAATTCATATATTCGTATTCTTCTTTCAGTGCCACCGTAACCTGCATACGCACGTTCTCCTGCACTACCACCATAACATAACCAAATGTTGTGATTTGGAGTTGAATCATCTTTAAGACAATAGTCATTACAATGATCGTGGCCACAACTTGTCACCTGAACCTCCATTGAATCTAATGCCATTAATCCACCCGAGTTATACTTAGGAGCAGTAACACCCTCTTTAAAAGTACCGACGATTTCATTAACTGAATCTGGATTCTTTTTAGATTTCTGATTCAAATATTCCGGTAGTGGAATGTGGAAAAATGCCATTGACAAATGATTTGGAACCTTTAAGATGTCAGATTTCAAATTATTTTCATACACCTTTTTTATATGATTCCATTGTTTTTCTTTAATCCAATCGTAACCAGGTGACAATTTACTTGATTTAGAGTATTTATGAGAATCAAGAAAATACAAAGTTATCAAAGGCAATCCATCACCATCCGCGGAATCATTTTTTTGTTTAATTTGTTTAATATAATTACCAACACCAAAAGTGTTATCCTTTGTATCGAATCCACTGAATTGAAAAATGGTGTATGGTAATCTAACCACCAATTCAGACAATTGCCATCTTGACAACGAACCTTCATCATCATGATTGCCCCATGTCAACGCCCACGGTATCTTTCTTTCAATAACTGGACTTATTGCTTTTAATAGTGTGGTCTCTGAATCCTGTAATGATTCCTGGCCCATTATTTGATCACCAGTAAATACTACTAATTGGGGTTTTTCTATATCGAGAACTGTATTTATAAAATTTAATGTCTTTGGATCAGCTCTACAAGGTTCTGTATCACGATTTACTGGTATAGGATATTCATCCAAGCATTTACCTTCATTTATACCCATATGTAAGTCAGATAATTGCACAATTTTGAATTTTCCATCTTCATTCGGATATAGTTCAACATTTTTCCAATCTGTATTATTGCCATTATCATTACCAAAAATAGATAATGGGACTAAAGTTTTATATGAGAGATATGAATTAGCTAAATAATGATCGTAGATTGCTGTGCTTTTTATTAAAGTCCAATCAGGTCTTGGATCTACACAATCGTCACCAAACAATATAGTAAAGTCAGTAATAATACTGTTTATCTCACCAGATTTCAAAAGATCAATAGTTAAATCTATTGGTTCCAGAAGAAACTTATCAAATTGAATATATTTATTATTATTGTTATTTTCATTATCATTGGATATAAGTGAAATAGATTTAAAACCTTTTAAAATCCTCGGGTTATGATTATTATCATTATCATTTGCAAAATGTAGTATTAATGGAATTATATCTGGTATATTTATAGTATCATAAAAATAGTATAATGAGCTACCGAACCACTCTGTCTGATAGGAACCAGTTAAATCTTTTTCTACTATTCTTCTTTTTGTAAAATATGAGATTATATCTATATCATCTTTATTCATATTATTGCTATTAGGAAGAGGCTTTTCATTATCAAACAATTGATACATATGAAAACACCACTGGAATTGTTTAAAAATATGATAACACCGTTTCATCCCAATATTAGTCATTAAATGATCATTTGGGTCCCAATCCAGTTGGTCTATTAAATAATCAACATTATATTCTTCCTTAAATACGAACCGTACCTGTTGATATTTATAATCTTTAATCCAATATTTTAGTAAATAATGGTTTAGTGTGAATATAGAGAGCATAATGATAGACAGATAAGTGAATACTCTGATATATTTTCTTGATAAAAATAACATCATACATCCCTTTTGTCAATAGAAAGATACGATAACAGACACAGTAACAGTAACAGAAACAGAACTAATAAATAATAAAGACAAAAACAAAAAAAAAAAAAGAAAAGAAAAAGATGTCTATCTATTTTTCTACTTGCTGATGTCAAACCTTCTAGCCAAGTTGAACTGATTTATTGAGGATATGTGTATCTATATAGAAGCTAAAATAGAACGCTGATATGATGTTATACTTGAAATGCCTTCTTCTTCTTCATCACTATCATCTTTCTAAACTTTGCATTGAAAATGATATTTCTCTATATACAAACAAAAAAACAAAAAGAAACAAATAAATAAACAAATAAATACTTAAAACTGTTCCGGAGTTAACTTTGAATTTATTTCAGATAAACAAAAATAAATGCAGGGTTTATATATTCATGCCAATATTTTCCCTGCATACCACATCAATAAATACAGGGCTTGTAATCAAAAAAATCGAAAAATATTAAGAAACGGAAAATATCTTCCTTTTATTTTTGTTGCTTAAAGAAAAATTTGAGAAAACAGGAAAAGGTTGTAGATAAAACAAAGAAACGACCTACCAGCCACTATTTATCAAAATTAGTAGAATTTGGTAGATGACCACCAATTTGTAACAATCCACCACTGTTATTGGTTTCCTTATTATCATTATTATTACTAGAATTGTTATTGAAGTCCCTATTTAAAGGATTGCCGTTAAACTTTCCTAAATCATGTTGAAACTGTTTACTAACAGTCCTTGCATGTGGACGTTTCAACTGATCCCAACTGATTTTTTTCTCTTTGCCAGCTCTATGTAGTGTTATGATATTCCCAATATCTTCATCACTAGTAGGATTACTATTAGCATTACCACTGCGATTATTTGTGGAGTTGAGACCACCTTGATTTTGTTTTGTTCGTGATTCTTTTTGATCTATCCCTCCTTGCATGATAGCAATAATTGTATTTATTAGAAGGAAGTATAATATAAGTTTTGTAATATAGTGGAGCAGCGTCTTGCAAATATAGAATGTAGCTGTTTCAAACGTGAAATGGATATCTCTATCTGTGTATGTGCACAGTTCTCGAGGTGTTTCTTTTATTTATTACTAATCTGCTACGTTTATGTATAAATATAAAAAATACGTAGTAGCTGATATTTTTAATCCTTTGTAGCTATATATATAGATACACTTTCATAGATCCTGGGAGGGAACATTCCTTAGTAATTAAAAAAACAAACAAACGAACAAATCACATAATTATACATATAAACAAATATATATATATATATATTATCTAAAAAAAAAAAGGGAGGTTTAAAGATGCTTTTAAAAGGTCGAAAATTAAATGTTCAATTTTCAGTTTTCAGTTAGGCAAAGAATAGAATCTACAAGAAAACATGTGTATGGCAATTACACTGAAAAATAGTCAGATATACGTACATATATATGTATATGTATGTATGTGTGTATATCTATATGCATTGCTGTTACTGTGAATAAAAAGGATATAAAATATAGCAAATAATAAACGACACAATTCACAATGAATTCAAAGAACATTGATCATCAGTTCATTGAACAATTTCTCTCTGATATCAATTGTTCACAATATACATCGAATTTCATTCAATTTAGAATATTTGATAAAGAAGATCTGTATCACATAGATAAAGAGATTCTATTTGAAATTGGTATTAGAAATCTGGGTGATAGATTACGTATCTTACGCAAAATTAAACTATTAAATGATGAGAATGACAATAAAATTCTAAATATAAATGAACTGTCTAATATAATTAATAAGTTTCGCCAATTAGGTTCTTTGAATCAACATTCTAGTAACTCTAGTTATAATCACAAATACCTTTCTGATTTTAATTATAACAATCCTGAAAATTTGGATGATATCTTACCTTGTGATGAAGAATATTTCACTGAAAAACATCATATCATTTTTATACTTAACGATGGTACAGCAAAAAAAGTCGATGTCAATGGCTGTTTTAATGCTAATTCAATCAAGAAAAGGTTAATTAAAACATTGCCTAAACAGTTCCAAATCTTAGACAAAAACAAAAATAACTTAAATATCGAATCAAATTATGATGTCTTTATTGTTGACTACAAAAAGAACGTTTTACATCTTTTATATGATGTTGAGTTGATTACAATATGTCACTCCCTTGATAGATGGGAAAGAAATAGATTAATCTTTGTTTCAAAGGACCAAACTCCAAGTGATTTGGCTATATTAACATCAAAAAAAATTTACTTAAAAACTTTATCATTAACTAACAATAATCAACTTAGAGGTTCAAAGAAAGAAAAGATTTATAATGGACATCTAAAAATGGATAACTCTAAAGATAATATTAGAAAAGTTTTTAATCAAAGGCCTTCAAGTGAATATATCACGACTAACTTAAGTGGGTATTTTCCCAATACCAATATTGAAAAACTACAAAAAACTTTACGTAACTCATATAGACAATCAATTAGAATGAGTCATTTGCACCCAATGAATTATAAACCATCTATCATTAGTTCTGAATCTAATAATGTTGGCAATATCCTTTTAAAACATACCACTGATGTTGATAAGGCTTTATTACAAAATTTAAATAATAGTACTACTAATATTCGTAATAGAAATCCTAATACTAGATCAAATATTTTATTCCGTAATCATGCTACTTCTAGCGATGCAAAAGAGCTTCATTTAAAAAATAAATATAAAGAGAGCAATATGAATTCAGAAGCATTTAATGATAGAGAATATAATGATGATGATAAAGTGGAAGAGGAGGACAACAAAGAAGGGGGATATGACACTGATGTTGTATCATTACCAACAAAGATGGTTACGCCTAAATCTTGGCTAAAAGGCGCTAGAATTGGATCTGGTAGTTTTGGAAGTGTTTATCTTGGAATGAATGCACAAACTGGTGAAATAATGGCAGTTAAACAAGTGGCTATTCAACCACCACCATCGACTCTATCAACACCTCCAGGCATAAATAATTCAAATAAAATGGATCCATCATTAATTAAAAGAAGGAATGAATCAAATATTTTCAAAAAAATGGTGGAATCATTACAACATGAAATGAATCTATTAAAAGAACTACATCATGAGAATATTGTCACTTATTATGGATCTTCTCAGGAAAATGGAAACTTAAACATTTTCTTAGAATACGTTCCAGGTGGTTCCGTTTCATCGATGTTGAACAGTTATGGACCCTTTGAAGAATCCTTAATTACTAATTTTACAAGACAAATTCTTATTGGTCTGACGTATTTACATAACAAAAACATTATCCATCGTGATATCAAAGGTGCCAATATATTGATCGATATCAGAGGTTGTGTAAAGATCACAGATTTTGGTATCTCTAAAAAGCTTTCTCCTTTAAATAATAGCGATAATGATGCTGAAGATTCAATGAATAAGAAACAAAATAAAAGAGCATCACTACAAGGTTCTGTGTATTGGATGGCACCAGAAGTAGTAAAACAAACTACTACTACAGAAAAGGCTGATATATGGTCTACAGGTTGTGTTGTGATTGAAATGTTTACAGGAAGACACCCATATCCAGATTTTTCTCAAATGCAAGCATTATTTAAGATTGGAACCAATATGTGTCCGGAAATCCCATCCTGGGCTACGTCAGAAGCACAGAATTTCTTAAAACAGACTTTTAAACTTGATTATCAAAAGAGACCTAGCGCAATTGAATTACTGCAACATACATGGTTGGACACTCATTTGCTTTCCTAAATAAAAGCACCAAATTCAGAATATAGGATAATGATACAACTAGGTCTTATCAGATTAAAAAAAATCCCTGAATATATACTTACTTATTATTGATCTACTTTGATATTAACACATACACATATATATAAATATACAGATTTATCGCTTTGATGAACTTTAACATGAATAAAGTCATGTAATATTATAAAAACTATAGTAGATCCATTCTACTGAAAAAAATCAATATACTATCTACCAATGTATATATATATATATATATATATGACCCAAGAAATAAACAAAAACTATTTACTCCAGGTTTATTGCTTGTACCAACGATTATGCAATTTAATAACACATCTTGAATAAAAATATAAATATGAATATACGTATTTGTATTCCCACCAAAACAAATAAACAAGCTTTAATGTGCATATGGAGATAGCCTTAAACAATAGAGAAAAAAACAGGTAATAATTTTCAATGGGTTATCAACAATTTGTAATACGTGTATTTATTCTTTGTTTCTCTTCTTTTTAAACAAACAAATAAACAGATAATTACAAAAAAACAAAAAGAAGAAACCAAAGCAACTAACTAATATTATGGTGTCCATAATTTACCACTTCCTCTTGAAGCATAAATAGTCTTTTTAAATTTGGTTTTTACAATATCGTTACCATCACTAGAAACCTGCTTAATCCCACTTCTTAACACTAGATCATTAAATCTTCTAGTATCTTTAAAGGTTTTGTCATTAAGATCCTTGGATAATAAAGAATCGACCTGAACTATGGAACAATGTGGAATATCACAGAGATCAGCAAATTGTCTTACTTCTGAATCTTCCGTAATAAGAATCCAACGACCTTTTGAATTAAAGTTATTATCAACTTCCTTATGTATCAACTTATTATCCTCAGAATCTTCTATACGTTTATCCCTTTTAACATTATTCTTCGTGGAGGAAACATCTACATCTTCTACTTCAATAATATCATCATATAGCTCTTCTACTTGTAGTTCAAATGCGTCATTTGACAAACGGCATTTGTAAGCACAACTTTTTAATAAATCTTTAAATCTTTTAGGAATCTTATTCAATCTGTCAATATGATGAATATTAACTTCAGACCATGGAATAGTACTCAAGATATCTTGATACTCCATAATAATCTCTAAAGATGCTTCGTCTTGTATCTGATTAGCAACTAAACTGTTTTTCAAGTTATGTTGTTCAATGAACTTCAAAGCCTCTCTAGCATTATTGCTTCTTCTCCTAAATTGCAAGAATTCTAATTCTCCTACAGTAAACGTTGGAACATATAACTGAATATGTACTTTCTTTGATTTCTTTTGAGTGTTTTTTCTACTATTTAACCATTGATCCCATTTTTTAATATTCCCTAAACCTTTTTCAAAAGCGGATGCATCAATAACAAAATAATAATTGTTAACCATAATATTATCTGTATATGCAAATTAAATACAAATAATTGCCCTGAACTAGTTAAATAATGAATAATTGATCTGTTATTCCTTGTTTTCTCTTCTTTTCCATATCACATATATACTAAATGTGTTAAAGGTATATAGATTTCTATCAAATAAATTTCTTTTTAAGTTTAATGAATTTTTCTGTATACTCGAAAAAATTTGTTGACACATTCAATAAATAGATGAATCAATAAACAGCATAGACAAACCCATATGGTGTATATGTAACTTTTGCTATAATCGAACAAAAGCAACTGTAATAATAGTTGTATTGTGTATCTGACAACAACTGGAACCATTATATCTTATAAAATTGACCAACTAAAAATTTCAGTGAAGGAACAATTGAATATTTACTATCTGTCTGTGTTGTGTAAAAGATTTGGGATGAGGTTTTAGTGGCTACAATTTGTATTTCTAAATATTATTACTGTATATTTATTCTCCCTCTCTTTATTTTTCTCTTGCTTTATCTCTTTGGAATACTATAATGAATTCCTTGAGAGGGATCAATAGTTTTCCAATCGAAATATGGAATCAAATTTTGTTGAATCTGGATTTAAAAGATATATTCCACGTATCTCGGTGCAATCATCAAATAAGAGATATTGTAACTAATAATGTAATATGGGAAAATATAGTATATGAAATATGGGGTCAATATGAACAATTTGACATTTTACAAAATTATAGAAATAATAACCAAACATTCCATTCAGTTAAGAAAAATCAACATGGGACTAAACAACTCTATAATTATTGGTACATACATTTTTTGGAAAGAATGTACAATGAATATAGGTATCTTAAGATACTTGATCAAATAGTTCAGAATCAGTGGAAAATAAGTTACTGGGGTGACATATACAAGCTATTACAAGACGAAGATTTTATTTTGTATGTACCATTACTTAATGATATTGTGGATTCAGAATTCCTTACGAAAGATATTTACTCATTTAGACCACAGTTCATTGATCATTATAGAGTCACTAGACTAAAATTATTAAATTGTTTCAAATCGTCACTTCCATTAAAAAAAATATCATTTGAATTGTTATGTGGGTTTAGACATAAACTTTTGTTCCAGTTTATCCTCTTGTATAAGGATATTAGTAACTATGATAGTTACAACACAGATGTTAATCATATTTTTTTCCTTAATGATGATGACTGTGAAAAATTATTATTACAATATAATACAATGGATACTGCGTTTCATAGATTATTACCATATAGACATAGATTCTTAGAATTGTTTAGACGAATTCTAAAAATTAGAAATAGAAACCATCGTGTAAATTTCAATAGCTTAACTACATTAAAAAAATTGGAGATACTATCTAATTTAGTAATGAATCTATTAAAAAGAAGTATGACCAGATTTCTTACAAAAAATTATACTGAAGATTTAATGATCCTTAGAGTGTATAGTGGTGAGACGAAAGGGACATTATTAATTCATTTAGCTATTTTACAAAGGATTTTCTTAGAATATGGGATCAAATGTCAGATATTACAACGCCATCTTAAGATCTATTGTCATACTAGTAATAGTAATGGTAAAAATGGACAACATTCAGCTTTTTTATATTTAACAGTGATGCAAGATTCGTTACAATGTAAAATCTTAACAGAACATCAATTAAGAACCATCATTGGAGAGACACATTTTAATCATTATATGAAACCACTGAGCAAACAAGATGCACTTAGATGGTTGAATCATGAATTTATATCAAATCCCAAATCAAATTTTGAAACTAATCAAATTAATAATATTTTTACAAAATGGGATCAAATTTATTGTCACAGTCATTTACCTTTATCCAATGCTAAGTTAAGAGCATTTAATATTATTTATAATTCATTATTTTCCAAGAGATTTTTTAATGCTGGCTTAAAATTACACCACATATTATCTGATTCATTTGATATTTTCATGGAAGGTATGACTCCATTAGATTATATCCTATTGGATTACATTCGTATGAGATTCACAGACTTGAAGAAAACAGAAATTAACTATATGACAGAGGACAATTTGCTGTTACATCAAACGTGGTTAAGAAATCAATACATGATTGAAAATATCAGTCCTAAAGTTAGCATAACTCTTCTTCATCCTCCTTCTACGGAAGATACAATGATAATAATCGGTAATCTTTATACTTTTAGTATCACTTCAACGTTAACATCGATTGTCTGTATCATCAATAAGGTACGTACAGGAAAAAATAAAAATAATTTGATAGTAGTGATGGATATTTTTGGCGATGTTCATAAGGTTCATGAGAAAGATTTTGTTCAAAATATTAAAAAAATGAATTGGAATACTATTGAAAACCAAAATCAATTAGATTTGTACATAAAGATAATGACTATAATAGGAAAATTGGGTTTTCTATTTGATCACATTGAAATTCAAAGACATCAATATATTCTTTCGCCAAATTCACCTGAGTGAAATAATAATTTGAATAATAAAAAAAGAAAAAACTATAATGAGATCTTAAAAGCTGCTTTGTAGATTCATTCTAGTATATATTAAGTATATAGATCTAATATTCACTAGTTACTCTTATCGTTCCTCAGACATATCTCTCTGTTCCTTTGTTTATACAAACATGCGTATAATGTATATAATTATAATTATTATGTAAGCATTTATTGATTACTAAGATACATTACTAAGACTAAACTCTATGGTGGTTTCCTGTTTTTGTTGGATGACTAATCAATCATTAACTCATAGCATTGAATAAGCGATGAGAAAATAAATAAGATATTTCTCCATTATTTAAATATACAAGCGACTTCTCACATTTGTCTTATTAAATATGTTTGTGAGTGATTATAATTTCATTTCATGGTTCATAGTATGCATTAAGATAGGAAAAGACCACTTGTAAATACAGCTAAAACCAATTCTTTTTCTTCTTCCTTTTTTTATAAGAAAAAAAGAGTGTTTTATAACATTGAAATAAGATTTACTATATTTACATATTAACTTTAAGCAAAAGTAAAATGTTGATTTCGAGAATTCAGTTATTAAAGCCACTTACTAAACGATTATTACACCGTCAATTAAGTTCAAAAGTCATTGGTATTGATCTAGGTACAACCAACAGTGCTGTGGCATATATTAGAGATTTCAATGATAAAAAATCATCAGTAATAATTGAAAATGATATGGGAGAAAGAACTACACCCTCTGTCGTAGCTTTTACCATTCAAAATCGAGCACGGGGGAATTCTAGTAAGAGACAGTCTAAGGGTAGCAGTTCAGATATTATAGTAGGGACAAGAGCCAAGAGACAACAATTGATTAATCCTGAAAACACATTTTTTGCAACTAAGAGACTCATTGGTAGAACCTTTAGTGATGAAGAAGTCAAACATGATATTAAGCTGTTACCATATAAGATTGTAAAGAACCCACATACAGAACAAGCAGCAGTGGTGACAACAGATGGACAAATTAAATCACCCGGTGAAATTAGTTCAATATTACTAAGATATCTAAAGAAGACTGCAGAAGATTACTTAAATGAGCAAGTTAAACTGGCAGTTATTACTGTTCCTGCTTATTTCAATGATGCACAAAGACAAGCTACAAAGGATGCAGGGAAATTAGCAGGATTAAATGTATTAAGGGTAGTTAACGAACCCACTGCAGCTGCACTAAGTTTTGGTCTTGACACAATGAAAAATAAGGAGGATAGAAATTTAGTTGCTGTCTATGATCTTGGTGGCGGTACATTTGATATATCAATTTTAGATATCGAAGATGGGGTCTTTGAGGTCCGTTCCACTAATGGGGATACACATTTAGGTGGTGAAGACTTTGATAATGTAATTGTGAATTACTTTATTGAACAATTTATATCACAAAATAAAGATATGCATATAGTTCGTGAAGAGATTATTAAAGATAGAGAATTAATGCAAAGACTAAAAGAAAATGCAGAGAGAGTAAAAATTGAACTATCCCATACGAAAGACACTGTTGTTGAAATTCCATTCCTTTACAAAAATTATCATTTAAAATTATCCATGAAAGAGGAAGAACTAGATCAAATGACGCAACATCTAATCGATAAAACTATTCCACCAGTAAAAAGAGCTTTAAAGGATGCTGATATAGAACCACAAGATATCGATGAAGTAATAATGGTGGGTGGTATGACAAGAATGCCACGCATTAGACATACGGTAAAAGAACTTTTTGGTGGTAAGACTCCAAACACAAGTGTGAATCCTGATGAGACAGTTGCTATAGGTGCTGCCATACAAGGTGGGATATTATCTGGAGAGATTAAGAATGTTTTATTGTTGGATGTCACTCCATTGACACTTGGTATTGAAACTTTTGGCGGTACATTCTCACCACTAATCCCACGTAATACCACAGTACCTGTGAAAAAGACAGAGATCTTCAGTACTGGTGTCGATAATCAGACTGGTGTGGATATAAAAGTATACCAAGGTGAAAGAGGTCTAGTAAGAGATAACAAATTGATTGGTGACTTAAAGTTAAGTGGGATACCACCAATGCCTAAAGGTACTCCGCAGATCGCTGTGACTTTTGATATTGATGCAGATGGGATAATCAATGTCTCTGCCAGTGAAAGAAGTAGTGGCCAAGAGAAAAGCATAACTGTTATTGCTAACACTGGTCTCACAGAGGAAGAAATTCAAAGGCGCGTGGATGAAGCAAATGCCAATAGGGAACAGGATAATTTAATTAGACAGAGAATGGAATTAATGACGAAGGCTGATATTATGGTCAGTGATGCAGAAAAATCTTTTAAGCAATTCAAAAAATTGATCTCTATTGATCCAGAGTATAAAAAATTAAACAAAGAAGTTCAGTATCTAAGAGATCAAATTACCAGATTCAAAAAGGATGAAAATAATACACTAATTGATGTCAATGATGTTAAAAAGAGAACTGATAAGCTACAAGGTAATGTATTCAAACTGTTCCAAAGGGTAACAAATAAGTAAGAAAATAACATATGTGCGAGTGTGTTATCGAATCTTTTTTTAAAAGTTTCGGAAATGTACAAAGAATATAGTAGTATAGCTTCATATATACATCCAATGGCCTCTTTCTACTGCACATATTCTATGTAATATCTGTCTTACTGGTTAATCACTAAAGAATATTTCCATGGTATATACGTGTATTTATTCTTCAATTATTGCTTTTTTCGTTTATTTTTCCTTCTATATTTCGTTATTGTGTTTTTGATGTAAAAATGGATACGTTTATTTATTTTTTATTCTCGAGAAATCGAAAAAATTTTTTTTTCAAACGCTCGAAGACTGTTTTGATTTTGTGTTTATTTGTACCACATTTAATTATTTTTTTTATCGATGGATGAGTATGGTGTCTATTCCAAGAGGCATTGGATATTTTTAACGCTTAATTTAGATTTTGTATGCTATATTTATGGTTATTTCTCCTTATGCTTAATATGATTTACCTTTGAAGAACTACTTGTTTCCTATCTCAAATCAAAGACTATCGGATATCAATCTAAGAAATGGATACTTCTGTTAATCAAACCATGGCATTTGATGCTGCCAAAATTTTCAATGAATTGGTGAACAATTTTGACTTTGCTGAATTTATGGAAAAGAACTTCAACATCACTGAAATCCCAGCCTGGGTTTCTGTTCACTCCCCATCTGTTGATCATCCATTTGGTCTTGAATTATGGCCAATATTTTCTAAAGTATTTGAATCTATTGTAGGTTATCCAGCAGAAGATTTTGAATTTATTTACAACAAAACTTTCTTAGCCAATGGTTACCATGCTATCGGTATTATCTTATGTTACTATTTTGTCATATTTGGTGGTCAAGCTATCTTAAGAGCTGTTAATGCCAAACCAATCAAAATTAACTTCCTTTTCCAATTACACAATTTATTCTTAACTTCAATTTCCTTAATTCTTTTACTTTTATTAGCTGAACAATTGATTCCTATGATCTATCACAATGGTTTGTTCTGGGCTATATGTGCTCCACAAGCTTTTGCACCAAAATTGATCACTTTATACTATTTGAATTATTTGACTAAATTCGTTGAATTGATTGATACTGTTTTCCTAGTCCTAAAGAGAAAAAAACTTTTATTCTTACACACCTATCACCATGGTGCAACTGCTTTATTATGTTACACACAATTGATGGGTCACACCGCTGTTGAATGGGTACCAATCACTTTGAACTTAGGTGTTCACGTTGTTATGTACTGGTACTATTTCCTTTCCTCGTGTGGTATTAGAGTCTGGTGGAAACAATGGGTCACTAGATTCCAAATTATTCAATTTTTGATTGATTTAGTGTTCGTTTATTTTGCCACCTACACATTCTACGCTAATAAGTACTTCCATAATATCTTACCACACAAGGGTACATGTTACGGCACTCAAGATGCCGCTGCTTATGGTTATTTGATTTTAACTTCTTACTTGGTTTTATTCATTTCTTTCTACATCAATTCTTATAAGAAGAAGGGTGTTAAGAAGTCTAAATCCAGTTCCAAGAAATCTGCTTCAAAGAAGTCTTCTTCTGGTTCTTCTAAAAGCAAGATCTCTGGCTCAAAGAAACATGTTACCAAGGCTACTTCTAGAAAAGCTTAAATTGAAATTCAGCAAGAATAAAAAAAGTGAATAAAAAATATTGAAATAAAGTGAAAAAATTAGAAAATTTATGGATATTTCTAGAAATTGAGATGTCACCAATTTGATTCAACGGTCATCGTTAACAAAATAGACATTTATGTTTTCACATTTATTTTTTTTGTTCCTCTATCATTTTTTTAATCTTTATTTATTTATTTTGAATATGTTATCTTCTTTTTATTGTTACGTAGATGAGTTTGAATATTGAAATGATAACATTGTATTTTATATAACGTATATTTATAAAATGTAAACAAACAATGAAAATGTATGATTAGTTTTAAGCACATTATGTGTATTAACATCTATATTATTTATATTTGGGTATCTACTTATTTCAACATTCTAATTTTATATGGCTATGCCTTTAAGGTGAATTACATACTATTCATGGCAAAAAAGAAAAAAACAAAACAGAAGTACGAAAACTTCAAAAGATTCTGATCAGTGAACCAAATAAAATCTTGTGTATTTTATAGTACATACTTAATAATATAACGATAAACTAAAATTACAAATATACATATATAAAGGATTGTATTGTATAACGACAAAAGAGGGATGATGATATAATAAGGGAAAAGAGAATGAAATAATTTAAAGTCACAATATACTCTACACCAAGCATTCAGTCATATTGAGCTATAGTAGCCAATGTATCCACATCATAATCAACTTTACCAGCAGAAAATTGTTCATTGAATAATCTGATCTTAACAATATCCTCTAAATAATCATCACCTAGTTTTGGAATAAAATTATTTAAAAACTCATATTCAATTCTTCTAGAAGTTGAAGATTCAGTTATCATAATCTTTAACAGTAATCTAACAATTTTACCTGCATCATTGGCCAAATATTGGTCCCAAAATGCAGTACAAACTGGGATATGAATATCTAACAGTTGGTCTACTTCTGTCATGTCTTCAGTATTGTTTGAATTATCAATTATCTTCTTAAAATGGCCTTCAACACGAACATATCCAGTTTGTTCACAGTAAGCTTTGTAAGACAATGGTACAATAGTATTAACGGTAGACAAGTATTCGTATAAATCTTCATTGATTATATGATCTAAGATTGAATCAATTTCTGTTTCAATAATCTTGTTTTCATTGCCATTGAAAAATCTACGATTAAGGTTATTAATATTAGTGTTATTATCATTTAACAAATTGGAACCAGAAGTTGATTGATTATTATCCCCATTGCCACTAACATTACTAGTATTATTATTGTTGCTATTAGAAATAAATTCGACTGTAATGAATCTCTTAATAATACTACGAATAATCTTACCAACCTTATTAACAATTTCAGATAAGGATACAGTTTTGAAAACGTATTCTAGAATGTCTCTATCAAATAAAGTGGCAGGACAGCAGAATAATGCTAACTGATTCATTTTATCATCCAATAATGATTTCTTATATTTTAGAAGAACAGTTTGGATTCTTCTAAAGATGGTGACTAAGGTTTGAATCTTACAATCATCGATGATTTCAGTCAATTGCTTTTCGATTGATAAAATTGTAAAAAGGATATAGATGAAATTCAATTTTTTGGTAGCACCAAAAAATATGATCAATTTATTAATTGATTTAATGAAATCTAGTAGTACTGAAATAACATCAAAATCAATTTCTTTGAAATTTTCACATTGTAAACCAGTTTGAATATTTAAAATAATTTGTTTCAAATTAATAAAAGTCTCTAATGTGGATTGTGCTGTCGAATAGAAATATTTGTCGAATCTTTGTAAAATTGGGCCATTGATCTCATTGAAAGTATCCTTGTACATTTGGTCGAATCTTTCTAACTGCCATGGATTAGAATTTAACTCATCATAAAACTGGCTGATTCTATTAAAAATTGATTGTGTGTTATTAGAAATCTTTACATTAGAAAGGTCCACACAAGCATCCAACAGATGTTGCTCAGCGTCATTAGAATAGTAATTTTTAGGTTTGAAACAGTTAGCATCATTTTCATTGGCTGCGGATACTGTCATTGTATTTTGTGGGTCCAATAATGAGTTGCCAGTTATACCATTGCCATTACTAATATTATTATTACTGTTTACTGGTGTTTCTGTAAAAGAAGAAGTTACATTTGCCGATGTATTATTATCAGTAAAGATGGGTTTAACAATTTCAGATAGAATAGATATAATACAATTATGGATTGGAATATTATCACCATGTAAGATATTAGAATAACCTAAGTGACCCGTATGAGTCAAATCTGGTCTAGAGACAGTCAAGGATAAAGTTGACTTACTCAAAGTTGGAATCCTTTGATAAGCATCTAACAATTGATTTCTTACAGTGATGGTATTGATCAGGTTAGATTTAGATAATTTTAAATTCAATGGGATTGTTTTCAAACTGTTGTTATACATATCATAGTATTGTAAAGAGAGAACGTTAATTGGATATCTTTCTTTACTCAATTTATTATTCCAAACATTTGATGTCAATGAAAATAGAGTGATCTTGTTAATTTCAGTTAAGAAGAAATGTAATCTATTAGTTAAGAAATTGGATCTTTCAGACAAATCAGTAGATAAATTGTCTACATCGATGATCAGTTGTAAATCTAAATCGTTTCTAACAGTAGTACGCTTAACAATATCATTAATTTGATTGGAGATGTATCTAATAGTAGATTTGACATTGGATTGGTTTGGGAAATATGGTTTAGACAATTTTGAATATAATAATTTCATTGCAGGATCATTAATGAAATTGATTGATAAATTTTGGGATGCTATAATTATAGCCATTAATTTAGATAATGGGAAAGAATTTTGTCTTTCTTGAATCACTGGATCCACAGTTTTCACACTAAATGGTACAATAGAGGCGATACCATCAGAATCTACATAATTGGTGTTGGTAACAGTAGTACGAGCGTTACTATTGTTGTGACTATAATTGTTAGTACTATTACTATTATTATTATTGTTGTTGTTGTTGATATTATTAGCATAATAGTTGTTATAATAAGCCATAAAATCAGAAGAACTTTTATTAGGGATGTTATAATGATTCTTTAAAGGATTAGTTTGAGCAAAAAGTTCTGGTTTATCAGCATAATAAGAGACAAGCGGATCCAAACGATGGATTTTTCTTAAATGTTTTTGTAGTTTCTTAGTAGTTTGTAAAGAGTCATTGCTACTGGTGTTATTTGTAGTATTATTGGAATCATTAGAAGAAGTAAATTTTTCCAAAATTTCACCACAATGTTTGCATTTAACAATACTTAAATTCTTATCTATACCCAAATAATGGGTCCAAAATTTAGCTTTAGTTTTTCTAAGAAGATGAATTGGAACCCATTCTCTTATTCCATCAACAACGATTTCATCACTGACAAAATTATTATTAGGTAAAGTGGATCTGTGCAAGGTAGCAGCTGCGGCTGCGGCTGCAGAAGTAGTGGTGATCGTAGAGGTGGTGGAGTTGTTGTGGATAGTGTTATCAGTTGTAATTGTCATAGAAGCAACATCTGTAGCAGCAGATGAATTAACAATAGTAGTTTTACTTGTAGACAAATCATTATTGACTTGAGTATTCTTCATAATAGCATTACCGTTGTCGTTCTCATCATCATCATCATTCTCTTCTTCTTCCTCTTCTTCTTCTTCTTCTTCTTCGTCAGCAGGTTCGTCATCCATGTCACTGAATTGTGAATGGTTTTGATCATTAACTTTATTTTGTGTATTGACAACAGAAGATAATTTATTATTAGTAGTACTGGTGTGATCTGTAGTAATACCTGTGATAGGAAAGTTAGAATTTGGGACAGATGGAACACCATTAGTTGCGGAACCAACATACAATGGATTATTATTATTATTATTATTGTTATTATTATTGTTAGTTAAGGGTGGTAGAACTAATCCACCTTTGTTAGAAGAGTTGTCATTTGGAATGGATGAAGAGATATTATTGATACTATTAATATTACTGGTACTTTCACCAGTGCTCATATTGTTTGTATGATTATCCATGATATATATCAATGGTTTATAGTATGATTAATATCACTGAACGTATATTAATTTAATCTAGTGTATTTTTGTAGATATGTGTGTGACTATGTGACTGCGTTTTCTGTAAGTAATTGCACTAATGATTTAAAATGTAATATAGGATAGATATGATTAAAAAAAAAACAAAAACAAAAACAAAAACAAAAAATAAAGGTAACTGTAATCTTTCAAATATACGTGTTTCATTTGTTTATTCTTCTAATTCAATGTTTAAAATGACACGAAAGGGAGAGAGTGAGAGAGAGAAGGAAAATAGTGAAAGAAATAAAAAAAATAAAAAAACCAAAAAAATTTTCTGAAAATTTTCACTCATGCCCCTTTTGATTTCAAAATTTTGCCAATCAAATGTTAGATCAGTACTTCATGAACCCTACACAACCCTATGTAACTCTCCCATCATACTTAATACGATTTCTAACTCCCATACAGTTTTTGGCAGTTTTAGGTATATCGTTAGACACGAATGGAATCATCTTGTTTGCTGAGATTCATTCCGCGGGGTTTTTTTTTTCTTTAACACCTGCAAAAATCTGTTCACCCATACACCCACATTTCCCCACGCTATCCTCTAGATTTTTTCCTTATGTCTTGTTTTTGCTTGTTTTTGTGTTTTTTTTTTATTGTTTTAGTTCCACCGAAGTTTAGATAATGTTGACAAAAATGAAAAAAAAAAAAAAGAAAAAAAGGGAGTTGGACCAACAGCCACTCACAAAACAACGCCTTCTACAGTGCGGCATTTACACATCCACAGATAACCTAAACAGGAAATCAAGTTGTAGTTACAAAATAAAACAAAATAAAAGACAAAAAGAAAAAAAGAATAAAGAACAAAGTAGGAGGCAAGGTTCCAGACAAAGCACTATTTCTTCTATTATCTTATTTCCATTTCTTGTGTTTCCAGTAAGGCTGGAAAAATAACGGTACTGCTGTGAAAAAAAAAAAAAAAAAAAAAAAAAAAGAGAGGAAGAAGAAAAAGTAAAAAGAAGTAAAAAATGAAACAGGAAAGGTTGGGTAACAACATATTAGTTTGTGTTTTCTCAAGAGGCATAATTATTTAAAATTAGGGTTTTGTAAAAAAAATGTCTTGGAATCATTTTCATTTACCATGGATTTCAAATACAACTTTCAGATAAATTAAAAATAATATGAAAGATGATTTAACAGTAATTTTTATCTCCTTGATAAATTTCCTTCTTTTGTTGGTGTTTAATAAAAAAACACTAATACACATTAGGTTTGAGTTTAAAGGAAAAAAGAATAAAAGCAAAGGTACTTTACAAGATGATAGGGCTGTAATACATTTTGTTATAAAAAAAGAAAAATAACACTTCTGTGAGAATTTTCTCGAAGGGAAGAAGGAGAAGTAGTAGACAAACCGTCAATGGTAGAATAATTTCTTACAAGTGTACCTTCTACTTTCCCTTTTTCTTTTTTGCTTCTTTCCTCCCTCTCTCCCCCCCCCCACGCTAATGGCGGTGACAATAAAACAAACAAAAACAATCGACACTAATCAATAGATGGAAAAAAAAAAAAACAAAACAAAACAAAAAAAGAAGTGGAACGGCTGTTTTTGTTTTGTTGTTAAGCAGAAGAAAAAAAAGAAAAAAAGAAAAACAAGATAAGTATGCAAGATCATAATACAAATAAACAAACAATATCCTCTCTTCCCTCCTCCTCCCCCTCCTTTTCCTCCTTATCATACCGCGGGATATTATATGTTGATGTCATTAGCCAAATACAGAACGATCAATTGATGACAACAAATCTTTTTGGGTAATGGTTCGGGTCCATGGAACTCTGAAAAGAAAAAATAAAAAAAAAAGGACAGAAAAAGAAGAGTAGCTATTATTTCCTTTGTTTTTTTTTTTATTTTACATCTTAGTGTGTTTCATTGGATTTTTTGGACTACTATGTAATATAATACAATACAATACAATACAAAATAATATAATATAAAATAACATAATATACTATAATGTCTAGTAAGTGGTGTGGTGGAATGTTAATGGGATTGGCAGTGTCAATGCAGGAGTATAGACATGTGAGAATACAGTATGAGGCATATAGATGATGGGATTCAGTGTGCATAACTTGGAAAGAGATGGTTTTGACTGATTTCGACTAGCAAAAAACATTTTCCATGCTCTATATGGTTTTGTCCACTTTTTCAACCTGTCTTCCTGGGACGTCAGGTTATTGTGATTGGAAATATACTACAACTCAACTAACCACTTGATTGTTTTTGTATTGTTTTCTTGTTTGGACTCTACTATCTTGTTTCTTTTTTTTTTTGTTTTTTTGTTTTCTTTGTTTTCATGTATATGTATATATAATTGCAAATAAATATCTATTTATATATGTACAATTTATATATATATATATACATATATATGTATACAGGTATGTATGGATCAAGTGGCTGGTTAGTAAGCATTACACTTGAAAAAAAAAAGAGATTTGGCATAAGTTGATTAGCGTTGTTGTTTGCGTATTCAAGGACTTTTACCTGTCACCTGTTTTGTTTTTCTTTCTCTTTTCTTCCTTTTATCATATGCTTGTTCTTTATCGGAAATCACGATAGTATAAATAAAACAAAATATTATAGATTCTATTCCATTATCCCCATCGAGTTTGGCTTTTGATCAGTGCTTTGTCCGTCTTTCTTCTAATTTAAATATTTAGTATAGTCTGCATTCATATTAATGTCATTAATACTATACCAAGTATTTTAACTATCACTCTAAATATAATTCATAAATATCAAGTCCTTTCATTTTTTTTTTTTTATTTCACTTGTCAAAAAAATAATAATAACAAGAGCAGAAAATCTATAGAATAGATAAATTTAGATTATTATAAATATACACAGATACATACACATATACATAGAGATAAGTGCAAGAAATTACGATAAGGAACATGTCTAATACTTCTTTGCTTAATGAGTTACATTTAAACAACTATAACTTCCACTCAATAAATAATATACCGTCAACTAACAATACCCATAACAACATGAATATGAATATGAACATGAACATGAACAATATTCCCTTGTCAAGAAACAATTCTACTATATCACTAGATAAATATCATGAACCATCTTCAATCGAAAAATCTAATTTACTGAAGAAATATAATAGTTCGAATCTGAATTTAAATTTAAATTTAAGCATAACTTCAACATCTTCCTCCTTAGATAACCAACAGTCCTTATCTAGTCAACTACATTCTTTTAATAGTTTTGCTTTACCTCCCATCTCTTCTTTCGATAATTTAGTTAGAGCTGCTGAAAGACAATATAATAGTAGTACCATAAATAATAATAATATTAATATTAATATAAATAATGTTAACTCTAATAGCAATTCTAATTTATCTAATATTAACCCGCTTTTAAGAAGAGAACCATTACATAAAGAAATCATACTGAAAAAGAATGAAAATGCAAATGGTGCTAAAAAGATAACAGGTAATAAGATAAATAAGCCAAGAAGAAAAAAACAATGTCCTATGTGTTTGAATTATTACGCTAACCTCTCCACGCATAAATCTACCCATTTAACCCCCGAGGATCGTCCTCATCGTTGTACCATTTGTAACAGAGGCTTTGCTAGAAATAACGATTTGATCAGGCATCAAAAGAGACACTGGAAGGAAAATAATCAAATAGATTCAAATATGAGTGAACATGATAAATTGATGACCTTACATAAAATTAAGGGTACTTTTAAATGCCCCTTCAATTCAACTTTGATCCAGTTAGACATGGAAATGTATCCTTACAAGTCTCGTCCTTTGATGTTTGAAACCTCAAATTGTCATCAAACAGGTATTTTCTCTCGTTGCGATACTTATAAGAACCATTTAAGAGCTTTACATTTTGAGTATCCTCCTGGAACAAAGAAAAAGGATAGAAACTCTACTCCTGGTAGATGCAGAAATTGTGGTGCCAAATTTAATAATGCTGATGAATGGTTAAACAATCATGTTGGTGAAAATTGTGGATATTTTTATCACTAAACAAAATACTCTTTTATCTATTCCTATATATATGTATATATATATATATATACCCTACCTTATTTATAGAATTTTTTTCCTATGTTTATTAATGTAATAATGCAAAATACTTTATGTTCAGAAAAGAATGATCCTTTATACGGTTTCACTTTAATTGGTGAAATTTATTATTGTCATACACTAATATTGTTTCCATATTATTTAAATAATAAAGAGGGATTCTCGTAGGATACTTGCTCATGCCAGTCGCATCCTTAAAAGAAATTGTCTTTACCCAGCAGCCATATTTAAATTGTATCCTTTCAAGTACTTTGCACAATTTGTTGAATAGTTTTAAATTTTCTGGATCAAATGAATATATGGATAAATTATCGATAATAATGCCGTATAAGACCATATCTTTATAGTTATCAAATAAATATTGACCCATCAGTATCTCATTATCAAGAAATGCTATTAAATTTTGGAATTTTATATACTTAGAATCTTTGATGATATGAATATCAGTTTTCCGTAATTGATCCTCTGCCCTATCCTGATTCCTAACATTATCGCCCCATACATTTAGTAGATCAATGACTAATGTCAGTTTACAAGTGGGTCTATTACTTGAACTGGTTTCAGTGGTTGCAAGTTCTTTTCGTTGATGTATCCATTGATAAGATTTGTTTTTTATTTCGTCTAGTATTATATGGACCAAACCATTATGAGCTATTGGTTCTTTATGTCGTGGAATTGTAATATATTGAGAAATTGGATATATCCTACAATGTGCTAAAATGTCCATGTTTAATATATTATCACCATTGATTTATGTTTAACTTCTTTCTTCTTCTTTTTATTTCTATTTCTTTCATTTTAAGTGGATATGTTTGATGGATTTCTTTGAAACATAATAATCATTATCACTAAAAAAATGTAGCTGTTCTGGTACAAGTCTACTAATTATGATGCTTTTATTTGCCTATGTTTTCTTTTTTTTTTTCATTAGACTTAGTGTTAAATAGGAAAGAATTAAAAGCAAATCAAAAGACAAAAAGAAAAAAAAAAAGGAGATAATTAAATATTTATCTTTATAAAAAATATAACAACGGCCGAAAGAATATATTAGACGAGTAAATAAATACAGAAATGTGAATATAAATATGAATGTGAATGTGAATGTAGATACTAAATAGTCAACAATACCAAAAAGCAATAATAAAATACCCATGTACAATTAGTTTTTACCGATATGAGCCAAATATTTGTTAACTTCTCTTGGAGAACCGATCCAAATTGAAGTTCTGTCATGAATATGCGTTGGTTTTAAGTCCAGGATTCTTTCTCCCTTGTCGTTTACAGCAAGACCGCCTGCCTGTTCAACCAACATTGCCATAGGAAACGCTTCATATAGTAATCTTAATTTACCATTAGGATTTTTTTTATCACCAGGATAAGAGAATAGCCCACCGTACAGGAAAGTACGATGAACATCAGCTACCATGGAACCTACATATCTTGCAGAATATGGCCCTATTGTCTTCCACTCTACTTCATCTTTCTGTGGATACTTTAAAGTCTCGATAAAGGATTTGATTTTTGGAGACCAATGATATGAGTTACCTTCATTAATTGAATAAATTGGACGATGTTCGGGTATTTTCAAATTTGGATAAGTTAAGATGAATTCTCCTAAATTATTATCCAACGTGAATCCGTCGACACCGTCACCCATGGTCAACATTAAATGAGTGGATGAACCATACATGGCATAGCATGCACCGCACATTTCCCATCCGTGGCGTAGTACATCACTTGTTGTACCTTGAGAACCTGGTAACATTCTGAAGATAGATACAATAGTACCGACAGAGACACCTGCATCTAGATTTGAAGAACCATCAATTGGATCGCAACAGATAGCATATTTCGAGTCGTTACCTTCTAAGATGATTAGTTCTTCTTGTTCTTCGGAAACAATGCATCTAATTATTCCGCTTGATTTCATTGCATTAATGAAGATTTCATCACCTAAGACATCTAGTTTTTTCTGTTGATCACCAGTGGAATTTCTGTCACCTGTTATACCGATTAGGTTGATCAATTCGGCTTTTCTAATAGTCTGTGAAATAAATTTAAAGGCAAATTGTAATGCATTTAACACTTGAGAGAAGTCCCCCTTTGCATTTGCGTGCATTTTTTGATTTTCTAAAATGAATCTTGGCAAGGTAATGATATCTGTATCAACGTCAATATTTGGTTTGTAATCACTCTTTTGTGAACATTTTAAGCCCCTTATTATTTTGTTTCTGGAGTCATTATTTGAATTTAATAGAGTTGTTGATGGGACAGGCATATTTGTTTTACTAAATTAATATAGGAATATTGATTTTATTTCTGAATGGTGAATGTGAATGTGGATGTGGAGATATGCTTTACACAATTATAACTAAAAATATTTGGAGGTGAGGGGAGAAGGATTTGTTTGCTATGGTTATTTATATGGACCAGTGACGTATGTTGGTAATATTGACAATTATTCTACTAGTACAAAGAAAGAAAGAGAGAAAAAGGTGTTATATATGATCTTAGGAATACTAGATTACACACACACACATATATATATATATATAGAAGATTTCTAGTTATTTGAAGGTTTAAGAATAGTAACCCTTCTTCTCCTTTTATAACTAATACAATAAAAACAAATAAAATCAAATTAAATTAAATTAAATCAAGAAGTCTACTACTGGAAAATAGAATAAAAAATAAAGCCCTTAGAGTTCTATTGGTTTAAGTAACTATTATTTATTCTTTGTTCCTTTGAACAGGAGAATAGACTATTATCCTAGGTTTTTATAAAAGAGGCGATCTAGTTGTAGACAACAATAATTGGTTAGTGTTATTTACTACTGTTTGTGCCATGTATGGAGAGAAAGGAAGCGTTAATGAAGAGATATTATTTCGTTTTGCTTTGTTTCGCTTTTGCTTTTGACATTGTTATAATGGTATGTTTTCCGTTCGTCCGAACCAGCTGTGGATCGTGGAAAATCAGCCAGAATTGGAAATATTTATTTGTTTATTTGTTTGATTCTTAATTTCTCTTATTTTTATTTTAATGTGTGAGGATATCTGCCTTTATAAAATAGAGAACTTGAAGAATATGGTAAATTTTTAGTGAAGAAACATTAACTAGCTGCTCACATTTGACAGAGTCACTATGTTTTTACAAACTGTACAGTGATGCTTAGACAATATACCTTATTCTCCCTAATAACGTTTCTTTATGATTAGTGTATGGCACCGTATCAATAAAAGACATTGTTGAATCTGTGTTGTAAACGCTGATGTTGTGTTATCTAATCTATTATATATTATATACAAGATCACCCTTTATAAGTTCTATAATTTTGTCCAACGTAGCTTTTCAAGTATATGATCTTGCATTCTCAAGGGTTTTACAGCATAAATAAGTGAAAAACGAAAAAAAAAAAAAAAAAAAAAAAAAAAAGCATAAAAAAGAAAAGTAGGAACATAACAGTAACCCTGAATAATAAAACGGAATTTATCAGGTGGTAACTTGTTAACCCTAATGAAAAGTTTTTTGGTTCTAGGGCTTTCGTTCTTTTTTTTCATTTTGTATTTTTTTTTATTTTTGTCCCTTTGTTTGTTTGTGAGTTCGAACTGTGGTTTTTTTTTTTGTTTTGTTCTTTTCGTGTTTTATTTTTTTTTTTTGTTTTTTTATCGCTCCATCTTCAAGAAAGTTTTTTTCTGTTTCTTTTTCTTGTTTTTAGATGTTGTTGTCCATATCGAAGGGGAAAAAAAAATGAAAATTGAAAAATAAATAAACAGAAATTGGAAAGCACCAAAAAATTCGACTTCTTTAGTTGTATACTAACTTTGCTTGTTTATCTTATAAGCACGTAGACTAAGTTGTACTATTCTCAATTATTATACTTCTATAGCTACTGCTGCAGATCTCTTCAAAAACACCTAGTTCTAAGGAAAAGTTCCGATTGATCCCATTAAGCTACATAGATTCGAATAGGAGATAATTGCGTCTTTTTTTTTTTTTTTGGTTAACTCTATTTCCCTTTTGTTTCTTTCACTTCACTATTATCATCCTTTTTTTTTGTTTCTTACCTTATATAACTCATCCATTCATTATTACCTCCCCCTCTACTTTGGATTACAAATAAATAACTGTCGAAATAGAAAAAAAAAAAAAAAAAAAAAAAAAAAAGAAAACAAATTACATTAAAATTCAATAAATATATTAGCATATAATATTCAGATCATAACTTATTTTCACAATGGCTGGTCGTATCCTTGATTTATTCAAACCTTTTGAACCATTCTTAATTGAAGTTGTCGCACCACAGAGAAAAGTTCCTTATAACCAAAAGATCATTTGGACTGCTGTTTGCTTACTGATCTTTTTAATATTAGGTCAAATCCCATTGTATGGTATCGTCTCCTCCGAATCATCCGATCCATTATATTGGTTAAGAGCCATGTTGGCCTCAAATAGAGGTACTTTAATGGAATTAGGTGTCTCCCCAATTATTACATCTTCAATGATTTTCCAATTCTTACAAGGTACACAGTTATTAACTATTCAAATGGATAACAAGCAAGATCGTGAATTATATCAAATCGCCCAAAAAGTTTGTGCTATCATTTTAACCTTTGGTCAAGCTTTGGTCGTCGTCTTAAGTGGTAACTATGGGAAGCCAAGCGATATTGGTATTGCTATCTCCTTATTGTTGATTTTTCAATTGATGTTTGCCTCTTTTATTGTCATGTTATTGGACGAATTGTTATCCAAGGGGTATGGTTTAGGTTCAGGTATTTCACTTTTTACTGCTACTAATGTCGCTGAACAAATTTTCTGGAAGGCTTTGGCTCCAACCACTATCAACACCGGTCGTGGTAAAGAATTCGAAGGTGCAATTATTGCATTTTTCCATTTGATGTCAGTTAGAAAGGATAAGAAGAGAGCATTAGTTGAAGCCTTCTATAGAGCCAATTTACCAAACTTGTTCCAAGTATTGGCTACCGTTTTTGTGTTTTTATTTGTTTTATACTTACAAGGTTTCAATTATCAATTGCCAGTTAGATCCACAAAAGTTAGGGGTCAAATTGGCACTTATCCTATTAAGTTGTTCTACACCTCAAACACACCAATTATGTTACAAAGTGCTTTAACATCAAACGTGTTTTTGATTTCTCAAATGTTGTATCATAAATTCCCAAATAACCCAATCATTGCATTATTAGGTGTCTGGGGTGTTAAACCAGGTACTCAAGGTCCACAAGTCGCATTATCTGGGTTATCCTACTATTTACAACCAATTGATTCCTTTAAAGAAATGCTACTTGACCCAATCAAGACAGTCATCTATATCACATTTGTTCTTGGTACATGTGCACTTTTCTCAAAGACTTGGATTGAAATTTCCGGCACTTCACCACGTGATGTTGCCAAACAATTCAAAGAACAAGGCATGGTGATCAATGGTAAGAGAGAAATGAATGTTTATAAGGAACTAAAGAAAATCATCCCAGTGGCTGCTATGTTTGGTGGTGCTACTATCGGTGCATTATCAGTTGGCTCTGATTTATTAGGTACTTTAGGTTCTGGTGCCTCCATCTTAATGGCTTCAACCACTATATATGGTTATTATGAAGTTGCTGCTAAAGAAGGTGGATTTACTAAGAATTTAGTGCCTGGTTTCTCTGATTTAATGTGATCAGGTATTGAGTGGAATAATAAAAGTTAGAGAAAATGAAATAGACATCCCGGATGATCTCTTCCAATATTGCGTTATTATCATTTTCTTTCACCTTCGTTATTATCTTTGTTTAGTATATATATATATATATATTTTTATTCTTTTTTATATATTTTTTTCTACCTTGTTACTACTGTAAGTAATATACTACAAGATGCTTGTTATACTTAGAAAGGCACGAATAACTTACTTTCTTCAAATGTTATTTGCCTATTAAAGGCAGTTGGAGATATGACTACATATACGGGTAGTTCTGATAATACGGTTTACTTTAAGCATATAGCATGTGGATGTATATATATGTTGTTTTGTGAATGTGTATAAACATTTGCTTTAGAGAATTTAATGGAATCGTCTTTAATAGATAAACCATAATAAAACAGCAGCTTTGTTGAATTTTGTATTGTATTTGTTTCGTTTAGAACTTCTTCGAGCATTTTCTATTTTTATTTTTATTTTTTTTTGTTTTTGTTTTTGTTTCATTCTTTCCCTTTTTCCATTTTTATTTAACGAAGAAAATTTGCCTATAATGGGAAGAATAGGAAGATTCAACAATAAAGGAACAGAAACATGTCGAACGCATAAAGAAAGAAACAGAGAGATCTTATATTATGGTGTATAATGTGTGTTTTTTTTTTTTTTTGACAGACATTGTGCAGCTGTTGGTTATTAAACTAGCGTCTTAAATATTTAATATGGCAATTAGCTCAAAAGGTGAAATTTTATCATTCTTTGCAACCTTTCTTATTTGACTGGTTGATTGGCTGATTTGTTGATTGATTAGCTTAACTAGTTTCTCTCCTCACAAACGTATATAATTCGTTACCAGTATTATTAAGGCATTAGCATTTGTATATTTTCGAATTATCACATTATGTCTGAACTGACTACCGTTAAATCTAACTATTCTTCATTGCCCTTCCACCAGCAACTAATTTTGAAAAGAATTTGGGCCCATCTCTTCAATCTCTGGAATGTTCCTGTTTCTGGCACATTATATTTATTCGATTTACAAGGCTCGTTATCAGAACAAGAAAATGAAGATTGCATTGGTGAACCATTAAATGTGGGAATAAAGCATTCCGAATTCGAACACTTGGATATCGATTCAGGTGTTTTATATTCTGAATTTTGGGATATGCTAAGAGTGGAATCTCCAGATTGCCATCTTTTGAGATTCGCTAAAGCTAGAAACTTTCATATTAATAAAACTATCCACATGTTATCTAAAAATTTCAAATTCCGTCATCAACATCAACTAAATAAATTACTAAATAATGGTGAATATAAAATTTTCACAGAAAGAGATGTGAACCCAGGTGTTGTTGTCTGTTTAGAGAAACAAAAGGCCGTATTATTTGGCCAAGATAATCAAGGTAGACCATACATTCTAGTTAGACCTAAATTACATTATTCAAAAGATCAAACGCAATCAGAACTGGAGAAATATGCCCTATTAATCATTGAAATATCTCGTTTATTTATGAAGGAGGGTTCAATTAGCATATTATTTGATTTAACTGATTTTTCTTTATCGAATATGGATTACACACCAGTGAAGTTTATCATATCATGTTTTGAGGCGCACTATCCAGAGTCCCTAGGTTCCTTATTTATTCATAAAGCTCCTTGGTTATTTTCTCCGATCTGGAATATTATTAAAAACTGGTTGGATCCGGTAGTAGCTTCAAAGATTACTTTTACTAAAAATATCAAGGAATTAACTAAGTACATTGATTTAGATCAGTTACCTACGTATTTGAAAGGAGAAAATGATTCAATAAACCTAGATAAATATACTCCACCAGACGGGTCAAAGGATAATTTATTACATGTTAAAGAAGATGATGGAGATGATTATGATTACAAAAAGAAAATGACAGTTTTAAAGAAAAGAGATCAATTATTGAAAAAATTCCAGGATTTAACTATTCAATGGATTCAAACTAAAGATGAATTTGAATCACAAAAACTTTGGCAACTTAAATGTGAAATTGGTGAAGAATTGTGCCAAAATTATGTTCAGTTAGATCCTTATATTAGATCTAGGTCATCTTATGATATCATCGGTACTTTAAAAATGTAAAATAATATAGAAGAGTCAAAAAAACAGATGTTAAGGATACTATTTTATTATTTTGTTGGTATTCTCCTTTTCTGTGCTTAATGATAGATTTATGTTTAAAATATATAAAAACAAGCACTTGTATACACATACATACATATATATATATATGGAATATTTTCTTACTATTTGGGTGTAATTTATTCGTTATCAGGGAAGGTTTATACAGAATTTTTCTATATATTATGTCTCTTTAACAGTCTCTTGCTCTTTGTTTGTCTCTTTGTTTATTCCTTCCTTTAGAAGAAAGAAAAAGAGAGGAAATATGCATAAAACACGAAATAAAGTTGAAAAAATAAACATAAACAAAAATATTTTCGAAGATTTGATCGCTTGACACTTTGCGATTCCATCGAGGCCAGAGATTTGTCTGAGGAATAATCTTTAAAGACTGTAGATTATGAGATACACACAGTGACACTAAACACTGTTCGATAATACTTTGTTCTCGTTTTATTTAGACAATTCAATTCGTTCTTTTTTTTTTTTTTGAATATATAACTGCATACCACATTACTATTATCTAAATGGCCTATGGATTATAATGGTAAGTCCAAGAATATACGAAGCAGTTAATGAATTGTTGGATTCAAATTATGCTACTCCTCAATGGGAAATAGATAAATACTTAAAGACTTTATATTCAATATCAAACAGACATGGTATACCTACAGATCTTTTGCCAAATCTTTTGAACTTTTTATTTTACAATACTGTTGTTTCAATAAATACAAGATTAAAGATCATAAGAAGGAATTTATTACCAAATGATTACATATCAAATGAAGTATTTCATTTTATTATTGTACGACTAGGTAATGCGAAGGATAATAATATTGACAAAAATATTCAATGTGCTATTTGTAAGTGGTTATTGAACGTTTACTTCTTATTTCCTGAAAGAATACTTGACTCTGATAAATCAATATTAATATATTTGTGGAAGTATGAATATTTACAAAGATATATTACATATTTTATTGTGTGGAGTACCAATACAAAATATGATATTAAACTTTGGAAATTAAATATGTTAGATAAAGCTTCGAAAAAACCTGTTTATTCATCTTCAGATATTAATCTGACATTAATACTAAAACGATATTTGACACTGTTAGGTAAATCTGAGGTTTTATCCAATTTATTACAAAAGAAAATTAATTCAGGTAGATTACAAAAATTACAAGATTTACAAGCTTTAGAATTTGATGATAAGTTTAGTAGTAAGCTAATAAATGTTCTCTCAAGGGAAAATCCAAATAAATTTGGAATTGATATAATTAAGAAACACCAAAATATGTTATTGGATATGTTAAAAGATTCGGAGACACATACAAACACTTTAAGATATGACAGAAGAAAATTACGTAATAGTTTGTCTCCATTGTATGAAGTGAAAAATATCTCACAACTTCAGAAAAATTGGACAAAACTAAAATTACCAATTAATGTAGAGACTCTTTTCATGGCACCTCGTCATAATCCTGTGATCCAATTTTATCCAATGGTTGTAGTAAATAACCCGAAATATAATTCTAAAAAGGAACAGAAAATGAGTAGAGTTCAATATTTGTATTCTCTTAATTCTTGGGTTGAAGTTAATTTGAAAAGATGCTTTAATGATATAACAATGTTGGATGAGGAGAAGACTCCAATAATTAAGACTATAATATTTAATTGCCAAATTTTTGATGATTTGCAAATGACAGCAATTGATACATTTTTAACGTTAGAGAATTTACTATCTAATGAGAATATTGTAATAATATTAATAATGTCACTGTTTCCCATATTAAAACCTCCAATCAATAATTTTCTAGACTTTAGAAATAAAATACTGAAATTTTTAGCAATTTGTCATTTAACATATAATGATCAAAGAAATAAAAATGGGAATAGTAAAGTATTTCCTCTTATCTGTAGTGCACTTCTTTCTATGACACAGAATTGGTTTCTTACATATCCCAATGATCACAAGATTACTGATTTTGCATTTATATTATTGGCTGATATAAGAAAACTAATACTTGCAAACATGAAATATTCCATAGAAGATCGATTCTTATCAATGACATTAATTAAATTAGTAACTAATTTAACTGAGATTACACCTATGTATAAGACAATATCTTCTGGTACAGCTCTACATTTTGATAAACTAGTATTAAATAGAGACACAATTCACAAAATGGTATTATTGGATGACCCTTTGATATTAAATGCGTGTTGTAAATATTTAATTAAAATGACGGATGTTTTGATCAATCATCCTCAATCTGGTAAATTTATTGAATTACAAAATCAATATATTTTAGATATCACGAACTATCTTTGGAGAAATAAAATAATGGAAAAACGTAAACTTTTTAATATTCCTACTGAATTTCTGAAGCAGATTTTAGATAATTGTTTTTTCCCTGGCGTTAAGAATAAAGATAAAGCTGTTTTTACAATCACTGGTATTCCGGCTATGTCATTTATATCGATTAAAGCACTAGAAGTAATAGAAAAGAAGGAGTACGTTAAATATCATTATGATAGGTTATTAACAGAAGAAGATTTTGCATTATTTAAAAAATATATTACAGAAACAAACATTGAATGGATGTCAAATGAGATTGATCTAGTTTCATTGAAGATTTCAATTTTAAAAGAAATATTCAATATGCAACCTTATAATGAAATTGCAAAATTTTTATTCGCATTTTTAAAGAGTCTTTCAAAGTATAATCATGCAGACAAATAAATGTCAAATTATTTACAGGATTTTGTATGTCTATATATGAAAATGAATGTGTATCTTATATATATTTTGTAAAGAATCAAGCATTTTTAATCAATTTTTTTCTTCTTTTTTGAAAAGGTTCTTTCTTTTCTTGAAAGTAAAATTAATGATATTGTTCTTTAGAATTATTTTATCATAATTCAAACCCTTCAAAAATCTTTGACTATCAAGTGATGACATTACTTTGTCAAGAACATATTCTTCACCCTTATCAAACAAATCACGTTCATCGACAAACCAGAATCTGGATCTACCATTTACAGCTACCTGATAACATTTATAATGCCAATCTGCAAGTGGATATACCCTTGGCCATTCATAATGATTCCATTCTTCAAGTGTTGGTTGCGCACTTTTTATTATCGATGCACATTCTTCTGAAATACAAGGTGCTACCGGATAAAGTTCAGTAACTAATTTTCTCAAGTTTTGCATAATCAGTGAATTCCTAATTTTTCCTTCACGATGAGCTGCTTCCAATAATTGAGTCATCTTCATATAATCTGATATAATAGTGTTAAGCGATAAATACTTTTCAAATGACTCTGTTATTCTTCTAGACAATTTCTCAAATTCATTATGGAAATTTATTTCTACTTCATTTTTATCATTTGGTTTAATATAGTCCTGATTAAAAATGTCGTCCTTTGCTTCAGCTATATCTTTAGTCAATTTAACAACATGATCTAACCAACGTTCAACACCAACAATCTTTGTGTCATCCCATTTTAACACTTCCGAGATTGGACTTTGGAAAAGCATATGAGCTCTTGTGGCATCAGGACCATGATTTCTAATACATTCATCTGGATCAACACCGTTATATTTTGATTTGGACATTTTTTCATATGTGATAGCAGGCTTAGTTCCAGTTTCTTTAATGAACCATTCTGAGCCCCTCAATTCGATTTCATCAGGCTTTAAAAATCTACCATTATTTGAGTCAATGAAAGTTTTACCGTGAACCATCCCTTGGGTTACTAATTGTTTGAATGGTTCATTTGTAGCATGATCCCACATGTTAATGGACCCCATGAATTTACTGATAAACCTTGAATATAAAAGATGTAAAATAGCGTGTTCAATACCCCCAATATAAAGATCAATGGGCATACTGTCGTTAATTTTCTTTGGATCGAAAGGTGATTTATCATTTTTAGGATCTAAGTACCTGAAATAATACCAAGAACTGTCGATAAAAGTGTCCATGGTATCTGTTTCTCTTTTTGCATCACCACCACAAGACGGGCATTTAACATTAACAAACTCGGGAATATGTTCCAGGGGATTACCACCTTTCTTGGGGATCCCTTGAATGTCAGGTAATAATACAGGTAAATCTTCTTCGGGAACAGGGACAGAACCACATGAATGACAATGAATAATTGGAATTGGAGTTCCCCAGTACCTTTGCCTGCTGATTAACCAATCTCTTAATTTAGTCTTACTGACTGCTTTTGCAATACCGATTGTGGCTAAATCCTCAATAATTTTCTTTCTTGCTTCGATTGTTGACATATTAAAATATTTTTCGGCATTAGATTGCATGAATCCTACATCAGATGTATAGGGTGGATCTAGTTGAGATTGGTTGAAGACTTGGTTTTTATCCTTTATTCTCTTAGGTTGAATACAAGTATAGATGATATGTTTAGAAGTTCTATCATCATTATTATTACTATTCCAAAAATCGAAATCTCTCTGATCATGGCCTGGACAACCCATAACAGCTGTTCCATTTTCACCATAATCAGACATAACATAAGGCGCTACAAAGATAGGTATAGACTGGTTATTGAATGGGTTAACAGCTGAAATATCTTTTATTAGGTACCCTTTCTTAGTATTTTTAGGCAAAGACGGTAAAAGGTTAATAAAGCTTTGTAAATGTGGGTCATTTGCACTGTATTTTTGAACAATTGGATGATTCCAAGACAATGCTAAATATTGGACAACAGGCAGAGTCTCTGCTCTTGTTGTATATACAGTAATATAGTTGAATTGTGGATCATTTGTCTTGAATCTGATATCTGCACCTTGTGAATAGCCTATCCAATTAATTTGCATGTTTTTTACATTTTCTGGCCACAAAGATAAATGATTCAAACCGTTAAGTAAAGAAGAGGAGAATTTTGTGATCCCAAGAAACCATTGTTTCAACATTTTTTTCTCAACAAGAGCCCCGGACCTCCATGATCTACCTTTTGAATCTACCTGTTCATTAGCTAAGACAGTCTTGTCCACGGGGTCCCAATTAATTTCGGCCTCCTTTTGATAAGCAAGGCCATTTTTAAACAGTTGCAAAAAAATCCATTGAGTGAAACGGTAGTAGTTTGGATCACAAGTCTTAACTTCTTTGTCCCATTGAAAATTAGCCAACATGTGATTCATCTGTTGCTTCATTTTTATGATATTTTGTTCAGTCCAGAGATGAGGGTCGATATTTCTTTCAATAGCGGCGTTTTCAGCAGGTAATCCGAATGCGTCCCAACCCATTGGATGTATAACATTGTGACCTCTTTGTTGATAGAATCTATTTAGAGAGTCACTTATAACATATACACGCAAGTGGCCCATATGCAACATACCTGAAGGATAAGGGAACATGGAGAGAATATAAACATTTTTTTTCTTACCTGGTACTAAATTGTTTGAACTAACTGGAATTGGAACACCTTTAATGACATGATCCTTCCATTTGTCACCGATCTTCAATAACCTTAAAGATAATGAATTAATTGCAGTAGAGGTTGTTGTCTTTGCTAACTGAGAGTTTGGCATAACTCATAATAAAAATGGATCAAATAATTGTAATCAGAAAAAAATGATAAAAAAAACAAAGTAAAACAAAACGAGACGAAAAAAACTTGTTGTATATATAGCTATGTGTGTGTATGTAAGATGCTTGTCTATCTGTACATAATCATCCTTTTATTATTAACCATATCTTTTGATGAAATGATTTAAAGATCTCTCGTTTTTTCTTTCTTCCCTGCTCCTTTTGAACTTTTTTATAAACCAAAAAAGATCCGTACACCCTTCTCTTGTAGATTTTTTTAAATATTTTGAATTGAACAACTAAGTATTCCATCCTAGCAATAAAAATGCAAATATAATAGCAATTGACAATGACAAATAATAATCATATTTTAATGCAAAATATAGCATATCTATCTCGGAACCCAGCCATTTACCCCGTCCCCGTAGTACAAAATTATTCATTTTGCAAGTTGATATAGTTTTACAATATACTATACTGCACTTCTATATAATGAGCTGTGTACTACGGAATATTATGGCTTCTTCTGCACAACTAAACAAAATAGGAAGTTGGTTAGTTGACTAACTTTTAACAGATATATATATATATATATATATCTGTTACAACACATACCAGAATGATATCTGAGTTGAAATAGCCGCCCATCTTTGGCAAAACTGTTTGTTTAAAATAAAAGACAAAAAAATAATTTTGTGGATGTATGGGTGCATACACATCGTTTAACACGAAACACTGTGCTCACGTGCTTACGGTAGTTTCCTGTTTACGCGTTGTTTTTTTTTTTTGTAGCATTCTATTGTGAAGTGTTGGAAAACATTCAGAAATTATTCTGATCTACCATTATTATTATTATTATTACTATTTCTATACTTCTCGATGTTGTGAATCAATCAACAAAGTTTAACATAATTCTAGGTAAGCCATATTATTCTCCTTTCAGTGTTAGATATTTTTACAATTAAAGAACAGTATATAGTTGTTGTTGTCATTTCTTATTTGTTCCGATCCTTTCTCATTTTATCTTGTCCAGTTGAACGTACACACACACACACACACACAAATCTATATATGTATATATACATGCAGATGATTATTACAATATTTTAAAATTACTACAGTGATGTCCAGTTACAATTCAAACAATAAAAGGTCCATAGATCAAGTAGATAATGAGTTACTCACCTTGGCTGCCCAACAGACTGATCAAAATGAACAAAATGACTTAAACCAAAGGAAAAAAAGAAGACGTCAGTATGCTCCAATGACACAGTACTCTAATAGTGCAAACATACAATCAGAATCACCACTACAGACAAAGAAATCAAAAACAGTCTCTGATTCTTCTAACACAAACTCAAATTCTGATTTAGACTTCCAGTGTCCTTCTGGCTACATCAAAAAAATCATTTTGAAAAATTTCATGTGTCATGAAAATTTTGAGATGGATTTCGGTCCAAGATTAAATTTTATAGTAGGTAACAACGGTAGTGGTAAAAGTGCCATACTGACAGCTATCACTGTTGGGTTAGGTGCTAAGGCTAGTGAAACTAATAGAGGTAATTCTTTGAAAGATTTGATTAGAAATGGTTGTTATTCAACTAAAATAACAATCATCCTAGATAACTCTTCCTATGGTTCTTATCAAATGGGTACTTTTGGCAAAAAAATCATTATTGAAAGAGTCATAAAAAGAGATGGACCAGCTTCCTTCAGTTTGAAGACAGAGAATGGGAAGGAAATCAGTCATAAGAAAAAAGATATTCAAGCCGTTATCGATTATTTTTCTATTCCTATTAGTAACCCCATGTGTTTCTTATCACAAGATAATGCAAGATCCTTCTTAACTGCAAGTACTCCACAAGACAAATACATGCATTTTATGAAGGGCACTCTTCTACACGATCTCAATGTAAATTTAGAACATGCTAAGAAGATTTGCATTAATGCAAATGAAAATATGTCGTTGCATCTAGAAAACTTGAAGTTTTTGAAGAAGGATTATGAGGATGCAAAAACTTTGGTCAAGGAATTACACCAGACCAGTAACCTCAATGAAATGAAAAGATTGTTACAGGCGAAATCTTGTTGGATAGATATCAAATATAACGAAAAATCGGTATTGAAAAGAAAAAATGATATCCAACTGTATAAGGAGAAATTGGATGATATTGAATCTTCCATGAACAAGAAACGAGAGAAGATTGAAAGATATGAATCGGACAATAAATTGGATTCTAAGGACATTGAAGCCAAAAATAATGAATGGGAGGTTAAAGACCAAAAACATCAACAAGTTAAAGATCAATTGAGAGCAGTGAGACGGTCCTATGATATAACAAAGGAGAATATTAATGAAGCTGAGATGAAAATCAAAGAATGTAATGATAGGATTAATGGATTGGATAAAAGTATTCAACATCTGAAAGACGAATTAAAAAAAAGAATGAATGATAATAAAGAACAGATGAGACTAGAACATACCCGTTTAACTGATGAAAATAAGGAACTAGCCGAGTTGCTAGGCAACCTTTCATCTCAGATTCAAGAGCTAGAAAATGAAGAAAGAAATCTTTTAGGTAGGCGTAATGAAGAGATTAAACAGTTAGAGACCACGATAAAAAGGAATCAACATGAACTGAGAAGGATTAAAGATGGGAATATCTCCTTTTTGAGTAATTTTGATCCAAGGATGGAAGTGTTATTAAAACAGATTCAAGCTAATAAGACACGTTTTAGAAAAGTTCCTATGGGTCCGTTAGGTAATTATGTTACTGTTAAGGATTATTACAGAGAATGGACTCCGTCTATTCAAAGGTATTTATCATCAACTCTAAGCTCCTTTGTTGTATGTTGTCCTGAAGATAATAGAATTTTAAGAACTCTTATTAGAAATTGTGGTATAAAAGCAAATATTTCAATTATCACTTATAGATTTGAACATTTTAACATTGAGGCAACAAAACCACAGGTCGAATTCCTAACCATTATTGATAGTCTAGAATTTTCAAAACCTGAATTAAAATTCCTTTTTGTTGATATAAATAGAATCGAACAAGTTTTATTAATCAAGGACCATAATAAAGCACGTAATTTTTTAAGAACAAAACCTAAAAACGTTGTTATGATTTTATCTCAAAATTTAAGTAATTCTAATTTTGGGTTTCAATTAGTAGGTGGTTATAGATTAGATTCGGTGTCTTATGAACAACGTCCCAAATTAAAAATGGGGTCCTTATCAGATAACGGTATTTCTTATATTCAAGATCAAATTACTGATGCCACTAATCAAATTAAAAGGATTAGGATTGAATATGATGATAAGATTAAACATTACCAAGAGGAGATCAATGAATTAAAAAGACAAAGTAAGAAAAATAATTATAAAATCCAAGAAAACAGTAAACAGATTACAAAATTAAGAATTAATTTAGAGAAAACTGAGGATACTGGTGTTTTAACTTCAAAGGAGAATGAAAAGGAGAAACAAAAAGAAGCTATTTCAGGCTATCAAACTGCTATAGAAAGTTTGAAAGTAGAATTAAATAACTTGAAGGAACAAGCTATCCTGATTAAAATTAGTTACGATGAAACAAAAAATGAACTCGATCAGACAAATGCTATAATCCAACAACTAAATGAAAAGATTGAGATAAGACATCGAAAGATTCGAAAGCATAAAGATGATATAGCATTGTTTACTGATAAAAAATTGCAATATAGTGATGCAATTGAAAAGATTAATGATAACATTAAAACTTTACAAGATGGGATTGAAGTACAAAAAGAGAATGCTCTTAAATTTGCTAGCGAAGAGGAGCTAATAGGACATGATTTACCAAATGATCAAGAACAGATTAAAGAAGAATTAAATAAAATTGCTCGTAAGATAAGAAATGCGGAAAAACAAATTGGTATGACACAAGTAGAGGTACTAAACCATTTTGAATCCGTTAGAAATCAATATAAAGAAAGTTATGCCAAGTATAAGTCAATAGACGAAGCTCTTGTACTTTTACAACAATCAATAGAAAATCGTTGGCAAAATTATCACCAATTGAAAAATCATACCTGCTTAGAGGCAGACATGGATTTCAGAAAGTCCATTAGAATCAGAAATTTTTCTGGTAATTTGCTTTTCATAGAAGATTCAAAAAGTCTGGAAATTTACATATTAACACCCAATGATGAGAAAGTGAGAAATGTTGATACACTTTCTGGTGGAGAAAAATCTTTTTCACAAATGGCTTTGCTTTTAGCTACTTGGAAACCAATGCGTTCTAGAATTATTGCATTAGATGAATTTGATGTATTTATGGATCAAGTTAATAGAAAGACTGGTACTGCTTTAATAGTGAAAAAATTGAAGGACTCTACAAGAACCCAAACAATTATTATTACGCCTCAAGATATCGGGAAGATTGCAGATATTGACAAGGCAGGAGTTAAGATACACAAAATGAGAGATCCTCAAAGACATAATAATTCGAATTTTTACAGCAAATAGGAATACTTGGGTTTGTTACTTTAAATTACAATAATAATCACTATTTTTCTTTTGCTTTTACCCTGATAGATTTTTTGTAATATTATTATAATTTAATTCATACATATCACCATATCTTATATAAAATGTTGAATTTATATATTCAACTATTTCTTTTTGCTAAACCGGGTGTTTATAACAATAGTATATTTGCGATAGAAGGGTAAATCATGTCTGTTTTTTATAGATCATGCTTTAAATTTTTATTTAACTGATATATAAACTTGAAAATAATATACATAAAATACGATTCAAAATACCCTAAAATTCCACCACCTTATTACAAGGGAAATCGGCAATTTCTGGCACAGGAATTTCTGGGATATAATACACCTCACCATTTTCATTGATTCTTTCTCTATCTTTTTCACTAATAGTAAAAATCTCTTTGACATTCTCCTTTAGCAAATCAATCAATTCTACAAATTTAGATTGAATTTGGTGGGCTTGTTCTCTCATATTACGCCTACACAAACCTTCAATCAGCATCATAGCATCTGGTTTTGTTTGATTTAGTCTATCAATCAATCTTCCTATTGATTGAACTAAATATTCTTCCTCATATATCGTACCTTTTTTACCACGAGCACGTTTACGTTCTTCACGACGCTTATTCTTAGCTGTACGTCTAGAAGCACCAGTCTTGGCTGTTCCACTTGTTTTGCCAGTATATCTAGTAAAAAAGGACTCTTTAGTAGATGTTTCAGATGGTGCAATAGAGACATCGTCTGCTTGCTCTGTTTCTTGGCCATAAAAAGCAAACGGATCTTCTTCTTTCTTAGCACGCAATTCTCTTAATCTTCTTAATTGTGAATGGACTTGACTCCTGCAATCTGCTAATAATTCAGCAATAGTACCAAAACCTTCGCCTAAGCCAGGATCAACGACTTCTTCAAGCAATTCCTTTCTGTTGTTTTTAATAGCAATCATGCATGCAGTATCAAATCTATAAGCTTTACAATATAGCTGTATAGCAGCCCGTATATCCTTCAAAAAATCTAATTGTAATTTTGCCACATCAAGATATTTATGTTCAAATGAAAGTGAATTGACTAATTCTTCAGCGACAGATTCAACATCATCTTTAAAGTATTCAATTGCAATTGTCATAGCCTCACGCCACTTCTTGGCAAGAACATATGAATCCATAGCTAATTTATATTCATTCAACATTTCATAAACAATACCAGCTTCACTGTACTGTTGAGTTGAAGATAAATATTTAGCATAATGAGAGTATATTATGTTTTGTTTTGGTAGATCGTGGCGATATAGTTGCAAACCTTTCTTATACAGATTATGGGTTTCCATGTATTGAATTAATTCATCAGACACTTCCGTAGAATCATTTTCAAGTTGAACTAAATGTTCCAGTGCTTTTTCAAAATTCTTCAAATAATCATCAATAGTGAATTTACGGCGGAGAGGTTCACTATCTTGTAAAGATTGCAAAAATGGTAAATATTCACGTGGGTCCATTTGTGACCTTTGTGCTACTAACAATGCTAATTTAATATCGTATAGGGATAAACTCACTTGGTATACTAAATTAACATCTTGTAGGAAACACAAATAGGTAACTTGGTTGTCCTTTTCCTTTGTATCTTCTATAGAGCTTATTAGTTGTAAAGCAGAAGTTAAATCTTGTGGCTTTTGAGAGGCATATGCAGTGATAATGGTTTGCATATATTTCTTTTTATAACCAGGGTTGGTCAGTAGTGTGTCTAATAAAGCTTTACATACCTTGTTGACTTTCGAGGTAGTTGGATCAAAGAATTTCTTCTTTAAATATTGTTGCATCTCGGTTAGTGGGGCAGGAGCATACTCGTATGAATCTGTTATACCAAAATTTAGAGTTTCTTTATATTTGGTTTGTGTAACATCATCTTCAATAAGACATGACACAAATAAATTCAAATAGTCAACATCAGCAATTTCATCAATAAAATGCTGTAGGTTATCCATAAACAAGTCAGGTGCATAATCATATAGTAAATCTAAATTAATACGATGTGTACGACACTTTAAGAAGGCTTCTCTGTAATTTTTTAATAAGATATTCTTACGAACTTCAGATAGAACCATAATTCTTGGATAAATAGTTTCTAAGTTACCACGGGGAGCTTGTAATACAACTGCAGCCTTAGATGGCATAGCAGAAACTAATATGGATCCTCTTTCAACTGCACGAACTCTTTCATCTTCAACATCTGGTTCAATAATAGGAAGAGTCTTGAATTTGGTGGAATTCAAATGCACAAATTGTAAGTAATGCTGGGCAGTGACAAATAATAATAAATCGTCAGTAATTTCTATAGATGTGACAGCAGATATCAAAAGAACTTGATTGGCGTATAACTTACCGCCTGATGTAACACCAAATGCCACTAACTCCGAATTATCATGTTGCCATTGACTATCTACCTCATTAGTAGTGTTATGAACCCTTTTCACTCTAAAATCGCGTACTAATTCGGGAAATTGTGTGACCTGGTTTACTTGGCCTTCAGAATCTAGTTGACAAATTGTACCGTCTCTAGTTTGATATGCTAAATAATTATAATCAAAAGTTGATTTTAACAAGATAATCTTATCAAAGACTTCCACGACATTTAGAAGAGATGGCTGTGTGATATCGTGAACGTCAATAAGAGCGATACGGGAAAGATTTTCAGAGTCCAACAAAATACCTACTATATTATCATTAATAAAGGCGATTTGACGAAGAGTATCTAACTCTGTGGCAAAAACTGATTTAGGAAAATACTTAATTACTTGTGGATGCTTCCCCTTTTTCATCTCATCAATATGGGAAATTGATGCTAGTACAAGATCATTCTTTGTAATAGCTGCATATATCTCATTAGACAAACTTGTTGAAACGTCTATAACATTATCTGAGATACTGAAATCTCTAAAATAAGCGGGAGGTGGCACATTAGCCATAGATAGTGGAGTAATGTTAACTATATTCCCATCAATTACTAAAGAAGTACCGTAATCAAACGGTTTTAAAGTTGGACCGTGCGTCATTTTAAATGTTAAATCAACGATATTAATATGATCTTCGTTAGCGTACATTAAAGTGAATTCTTTTTCAGGATGCCATTTAGCGTATTGGATATTAGGCGAACATATTTCTTGCTTTAAATACCAATGGTAGTTTTTGGTAGTCCATAATTGAATAGAATCGGTTAATACAATAGTTAAAATCTCTGAATTACTGTTCCAACATAAACTAACAATCTTTTCATCCAAGGGTAGTCTTGAATCGAACTCATAGTGTCGTAACCCGTTTCTTTCAAAGAATATTATATCTAAGGAATTTTCTTCTCCCTTATCAGTATTACGTTGGACGGAGGCGATTTGAGAACCTTGTGGTTTCCAACTCAATAAATGTTCCATACCATCTACAGGTTCAGAAGCACTATCTAACTGACCATCCCTAGAAAACACTCTTAAAACTCTTCTAGGAACAATGTTACCGGGTTCATCTGGCACTTCAGCGTTCTCAATTGTAGATGTGACAAAATATTCGCAATCACCTCTCCAAGAAATTGTCACTTCGTGTGTATCCATTTCAGTTAACTTACCTGTATCCACCATATATGGCATAGTTGGGTCTCTTAATTCATTACCAACTAATCCAGATGCTTTCAAACTAGCTAATGCTTCTCTTTCCATGGCACGAGATCCTTTACCTCTAAATTGGGTCTCCTTCTTACCCCATCCCACAGTGACATGTTTGGATTTCCTTAAATCGTCTATTTCTAATTGGTATTCAGCGATTGGTTCAAATATTTTACTCAGTAGAACCACTTTGCGGTCTTTTATAATTAAAGCTAAAGTCTCTTCATCAGGAGACCATTTAGCTGCTTCAATGCCATTATCTATAGTCCCGACAATTTCCACTACAGTGTTTAATGGGTCAAAGGTTGTTGGATCATATGTAGCAGAGATGATATCACCATGTTTAAAGACGAATATTAATTGATTCAATTCAGCGAAATGAATAAATGATAACAATTGGTCATCGAATGTTTCGATATTAAATGAGGCTAAAATATTTCTTGTCCCATCTTTCATATATTGTTGGACTTCAATCATTCCCACGTCCAAGGCACCTAAGACACTAGTTATGCTATCAGTTAAAGTGTCGAAGACGCTATCTAATAGATGAAATTCGACTCCGTCATTGGCCAATTCGTCATTACTTGTAACGGTTGGTTTTAAACGACCTTTATTTAAAACTATGAGATTCTTCATGCTTCAAAAATGAAAAAAAAAAAATAGTTAATGTAATTATATTGATAATAATGATATTAATGACAATATCGATGATGTCAGTATATATATATATAATGTTATGATCCTGTTATGTCCAAAATTTCTCACTAGACTTTGATGAAAAGCGTTCAAGCGACTCTAATAATAAGATATTCTAAAATTAGTAAGGATGATAGCTTCAAATGAGGAACAGACATGGAATAGAAGAAATTCTGTATATGAGAACACAGTTTAACCCATGCTACATCTATTCTATAATATAATGTTACTCTTCTCTTCCACTCTTATTAATAAATTTTCCACTAAGAAAATATTTTGGAAAAACAAAAAAAAAAAATAAAACAAAATGGAAATCATTAATAAAAGAAGAAAAAAAGAGAACATTTCACGGATTCTGACGGGATTATGCGGAAAAAAATAAAAGGCTGTCTTTTAGAATCTTTTTAGAATATTAATTATAAGTATGGCTATTATTATTATTATTATTATTATTATTATTATTATTATTATTATTACTATTATTGTGGAATCTGAATGTTTCACATCTGTTGCAGATAAACTTTTATAAAGTATGTATATACAACTTATTTACACACTTTATACTGTTGATTGTAACAAATTATGTATTAGATCGGACTTTGCACGGGGGATAAGTTTTTTCTCCAGTTGAATAATTCTGTACTCGTAGTAAAAGTTGGCAAGTGATATCACATTAGGTATTGTTTCTTTATTATATCTATCCGACAATTCTGAAAAATCAACATTATTATCATCAACATATTTGATTTGAAATCCGTTATCAAAGATTTCTGCAACTAAAGTTTTCAATTTTCTCAAAGTTAAATTCTGTGTCGGTCTGGAATACAATTTCAACATGGGATGTTTAGTGAATTTTTGTAGAACTTCATTCTCTAGGATCGGATCTACCAGCAAATATTCCAATTTTAAAGTTTTATCCAATTTACATAACTCCTGTTGGTGTGCTAAAATGATTTGTAGTAATAATAAAACTATATTTGGTGGCAGTTCAGATAACATTATTGAATCTATATCGTGCAGTTATATAAGGAAACAGGTGTATTTGTGGATGTTTGTGTGTGCATACTCTGGTGTATTCTAATCTAGTCTTGTCTAGTCTGTGTTTTGCTTTGGTGCAGAATGAAACCGTTACTTTTGCTCTCTACCTAAGTATTTATATATAAATATAAAAATTGATATCTCGGCGGCTGCGAAATTTCAACTGTGAAAGATGTGTAGTGTTGGGTGTATGGATGTGTTTTGAGAACAAGTTAAAAAGAAATTTAAGAAAGTAAATAAATATTGGTGCATAGAGGGGAAGAAGTGTATGAATGTTATGAAGGGATGGTAAATAAAAATAGGATTGTACGAATGGGTGTTAGGTCATAGTACGTTAGATTGGGTTGGGGACAGTTGTAGTGATAGAAATAGTAATAGTGATAGATAATATGGATAAATCAATCATTAAGGGTTTAAATGATAAAATATATGAGAAGAGAAAGGCAACTGCTTTAGAATTGGAAAATTTAGTGAAGAAATGTATTTTGGATAATGATTATGAGCGTATTGATAAAATAATAGATGAACTGTGCAGAGATTATGCATATGCATTGCATCAACCTATGGCTAGAAATGCTGGGCTTATGGGCTTAGCAGCTACTTCTATTGCTTTAGGTAGTACTGAAGTGGGCCAATATTTAAGGAAGATCCTACCTCCTGTATTAACATGTTTTGGTGATCAAAATGATCAAGTGAGATTTTATGCTTGCGAAAGTCTCTATAACATTGCAAAGATTTCAAGAGGTGAAATCCTACCTTATTTCAATGAAATATTTGATGTCCTTTGCAAAATTACTGCAGATAATGAAAGTTCCGTTAAAAGTGCTGCTGAACTACTTAATAGACTCATCAAAGATATTGTTGCAGAAAAGGCTTCCAATTACAGAACAATAGTTAATAATGATCCTTCAAAAACACCAGTAGCCACTTCTCTGGATCCTCTAACAGGTAATGTTTATCAGGAGAATTATCAACAAGATAATAACGATCTTGCATTTTCTTTACCTAAATTTATTCCACTGTTAAGTGAAAGAATATATGCAATTAATCCAGATACAAGAGTATTTTTAGTTGATTGGATTCGGGTACTATTAAATGCACCTGGATTAGAATTGATGTCTTATTTACCGTCATTTCTTGGTGGACTTTTCACTTTCTTAGGTGATTCTCATAACGATGTTAAAATTATCACTAAAGAACTATTGGATTCTCTTTTACATGAAGTTAATAGAATAGCTAAATTGCAAATAGAGCTAAAGAATAAACAAAAGAAAAAACTAGAGTCATTAAAGGATAATTTAACACAAAACGTTGTTCCCAAAAAACAAGATGGCTCACTTATTGCAGAAAAGAAAAAATCGCTATTACATGCATTTAATAATCTTTCTTCTGGGAATAGTAATGCTAATACTAGTAGTAATAAATTTTCTAACGCTAGTAATGGTGATGGTAATTCCCATATTAATAATAATGAAACTGACGGTTTACCTGTAAGCTTAGAGCAAGATCAAAATGATAGGTTACAATCATTAAGGATTGAAATGGAAACCGCTATCCAAGAGAATAATATTCTTTCCACGGAGAATCATGATAAGTTTATAGAGACTAGAAACGGTGACGAATATGTTCCAAGTCAAGACATTCATTTAGATTTTACTGACATTCTAAGTATTTTAATTAATAATTTGGCATCTTCTGAGGTTGATATTCAAATATTGGCGCTCCAATGGTTAAACTCAATTCTAATGATTGCTCCAGGTGATTTGATTCCATTTTACACCAAAATATTGTCCTTACTTTTAAAATTATTATGTGACAGAGATCCTGAAGTCTCAACTATTGCACGTACAGTCAACGATAAATTGCTAATATTATGTGATAGATATGATGAATTACAACAAAGATCTTCACCTATGGTTTATGGACCTATAGTTAATAGTCTTACTTTACAATTTTTTGATAGTAAAGTAGAAGCCAAAATTGCCTGTTTAGATTGGCTGTCATTGATATACCAAAAGTCACCTGATGAAATTTTGGCACACAATGACACTATGTTCTTGACTTTGTTGAATTCCTTATCTAATAAAGATAGTCGATTGATTGAAAAAGCTTTGAGTTTGTTACAGAAACTGTGCTCAGAATCAAACGACTCTTATTTGAGGAAATTTTTGGAAGATTTTTTAAATATTTTAAGAAGAGATTCTGCTCTTTTGAAAACGAGAGCAAATTATATTATGAGAAAAATTTGTACCAGTTTATCTCCTGAGAGAATATTTAAAGTAATATCCTTAATTTTAAATACATATGAAGATACTGTCTTTGTTAGAATGATGATTCAAATATTGAGTACAAACCTAATAACTGCACCTGAAATGTTCTCCTTAAGAAAAAAATTAAGAAACGGTGATGATCCTTTATTTTTCACTCTATTATTTAAAACATGGTGTATCAATCCAGTAAGTGTTATAGGTTTGGCGTTGATAGCTGAAAATTATGAACTCGTTTACTCTGTAATTCAAGAAATGGCTAACTTTGAGCTTTCATTGAATGATCTAGTTCAATTGGATATCTTAGTTCAATTGTTTGAATCATCTGTTTTCACAAGAATGAGACTACAGCTTTTGGAGCAGCAAAAATCACAATACCTCTATAAGTGTTTATATGGGATACTAATGCTTCTTCCGCAATCTAAAGCCTTCGATATTTTAAATAGAAGGTTAAATTCCATAAACTTATGGACTTTACAACCAAGTAACAACTCAACAGTGTTATATAGACAAAGAAATGTGTCTGGATCAGTAAGTGATTCTGATAACTCACAAAGGTCAGTGTCGCAGAATAAGTTAAAAAATCAAGAATTGTTAGATCATTTCAATAGAGTCATGAATAGAGAACAAGAAGTAGTAGAATTACGATCTGTTAAGGACTCAGAACTTCCTGGATTAGGTTCTTTTATGGATGTTTCAGAAAATCGTAGTTTCCAATCAATAAATCCGTTAATGTCTAATGCCACCAATGCAATAACGGAGGTCCATACTTTGAATCATTCGTTTGCAGAACCTGATGATACGAGTTCTGTGGTATTTAGGGGAAAGCTTACAACCGATAGTTGACCTTGGGAATTCTAGAACTTGATATAAATGCTCTTATTGGCCAAGTGATTTACACTGCAGGTAATATGCAGAAATTGTGAATATATCTACTACTCGTACGTCTTATAAATATATAATTTATGTATGTATGTATTCATGTTCATAGTTAATAAAGCTACTGAAGTAATTCATCTCTATAATGAGGTTGGAAATTGATCCGTTTTGATGTCTTACGTAGATAGTCAGCACGGGCTCTTTGTTCCAATAGTTGCATTTTTTTCAATCCACTCTTGTATTGTTTCTCTGTGATACCACTAACCATTCTTCTATCTTGAGCTGTAACACTCACTGTTCTTACTGGTCGACGAGTTGTGATTGACGATATATTTTGATTATTTGAGGATAAGGGTCTTTCAAAATCTGATTGAGAATAATTATCAGTAGTATTGTTGTCTTGTTCCTCTTCACCTACTTCGAAATGAATTCTTTTGGTTGATTTAACTTTTATAATGGGCTTTTCTGTTAGCGAAGAGTAATCATAGAAAGGAGCAAACATATCTTTCTCGAAACTCGTTTCATAGGGCATTTTACAATGACGTTTAGAATTCATATGATCTCTAATACTTTTCAAACTTTTCCCAACATAATTACAACATAAACACGCATAATCAACAACAATAGTGTTGATTAGAAAATCTAATAACCCAGGTAAATCCACTAAATAGGAACGTTCTGGTATATATAACCCATGAGAATGAAACATATGTCTGATGTTTTTTTCCACTTCTTTGTTATCAATACCACAATAAAGGCAGCATGTGTGATTTAAGCTATTATCGATGTTTTCACCATTTTGAGATTTATTATCATCAGTTTCATCCTCCTCTGTTGAATAGTCACTACCAAAGTTCGATTCACTGGTAAAGCTATATTCAGAGATTGTTTCCTCATCTAGATCTGTATTATTATATTCGGTATCAAAAGTTAATTGAGAAAATTCAGAACTAATGGATTCTGTTTCAGATACTATACGCTTCAAATCTAACTCATCTTGTTTATAATCTTGGGGTATTTTGATATTAGAACTCGATATATCTGGTTCTTCCTCATTATCATAAGAGGCATGACGTTTATTATCATGGTTATGGTGGTGGTAGTGTTTTTTTTTGAAGTATTTAGAATGGTCATTTGAATTATTCAACATAGCAAAACCAAACTCATCAACTGGATTGGCTTCCTGTTCTTGTTTAGACATTTGCAATTTTTCAGCAAATTCATCTGAAGTGATAGGTGGTAGGTGAGCTACTCTTCTTTTCAAATTGTACCTATGCCATTCTGTCTTCATATGATATCTCTGTAAATCACTTGTTTTAAACTCGGTTCTACATGAGTTGCAGGTAAATATTGAACTATTCATTTTTATACTCAAATGAATATCTCTTTGTTTGTTTATTTAAGTAAATTAAAAGGTATTATTTCACAATTTGTGTATGTCTCCTTTTACTTTTGCTAAGGAGAGTGGAGAAAGAACATGGATTAACTTCATGTTAATGTGTCTGTTTAATATTTATTCCTTTATTTTTAACCTTTATACACTGTTTTCATTTATTATTTCACACACACTTCTGCAGCTAGGAAGGTAGAATATCAGCTATCATAATTCTGTATTGATCCCTCCAGTTGCCACAATAACTTTCTGCCTTCTAGAGTAATATTTCCCCTTTTGAAAAATGAGAGGAAGTCTCTTTAAGTGAGGATTTATTTTTATATATAATGAAACTCATGTAGAGGTGTATGTTTTTGTAAAGTCATCAGTATAGTGAAATAGGATTTGTTCACATCATCAGTGTAAATTAAAAAAGACTACAAAATATGTATCAGCTGTTGAGATGCTTATCTGTAACTAAATAGTGTAACAATGATTCTGATTTAAACTTTAGTGCATGATTCACCTATTTTTTGTTATATAAGACGATTAGCAAATAAAACTATAATACAAACTTTCGGAGGAGGAGACTCATAGTCAATCTATATCTATCTTTTACATAATTGGTTCTAAAATTCGCCAGTCCAAGGTAACGATGGCATTGGCCACATACGTCTGTAAAGAGACATTGCCACAACATCTTGAGCAGACAATTTAGCATCGAATCTTGCTTTGAAGTAGCCGTGTGTACCCAACTTCTCCTTGATAAATCCTGATCTTCCACTCTTGGTAAATAATGGAATGGATTTAAACCATTCCACATCTTCTGGGTTGAAGAACATGTAACGAACAGTAACAACGTTTCTATGAAATCTAAATGGATGACCAGTAAGGATGGCTCTCTTTGCCATAATTCTAGTGTGGTCTGCATTTAAGAATGTACCATGGCCTATTAGTTCAATACCGGTCCTTTCTGTAGACGATGGTTTAAAGAAGATAGCTGGAGATTGGGTAAAATCGACAGGAGCAATACAAGTGGCGATAGATTGGGTATCGGTATGTAAGAATCTTTCAAATTTATGAACATTGTTTGGACTATTTGTGTCGGCAGAAAACAAAGGTTTGATTGTGTATCTTCTAATACCATACTGTACTATTATTGGTTCTTGTGCTGGAACTGGCTTATTATATTCTTCCCATCTTTGTAATGAAAAGTTCACAACACTGTTTTTATGTTCATGTGGTAATAAACTATAAATGGCTACAGCATAAGCTTGTGGTGATAATATTTTTGTTAACAGGTTTTTTGGTAAACTTAGGTATATTTTTACATGATCCCCAGAAATCACTTGTGCATCTTCTAAAGCATCTTTTAACAATCTGTTTCTAATATTTTTATAATTACTAATTCTTAGCAAACGTTTCCACACACCAGGACGTTCTGGGTCCCTTTCATCAACATCCCAAATACAGTTATGTAAATTTTTCAAACCTCTATATCTTTTCAATCTTTCAATACCAGACTCAGCTGGATTTAATTCAATTTCATCAGGAAATTCACGATCTTCCTTTTCTAAAGCTCTATATTCTTGTAATTGACGTTCTTCTTCCTCTGGTGAAAGATCAATAAATACTTCTTCCTCTTCTGCTTCTTCATTTCCTTCTTCTAAGTTTTGTTGTTGGTCATAATTACTTTCAAATGTCATATTATCTGTATCCATGATCATGTCATCTTTATCATTTTGCTCTATTTCATCTTCATATTGTTCAGCGGCTTCTTCGTCTGGATTGATGACATCTTCTAAGTACCATTTTGCCTGATACGACGAAGTACCTTTTGGAACCTTGACTCTTTCCTCATTTTCATCACTTCTCGGCAAATATCCACCATCATCGAATCTGGCAGAAGTTAATTTTTCATATTCATAATCTTCTTCATCGGAGAACTCTTCGAAATCAACATCCTCTGGTGCATATTCATCTAATGTTTCTCTATTTTCATTAGATTCAAAATGGTTAGTTTCCTCCAAATCTATAAGAATATCATCAATTTTATTGCCATTCTTCTGAGTTTTCTTATTTGTCTTAATTGATGCTTTTAATCTTTCAATCTTAGATATTTGAAAATCACCCAGGTTTGGAATATGGACAAGTCTATTGGTGTTGAAGCCAACACCACGAACAGTACCTCTAATCATTAATTCACAATATTGGTCATTTACTTCATTGTAATCGATTTCATCTGCAACCATGTAACCTCTTGAATCTCTCCAGTTGACTGGACGTGGTAATTTTTGACATAAAGTTCTTAAAACGATTAAAGAATCTGAGGGTTTCTCTAAATTATAAATTCTGTCCTCATTAGGGAAGAAATGTTTGAAATAACTTTCTAAAGATTGTTTAATATCTAATTGGAATTTTTCCTTTGGATGAACTTCAGATAAATTGGATACGACACCAATATATGACGATATACCTTGTAATTCTAATGCACGTATAAGTTGTTCACCAACGTCTTGTTCTACCTCAGAAACACCACTTAATTGGAATACTACATAATCTGAAACTTTGGCAGCATCTAAAATGTCCATAAAATTATTTAAATCTGGAATTATAATTTTCAAATTACTCTTATATTGTTTGACATAATAATTCTTAACACAAGGTTCCCCAATATTTGTATTTTCAATACCACTAGTTTGTTGGACGTCAGCGGATGACAATATTTTGTCAATTGCATCTTGTGGATTGCAATCATCAGTCAAGGGAACAACAGTAATAATTTTTTCAGCACCATTGACACCCTCAAACAGTTTTCTATTTTCTAGAGACGCAAGGATCTTCTGTGCCCTAATTTGTTTCGCCTTGTTACGTCTTTGTAATTTAGATTCCCCCTTTAATGGTTTATTATTGGAAATTTCTCGTTCAACCTTACCCTTATGTAATCTCTTTAAAGCACCCTTGGAAGCGTGTTTTGACTTAAAGGACTTATGTGCCTTTTTGAAAGATGATCTGTGGTGGTGACCAGCCATTTTTTGGTTATTATTTAATTGGATCTGATACAAGAGAATAAATAAATAATGAGTTGGCTAGTCTTTGACAATTTTAATGAAAATCAATGCACAAAGAGAGAGACTTTTTATTTTCAAATTGCTGACTCTGTTTGTCAATGTGTTTTTCAAAGTATGATCTCATCTCATCTCAAATCTTTAAAAAAAATTTTGAACAAATTTCCTTGAAGACTTTCTCTGTCTGTTTAATTTTTTTTATTTTTTAATTTTGTTTTTGTAAAATCAAAATATTTGTTTGTGTTATTATTTATTTGACGGTCCAAACATCCATACATCTAAATATAACGATTTAATTTTTTTTTAAAAAAAGACAGTTTTTATATTATTCGATGAATTTCCTAAAATAGATTACAAAGAACATTCTAATCTGCGGCATGGGTTTTCATTTTTTGCTGTTTGTTTATTTCGTCACAAGAAGAAGGAGTGGTGGCTTTTACAAAATGGTAAGAAGAAGAGGTTTGGTTACTGAAGGGGCAAAAGGAACAGCTTGGAAGATCCAGTAGCAAGTAATACGCGTGATGTTGCCATTACCATTTTTTCCTCCTGCCTGTTTTTCGCCCACCCATAATCTTTGTTTCCCTCTACAACAGTTGCCTGCTTAACTGCACTTGTGAGACTAGGAAGAACCATCCTGTTCAAACTTTTGTAGGTTGGAGCTAGTAAGCCCTTCTTCCAACAACTTCTGTTGCACTGAATATGTATTTGGTAATGGTAATAGCTACTGTGTTTCCTTTAGTGAGACACGTACTTGCTATTCTCTTCTCTTCCATAAGACAAACAGATTACCTATCCATGAAGTGAGAGAATAGCCCTACTAACAACTGCTTGGCTTCTAGACAAAGGCTAGAGCGAGTACAGTCTATCTATTATCGTGTATTGGGATGATGATAGTATTCCTGGTGTCTTCAATAAAAATACGGTCTAAGAGAAGCCTTAAAATGAACGGTATCTTGTACCCTTATAGTGGGAAGTTTCTTGTTGTTAGATATATAATTTTAGAGCAGCTAAAGTAAACCAAATACAGAGACTATAATATAATGTATGTACCAAAGTTAAAACAAACCAGGGAATTTTTAGTGGCATTACTCGTTCATTGAATTCAATTGGACAAAGAAATAAATGGTTAGAATTATTAGGATTTGAATAATTAAATAAATAAGGAGGAAGTGTTGTAGATATTCCATTAGGCATAGACTTTATATATTTGGATAGTTTTTTTTGTATTTTCCAGTTGATTTTGTAATAGAGAATATACGTGTGAATAGAAAAATATGGAGGTATAGTCTGCCTGTTTCAAAAATAATAAGCCAAATTGTTATAAACAGGATTTCTTTTGGAATTAATGGAGTGATATTACATGCGGTATTGGTAATGTTACAAGATCAGTAAAATGTCAGTTTGTGTGTTTGATGACATTCCTATGGGACTCTATGATCAAGTTGAATACAGAGTACTAACAACTAATTGTTTGAGTGTAATATTGAGAATACTGATATAATATTTTGATATCATTATGTTATGGGTTTTTCTGTTATTATTACTTGTATGATTTATTTTATTTTTTATACAGCAAAATGGCTCACGAAAACGTCTGGTTCTCTCACCCAAGAAGATACGGTAAAGGTTCTCGTCAATGTCGTGTCTGTGCTTCTCACTCTGGTTTAATCAGAAAGTACGACTTGAACATCTGTCGTCAATGTTTCAGAGAAAAGGCTAGTGACATCGGTTTCCACAAGTACCGTTAAAAAGTTAGTTTGAATATTACATTTGTTTTATATTCTAGCTTTTTTACATACTTTGTTTTAAATAGAAATCTGTGTATAATTATACATATCCTGTTTAATCGGTCCATTTAATTAGTATTATATTATATTAAACTGTGTTGTGTTTCTAGTTTAGGAGATTGTGTATATATTTGTAGCATTTTATTGTGGTGTAGGCATTGTCTTTTAATTTCTCATATGATATGTTATACTATAACCGCTTCCTGTGAGATCAAGTCTGTAAGTTTAGATGTTATTCCTCTCTAAGTAAACCTAACTTAATTTCTAGGAAATTTTACCCGGAATTTGGATTAATTGTTCTTTGTTTTGTTTTCTGTTTTTTGTTTTTTTAGTTTGGATCGAGTGAATTTCAAATGTTTCAGTATATAAAGGTAGAAAATTTCATCTTACAGAAACACATATGACGTTGCAGCTTTCATTTTTCATATACATTTGTTCATTCACTAAAAAAGAAACCGAATCAAAATAATACTGGAAACAATGCCACAATTGGCTATTCTGTCATCAAACAGCTGCTAATTGCCAGTCCTTCAAAATAATTGAAGTACATGTTTCCCAGATCAACTATGGTCAAATAGGAAGTCCAATGTCCGTGTACTTATTATGGTATAGCAATACATATACATATTATGATAAGAGATGGATATGGGATGTCGATTATACACCACATCTTTTTTAAATGGTATTTTTTACTTTGTCTAATTAGTAGTATATTACATATGTTAAATAAGATACTTTTAAAGTCATTTCGGTATTTTTTTATATGTACAAAAAGAATTTCTTTAGATAAATTGTATTTATACATACAAATACACTTTCTTATAGTTTACACAGAGTCTTGTCCCTCGTAGAGACGGAAATTTTTAACCGGTTGACGGATTGGTGCAGTGCATAATCCAGATTTAAATTCGCCAATGTTTTCAATTAATTTACCAGAAGGATATCTAGAGGTGTTTAATTCACCTTCGTCGATGTCCTTTGCTTGTATCTGAGATTGTAAATGAACAACTATTTTGGCAGCATCTGGTCCGATAATATAGGTGTTGAAGAATTCGATCATTTCTTCTTTAGTCAACTTGGCTACTAATGCAGCTTTTCTTTGACGATGAGTAAAGTTGTAATCACCCAAATATATAGCAGCTGCATAACGTGAACTTTCTTCATTCATATTTTTGTATTTCTGTAAAAGACTTTTACATAGAGCATCTTTATGTTTATTAAAATCAGTTTCACTCATTGCTTTCAAGGTTTTGCCAAATTGTTGGTAGAAGTTGTCAATTCTCCATTCCAGATATGGGGTTGTATGTTCTGATTGAACTAAGATACGAATGTTGGAAGTACCATGGTTATTTAGACTTGAACTGAAAACTACATAACCTAACTGCTCTTTTGTTCTCAATGTATCAAAACATGGTTCATGAAGCATTTGTGCAAATAACCCACTCTTTGCAGATAACTCTTCAGTGTAAACATCAACCTGAACAACATGTTGAATACAAGAATTAACATTTTTCTTGTCTTTTAGTAAAGTTTCATACCTGAATGTTGATCCCTTAGGTATTAGATATGATCTTAATCTTCTGTTTTGACCTTGTGTATCTAAGGACTGTTTTCCCTTGAATATCGATGTAGCAATGTTTTCAACATCTTTAACTTCATTATATTTGAAGTTACCATGCACCAAAATTTCAGAGTATACTTCTTCAAACATATTTGGAATGAATTTAGTTAATTGCTCAAAAGTCAAATTTTTAACTACATTTAGTTTGTCTTCAATAGTCCATGACTTTTCATTGATTATTGCATTATAAAATGGGGATATTTGAGAATACGGAACTTCATACATCAGATTTTGAAGATTCTGTATCGTTTTGTCTTTGAAAATATCAAAGCGGATTTCCTTTGGTGTGAAATGTTTAATACCATATAAGAATTCTTGTAATATTACGTATAATTTATCATTGAACCCATAAATTGTTAAATCTAAACCTTGATTAGTTTTTGAAAATGAGACATGCGAATTGGCACAAGATGCATCATATTGTAAATCTTTTAATGAATCATTGACCAATTGGACATATAAAGTGGCAAGCATACTATTCAAAAGGCATGACTGTGTGTTAGGTAATTTTAAAGATATGTAGATGTAACCTCTTGGTTGCCAAAATCTATCATCCTTTTTGTACCAGATTTTGCCAAAATTGTTATCTTTGACTAATAAGGGTTCTTCTAGAGGTTCTTTTGGTAATGCTGGATCTTTATTCTTATCAACCTCAAAGTTTGTAGCTATGAATTCATTTTGACGTGGTAATTTCAAATTGTCATTTAATCCAACATTTTTGATTTTTTTCACTAATGCATCAGGGTAATCAACGATTTTGTAATCTGTGCCATACCATTTTTCTTTAGAATCAGTCTCAAGATCCTTTGATATTAAGGTAATTCTGGAGTTTTCCAAAGTCATGGAATTAACATAATTGACAACTAGATCAGGTTCATTTTCAATTAATAAATTGGTACTTAAGATTCTATTCACTGGGATATATTCCTTCTCTAAAGCTTTAGCCAAAGTTGATACTGTATTAGAAGGGTTTCCCTTTTGTTTAAATTTGAAACAGGCATTTGAGATTTCTTGTAATTCGTTAAATACCCAATCCTTTGGTAATTCTTCTTTTAACATTTCAATGTACTGGAAAACATTATATATCACCTTAGTATAGTTCTCCAATCCAGCCTTAGTTAGATCAATATCAATTGAAAAAAACGCATTATCTTTAGATACAGTGTGTCCACCAGCAGATAATTCGTTAGCATAGCCCAATTCTTTCAAATGTGCCAATAAGGAACCAGAACCCTCATGGCCAATTAAATGAGATAAGATATGAGGTGGTTGTGATTTCCAATGTTGGTCGCAATCAGGCACTACAAATGTAATCTCTAATTTCCTTAATTCTTTAACAGGCTTAACCTGAATAATCTTTTGAAGATAGGAGGGTTTTAGTATTGGTTCATTGTATTCTGGCAAATCACGGTCAGTGGTCTTGACGTCTTTAAATAATGTATAAGCCCAATTAGATAAAGTATCTAAATCTTCTCTACCTAAGATACAAAGTTTCATTAAGTTTGCAGAATATGACTTGTTATAAAATTTTAATAATTCGTCTCTAATGTTTAATCCTAGATTTTTGGGGTTATCGCCTAAAGTGACTAAATTACCTGTAGAGAATTTGTGATAAGGATGTTTGATGTTAGTCAAAGATTTATCTAATTGATATAATCTCCATAAATCATTTTGCAAGTTTTTCTTATTCTCTGAGTCAACAGCGTTAATTTCTTTATCGGTTGAATTCTTATTGAATAAGGGACCAGTAAAAAATCCAGAGAATCTATCCAAAGCACCATGTAGATGTTGATGATTGATTTCAAAGTAATAATTGGTATTTTGGGCACCAGTATATGCATTTGAAGAACCTCCATGTTTACTTAAATAACTGGAATATTCATTTTCATCAGGGAATTTTTTAGAACCCATAAATAATAAATGTTCACAGAAATGAGCCAGACCAGGCAGATTTTCTGGATCTTCGAATGCACCAATGTGAACATCTAAGGCGGCGGCAGCTTTATCTGTGGTCGAATCATGTATTAGTAATGCTTTTAAGTTATTTGGCAATTGAATGTATCTATATGATCTGTCATCGAGATCAGGTTTTAAGAAATCAGATTCGAGAATTTTATAATTGGACATTTTTTTAACTGTAGAATATGTAGGTGAGTTATATTTAAAGGACGATCGTATAGTGTTAATCAAACAAAAACTCATAAAGGATAGGAATACAATTAAACTATACAATGTGGTGAGAAAAAATAATAAATAAAGAGGGGAAAGGGAGGAAACAAAAAGAAAAAGAAGAAAAAGAAGAAGAAGATGCTGTAAGAAATGGGATAAACCAACAATTCTTAATCTATTTATCTTAAGTATATATTGATCAATTGAATATTATATGATATCCAAGAATGTAGGATATGTATATATTATGCTTGAGACTTGTTTTGGAATTAAAAGGTATTTTTTCCTTTGATGCTTAGTAAACCAACTTTCAACAAGCCTTTTGTTTTTTGATTTTTTTTTTCTCCATTTTTTATTTTCCGTTATTTCACCAATCTTTCGGGTTTTTTGACATTCGAGCAGTCGAGACAGTTCAATTAATCTGTTCCATGAACATGCATAGACTTACGCATATATATATTTATATATATATTTAAGAGATTTTAAGAATGCAGAAATATGCTAATAAGTGATTTCATAGGTATTATTGTTGATAATGCAAGTAGAATGGGGGAATAAACTAGGATAAGCATGCGTAGAGTTACAGGACACAACGCTATAACGGTTGGGATAGTTAGTGTAATTAGTGTATACATGGGTGTAAATTTCTTTCAACCAATAGTTGTTGAAAGGTTACGAAAGGATGGTAATCTAAGACAAGATATTGAGTTACCACACTTCAATCCAGACGGAACTGTTAAAGTGATGGACGATTCCATTAAATCTATACCATTGAAACAAACGAAGGATAATACCAATCAACACGATAAATAGAAACCACAGTTGAGTATGTTGTGTTTTATTGGGAATACCAGCATAAACTACCAGTCACTAAGATAAATATATAATATATTGCATCCATGTGTCTAATTTTTACTGTAAGTATTAGCCCTAACAGCACATTGAGCATATATTTGTTTGTATATGTGGATATATGTATGTAGACACATATGTGGATTGTATAAGTCTTCAATCTAGAAAAATTCTTTTGTATGGAATGCAGTTTTCCAAAACCTTATTTGTTTTGTTTTGTTTTTTGTCTTTTTGTTTTTTTGCAAGCCCTAACATTGTGTGTCCCCTTTTTTTTTTTTCTTTTTGAACAGTCTTTTGGAAGTTTTTGCTTCCTAATCGAGTAAGAACTGCGCTGCTATTAATAGCAATTGGATCACATGACCTCAAGAAGTCGAAAAAGGAAAATCACTGAAAACAAAAACAAAAACAGTTGTCTTGTTTTGTTATATTTCTTTTTTTTTTTTTTTTTTTGTTTTTGTTTTTGTTTGCCCTCGAGGAAAAAGAAAATGAAAACAGACACTTTTTATTTATTTAAAAAGAAAGTAAACAACAAACTTCTTTTTTTGTGTGTGATTCTTTGAAAGACGACCTGTATTTTCGACATTATTACTAGAACTTTTTGTCAGACTAGCTTGTTCATAAGGGATTGTATATACATTATATTTGTCTTCTATTTTTTTTTTCTTTCCTAGTAAAGAACATACTTGACATTTGACATTTTGTTGTCTTTCTGAATCCACTCGCTAGCTAATTCGTTTACTACAAAAGACAGACCCAAAAAGGTCGATTTATAGTGAATATATAATAACAACAACAGGATATCTACACACCATGCTTTCTTCCACTGTTTTTTCCGCTGTTTTATCTTTAGCCCTTTTATCCAATGAGGTTTTGGCCACACCACCAGCTTGTTTATTAGCTTGTGTAGCTCAAGTTACTAAATCATCATCTAGTTGCAATGCTTTAAATGACGTCACTTGTATATGCTCCAATGAAGGTGCTTCCATCAAGAGTTGTTTGGACTCTATTTGTCCAAACGGTAATGCCGATGCCGCTTATTCTGCATTTAAATCTTCATGTGCTGCTCAAAACGCTTCCATTAATCAAGCTAGTTCATCATCCTCTGTTTCTTCCACTTCTACCAGCTCTTCCATTTCCTCTTCCTCTTCTTCTTCTACTACTACTACTAGCTCTTCATCCGTGGTTCATTCTTCTTCTACTGCTGTTGAAACAACCTCCTCTAAAGTAACTACTTCTTCCACTTCCACTTCAACCTCTATTTCTTCCACTTCTACCACTGTCGTTTCTTCTACTCTCTCTTCCTCTTCTTCTTCTACACAAAGGTTTACTGTTTCCGAAATTCATTCTGGTGCTGGTAACTTCTTACAAGCAGGTAACTCTTTCGTTGTTGCAGCAGTTGCCGCTTTATTAATCTGATTTTATTTCGTCTTCTAAATTTTTTATTTTTGATATATTTTTATTTTTTATTTCAAACTTATTCTTCATGTGACGTTTTTAATATTTTGGTTTTCTTTCTTGACTCTTTTTATTCAGATTTTTTATATCTGCTTATAAATAATTAACATATATATGTTCTCATATAATCATAGTTATTTATATTTATATATTTAAGTAGGATTTTTATTTACATTATTTAGGTTTTCAATAAAAAAATTAATGGATTGTTAATATTAAGGCTATTCATATACTCTTTTATAGTTTTTTGCTGATTCACTGTTGATTTTTAAGATTTAATGTTTATGCTAAGAAGTAGATCTTTAACTAATTATAGTACAACATACTAAATATATAAAAAATAAAAAATAAAAATAAAAATTAAAAATAAAAATTAAAAATAAAAATTAAAAATATAAAAGATACCCAAAATTTATAGAATCATTATTATTAATGTATATAACTATTTTATCCAGATACATCTTTTTTTGCATTTTCATTACCATTATCGAGTTTATTTGGGGCATTCCCACATATCACCAGATTATCTGGAAATTCGTTATACACTGGTGGTTCAATATATCTAGGCAAGAAATCTACTTCATGTCTGTTCAGCGATGCTGTACCAAAATTAGCACCACTTCTAATACTACTCCTTGTTTGACAATATATTTGAACAGGATTTATCCTAACTTCTGTTTGTTTAATTGTCCCCTTGATACTCCAATCAATCAACAATTCCAAGTAGAAAGTTCGTCGTATTGTACATGTCTTAAAACTATAAAGTCTATTACCACGATGCTTATAATCTTCTTCGTTAAATAATAATCTACGCAATTGTGGGTGTTCCCTTAGTTTAATTTCACAATCTGATTTACCGATATATTTATTCTCATCAATTGTACCTAGTTTATTTGAACTGATTCTTGGTTTTAAGTCTTTAATATTAAAAATACCTGATATCAAAGGTTCTTCTAAATTTGAGTCTACCAATCTTAATGATGAAATATTTTCATTTGCTACCCCCTTGGATAAATAAGTCGCATTTTCAATCAAGTTTAATTGAACACGAATTGGTTTGATTAATAGTTTTTTAATAATTGACAAATTCCCTTTGCAGGTCAAAAAAATATGATCAAATCTATTACTGTTTCTTCTAAATAGAGGATCATTTCTAAATATTTGTTTAAACCCATCATTTTTACTGCGAACCTCTACCCACATTGAATTCTCTATGGATGTACTAATATTATTTATTTCTTGTTCATCTTGAAATAAATTCAATTTATATGTTGATTGATAAAGTTTATATTTCTTACTGTTTATATTCACCATCTCACCAGTATTAATAGTGGTATTGCTTCTATTTATATTATGTGAAGTAGTAGATCTATCAACATTAGTAAATTGTTTATTTAATGACGACCCAGAAGTGTCTGTATTATTGGAAAAGTTTAAAACGTTACTCTCAAGTGATGATGAATTCCCTATTGCATAGCTGGCTTTAGAAATTGGATTTTGATTGTTATTATTATTACCACTATTACTATCATTATTCCCCTTTTCAGTGTCATTATCTGGATATGTAATATCTCTTATTGTCGGAATATACTCAATAGATTTTGTTTCCCTTAATATTTTATCGAATGGTTTAAACCATATTTTAGGTTTACCCATTTCAATATTCACTTCCACAAAATAAAATATTTTACCAAATGAATAAAAAAATAAATCTAAATTATCAATTTTAATTAGTTCTTTCCATTTTAGATTGAATGAAGGTGGTAATCTAATGTCTCTCTTTTTCAAAAAACATATCATATCTCTTGTATGATGTTTCAAGCACCTAGGTCTCAAACCTCTTAATGTCGGAAACGAAAATTCATAAACATACTCTCCTGGATGTATCTTGAACGGTTTTAATGAACCTTCTAAAGCATCCCAGACATTATCTGGGGGGAACATTCTCTTCTCTAAATCCAATAATCTATGGTACGATTTATTATCTTGTACAGGTGTTAACATTCCATTTTGGGATATCATGTAATCTGTATTAAATTTAGTTTGAGTTTCTGTTATACCCTTTAAATGGACCGAAATTTTTTTAATAGGCAGTGCTCTAGTCAATTTAAGTTTCAATGTTCCTGATATATTTTCATTCCCACTATAAAATTCACCATTTTCTGGAGGTATCAGATATAATTCGATATCTGTTGAATTTCCCATTCTTTAATCCTTTCAAAACAGTAAAAGTATAGCAGATCGGGTTTTTCTTGTAATATTGTACTATGGGATAGACACAATATAATCTATCCTAAATATTGTTGGTATATTTGTATGTCAAAAACAATAAGGAAAAAGAGAAATGACTTAACTCTGTGTCTTTAATAAAAGTTTTATCATTCATTTTTCACTTTGATAATCTTATCTGAAATCATACATGCCATATCGTGATGCTTCTCCAAAACTAATTGGATAACTAATATATTGAAAGATGTAGCTTTAACCAAAATCTTTAACCTCCATTTCCCTTCCTTAATTTTTTTATTTTTTTTTTTTTTAAATTCTTTAAGGTAACAGATTCCCCACATTCTGAAGCACATCTAAAACAACCATCAAGAAATTGATTACATATTTTGATGAAATGTAAATAATCTCTCTTTCACAATTACATATTGCAAAAATGATAATTACCACATACCAATAATAATAACAACGATAACAATCGAAAGACTACATTATGAATAATCTCTATTTAAAAAGGACATTTTTCCATTCATCCAAGACCTTGTTTTTTGATAAATTTTTAAAACCTGTTATAGAGGCTTCACAAAAGAGAGAGCATATGGTAGAACAATTGATTAGACCAGTAGGTCTGCCTCAGCCACCAAATTCAAAAATACAGTATTCCAAAGGCAATTCATTTAGAGATTTATTCGATGAAAAAAAGACACGAAGAAGAACCAAAGAACTAACATTAGAAATGAGTAAATCAGGGATGTATGATGTATATACTTTTAGAAAGACAAATGGCAAACTTTTCATCTCTCCAAAATCCTATTGGCGTGATGATAAATCCTTGTATTTCCCACATATAGTAGGGAGATCTTTGAAAAAAGGAGAATCTAAACAAATATCAATCGAAGATAAAATGAGAGGCAAATTGAATATTGTACGGCTGTTTAGTAATGATATAGGTGAAAAGTTATCATCTCAATTTTTTAAAGAACCTTATACCCTTGAATCGTTGTCAAATACTCCCCTTGCTAAAAATAATACACAATTAATTGAAATTACTTGGGTCGAAAACGGCATAAAATCTTTGATTACAAAATTATCTGTCTCTAAGTTGCGATCCAATATGTCTGAACGACGTCAGAGAAATTATTTCTTCGCTTATAAGGATCAATTACCATTTATTATTAGAGATCAATTAAATATTAATAACATCTTGACAGGATATATACTATTGGTCGACCAAAATTTAAAGATTCGCTGGATGGCCTGCGGTGGTGTATCGAATCTCCACACTGAAGAGAGAGATACAATGTGGAAATGTATCAGATCATTACAAAAGGAGATGAAAAAGATCAATGACAGTAGCCAGAACAAAAATTGAAATAGAAAATCATATAAAGGTTTCAATTAAAATTTACACTACAATCTTATAGCACACATTTATTAAACTACTAAAATATTTCATAGATTTCTTCATTATTATACCATCATAAGATGCCATACAAGATTTTCACATCCAGGTTATGTGGAAAACGTTTATGTTCTTCTTTAAAATCTCCTGTGCTACTTGTTTTCAAATTTATAGCATCCGGACATCGTTCTTTGGCCCTTTTCTATCTTCTGTTTTTATTTTATTTTATTTTTTTTTTTTTTTAATTTTTGATCTGACAATTCTTTGGGCGGCTAATTATGATTAAACCTTGTACCTACAATTTAACTGATAAGTACAATATTGCACCCACATGCAAAACCAGATATATATTCAGTAATTATCCTTTAACTAACCACTAATTTATGTATTTGTAAGTAGAAAAAACCTGTAAATACAACAAGAAGTAAATTGATAACTGTTTCCAAATTGTATTGTCGATACTATTAAAAGCTTCAAGGATCTAGCTTAAACGTAAAAAGGTAAAAATATAATGTCAGATGCATTATTCGATAAAAATTTTGTTTTCTGTTCAATATGTCATCAAAGAGCTGCTACAGGTAACCCATTAATTTTGACTTCATGTGCGCACATTTTATGTGACAAACATTTATCTATGGACAATATATGTCCAATTTGTAAAACAAATGATATCTCGACTGTCAGATTGGTGGAGCAACAGACATTACCTAACGATGTTAAATTATTTTTTCAGCCTTTACCCACCCTAATAGAGAATATATATAATATCTCAATATTTCAAATCAATGGTTTAAATGAACAGATCCACTATTATCAATCTCATTGTATCAAACTGAGAGAAAAAGTTGCAAGACAGCAACAATTACTGTATCAAGCTAAAAATGAACTTGATAAGATACCATTATTAAAACAAAAAATTCAATACTTAGAAGACTCAATACAGTCTATAACTAGAAACGTTTCTACCACGAATAAAAATAAGACTCCAGTTACAAAAGATCATTTAAAAGGATCCAAACATAAGGTGTCTTCGTTTTTTAATAGAAAAACTAATACCAGTTTTGGCTTAAATAGTACAGATTCTTATGTACAAACTCAGCCACCACCAACTGTCGATTTAACTATAGACAATGATGATTACAACGATCAACAACAACAACAAAAACAACAGCAGCAGCAGAATTTTGTTTCTAAACTTAGAAGGTCTCAAGCACTACGACACAATACTCAAAAATCACTTCAATATAAAGATTTCTCAAAGGAAAAGGATCAGAATAATAGAGATCTATACAGCAAGAATAAGAGAAGTACTAATGTAAGAGCCAATACTATTAGCCTAAGTTCATATAAGAACGGACAGATAAATAATAAGAGAAACCTTAGAATAAATGATAGCATAGCTAATACCAACGGCCATACAGATGGTCTTAAATTATATGATGATTTGATAGCAGCAGAATCTACACAAATTAATAAATTTAATTCAAGCTCTGAATATATTTTACAACCCACACAGAATACTTTTTCTCCAGAACGAATACAATTTAAAACTGGTATACAATCACCTAGGTCAAATAATAATAATAATAATGAAAAGTATGGCCATCATTATACTGAAAACAATAAACAATATCGTGAGAATGATATCCCTATGTTGAAGTGCAAAAAAGCAAACTTGATTACACCCCCTGAAAAAAATTTGTCTTCAAATACTACAAATAATAATTCACAAATCTATAATGATAAAACTCAAAGGAAAAGAATGAATACCACATTGGTATCAGGACGAATACATTTTCCTACACCTTTAGAAAAATTAAAAATTGGTAAAAGGAAACCAATAACTAATAATTCGCCAACAATGGCCCAATATTTAAAGCGAAGAAGTGCCACATCTCAAATTATCCTACCGAGCAATTTTGCTAATAATAAAAACACAATAAACAATGGTAGTATTGGTAACAAACAACTCTATAGAGGGCAAACATCCACTAATAATTATAAGTAATAAAAAGAAAATAAAACAGAAGAAGTGGAATAATCCATAACCACCATAAAAAGGAGAGATACAATGTTACTAAATTATGTGTTAGTTTGATATATATATATATATATATATATATATGTATGTATGTATGTATTTATATAAATAGAAAGAAAGATATACTTAGGGAGGTAAATAGAGATATATTATAAAATAAAAAGAAAAAAAATATTGTTGTACATAAAAAGAATATGTTCTAAACCTGATATCAGTAAATTAAAAAAAACAAAACAAAAACTAATTAATTAATCATCAACTTATTTTCCACTTGTTTATATGTTACCACTCTTCTTTAATTGAACATAACAGGAGATAAATGGGACAGCAAAGCCAAGAGCAAAAAAACCGAAGTGCACAACACCGTACGGGATCTTTCTGTCATGTACTTTGAATGGTATATTAGAGTAGACACCTTCTTTGAAATGTGCTGCGCTTCTAGCAATAGAAGAAAAAGTTCTCCTCGTAGAAAGTCTAACTAATTGTTGGGTCAACATAATTCTTGATATTACAAATGTATGCTTCTTTTTTGTATATGGGTGCTTGTCTATAAATTCAATCTTTTTGGAACAGAAAAAAGTGGTGATATACTATTTCCGAACGATTAGAAGTAGGGTCCGTTATCTACGAAACTCTGAAATGCCTTATATAAGAAGAAGAAAAAAATTGCAAGGAATCGTTATGACAGAAGGAATAGAAGGAACCAGTATGAAAGAGCCAGATCACCAAGAAAGGGTCTAGAAGTTGAATGGAGAGTAAACATTTATTAATGGATGAATACCTCCAATCGATGAATGAAAACAAAACGTGTATAAAAACGCAGCTGAAAGCACAGGACAAGACCTTCTGAGCGTTCGATCAATCAGACTCTAATCTTCCTTTTCTCTCCCTTCTCCTGCGTCTGTTCGAGCGATTGAGCGTCACATTTACAATCCCCCGATATCTTTTTTTGGCATATTTATATTCTCTTAACGTTTCCATCTGTTTGCTTCTTAATTTTTTTCCCTTCTTTTGATGGGCCAAATAAACAAAAACAGAGAAATTCCATGACTTGCTTTTTTTTTTTTTTTTTTTTTTACTTGCGAAAACTCCGTAAAGGAGAATATTATTGGTCGAAACGAATTTTACACAGTACCCTAGAGTTCAAGAAAGAATCGTGTACATTGTTCTTATGTCTTTCTATATATGTACAGACACATGCATACTAACTTAAAGAAGTTAATTGATCACTCTGATACTAGCATACGCCCATCATCCTGTTGAGCTTAAGACTGCTTTACAAGTGCCTACTGTGAGGTAGTGGAAAGTACTTTTATTTTATATATATATATATATATGTACCAAGAAATGCATACATACAATAATTTATGTAGTAACGCACACAGCCTATTCGGTATAGTGGACATACGATGCAGCTAATTTCTTTCATGGTAATAGTCTAAAGATTCCATCGGCAATAATGATGAATCTTTTATGGATTCCCTTTAAACGTAGACTTTCTTGTAAATGTTTAATTATGGCAACTTCTCCTAATGTAATACCACCAAGAAATATTATTATTGATACATCACGATGCTGGTAGTTCTTCTTGTTACTGCTACTGTTACTGTTACTACTTTTAATTCGGGATTTTTTGGATGGTTTCGGAACCAGTGCTAATTCTTGAACAACCATTTTATTACCATATATTTTCTCAAACAGTTCTTTAGTAGCTATTAGGCTAGGCTCCCTTGATAATATAAAAGGCTGTTGAGATGAATAACTCTTGGATAAAAATGTACGTTCATACAACAATTGTAAGATCCTTATTGTTATGGGGACAACTCCACAAAACGCAAATGATAAACTTGTGGGACTTGATGCCTCCTTTTCTGCATTACTATTTTCATTTTCGTCTATTGGTAATGTCTCTAACCATTTAGCTATACTTCTATAGTTCCTTTTCAAAAGAAGTTCGTTTCCACTCGATTTCTTGGCTAAATATTTCATCTTTTGTAATCTTTGTAATATAAATAAAGTGTCAATCCCAAATCGATCTATCAAATCGGTTTTCAATGATTCAAAATCAGAATCCTTAATCCCACTTTTACACAGAGCAATCAATGATACTAATTTTAGTATTCTATCTCTAGGAACCTCATTCTCATAAATTAAATCCATCAATTTTAAATAAAGTTCGCTCGAATGAACATAATCTGATAAGATATCTTGTTCTAACTCCAAGATCCTAGAGAATTGTAACTCAGGGTTTGTTTCTACTTGCTCAAGAACGTCGCTTGATAGAAGTGTATGCATTTTCAAAAGTCTCTGATTCTCCTGTAAGGTTGACAAGGACTCTACAAAATTTTTGATTTCACCCACAGTCTCTGCAGTGTGTCTTGAATCATACTTGATTTGAAGCTCTTTAGCCATTTTATTTAAAGTAGGTCCAATTGTGCCAAAATTACAATATTTTATCTCTTGCCAAATATCATCATTTACATAATTCAGTTTTATATCTTTCTTAGTCTCTAATGACGATAAAGACTGGTCAAATTTGAAGAAATCGTCAATTATTCCTATATATGACAACTGGGTCAATAATGGGGTTATTGGATCCACATCACGCTCTATAACTATCAAATCTGTCTCCAAGTTTATATCATATTTATTTTCGTATAAAGTAGACTTAATAAATAAATCATTTTGATCCTCCTCTCTAGCCATTCTATTCTTTAACTGGTTGAGTAAAATGGTCGATTCATCTCCTATACTGACAGCTGTGGTTATTGTCGTATTAGTGGTCTTTAATAAAGATAGCACACAGTTTATCATATTGTTTCTTAAAATAGATCGTGTGCATTGTTTCATGGAAGATCTATTAGGATGATATAAACTATCATTATCATCATTAAGCAATACATTTGCTAATAATAAATCATCATCTATACGAGGAATAGGTAACGTAAACCATGGATATAGTTTACTTCTTGGTATCTGTGATTTGATAAAGTGAGGTAGCTCTTCTAAATGGTTTGTATCTTGAGTCTCCCAGGTACTATAAATGATATTCAATTTATTTATCGTAAACTTTGACTGAATTTTAGTGAATATTGATGGGACTATTAAATTTACTTTAACATCTATCAAAAACACTAACTCCATACCGGGATCATTGTTCATAATAGTCTGTAAATCATCAATAACTTGGTTTTCATCGAGTATAACAATTTTTCGAACAGGAGTCCGGTCCTTCAATTGGGTAAATGATAATATTTCATTTAATAGAGGCAAAAGTGTTAACTGAATAACTAGAATTTGATCTGCTGCACTAATATTCGATAAAATATCTGTTAATCTTGTAGATATAATATTGCTAAACTGTCTTGTATTCCAATTTTTATCCATTGCTAGTGTGGAGTCCTTAAGTGTTGTGTAACGTATGATTTCTTCGTTTAAGAGATCTTATGGCATTTTCGCAAAATGACCAATATGATGCGGATCCAAGATATTTTATACACTTTTAGATGTTACTCATAATATCCCAGCATTTCAAGGTGTCTTATTCTTCTTTTTTTCTTTTTTCCTTTTAGCTGTCTTCCAAACTTTAAGAAAACGTATTGCTTACCAACTCAACAAGCATAGCAACAAGAGTTTTAACATAACTTTTAGTGCTTATAAATGAATGGAAAAATTCAAAAAAAATCAGATGAATTGTTAAGATTTATATATTAAGAATCAATTCAGTGAATTCATATTAGATTGTATCAAAAGTACATTAATATTTGAAAAAAACACTGTACATAATATACAGATACTATTGATAGTTATGCAAGGTCTTATTTTACATATATATATTAATTTGAAATAAATTATGTGTTCACATTAAGTAATATATGAAAATTATGCCTTCATACCACTTCTTGATGCAAATTCTCTATAATAATCAAGCATCTCTGGAGTAATACCCTTTGATATTCCTTCTAAGGCATTTTCAAAATGTTTGGGTTCCACATTTGTGGCCTCAAGATTTTCCATGATGGCAGCCAACCCGGCTTCTTGGCATAACAATACGACTTCCGCACCTGAACAACCATCCGTACGTTTAGCTAGATCTTCGAGATCAATACCAGTTTGTTCAATATTAAATTTCTTGGTACAATTCTTTAGTATCTGAAGTCTCGCCTCAAAATCAGGAGGAGCCACATAAATATGTCTATCTAGCCTTCCAGGTCTTAATAAAGCAGGATCAATCTCATCAGGTCTATTGGTTGCTGCCACTATTACTACACCGTTTAATTCTTCAACACCATCAATTTCGTTTAATAAAGTAGTCAAGACATGATTAGCTGCGGAGGTAGATCCACCACTGTCTCTATCTGGTGATAAAGCATCAATTTCATCAAAAAAGATAATACTTGGAGAGGCTGCACGTGCTTTTCTAAATATCTCCCTAATTGCCTTCTCTGATTCACCAACATATTTATTAAATATTTCAGGACCTTTAACAGCAAGGAAGTTAACACCTGACTCAGTGGCTAATGCCTTTGCAGTTAAGGTTTTAGAGCAACCTGGTGGCCCATATAAAAGAACACCTTTTGGTGCAGAAATTCCTAGTTTAGCAAAAGTCTCTGATGCTTCTAAAGGCAACTGAATCATTTCCCTCATTTTCCTCTTTAAATCTTCCTGTCCACCAATATCAGACCAATAAACTTTAGGCATTTCAAGAAAGATCTCTCTCATTGCACTAGGTCTGACTTCTAATAGAGCATTCTCAACATCACTTATTATTACTTTTAGGGTAGTTTCAGACAAATTGATACCTTCTTTAATTCCACGTTGGATTGTTTTCATCACAGATTCTCTACATAGTGCAGATAAATCTGCTCCTACATAACCATGTGTCTTTGAAGCAATCAACTTGATATCTTCGTTGGTCAAAGTATGCCGTTCTATAGACATTTTACTAAACTGTTTCAATAAAATGTCCAATCTGGCATTAACATCAGGAATCCCAATTTCGATTTCTTGATCAAATCTCCCAGGTCTTCTTAATGCTGGATCCACAGAATTAGGTCTATTTGTTGCTGCTATCACTACAACCCTTCCAGAGGCACTCATACCATCCATTAATGTTAATAAAGTTGCCACAATTCTGCTCTCAACTTCGCCAGAATCATCATTGGATCTATTTGGTGCTAGGGAATCTACTTCATCAATAAATATCATGGACGGTTGGTATCTTTGTGCTTCATTAAAAATATCCCTTAAAGCAGCTTCTGTCTCACCAAGATATTTTGAAACAATGGATGGTCCACTAATTGTCAATATATGGGCATCAATCGAGTTGGCTACACACCTCAATAACATTGTCTTACCTGTTCCAGGTGGACCGTGCAACAAGATACCACGAGGTGGAGTAATACCAAAGTCACTGAACAGAGTAGGTTGATTCAATGGTAATTTGATAGTATTTTGTAATATCTCAATTTCTTTGTTTAGACCACCAACGTTTTTATAATTGTGATGTTCTGGTAAATTATATTTAGAACTAACTGTTGTAGAAGAGACCAAAACAACCTTTGTAGAACCCTTTTTATACAAAACAGGTGGTGACAAATAAAATGTATCTAATTCTTCATTATTCTGCAAAGTCATCTTTGATATATCTGGTGACCTGTTGTCTACAACATCAGTAATTAACAGGTCCACTTTTTTTGCTGCTTCACAAGAGTCATTTATGTCGAAATCCTTAAAAAGCATTCCAGGCATGATAATCCCACATTCATCCAAAAGCTTTTCAACCCTTTTAAGATCAACATCTTGTTCAACTAAAGAGCCTTGTATAGATCCAACAGTAATAGTAAATGCATAAGTTGGTTGAGAAGCCAATTTTTTTATTTCAATACGATCACCTAATAATATATTTCCAACAGCCCTTATTGGTGCAGATAGTAATATTACATTAGAAGGGTGACTTTCATCATCAGCTGGTTTGACTTGAACAGCAATTCCATTACACCCAAATTTATTGATTAAGCAGATAGAACCAGGTGAGATATCTAGATTTTTTAAAATAGAAGGATTTATTATAGCACAACATGTAAGTTTATTATCACCTTTGCTATTCAAAGGACGAACAATATACTCTGTTGGAAGTTTAATCTTTGGTTGTTTGATTGTAGAATCATTCTTCGAACTGGAGTTTAGTGACTTTTTAGATGTACTTGATTTGGGAGCCATTAAATTTGGTAAAAATCCTCAGAGAAAAACCTCACCTGAATCTTTATATCTTTTACTTTAATACAAATAGATAAAATTTATTTGTAGGTTAATCTTTTCGCATATTATCGCATATTTATTCATAATAAACGATTCTGATTATATATTTTACAAGTAACTGATACTAATGTCGAATTTTTGATGGTCATCGATAAAATTTTCAATATTTCCATTAAAGGATATTTCCAATAAGTTGTTACCTGAAAATAATCCATAGTGAGTTTTTGAATGCATATTGATACAATCTATTCTTTTTAAGGATATACATATACATATATATAAATACCATAATAACTATAGATAGATGTATTTTGGATGTATAACAACGTTAAAGCGATTTTCTCCTTCTTCACCTTAACAAAGCAGTACTTTCATATACATACCTCTTTAACAAAATAGTACAAGTACAGTCAAAACGATATTATCATAATATTAACAGTAACAATAGTGTTAAAGACTAAATTATATTAATAACCATTATCTATAAATACAAACTAGCAGCAAAAACTATGTCTCTCTTAATCAATTCTTGAGCTTTACTCATCTTCATATGAAGTGTTGAATTACCTATAATGATGGATGCAGTCTTTACTTCACGACATATTTCATCTAACCATGTAATAACTCTTACAACAGTACCTTCTGCCTCTGGACTAATTTCCATAATTTCTTTAAATGAAAGACCACGTGCCCATTCATAAACAACATTCATTAACGCAAATCTCTTCTTTTCTAAGAATTCTGCCTCTTCTTGTGTTAATGGAACTTGATATGTTTCATAAACTGATAACATCTTTTGATAGATTTCAACTATACGTTTTTTACCCTTTACTAATCTTGGTGTAGCAATAGGAGGTTCTTCTTCTCTAGTTCTTCCCTCATAAACGAAAGCTGATAATAATGCTACAATTTCCTCCGGTTCGAAATCACCCAAGAAATTATCTAGAATTAATTCAGTCAAAACTAATTCGTAACCAGAGTTTATTTCACAAGCAACTCTACCTTTAAGAAGAACAGTATTATGCTTATCAATAAATCCAGTAGATTTAAGTACTTCCAATCTTCGTTCATAATCAGGTAATAAATTCAAATTTTCATCAGACATTAAATGATTCAATTGCTTGATTTCACTTTCTAATTTATATTTCTTATATTGAGGTATAAAATGAGAGGCTAATCTTGGACATTCATATGATTCTAAAGAAACTAACTGTCTCATTATATTCTCTCTTTCTAAAATATTTTGATGTAATTGTAAATTACCCTTGATATCAAACTTTCTTTCTCTTAATTTTAAAGAACTTTTAATGACATTGGATACTTCTTTGTCAAATTCTTCTAAGGCATCTGGCTCCTTTCTCAAGAATGACTTAAAATGAACTTTCAAGACATATGCAGTAATGTATTCAATAGATGTTAAAGATATGTTATAAAATAATGGCTCTGCAGTTTTAAATTTCTCGAAGTTGATTCTGCAGTAAGATGTAAACTTTCCTAAATATGGAAGGTGATTTGGTTCGCCATTTGGTAATGTATTAGGCTCTGTGAAACATAAAACACGGCAAGTCATGGTTTTGGTATCATTTCTAAACACAAAACCAAGTCTATGGTTTTCCTCTTCATCTCTATATACCACTAATCTTCCAATTTTTAAAACTTTGAAGATTTCTGGTGTATCTGACAATTCTGTCATTATATCAATGGTATTTTGTTTTAATCTAACTGTAACATCTAAGAATTTTTCAATGTCTCTATTACAGCTGTTACATGTTTCATTTTGTAGATGTTCTAATTCTCCTTCTAATGCCTTTATTTTCCTTTCGTATTCTGGATGGGAAGTTTGGTTGGTGTTTTCACTAAAGGAATATTTAATCATTTCTTCAACTTTTAATGCTTCTATTCTTAAAAGATTTAATATCATATTATATGTTAATCTAAACTGTGATTCCAATTTGGTTGGGACACCAAGTGTAACCTCCTTCAATGAAACTCTTGATAGAGGCTCTGTATATGACATGATAATAACAGTCCCAGTTTTATCTAATCCTCTACGACCAGCTCTACCTGCCATCTGAGTAAATTCACCAGGTGTTAAATCTCTTAAGCCATTACCATCATGTTTTTGAATTTCACTGAAAACAACTGTTCTAGTAGGCAAGTTTAGACCCATAGCAAAAGTTTCAGTAGCAAACAATACCTTAATAAAGCCCTTTGCGAATAAGATTTCAATTAATTCCTTCACAATTGGTAATAGTCCGCCATGATGGACAGCAATACCTCTTTCCAACAGAGATCTAATTTTCAAAATTTGAGGTAATTCCCTATCATCTTTCTTTAAACGAGTTATAGATTTTTCAATAAACATGTAAATCTGGGATTTTTCTCTATTATTACAGAAATTAATACCTTCCAACCAATCAGCATATTCTTCACATCTTTTCTTACTGAATACGAAAACAACCATAGGTAATAAATCTTGTTTTCTTAAATAATTCACCAATGTAGACCAAGTCTTTTTGGAAGGACCACTCCTTCTGAAAAATTGGCTCTTATTTGAACCAATTGCACCTGCTCCACGGCTACCGCCACGATTTCCGCCGCGTCCTCCACCACGAGAATTACCTTTAGAAATTTCCTTGGTGTTCTTTCCATTTATAGCACCTGATTTATCACCACTTAACATATCTTTATGTTTTTTAAAGTTTGCCTCCAGAAATTCCCTGTCTGGAGTAATTATTGGCATTAATTCATTCTTAGTCCAAAGATTGATTTCTAACGGAACTGGTCTTTTTGGTGTAGATATAACATATATGTTTTTTTGTTTGGTTCTACCGATCCAAGTAGCAAATTCATATGTATTTGGTACTGTAGCTGACAATAAAATAAATTTAACATGTTGCGGTAGCATAATAATAACTTCTTCCCAAACAACACCACGGTCTTGATCATTAACATAATGGACTTCATCAAAGATGACAAACTCTACATCTCTAATTAAATCTGCACCACGATACAACATAGACCTTAAAATTTCTGTTGTCATAATTAAACAATTCGCTTCAGGATTAATTTGAACATCACCTGTGATTAAACCAACATCAAGGTCCTTAAAAGTTTCTTTAAAATCCCTAAATTTTTGATTTGATAAAGCTTTTATGGGAGATGTATATATTGTTTTAGTCATATTTCTTTTTGCCATAGATATAGCATATTCAGCTACAACTGTTTTTCCTGCAGAGGTATGTGCAGCAACAAAGACAGAATCGCCTTGTTCTAGATGGTAAATGGCTTCTTTCTGGAATGTATCCAATTCAAAAGGCCATGTCCGGGCTGGATTAGGAACCAACTCTTCAAAATTAGTGATCTTATGATTCAAATCAACAACATGTGCCCATTCTTTTCTTTTCATTATATTTTTATTGGTATTAATAGTTCTACCAAAATCTATATCTGCTGGTAGCAAATTATCAATATCTTCAAAAGTTTTATCTTGACTCTCCAAGGTTGGTAACTCCTTTTCTTCTTGGCTGATATTATTAGAAGATAATTTAGAGATGGCATTAGATAATTCTGAGTTTGTTAATTCTTCTGCTTGCAATCTTCTGCTAATAATTTCTTCTTCAATCTCTTTAGAATTGTCTACTTGATTCAACTGCTGGAATTCGTCATCATTTAATGATGATTCTACAAATTGAGATTCATTTTGTAACAAAGAGTCATTAACATGAGGTATAATCCCTCTCGACAATCCATCAGGGATATCGAATAATCCATCTTGGTCCTTATGTAATAATTTCGTAGAGTTGTTTAAATTACTTGATTGTATAGATAATCCACCTGGCGTAAAAGGTAATTGTTGGGTGCTACCTCTTATGGTGTTTCCATGATTATTGATACTTCTGGTCAGGGATAAAGAATTAGAAGCATTGGCATTGATGATTTCTCTTAGTGTTACTTCCTCTTTAAAACTGTTAATCTTACCTTCAATACCTTTTCTTTTGAAATAGTAAGCAGTGCGTACTACCGGTTGTGGAATAGTTAAAAATTCTTTATAATCATAATCTTCTGAGTTCATCTCAGGAACTTGTTGAACAACATCCAATATAGACCATGGTAGAATATTAGTGGGAGTCAAGTATTCTTGCTTAAGTTCATTATTAATCTGTTTCTTTGTTTTAGAATCATCAGATAAATCTACCTTCGTTAATTTATCTTCAAATAATTTAATAGTGGGGTCATTTGTAATCCCTTTCAAAGATTGATATAAGTCTTCAAGAGATTTTTCGGTCAAGTCCATTTTTATTTTACTTCTTTGGACCAATTTAGCAAAATCCTAATACTTGGATATATATGTATAGATTTAAAAAAGCAATTGGACAGTAGAAGACGGCACTCAGAAGTGGAGGCGAACCATCGTTAACTGTGAAATTGTAATCTTATAGTTTTATTTCATTTCTTTGTTTTCCAGTTTGTTTTGTTGTTTGATAATCGGGGGGATGAAAAAAGGGAATAAAAAAAAAATAAGAATAAGATCGTTGAAGGTAAAACAGAAAAAAAGCCAAGAATTAGGTGAAAAGGGAGCAAACTTATATAATATATAAAAGATTAAGTATAAATACAGGTACTGTGAGGTCATAAATTGAATCCATCTCTCAATGGATGGGAATGATTTGTTTGACTTAGCAGAGGGGATACTTTTACTCCTCTGTACAACGGAAGAGAGGAAAAGAGGAAAGATAGAAAACAATTATCATAAGGCAAAAGTGTTGTAATGGTATAAATTACGTATAAAGATATGCTTATAAATATAGATCGGTGTGTGTATATAATTACAATAAAAATGTATAAACATGTATATAGTATATCTTTGGCATTAATCTAGGTCTATTCTATTTTTTTGTCTCTTTATTTATTTTTTTATAGGTAATTTGTAAACGTTGCAATTAAAAGTCGTTCAAATTTTAATGTTACACTACATGCAGTCTCTATTTAAAAATTAGTAATTAATTAATTATAATGGAGATGTGTGATGACACTTGAAAACTATTGGAACAGAAAATAGAATAATGTGGTATATGTTTGTATCCATCATATACATCGCTTCACACCAGATCCAAAAAAGGGAAGATGGGATAAATAGTCAGACTACATATCATATCATGTTACAGCTTACTCCTCTTCACTTTCACTTTCATCGTCATCATCATCACTTGAGGAAGAGGAAGATGTGGATATAGATAAGGATGCCTTATTTAGAGGGTTTGTTTTCATATTCGTTGGTGATCCATTAGAGCTTAACGGAGAAGCATGTTCCAAATAAGCCAATTTGTTCTTAATCTTTTCAATTTGTCTTGACTCTTCTTCTTGACTCAATTGTCTTGATTTTCTCTTTTTGTTATTTATAGTAGAATTTGGAGATAATGGTGAATAGTCTCTATGGTCATTATGATCACTTAAGTTATTGGCATTACCATTGTTGCTGGCAGATTCATCGAATTGTCTGAAAAATGTGTTGTATAAGGTTAAGATGGTATCATTATCCAATGTGTCTAAATCTAACTCCACTTCTTCTTGGCCAACGTTATTTGGCATAATTATTTTGATAACTTTCTCCAAGTTAGTGGAAGAAAGATCATTGATATGTTCTGTAATGCATTTTTTCATATCATAAGTTACAACAGTCTTTAATCTTTTTCTATCGCGGTTTAACTTACTAGATTTGTTTGGTCCTCCGCTTCTTTTATTATTCATCCGCCTTCTATTTGTTGACCTTTGTTGATATTTAGCAGTATTACTTTGGCCTCTCAATAATCTTCTTTCTTTTCTAATTCTTTCAATTTCCTGTCTTTTTAATTCTTGTAATTCAACTTTCATTCTGGCCAATTGCTCTTCTAAATATTGAATAGCAGGGTTTGTAATTGCGGTTTCATCAATGTCGTCGTCATCATCGTACCGATCATTGTCATTTTCATCATATATGACATCATTATCGTTGTTATTATTATTAAGGTTATTGTTACCGTTTTTATCATTGTCATATTCATCATCATTATAATTGGAAAAAATTGGTCTATCTGCCCATTTAGAATTAAACACCTCTTCTAAACGATGACCCATCATATTGACAATTGTTCCATCGGGATTGAATGCGTAACAATTGCTAAACACCAATTTCATATCTTTTTCGAATTCTTCTAAGGATTGATATTCCCAATTTGATAACTTGTTTTGCATAGTACCTAAATCCATTGGATGTTTCACATAATCAAAATACGTGGGAATATTCATTGCTACAGGATCAACTGGCTCCAAAAATGGGTAATTGAAGCTTGAATATTTCTTTGACATCATTTCTTTTAAAACAGAACCACAAAATTTCATTGCTTGTTGTAATTTTTTAGATTTAGGTTTTTTATTTTCAATTGGATAAATGTCTTTAGATTTAGGAGGATGGATCTGTCTCTTTGGTCTACCGTTGTGTGTTGGTGCTCGTCTAATAACTACAGGTTGATCAGGATCTACGGTATTTCTACTTCTTTTTCTACCTTTACCGGCACTATTACTACTATTACTATTGGTTGTTGTATTAGCAGTAGTAGTAGTGGTAGTGGTAGTAGTAAATGTATTTTTAGTATCATTAGAAACACTACCTGCTTTTCTATTAGGCCTAGAGCTTTTACCTAAAATCACAGCTTCCTTTGCAGGCATATTTAGCATGTGTTTTTCGAAAGCTGCTTGAATATTTCTTGCCATTCGGGAGATGACAGATGTTGCGCCATTAAAAATTATTGAATTATTTACCATTCTGTCAAAATCTTCAGTAATTTCTTCTGGTGTGGCATAGGCATTAACATTTAGTTTTTTTTCGATGGTGGACAAGTCCATTGGACGTTTAACATAGTTGTAATAAAAAGGGATGTTTAAAGCAACGGTATCTACAGGCAATAAGAATGGTTTAGCGTCCTTTAATCTTTTCACTGCTTTTATAGCCATCAAAGCATGCCTTTTTTGGTGCTCAGGGATAGGGTCATCTGGTAGGTTATTCATATCAGGTTCTGGTGGGGGAGGAGGAGCAGGTTTAGTAGTGGCAGGGTCGATTATAGGAATATTACTATCATTGGAAGTGCTTTCTGTGTTGGTAATTTTATCTTTATCGGTTTCATTTGAGGAATCTGAATTTTTTGTATTTTTTTCATTTGCATCATTATTTGAAGTGTCAGTATTTTCATTTTGTTGTTCATCTTTATTATCTATATTATCTGATAATGGATTATTATTATTATTATTATTATTATTATTATTATCCTGTGGTGAATCTAATTCTTTTATATCTGGTGAAATATTTTGATCTATAGTAGTAGTAGTGGAGGTGAAGGTGTCAGTTGTAGTAGTATTTGAGTCTTCAATGGGATTTTCATTTGAATTTGTATTGTCATCACTGTTCGGTGTTTGAACAGGAGTATTCATATTTTGGGGAGTAGTAGTGGTAGTGGTTGTTGTGGAAATAGCAGTAATATTTTCTTCCTTCTTAGGTGAGAGTGGTTGTGGAAATTCCATATTATTGTTGTTATTATTAATATATGTAATTATTTTCTCTTTTTAAATGGAAATATATTTCTGTTATTATGCGGTGTTATAATATATGTATAAGTATATGTATACAAATATGTAAAAGAAAAAACAAAAGAAGATAAAAAAAAATGTGTATGTATAATTAATTATACGTATAGATATATATATAGATGTATGTAATAACAACGGTAATGGGTATAACCAGAAGAGAATGTATAGAAATCGAAACTGGTGTAGTTGCTGTTAAATGGGAAGGGTGGCAAAGGTCTCTTATCTTTATTTTGGGAAGAAAAGGAGAAAAGAGAAAAGAAAAGGAACAAACCTCAATTGATAAGTAATAAGAGTATTAAGTGTTATATAATATAATATGAAGAGGCTAAAATGGCTTAAGGTGAAGAAGCATGTGTTACAAAATATTAACATATACGTGTACATACATATACATATGGACATACACATTTAAAATATGTGCGCGAAAGGGAAAAAACGGGGAAAAAACAAGAGGAGCAGAACAAACCCTAACTAAGAAAGGAGCCAAGAAAAAAGTGCGACCTAAATGGCGTACATAAAAGGAGGGAGAAGAAATTAGTAACCCTATTGAAAAGGTATAAGAAGAAACGTTTTCCAGGAAAGGAAGGCAGCAAGACAAGATGAGACGGGGTAAGCACGACATAACACAGCATAACAGAAAGCGATGCTACCACATAACAGCCCCACCAACCACGAGGGAGAAAGAGGGTAAACAAAGTGGACAGGCCAGAACAACGGCAGTGTAACAAAAGCAGGGCCTAAGAGACAGACGGAAGAGAGCAGGGCCAAGAAACGAGGAAGTGGGAAGAAATGGGAGAGAAGAAGCGGAGTAGGAGGAAAAGAAACAAGAAACGGCCTGTTTCAGACAATCCACTAAAACTTCTTGTTTCTTTTATACATTTATATATAAATTTTTTTATGTACCAATTTCTATTTTTCTTTTTTTTTCTTCTTTTTTTTTTTTTTTTCTGTTTCCTTATTCCCTGCTAAGTTGCCGTCGGGTTTGTTGTTGTTGTTGTTGTTGTTGTTGTTTTTATGGCGTCGGCGTTTTCTTCGTCGTCTTTGTTGTCGTCGTTGTCTTTTTCTTTTTTTCCTTTTTATGTTCTTTTTCTCTGTTTTGTTTACTGTTTTAATTCTCTTTTTTTTTTCTTTCTTTCTTTCTTTTTGTATTTTACCCGCCATCCGCAGTCAAAGAAAAACAGAAAGAAGAGAAGGGAAAAGAAAAAAAAAAAAAAAAAAAAGAAAAGAAAAGAAAAACAAACGACGAACAACAAAATAAAATAAAATAAAATGTTTCTTCTTCGTCATCCTTTTGCTTTTTGTTGACGTGTCGTCGTGTTTAATTTTCTATTTTACTTGTTTGTTTGTTCATTTGTTTATTTTTTGTTTGTCTATATTGTTTGGATGTATGGGTGGGAAGCAGATCTTGCACTTCTTTCTTTCGCCCCCTCCTTACTTGCTGGTCTTTTTTTTTTTTATTTTTTATTCTGCCATTGTGGTTGTTATGGCTGGTGAGGAATAAGAATTAGACTTATGTTTTGGTGTAAAGTTGAAATCTGGTTCAACTGGTCCCAGAAAGTATTCACTCAATTTGATCCAGTCTTGCACATTAAAGGATCCCAGTTTGGTCTCCAATTCATCTCTACCCTGCCAGTATGGTGGCCTCTCATTTAACTTAACTGGGTATCTTTCACATATACCCATTGGTATATATCTATGGAAAAATGACATGAATTCACAGAAATATCTTCTACATTGCGATATCCCGTATTCATCAGTGCCCCAATGTTCCATCGCATATCTTGCATAATCCGAGAGAACCTCCATTCTTTCACTACTTGATTTATCTAAATATTGTCTCGAATCTATCTCTTCCCATATCCATGGCTTAATTAATGCACCTCTTGCCACCATTATACTGTCCATCTCGGGTATCTTCTCCGTGTATTCATACCAATCTTCCCAATTGTTAACGTCTCCATTGCCAACAAACTGGATCCTTGTTCCGTTGTTTCTTTCATGTTTACCTAACGATCCTTGTGTTTCCTCATTGTATTTAGTCTCCTCTTCACGCAACTGGACAGCAACTTTCCTAATATATTCCCAATCAGCTAGTTTCGTGTACCTTTGTTGTCGTGACCTGCCGTGCAATATTATACCTGAAACATCCGTCTCATGCACCAATCTCTTCACTAACAAATCAGCCATTGGATTATCATCTTTAGTACCCGTTCTGATCTTCACAGTGATCGGTATATCTCCGGATGCATAATTCATACCATTCAAACATCTGATCAATCTAGCTGGGTTATCTAACAATGCACTACCCGACCCTTGTCTGTACAATAAGTCAATAGGACATCCGGCATTCAAATTGATTTCACTCAATGTAAATGATCCGTTTTCAGTGTCATGGCAATATTTGGATAACACTTCAGCAGCTTTAGATGCTTGCCATACTTTACTACATGCAATCTGGACACCAAATCCACCTTTTTCACTGATATGACATTTGGGTAACGCCCACTCGGAGTTCGTACCTTGAATTAACGGAACACCTAGTGCCATTTCACTGTATGTAACATCGCAACCGAATTTCTTCATCAATCTACGAAATGGTAGATTGCCCACTGTGGTTAATGGAGACAGAATCTTCTTCCCTTTATAATCCAATTTTCGCTTCTCCGATGCAAAATATTTAGTGTCTCTATATTTCAAATAAAGTTCCTTTTGTTTATCCCTCAACTCTTGCAATTCGGCCTCTCTTTGAATCATTTGGGGTGACTTCTCCGTTGTGTCCCTTTTATTCTTCTCGTTGATGTTCATTGCATCACGATTCTCTTGCTGCACAGCATCTATGATCTCAAGAATGTGATCGCTTTTTGAGAATGGAAATCTACGTTTAATCAGATCTTGTTTCTGATCATATGTAATATGATTGAACTCCCTATTAACTTCATAGATAGGAATATATTTCATGACGTCGCCTAATGAAAAGGTTTCATTTTTAACTAAAGCTAGATCCTCTTTGTTCAAATGGTGAGATAGAAACCTACATTTGAACCCCATTGGGCAAAATCCAAGAGAATTGAATACAGGACAACCTAACTTGATCTCCCCGTTTGGCGAGTCTTTGGTAAATGTAAGAAACACCTTATCAAAGATCTGAGCACAATCGATCTCTGGACTCTTATTATCTAGGTACAACTTGATATCATGATTGAATCTGCATGAGTCACCAAATGGGCAATTGGATAAATCTTCGCCATGTAAAAGTTTTGGACAGATCACATATTTATTTTTGTTCGTTTCTTTCATCTGTCTATTATCACGATTCTTATTTTGACCTCTTTGTTTTTTATTGCCTCTGCGTGATTTTTTAGCCCCATTGGAGGAATCATTTAAATTATCGAATCTTTCTGAAGAGGCATCTTCCTCATCCTCATCTCCATCACCAGCTACCATGACATTATTATTACTGTTATCCCTGTTTCCAGAGAACGGATCCTTAATAATATATTGCGGTTTCAAATGGGCTACCCCTTTAGGAAGACATTGTCTTTTTTCAACAGTGGAAGGCTCGACCGTATCTGGATCTCTTTTCATTCTGCCACACTATAGTCTACAGTATATCTGTATATAAATTATATGTGTCCTTAGGGTGGATATCCTTGAAAGTGTTCAACGTAATAAAGTAAGATACAGGTACTTCTTTTAAGGAAAAAGAAAAAAGAAAAAAAAAATGAGAACAAAGTATATAGACAAGACCAGCCTGAGAGCAGTCTTTGCACTAATGGAGATAATAAATGTATACAAATGTTCCTCTTTATTCCAAAAAAATTTATTGCTTCTTCTTCAATAAACTCTCTCGTTTTTTTTCTCGAGATAATCTCATCGAAGAACTTTTATTTATTTTTTTTTCGCTTGCATAAGAATATAAAAAAAAGGAAAGAAAAGAAAAAAAAGAAAAGAAAAAGACAAAATCATCTAGAAGGGTTATCCTGTCTACATCCATACCTCCAATAAATGTTCGGATGTTGTTTTTTTATTTCCGTTCAAAATTGCTCCACACCCATACACCTCTTGCCCCTTATTTCTTTTTTTTTCATTTTCTTTTCTTTTTTTTTTGTTTTGTTTCACTGGAAAAAGGTATTGTTTCAGGCGATGCTATTGTTCAGCATCTCTTGTTCCTAAGTTCCCAAATTCCTTTTTCCCCTGTCTTGCCGTACAGAGTTACATTTTTTGTGGGCATTTATACTGTTACTATTATTTATTATTATCATTATCAGTATTATTATTATTATTACTCGCAATTTACTATTACGTTCATTATCGCTATTATTATCACTATTATTATCACTATTATTATCACTACTATTATTATTATTATTATTATTATTATTACTATCATCATTATTGTATAATCAGATTACTGGAAAACAACTTACTTTTTGTTAAAGTGGAAAATACACTGCACTGTAAAGCGAATTTGGGTTTGGTTCAGTTAGTTTTGCAGTTTAACAAAGATCGTTTCGATGTGTTAGACAGGTTGCCTTTGGTAAGATTATCAAGTAAGTGATTGAAAAAACTAATTGTTAGCTAAATCCTCTTATCTATAAGGTTTCTACTCTGCTCTCCATATATTTAGGGTCTTCTATCTATTATTTAACATACTTCTACTGTTTTTGGAGTTATCATCCTATTGATTAATAAGCTATATAATCGTTTCTACATATTTCTTTCTTTCTTCTTACATTTTGTTTCCTCCATATATTGGTGTGTCAGTGTTAGTGTGTGTGTATGTGTGTGTGTGCTTAACAATATGGTTTTTTCTACTACATTGGTATCAAATAAAAATATTACTGCTAATTCTCCTCCTGCTAGAGAGAATACTAGTTCCATGATATCTCCTACCACTACAAGTACTACAAAAACTGATATTACTACTAGTACTACTACTACTACATCTGTTGTTAATGCTGTAACTACAAGTACGCCTTCAATTTTTATATCCCATAAAAATAGCAGTAATGATAATAATAATAATACCAAGGACTATAACAATAATACCAGTAAACACTACAATAATACAAATATTGCATTGAGCGTCAGTCCGACCTCTACACTCCCTATAAATAACGACAACAGTAATAATAATAATGATAACCGCCAAAACAGTGATAATAATCGTAGCATGGGAAATGCTATGGACTTAAATAAGATAAGAAAAGATTCAATTGCACATTCCCAGGGGGTAGGTGGTGTTTCTTGGGGATCCCTCACAATCGGTTCATGGTTAAGAGATGAAGTCATGTTACGTGGATTTAATAATAACAATAGCAATAGTAATAGTAATAGTAATAATAATAGTAATAGTAATAATAATAGTAATAGTAATAGTGCTAGTAATAGCTATAATAATATAATGGGGACTATGATGGAGAATCATATTGGTTCTAATTCCAATTATACAAGTCATTCAAAGATGTATAATGCTAATAGGAACTCCATCTCTTATAGACGGCTATCCACAATTAATAAACTGAATAACCCTAATAAAACAATAAAAGTGGAACATGATGATTCTAATAATATTACCAACACCAACAGTAAAGACATCGACCATGGCTATCGTCATGATACTACTAAAAATAATAACCATGCAAATGATTCCTATTCTAATTTTTCTTTGAATACCTCAGACAACTCCGATGTGTTGCATTTGAACTCACCACTGAGTACGACTAGTACTTATCTACCTTATCTTGAGACTCAGTTTTGTAGAGATTACTCGTGCTGTGGGTTATCATTACCAGGTTTGCATGATTTATTAAGACATTATGAAGAGGCTCATATTGGAGGCATCGGTTATAATAGTGGTTTTAATAGTGGAAATCATATCAATTACAACTATTCGAATTATGGCATGAAAAAACCAAATAATTACTTAAAACAACAATATACTATCAAACAGCATAGAAATGGTTTGCAAGAACACCTGAAATCAAGGAATAGTCATGAAAACACTTCATTATCAAATAGTATATATAATAATAATATGACTAAAAATGAAAATATTCAAACTGGTTCTATATCCACGCCGAAAAACAAGGATAATTTGAATAATTTTACTTTTAATAATGATAAGGATAGGGATATAACTGTACGAAATGGTGCGAAAGTTACTACAAATAAAGATACAAATATCAACAATAGAAATAATGGTAACAGTAGTAATAGCAGCACTACTACTACTGGTGGTAGTGATGATAATAGCAGAGTACATAATAATAAAAATAATAACTCTCTGATAGGAACTAGCCTGGATATAGGTTTAATGAATAATGGTTTGTTAGATATGGAGTTTGACCCTTCTAATAATCATGGTATTAATAGGATGTCCAATTCTACATCACATGATTCGACCAATAATATGGGTTCTGATCAAAACTTAAGAAATAATATGGTCCCATCTTCTATTATCACTCAGGACTCATTAAACATTGGATCTGATTCAAGCCATTTAGATTTAAGTCATGGCCTTGGTGTTATAGATGCTGATCCACATTACAGTAACGAAATAGCAGTAGAAGATGATGATGGTGATAATGATATTGACATGAATTCTGATATCAGGGGTGTTGGTAGTAATAATAATAACAATAATAATAGTAACAGCAATAATAAAAATAATGGCAATATAGCTATGAATAAAAATAACAATTCTTTTCATAATTTGAAAGAGTCAGTTAATTCCTTAGATGTAACTACAAATGGTGGTCATAATTTTCATAATATTTTAATGGAAAATTCTGACAATTTGAATAATTTACTTATGGATTCCTTTTCTATACCACAAATTCATTTGAATGATAATATGCATACACATAATAATGGTAATAATAATAATAGTCATGATGTACTGGGTGGCATCGGTAATAGTCGATCATTCATGGATGATACGATTCATAATGATGCATCTGGGATGGCACATCAAGACACATTGTCTAATTTGCACCCAAATAATGACGATGATATGAATAATGATGATATGAATAATGATGGAAATAGGGTAAATTTTATCGATGACCCAGCAAGAAGACTGTATGTTATGGATCATGAAGAACATAAACCATTCAAATGCCCAGTTATTGGTTGTGAAAAGACATATAAGAATCAAAACGGTCTGAAATATCATAGATTGCATGGGCATCAAAATCAAAAACTGTTGGAAAATCCTGATGGTACATTTACTGTTTTGGATCCTGATTCTAATGAACCATATCCTGAAGGAATGGGGTATGAAAAGGATAAGCCATATCGTTGTGAAGTTTGTGGTAAACGGTATAAGAACTTAAATGGGTTAAAATATCATAGAGGTCATTCCACTCATTAAGTCTTAAAATAGAATTAGTAATACTATTCTTTTGTTTGTATGTTGTTTTCCCTTTCAATCTATAACATTAAGATTCCTTTTATTTTGTTACGATACATTAGTTGTTATAACATTATTATAATAAGAAGAAGATTAATTTTTTTACTTGTATTATATTGATTATTTTTGTGACGCTTAATAGAGAACCATATATGATTTTAAAGGTATGTAGATAGGTTCATTCCGATATATATATATATATATATATATATTATTATTAGACATATTTATTAGTAATCAGAGGAATATAATAAAGTATCTTCTTTAGCACATATCAAACTATCTCTCTGGGTAAACATACGATTTTATGATATCTATATAACATGACATAACTGTCTATAAATTATGATATTATATTTTATTAAGTGAGAATAAATCTGTATTTCTATAACCTATTTGGATATTTTTATGTACTGAAGGAGAAGATGCAGAAGACTTATTTATTAAACATGGGGAAAAATTATTGAAAAGAAAGACCAATTGACTATTAAAAATAAGGATAGTATTTATATAATACATTATATTAAGCAAATAGAGAAGGAAGAAGAGGACGAGAGAGACATCCAAGATCCAAAGGTAGTAGCACAGCTTAGAATAGTTTAAATCATTTTTTGTGTATTTGTAACGATTCTACATTTATTTATTTATCTATTAAATAAAGAATATCACTAGATATAATCAAACAACTAAATAAGATAATGAATATTAACATTGCAACCCCGTTCCATATACTACAATGGTACACATATATTGTGATGATATTTATATTTCAATTAGTTATTATTTTCCCACTTTCATGTATAATATTTAATGATTTATACAATAGATTAATATCGTTAGATTCTATTCAAACGATTCCATTAAATACACTGGTCACACCACAGAATTATAGGTTTGAACAATCTTTTATCAGATATGACTTCAGCCCGTTGCCTCAAGTGTTACGTAGTGGGATTCCTCAATTGATTCCGTTACGTTCAAGCGTTGATTATTCATTAGATATGAAGATCGAGTTTTATTGTCAACATAGGTTCTATTCAAATATGAAATATAAAAGTAATATGGAAATAATGGATACTGTAAAGATCAAAATTTGGATAAACAATGACCCAAAAAACCAATTATTGTATCAAGTTAAAATGCCAGTAATTTGTTCGAATAAAGATACAAGTGAATCAACTCTTTCCTTGTCATCGACATATAAGTCATTCAAAGGGGATCAGTTACTATCAAATAGAGAAATTACAGATCGTACCAAATCGTTGCTTTCAGGGACCAAACGGTCTTTCATGGACTTATATCACGACCACTGGTTAAACAAGTTTTCAATAAGGGATACAATCAAGATCCCTACGTGGGCGAAGAGTGTCCATATCCAATTTGATTCAATTTCTACATTTACCGTACCTAAGACAGATGTATTGACAGATTCGATCGATAACCAAATGAACGTTAATATAATGAAACGTTTGACATTTGAACCCGAATCGTCTATTCTACAATTTAGAACAATCTATGAGCAAGGGATAAGGAATTTTATGTTGGTTCACTCATGGATCACATATGCAATTGGTGTTACCATTGTACACTCTATTCTATTGATTGTATTTTTACTGGTGGGACTTTACTGTTTTTATAAAATTCTTACAATGAGACCAAGTTCCAAACCAGTAAAATAATTGTATCAACAAAAACCTTTTTATGCGAAATATGAATATTGGCTATGTGCATGTATATGTTTGCATGTGTATGTGCATTTGTATATGTATTTGTATTGGTGATGGCTTTCTTATAGCAATTTGAAACCGGTTGGGTGACGTTGCCATATAAAAAAAAATGAAATATTAACTGGTGGATAAGAAAAAAAAAAGAAAAGAAAGAAAAACGAAATAAAAAAATTTTTTGTGTAGTTTTTCATACAAAGAAGAGATGAAGTGATCAATGATGTGGACTCTGTGGTGTTAAACAAAATGGAAGGTGATATCAAGTAGATCATATCCATGTTGCTGAAGGAATTTACTGAACAGAGGTAGAGGGGTATGGATAAATGGAGGATTTTATGTCCAGTGATAAAATGTTGGAACCCAAACGTCTAACTGTGGAGAATGATCCATTGCATATCATTAAGACAAGACTACAAACACATGGTAGACCAGCAACTATTTCAGGTCCAATGGTTAGATACTCGAAATTGCCATTTAGACAATTATGTCATTATTATAATACCGACATTACATACACACCAATGATCCTTGCGCGTGAATTTGTCAGAAATAGGAACGCAAGGATTGCAGATTTTACGACAAATCTGGCAGACTCACCAGTAGTGGCTCAGGTTGGAGTTAATAACACCACGGATCTTTTAAGAGTCATTGAAATGATAGGTCCCTTTGTGGACGGGATCAGTGTTAATTGCGGTTGTCCCATAAAGGAACAGGTTAGAGAAGGGATTGGATGTGCATTGATATATAATGAAGATTTGATGGTCGATATGGTAAAAACAGTTAAGTGTAAATATGGCAGTAGGTTAAGATTGGAGATGAAGATTAGAATCCATGAACATGACAAACCCTTGAGAACTTTAAGACTCTGTGAAAGGTTATGCGATGCAGGTGTGGATTGGATAACCGTACATGGTAGATTGAAAAGTACAAGATCATCTCAGCCAGTGGACCTAAATGCAATAAAATATATTGTTGATGGATTGAAGGGGAAGAATGTACCTATTGTGGCTAATGGGGATTGTTTTACAGTAGCTGACATGGAGAGAATACAATCTTTTACAGGTTGTCACGGCGTCATGTCTGCAAGAGGGTTGTTAAGCAATCCTGCCTTATTTGCAGGTTACAATAAATGTCCATGGGGTTGTCTTGAACGATTTGTCTACTACTGTGTTGAGATTGGTGGGTTGCCACTACAATTGATATTACATCATGTTTATTGTATGATGGAGAACATGCAAGTTATGAGAAGATATTTGAAACAAATAATGTCATTATCGAGTATAATTGACTTAATTCTTTGGTTAGAGACAAATTTTGAATTTTCAAGATATGGTGAAGAAGGATTTGGTGCCAGAGTGGACGTACCATACAGAAAATAATCAGGAGAAAGCTGTGTTGAACACCTTTCTGAACTCCTGTTATAGAACCAACAACGGATATTCCCGCTAGTATTTTTCACCAAACACATTAACACTATTTGGTGACACACACTCAACCTTATTCAATTTCACTTTATGCTTCTAATTTCTTTTTTTTTTTTGTTTTCAGTTTGTTTATTTGTTTTGTTTTTTTTTTTTGATGTAACCCCGAAAGAAAAAAAATTGAAGGAATCAAAGAAAATTTTTCGTTTTTTATTTTCTGTTATTGAGAGATGGGTTTATTTATAATAAGGTGAGAGCCTGGGTTGTCACTAAACAGAAAGGTATTCTCGAACCACATTTTATCTTGTGTTGATGTGCTATAAGTAACATGATGAGATTTATTATCATTTCTGTTTCATAGTTACATCTTTACAACTCAAAGATATTCTAATTAGACGGTTACATCCTATCCATCTTCCTTTTTGTTTTTTTGTTCTTTAGAGAAATCGTTAAAAGAATATATGAATATATAATTAAGTTCATTCAAGGTTTCACAGTGATGTGCGTTTCAAATACGGGTCTAAAGAAAAAGAGTTTAAAATCAAACATTCATAATATTATTCAAAGATGGAAACTTATATTTAAGAGAATCTCTGAAGAAGTATTGGATAGTCTAGATGAAAATGACATTTCTATCTCTGATGACAAAAGGATAGAAGCGCTTTTTAATAGTAATAAAGATGATGATGATAGCGATGGTGATATTGATACTGATACTAATATAGATACTGATAATGTTGAGAAGAGAAGAAATAATAAGCAAAACAAGAACATTCAATTATTAAATAAGAGAGGGGCATCAAATTCTACTAATGCTAGAGGTTTATCTAAACGTTCTGTATCTAACTTTTCAAGTATTAAAGAAAATGATAATGAAAGAAAAATAACTGATTCTAATGACAATCTACGTAACATTGAGAATAGTGATAATATTATTGATAATGGCGATAATAACAATATCGATGATTCATATAAAATAACATTTGATAATTATGATCCAATTGAAGAATGTAAAAAACTTCGAACTACGATAAATGGGACATTTTATCATGCAGGGACTGTATGGGAGACAAGAAGAAAACTTTGGACTGAAAATGTCACAAATATTGATCCGTCTAAAGAACATAATAGGGACATATTCAAATCTATCCCAGAACAATATTATTATAGAGTGTATAAAAAATTGGTGATTGACGATAAACCTCTTCGTGAACCATTAAATTTAGAGGATGCAATAAAAGTGATTAATTCGGGATGGAAAGAAACTAAAACCTGGGAGAACACTTCTAAAGTCTTACATTAGTTCAACATATCTCGTCTTTTTATTAATGGTAGTATTCTTATCTTTTTTTATTTCTGTTTTTTATTTTGTTCTTTTTTTGCTTTGCATATTTTATTAATATTAGTACATATACATACAGATATATAAAAAGACTATTCTTTTTGATTTGCTTTGATTGTTTGTAATGTTTGTTCAATTATTCTTAAATCCCTATCTACTACAGCAGCTTTAGTTTGTATATTATAGTCTTTTTCCATGTAGGGGGCGAAATGTTCATACATCTTAGTTAAAGGATCAACACATTTTGTTTTCAACGTTTGATCATGAAGTTTTATTAATTCTTTTAATTGGATTTCCTCGATATAATCATTATTTCTTTCAATCTCTTTTAATGTTTTCGAAATTTCTGTAGGAACCTTTGAATGAGTGATCTTATCCACAAGATGACTTAATGTATTTCTGTTTGACTGCATCCTGATTATATATAATCAGTATACAATTTAATTTTATCTACTTTAATGCTTGGATATAAAGCAATGCTGTTGATATTAGTGCTGTTATAATGTATATATTTACTTATTTCTATCTTTATTGCTATATCACCCTATTAATAGTGTTTGTACTGTTTTCGTAAGCTTTTTATATTTCGTTCATTTTTAAAAAAAATGAAAAAAAAAATTGCATATATAAATATAATACATATAAATTCAAATAGTAGATCATTTTATAGAGAGAAGCTAGAAGGAATATTTCTATAGATAGCAGTTGAACATATACACATATATATATGTGTCTGTGTGTAAATGAAAGCATTTTTTGTCTTCCCATTCTAATAAGGTTGGTGGAAAACAATCATGAAAGCAAACTTTTGAACAATACCTAATTATTATATATGACGAATGTTCTTATGTTTTTTATTTAGTCTGATTATAAAAATATACATGCTTTGATATTTATATAATCAATACACACCTAATCTATACGGATATTTATAAATATTATAATACTCTATTTCATATTTTTAATCATTCCCCCCTTTTTTATACACTTGAAACAAAGTTAATAATGGCAGAACAATATTTAACCAAGTCATCTAATCTATCATTACTTTTATGATATTGATTCCACTCCCTTAAGGCCTGAGAAATTTTTTCATTCTTATTATTCATATGAATCACATCACCATGGGCTTTTAAAAGAAGACTCATAAATGCTTCGTACAGTTCAAAATTCTTGTTTGATTTCAAACCTTGAGTAATGGATTCAATAAACCATACTATTTCATCGTATGGTTCAAATGAATTAAGTGATCTGATCTCCAAATCTACTGAATTTGATGGTAATTCCACTAAATTGTTTAAAAAATTAGTGTAGTCTTTGGACTCATAACCTTTTCTTAATAGTCTAGTGAATTTAGATTCAAATTCAACACGACCAGTGGGTTTGAATTTTTGCAGTAACTCTTTTGCATTTTCTTTATCTTGAGCCTCAGCTTCTCTTTTTTGAATCTCTTCCGGTGTCTCATATATAACACCTTCCCTTTGCGAAGCTTCATCTCCAACTTTATTACCATGTAATTGTAAAAAGAATGGAATATTGTTTTCTGGTTTCTTTGGTGGTTCAATAGGTTTAGATCTTTGTTTAATAACATTCAAATTTAGTAGTGTATTCATTTTATTCCTTGGGCCTAAAGACAAAGTAATTAATTCTTTATTAATTTGTTCTAAGGAATGATAGACATTAGATAATTCACGTTCATTATCCTCATGACCTTCATCATTATCTAATGCACCAGCAAGCATAGAACTGTTTCCTTCAATTGATGTAGTTGGTAAAATAGCTTTAGAAAATTCTTCCTCATTGACTGTTCTTGTGGAAATTGCCTTAAATTGAGACCTGTTAGTCCAAATGCTGATACCTTTTCCATTAACATGGGTAGTTGCCAACAGATCACCATTTGGTGAAAATTTTAAGTCTGTGGCCACACTATCTAATTTGACTCCATCTATACATCCACCAGTAGGCAAGTCCCATGTTCTGATAGTGGAATCTAAGGATGCAGAAACAATCCAACGTCCATCTGGCGAAAAATCAAATGCTGTGATTCTATTACTATGACCCCATAACTGACGTACTACTTTTTGTGTTACAGCATCAATTACTATAATTGATAAATCATCCAATGCAAGAGCAAATAGATCAGATGATCGATGATAGACCATCGATGTGATTGGTACATCTAATTGTAATTTACCTAATAACGTTGATTTATTGAAATCATAAAACCCTACTAAGCCATCAAGACCACAGGATACCATCTTTCTATTCATACCATCAAGTGCAATCCCGGTTACTGCTCTTTTATGTAATTTATACTGTTTCCTTAGAATACCACTTTGCATATTATAGATGGATATAGACCCATTAGATGAACCAACCAAACCAAAATTACCACATTGTGAGATGGCTACGGATTTAACAAAGCCTGCATCATTGGTGGAAAAAGTCCATCTCCCTACTCTCTTAGATCTCATATCCCACGTTCTAGCAATTTTTTCGTCCTTATGGGCAGTGATAATGTTTTCCCATTCCCCTAACCTAGCATTTTCGATAGCAATTGAAATAATTTCAGGGAACTTCTCTTTCATTACATTGCCAGCCATTCTACCACCATCTGGTTTTTTATGTACTCTTTGGGATAATTCTTGACTTTGAGCATCTTTTCTTAAAGAAAATCCCCATAGAGTTCTATCCCTAGAAGCAGACAAAAGGAAATGGGACTCAGAATCAGCAAATTTTATACATGATGGAGGTTGAGAATGACCACCTCTGGAACGCAAGAATCTTGGTGGTTGCACTACCGCTTCGCTTTCAGTTTGAGACAAAGATGGGTCAAATACGTATTCTTTCAAGGTGTTATCACCACCAGAAGTAACCACAATTGGTTGACCATGTAAGAAGGATGCTCGGGCAACGCCACCAAAGGTCTCTTTATGTACATTTTTCAAAACAGAGATTCTAGAACGACGATCTAAATCATAAAAGATTAAATCACCCAAAGTGGTACCAACACATAAATGTGACAGGCCATCTGTTCTAAAAGATAAAGATGAGACAGTAGATTGTAAGATCTTAATAGTACGTATTTTTCTACCCTTTCTTAGATTGAATATAATGATATCTCCCGAAGAAGTACCCAGTGCCATTATATCTAAAGCTGGAGCTGGCTCAACACATGTTAATTGATCAGTGAACTCATCAGAAGTGTACAGTAATTTCCCTGTCTTTATATTATACAATAAGATGTTTGACTTAGTGACAACGACCAGTTTATTTAAATAAGTAGCTAAATGAGTTAGACTAATAATTTCACCACCTTGTAGATTGTTAATTGTGAATTTTGTATAGAAGGTAGTAGCATATTTATCATTTATAGAATTGTCCTTTTTGTATACGTAAATATTATTATCATCAGTGGAGGCACAAAGATAATCACCAAAGACAGATAAATGTCTTACAGTGGCATTAGTTGCCTGTAAATTTATTGAATGTTCCTGAACACCACGTTTATAGATGCCAACTTTATTACCAAAAGCAACATACACATAGTGGAAATGAGCAGCCAAAGCAGTAATTTCAGAATCAGTTTCTTTAGCAGAGACAAATAAAAGATGTAAAGTATTTGCATCATAAATTTGAAAAGATTTCCCAACACTGGTAACAATGTAAAAAGTAGAACCTAGTGTACCCACTGCAAATGGTACCTCATTACTGACATTACCGACAATTCTAAATGGAGCAAAAATCCTAGAAGCATAAACAGATTTTGCTGGCTCTACTTTCCTTTTCTTAGTCACTTCAGTCATTGTATTTTTACTCTCAGTAGACCGTTCAAATAGATCTTTATCTTGTCAAAAACAATTGGTAATCCACTTAAGAGGAATATTACTAATAATTTAATAATTCCACTGTACAAGAATGTGTTGATGCCACATACAAACCTTTTCTTTTCTTTCAATTGCTTTAATCAATCACATCGCAAAAATTTTTCAAGCTCCGCTAAGTCACGTGCCTTTTAAAGATAGAAAAATAAATAAATTCCATAAAGTCAAAAAAAAAAAAAAAAGATAAGGTATTTCTGAATCAAAATCGCACATAGCTTGAAAGAGTGAAAGGAATTTGCTTTTTTAAGAAACTAGCTTTCTTATATCTTAAGGGCATGTTAGTAATTGATGCAGAAGGAATATTTCAACAAGGAGAAAGTATTAAAGTGAATAATATATCCCTTTTGATGGGATAGTTGAACTTAAAAAAAAAGAGTTGATAATAGTAATATATAAAAATACACTTCAAAGAGGAAAAAAGAGGTTTTATTACCCAGAGATTTGTTGGTTGGTTGGTTTATTTTATTCTTTTAGTTTGCCTTTAAAGTTCAATGGTGGATCCAAGAAAACAGGTTACTGGGATTGATATTCCAAAAGAAAAAGATGGGGATTTTATTAATGGTGAGAACAATAAAATTATGGAATCAATGTCAATATCTCCACTGACTTTGAATAGAAGTACCCAAAAGGCTATGGAATCCATAGCCCCTATTTTAGAAGGTTTTAATCCAAAGACTTCTACAAGCGAAAATATGTCTCTAAAGTTACCTCCAGCAGTTATCTCTGCCAGTGAATCCTCATTAGACGATATAAATAACGATCACAGGTTCAACAAAAATTCAAATGTAGGAGGATCGTTGATTTCTGCTGATCATAGCCAGTTGGTAGATCAAGCTTGTAATGTTACATTAGAGAATTTAAAATTAATAGAAACTGCCAGGAGAAATTCCATTTCTTCTGATCCCCAATGGCATTCTTTAACAACACCTGAGCAAAGTAATAGTGAGGCGTCGTCTATATCTGTTAATACATCGGGAATTAACACTCCTACTTCTATTTCTTACAGCATCTTAGCAGGTTCGAGTTTCCCTTCTACGTCCTCTTCCAGAAAATCTTCAACTAGTCATTCTCGGTTCACATTGCCTAAAATTGGAAAGATTGGTGTATGTGCTATGGATGCAAAAGTTCTTTCAAAGCCAATGCGTCATATCTTGAACAGATTGATGGAGCATGGTGAATTTGAGACAATTATCTTTGGAGATAAAGTTATTTTAGATGAACCTGTACAAAATTGGCCTACCTGTGATTTCTTAATTTCGTTCTTTTCTACTGGGTTTCCTTTAGATAAAGCTATTGCATACGCAAAATTAAGAAAACCGTTTATTATAAACGATCTTATTATGCAAAAAGTGTTATGGGATAGGAGATTATGTTTAAGATTATTGGAAGTAGCAAAAGTACCTACTGCACCAAGGCTTGAGATCAGCAGAGATGGTGGTCCTCGTGCTAATGAAGATCTGAGAAAGATGTTATTAGAAAAAGGTGTTAAGTTGGAACCTATTGAAGAACCTCATTGGAGAATGGTTGACGATGATACGTTAGAAGTTGATGGGAAAATAATGACTAAGCCATTTGTTGAAAAACCTGTTGATGGTGAGGATCATAATATTTTTATATATTATCATTCAAAGAACGGCGGTGGTGGTCGTAGACTATTTAGAAAAGTGGGTAATAAATCATCTGAATTTGATCCTACATTACTGTATCCAAGAACTGATGGTTCGTATATTTATGAAGAATTTATGGACACGGACAATTTTGAAGATGTTAAGGCTTATACAGTTGGTGAAAACTTTTGCCACGCGGAAACAAGAAAATCACCCGTAGTCGATGGTATAGTTAGAAGAAATACACATGGTAAGGAGGTTCGTTATGTCACACAACTTTCTGATGAAGAAAAACATATGGCACAACGTGTATCTAAGATTTTTTCTCAAATGATTTGTGGATTTGATCTATTGAGAGTTTCTGGAAAAAGTTATGTGATTGATGTGAATGGTTTCTCCTTTGTCAAAGATAACACGTCCTATTATGATTCTGCAGCGAAAATTTTGAGAGAAACATTTCTGCAAGCCAAGAAAAAAATGGATCTTGTGAAGCGTACTATGCCTCAGATAAGAGAAGAAAAGAGTCAAAAATGGGTTTTTAAGGGACTAGTTACAGTAATTCGTCATGCTGATAGAACACCAAAGCAAAAAATCAAACATTCTTTTACATCACCAATATTCATATCTTTGTTGAAGGGCCATAAAGAAGAAGTTGTTATTAGAAATGTAAATGACTTACAGATCGTAGCACAAGCTTTAAGCATTGCATTAGAAGAACAAGCAGAAGATCCTGTAAAAGTTAAATTATTGTATACCACATTATTAAAAAAGATTGATTTTCCTGGAACTAAGATTCAATTAAAACCTGTTCTTAATATTGAAAATGAGGTGGAAAAAGTGCAGTTTATTTTGAAATGGGGGGGTGAACCAACGCATTCTGCTCATTATCAAGCCACTGAGTTAGGTGAACAAATGCGTCAAGATTTTGACTTATTAAATAAAAGTATTTTACAAAATATTAAAATATTTTCCTCTTCTGAGAGAAGAGTTTTATTATCTGCCCAGTTTTGGGCATCTGCTCTTTTTGGGGCAAATGAGTTTGGCAATGATGAAATTAGCATAAGAAAAGATTTATTGGATGACAGTAACGCAGCAAAAGATTTGATGGATAAAGTAAAGAAAAAGCTAAAGCCATTATTGAGAGAAGGTAAAGAAGCTCCATCCCAATTCACATGGCCTGCAGAAATGCCGGAACCTTATTTGGTGATTAAGAGAGTTGTAGAATTGATGAATTATCATAAAAAGATATTAGATTATAACTTTTCAACAAGAGACGTGAATAAAATGCAGTTAAGATGGTGTTGTGGTGAGGATCCTATCTTATTTAAAGAAAGATGGGACAAACTATTCAAAGAATTTCATAGTGTTGAAAAAGTGGACCCTTCAAAAATATCTGAATTATACGATACAATGAAGTATGATGCACTGCATAATCGGGAATTCTTAGAAAATATCTTTGATCCTCATGGATGTTCTGAATTAATTGACAGTGAGTTAGATACACACTCTTTAGTGGATAGATATCCTATCAATATTTTGGCAAAGAACAACTTTAAAATTGTAGAGAGTCAGAATAATTCCACTATGTCAAGTTCCGGTAAGACAAGTGTTGGTTCTCTTGGTTGGGTTTTAGAGAGTAACAAAATGAGTCAAGAGAATTCTGCATTTGCTGAGGGTAAATTTAAACAATTAAGAGAACTTTATAAATTAGCTAAAGTTTTATTTGACTTTATTTGTCCAAAGGAATATGGTATTAAAGATTCAGAGAAATTAGATATTGGGTTATTGACATCTTTACCATTAGCTAAACAAATTCTAAATGATATAGATGATATGAAGAATAAAGAAGCACCCGCTTGTGTAGCATACTTCACTAAGGAATCTCATATTTATACACTTTTGAACATCGTTTATGAATCAGGTATTCCAATGAGAATTGCTAGAAATGCTTTACCGGAATTTGATTATTTAGCACAAATTAATTTCGAGTTATATGAAAGTACTGATTCAGCAGGACAAAAATCACATTCAATTAGATTAAAGATGTCACCTGGTTGTCATACACAAGATCCATTAGATGTACAATTAGATGAGAGACATTATATTAGTTGCATTCCTAAATTGTCGTTGACTAAGCATTTAGATATGGACTATGTGCAACAAAAACTAAGAAATAAATTTACTAGAGTGAAAATGCCATCAAAATTCACACCTGTGAATATTACTAGTCCTCGTTTGACATTTCATAAGATTAAAAAGAATAAATTAAAAAAAGAGACTAGCAAGTCTGAGACAGAAGGAGATGATTCCACCCCTAGTACACCGTTTTTAGCGTTATCTCAGTCATCTTCTACGGTGTCAATTGATGGTAAATTAGAGAAATTTAAGTGAAATATTAGTAGTATTATGATATGTGTTATATATTCATAAGAATAGATTATTTATTCATGTAATTTTGTGTTGTTAAATAAATATGTGTATATAATATATGTCTAAAAGGTACGGAAATTATTTCATTAATAGTTTATACTTAGCAATTAAGTTAATTTTCTTTTTTTCTCTTTATGTATTTTTGGATATATAATAATATTATAGTTTTGATTTAGTTATTATTAATAAAAAACAATAGTATTTTGTTGAGAGAGAATAAAAATGTACTAAAAAATAGAGTATTTATTAAATATTCAATATTGCGAAATTTTTATTCTTTATATATTAAATTTTAATTGATACTTTCACTAGATACCTTTTGCATTTAAGGAGTAAGTCATATTAGGATTAAAATAAAAAGTTAAGTAAAAATTTTCATAGTAAGTTAGACGTTATTAGGTAATTCTAATATATATGTATTAGTTGATTAATTCGATTTGGTTATATACCATATTCACAACAGGTCATTATCTTTAAATTTCTTTTTCTTTGATTTGAATGAAGGGAAGTGAAAAATTGTGACTTGTTGCAGTTTCTCACTGCTAATGAGTTTTGTTTTAGATATTATTGATCAAACTTTCTGAATTTGTTTATTTTTTTACATCTTCATGTGTTGGTCAAGACCCAGGTAATGGTGAAGCTTTTAACACAAACATAAAATATTTGCAGAAAAAACAAATTTGATAGTAAAGATTCTACAAAAAAAATTAAAAGAAAAAAACCTGCTTTAAGAAACCAAACAGAAGTTAAAAAGGACTTACACTTATTTATTATATATATATATACATATTGTAAATTGGGCCATTTTATTATTTCTGTCTTACATAAAAATAAAAACTTAATTATAATTTTAAACAAACAGTAAAATAAATAAATAAAAAAATTTGCAGATATCGATAAGACTGAAAAGATAAAAAGATTTTGTATATATCTACCATTTTTTCAATAAGTTAACAAGAAAAATAATGATCATTAAGCAATAGAAAATCTTTAATAATATATTGTCTGAAACATGGAAAGAACAAAAATAGTTTTTACAAGTTAACTTATATTTTGAAAATGTCAACTTCTAAACTATAAAAAAACAGAAACTTTAATACCTTATACACACATATATAATATATGTTATCTTATATAAAAATTATAAAAAAGTTCTCACATTTAAACATATCTAACCTTTAAAGGTACCATAAGAACAAGACAGTGATTTGAAAGTCTACCTTGGTAATTATTACTATCAATTTTAACAAGTAATTAAAGTATAAACAATAATGATTATAAATATTGTAATCAAAAAAATAAATAAACAAACAATTGTTCTTTTATTTGTTGGATAAATTTCTAATCTTCCAGAAGACTAATGTTATTCAACATTCTATCTATATATAATATCTTGCAAGTTAGAAATATTTCAAACTTAGTTATCAATATTAAATGCTTACCTTACCGTGATTCTTTCAATTTTTTGATCAGTATAATAAATTGTGGATAATAATCATAAATGCCCAATGATCCCTATAAAATTTCCCTCTTACTTCAAATTTATTTGTCATTTGTCAGAACCAATTAATTTATTATTAAAATTTTGTATCTAAGTATTCACTCCTCTTATATTCTTAGAATAAATTAACATTGTTTTTTGTAAAAGAAGACCTGTGATAGTTTTGAGTTATCTTTCATTTTCTTAGAGGATTTACGACACTTTAACAGTTTTTTTTATTATATACAAAAAAAATTATAGGTTCAAAAATGTTTGTAAAAAATAAAAAAATATCAGAATATGCTGAAAATTTCAAGAAAAGATAAAACTAGATTATAGAAGAATGCCTGCTGATTTACAAAGATTTTCTTTGCCTTCAACACTGTAATAAAAATATGTCCTCCCTGGGAAGTAAAAAACTTATTACTTTATTATGTGCTAAATCTCTAATGTGAATATGTCCTTTACTGTCTCGAAAAAGAATAAAAATAAGTTAAAACCTGTGGATTTTTCCTCGAAATTAAATGAATGTAGAGATATCATAAGAGAATCATTAATGTTCCAAGACTTGAAAACAATATTGGATAGTACTGCAAACTCAATTAAGGCAATAAGATGTCTAGCCATTGGTAGCTTTACTGAAGACTTTCCAGCCAGGTACCAATTAGCTTTACTACTAGAAATTATTGACTATCTTGAACATACTAGTGATACTCCTTCTATCGTTGTTTCAGTCTATGATCCTGTATTTACAAATCAGGATAAAGATTTTATTAAAGAAAAGGGTTCATTTTGGTCAATTGATGAAACTTTGCCACCTAAAAATTTCGAAAGTGATTCTACATTATTCTTTCTTCCGCACGCTCCTTTAGATCTTACAGAAAACATTTTAGTTAAAGAGAGACCGAAATATTTTTTGGCTAACAACATAATTCAACACACTGATAGATATACTGCTTCGCAATTAAATACAAAATACCCTGTTTTAAGTAAACTAGCAAATGTGTTAAGCTCTTCACAAAATGAAAATATAAAAACCAACAACACTAATCGAGAAGATTTACTCAAAGATGACGGATTCATCATAAATGTTTCTAAGAAAAAACATAGAAGAAATAAAAACAATAAATATGTTTTTGAAGAACCACATATTGATTATTCTCTAATTGATTCTTATTTTTATGCTTGTAAAATCTTAACCAGTTTCAATAATGGACAACATTTAAAGGATCAACCCTGGATTAATTCGTTCTCTGATTTAACTTTTCATATCATTGAATAACTAGCAGTATAGATATGTGTACCTATCTCTACACTAAACCTGATAGCGTCTACCCATTATATTGCCATTCCAAGATCCATATTCTTTTTTGATTCAAAGAATTCTGTTATATCATTTTTTTAACTATAAAAAATAGCATTGTAACTCTGAAATAACAACAACTGTATTTTTACAACAAAGATGGATGTCTATCTGATTTATTAAATTCCGCATATATTATATATTTCTTAAGAAATAGTAATACTACTATAAATCCTTAACTTACTAACTGCTCTTTCATTAAATAAAACTACTTTTTAAAAAATACATTTATCACTTAAGACCATATTAATAAATTATAAACACACACATAATATCTATTTTTGAAAAATTAATATAGTGTAAATAATGTAGATATATAATAAATAACTAATACAAGCCATAGATATTTTCATCTTTTTCTAAAGAAGAATTTGGATTATATCTTTATCTAGTTTTGATAAAATTCCCAATTATCAAGAATTGCCTTAATACGATCGGAGCCAGTCAAATTGTAAACATCTTGGAAGTATTCTTTAGTTAATTCAAATGGCTTAGCAGTTAGGTTTGGGATATATTTGCCAATTAATTTGTCTGCCTTAACATTTTCCTTGACAATATTCTTGTTTAGGAAGTTCTTGAATGGCTTAACACCACTCCTTAAGTAAGAAGAATGGAATGGAACAGAAATACCACGTAATGGAATACAAGCAAAACCTCTTTCCAATTCAATTGGTTGCGCCTTAGCTAACGATTTTTTGGAGATTTCATCAACGATTTCAAACAAATGAGATTCAACTTCTTCTAAGGACATTGATTCCCTCAATTTACTAATGTCGATCTTTTGCAATTTAATTAAGTTCAAAGTGTTAGATAAAGTGTCTAATGCTCTTAAATCACCAGCAGCAACATACTGTTGATTCTCAACATTGTGATTAACAATTTCTAATAACCAACCTGTTTTCTTGGCAACTTTTTCTACAATAAACATTAATGCTTCTTGATTGAATGTAGGAGAAACTCTACTTGGGTTAACAGCAACCATACCATAGTTAGATCTACCTTGTTCATCTCTTGGAACTGCAACTTGCATAGTCATACCTCTGTAGAAAACAACTTCAACTAGAGATTCAATAGACATAATGTCAGCTAAGGAACATAAGGCAGCGTATTCACCCAAAGAATGACCAGCAAAAGCAGCATCAGCTGGAATTAAACCTTTAGACCTTAAATCTTCAAAAGCAGCCTTTTCCATTAAAGTCAAGGCTGGTTGAGTAAATTGAGTAGCTGAAAGCAAACCACTTGGTGATTTAAAGGTGTATGAATAAGTGTCTTCTTTGATTTCTTTAAAGATCTTTTCGGTCTTAATCTCATTGCCAACAACAGTTTCGAAAATCATGGAAGTATAGTTTTCTCTGATCTTTCTACCCTTTTCACCACCGAAGTAAATTGTCAATTCCTTTGGATTATTTCTCACAATATCTAAAATAGAGAAACCATATGTCTTTTTGAAGTGATTGTCAGCTCTATCCCATACATTTCTAGCGACAGCAGATTTTTCATACAGATCCATACCCATACCTTGTTCTTGAGAACCTTGACCAGTGAAAACAAATGTGGAAACTGGTTGCTCAATTTCAGCTTCACCACTTAAAACAACAACATCTGCCTCATTCTTAGTTTCAAACTTAATCAACTTTCTACCATTGATCATACCAACATGTTGGATAGTTGTTTTTAATGGTGTATTTGGCAAGACCATATTTTGGAATTTACAACTGTAAGCACGAACTCTAGATGAAACACCATCAGCAACAGAGTTTTCAATCAAGGCACGAATAGCAGCAGAAGAGTACATACCATGAGTAATAGTACCTGGTAAATCAGCATAGTTAGCAAAGTGACGAGAAACATGAATTGGATTCAAATCACCAGAAATTCTACCATAAGTTTCATTAGTGCTTGGTGATTGTGTATCCAAAATTGCAATTGGAATAGCATTTTCTAAATTGACTTTCTGTTCTAGAGTAGAACCATTTCTTTTTAAGAAATCAACAACTGGATTACCACAAGATTCAGAAGCGGAATAGTCAACAACACCAATCTCAACCTTTTCCTTTGTAAGCAATTCTAACTTAATAGGACCAGTACATTGAACAGAAGAGAAAACAGTAGCATTCTTAAATGTAACCTCAGTTTCAGTTTCAAAAGTCAAAGTTTTTCCTAATAAGTCGATATCCTCATCATCCAATTGGAACCATTCTTTAGAGCGCAAAACAGCTACATCCTTAGCAGATGTAACTTGCATTTGGTAAACTGGTTCAGTAATTCTTTGGAATGTGTTTTGGAAATCATCATAGACACCTCTGTAGAAAAAGGAGGACACAACTTCCATAACCGGCTTTCCTTCTCTGGATAAAGTTCCAACAACCTCAACAACCTTACCAGTTGGTTGATTAACAACAGATTTAATAATAGCAGAAGTAGAAATCACATCGCCCTCTTGTAATGGTGATGCACCTGGAATCATCCTATATCCATTAGATAAGTGTACTAATTTCAGTAAATCACCATCAACAGTCTCTGGGAAAATAGCTTTAATGATTGCTCTCCAACCAACAACAATTGCAAAATCCATTGGAGCAAGTAGCTTTCTACCTGGTCTAGCAACAAAATCTTCACAATTATTACCAATTGCATAAGTAAATTCTGCGATGGCGTCAGCAGTAATTATAAAATCAGAACCCTTGATGATTTTTCTTGGATCGAAGTCCAAGTTAAATGGCTCATCAATCCATAGTTTCCAATACATTTCTTTAATACGCTTGTTACGATCCTCCATGACTTCAGAAATTGGTGCAAAACCATCATCTATATTGTAAGTGTAAAGCAATGGTAAGACGACTGGAGTACCATCCATAGTTCTATTTTCAATTAAATTCATTTCAATAATATTGTCTTTGATAAGTCTTAACGTAGCAGTCTTCTTTTGTTCACCTTGAATACGTTCAGTTAAAGTGACAACAGTGGAAGATGAATCATTTGGATTTTCAATTTCAACAATCATACGATGACATGGCTTGAAAACCTTCTTAGCAGCGTTGTCAGTGTATAACTTACCTTGGACGAATCTTTCTGTTGTAAAGAATGCATATCTCCAATTCTTCTTATTCCCAGCTAATAATTTAAACCATTCAATTGGACAAGTATTAGTATGAGCATGGAAAACAAGCTTCTGCTCTGATTTTTCAATATCAGTCATAACTGGTTCTTCACCACCGATGTATTCTATGATTGGAATAGAAGACTTATCATTATTATAGTAATCTTTAACTAATCTCTCAATGTGTCCTTCATGGATACTGTCCATAATATCCTTAATTGGTTCATCAATTTTCTTGGTAAATTCTGCAGCAACAGGACCATGTAAAATACAAGTTCTTTGGACATCTTCATCAATAACAGCTTCAATATGTTCTGATTGCCATAAAGAATCCTTCTTAAAGAAAAATTCAAATCTATGATCAAGAATTGGAACAAATGGAACTGGTTTTTGGAATGGGTTTTCACACATGTTTAAAAAGTGATCAACATCTTGTGCATTCATATATTGTTCTTTAGCAGCTGGATATGCATTAAAGACAGCATCTAAAGCCTTTTCTGGTTCATTCAAAACAGTATAAGATTGAATTAAAGAAGTCGTCTTTTTATCAGTAAAACGTTCTTCGACACGACGCAAGAAATCACCAGTGAAGTTTCTTAAAGTGACATCAATCCAAGAATTCGTCTTTCTAATGAACATTAATTCAACCAATCTTTTAGCAACTTCTTCATATGTCATTTGAGTAATGTCACGAATTTCACCATTTACAGTAGCAAACCATGGCTTATGAGTGTCTGCATTCAACTTCTTAATGATATAATCTCTCTTAGCATCTAAAGCTGGTTGCAATTTATTCTTTGGTAGATTGAAAATAGTGTCATCCATCTCCTTCCAGAAGATAACACAACGTGTTGCAATCTTGTGAATTGGTTCACCCATTTCGGAACGAACAGTTAGAATACCACCAGTTGGCTTTTTGTAAGTACCTTCCCATTCAGAATCTGGAACACCAGAACAATCAACAATAGCTTGTTTGGCAGCATAAGAAGTCTTAGTTTCTTTAGCAATCATAACTCTAGAACCAAATAAGAAACCATCAAATGGCATTGGTGGGTAGTCAAACTTAGTAGACCATTCACCGGTTAAGTATGGGTAGGTGTCATCAGCAGAACCGAAACCAGAACCAGCTATTAATATAATATTAGATTGTCTTCTAATCTTTGAATACATCTGTAACATATTAGCATGGAAATCTTCGTAAGAGTGGTGACCACCAGCTCTACCACCAGTCCATTGTAAAAGAATTGGGAATTTTGGATGTGCTTTGGCAATACTAATAACTTGAGAAATAGCATCAATAGAACCTGGTTTCAAACCTAAGTAAGTCAAACCTAAAGTTTCAATATATTCAGTAGCAACTTCAAGAGATGGGACACCAGCACCTATGGTAACACCAGCAATTGGGTAACCTTTAACTCTCAATTCTTTAATCAAAGGAATACCCCATTGTAACATTCTTGGATTAACATAGATTAAATTAATAGATAAGCTGTAACCTGGTTTAATTTGAGATATAATTTCATCAATAGCTTTGGTCATACCTTCAGCTGCAAAGTAACCCCCACCAGCTAATTCAATTTGATACCCAGCATTGATAGTTGCAGCAACAAATTCCGGAGAGACTGTTGTTGGAGTCATACCTGGAACTAACAATGGTGCTCTACCAATTAATCTAGAGAATTTGGTATCAACATATATTTTACCATTCTTATTCTTAACCAATTTTGGATGAAATTCTTGTAACCAGTCTTGGTTTCTCTTTAGTCCAGATACAGAGATATCAAATATCTCTTGTTTGAAACCATAATCATCTTCAGAGTTTAAATCTAAAGAACCAGCTACGATGACACGAACACCAGTACCGTCTTTATTACGATGAGTTAGAACACCCAAACCAGAAGCACCACCTGGACCGAAATCAAGGATGTGAGAAGCAGAAAATTGACAAGCAGTCTCCCATTTGACTGGTAAATTAATGATACAATCGACAATTCTAGCAGCCAACGAACCCTGGTACTTCCTTAAATCTTGGCCATCAAAGGTGTCATAGACTGGAATCTTAATATCAGATTGTTTGAAATCGATACCTTGATATGTTAAGTCCGAAAGGATGGCATCGTTGGCTGGACTCAATAATGGAGAATGGAATGGAGAGGTAATTGGTAAGAATCTATTAAAGAACTTCAATTTTCTTTCACTGTATGGAATTCTTGCTTGATCCAAACCAGCTGGAGCTTTAGCCTTTCTTAAAACCAAATTTAAACCATATAAGGACTGTGGTGGACCAGAAACAACTAAATTTCTAGCACCGTTAACAAGAGAGACGACAACGTGTTTTTCCTTTGGTAAATGTGAATTAGTTTCATCAATGTAACTTTGGACTTGTTCTTGCGATAAATTAGAAATAGTTAACATTGGAGATGGAGTACCTTCACCATTTTCAATGGAGTCCTTGACAACAGAAGGTGGTAACGAAGTGTTTGGATAGGCTAAATCACAACGTACACCAATAAAGAACAATAATGAAATTGCTTTCTTCATAATGTTGTAAAAAGAATCCCATGAATCGGCTTCTGCAATAGCAATAGCAGTTACTAAACCTTGAGAATGACCAGTAGCGCCAGCTAAATGGTCTCTCAATTGACCTGGTGTAAAATCTAATAATTTTGCTGTAACTGCATAATGGACTAGTTGAATAACACCAATTAATGGACATGAGATTGGGATAGATAATAAATAATCAACGTCTGGTGTTTTTGATGGTGTTTCTAACCATTCCAATAAATCAAAACCTTGAGTAAAGACCTTTTCTGCACCTGGTGTGGATTTAATTAATTCATTTAACGTATCATGAGAAGTGTGGATAATATCGGAAATCAAAACATTATAGACAGTATACAGTTCTCTTAATTCTTCAAAATAATCATCTGTATTACCTTGACCACCAAAGATTGCCACTAATTCAGATTTCTTATCTTCAACGGATTTTATTAAAGCAGATTTCGATTTAGCAATGGCAACTTTACCAGTAGAGATAAATGTAGCAGTTAAGAAATTTCTTATCAATTCTTTAACTTTTGGCAATGTACTGGATTCATTCTCTTGCAAAAGTTTAGCAGCAAAAGTATGAATATCATTACCTTGCAAATAACTATTTTCAAATTCTTGTAGAGCGACATTTAAAACGGCATCGAATTGCGTTTTTGTTTCTGGTGTTATTAAAGAAGAGATATAGGCCAAAAACTTCCCTAGAAGTTCAGCAGAAGAGGAAGGTTCTTCATCAGCAGCAAACCCCTCTGTTGGATCTGGTAAGGTCTTTTTAAATTGTTCTTGTAATTGAAATGCAGCAAAAAAGGAGACGTTTGGAACGGATAATTTATGTTCAATGGAACCGTGAGTTAAAGTTAAGGATCTTGTAGTCATTCTAGAAGGGGTATATTTATGTAATTCTTTTTTTTTTTGTCGGACTAGATAAATGTTAATATATATTAATATTTATATTTATAAGTCTGTGCACGTGCGCGTATAAGTATGAATAGGTTGTATATCGAAAAAAAAGACTCTATAAGGCTCTGTATAGTTAGCTATAGTAAATATTATCTAACCTCTTTTAAAATAATTAAACTACCACAAAAGTTGTATGAGTGTGTATGTAGTTTGATAGATAATAATAATGTAAAAAGAAAGTAAAAAAAAAAGAATATATATTTCAAAAAAGAGGCAGTCTCACTTAGAATGTTTTGTTCTTTTAACTTCAAAAGAGATCTCTTTTTTCTAAAACCAATGAGAACCTAAAAGAATTGTGAAGAGAAAATTGACAAAGAAAACTGCCTCAAAAAACATACACACACAATCGCGGCGAGTGATACTTTTATAGGTAGATATGTGTATCTAACAATGGGTCGAAAGAAGATTATCTTTTTATAAGTCTGAGGAACAGAAAAAAAAAAAGAAGAACAATTCTGGGAACAAACGACAGAAACAACCAATGTTTACTTGTGGAAGATGTAGTTCCTATAAAGAAAAACCAGTTGAATTAACCAAGTCACAAAAGTCAAGGGACAACAACAACAGCCGGACAAACTTGCGCCATAAAACCTGAAAACTAGTACAGATTACTGACAATTAGACAACAACGATTATTCAATGTCTATCAATTTGTATGCGTTGCGAATGTAAACATATCATTTTCCACCATGCAAAAGAAACGATTTATTATTCTTCTCGATATTCGACCAACGTCTCCATCTCGAAAAAACACTCAAACACAAAAAAAAAGCGAAAACAAGAAAAAAAAACAGCGGATTTTAGCACATGGCTACTAAATTTTCACATGCACGTTAAAAAATTTATATTCAAAAATTTTTTTTTTATTTTTTACTTATTTTTTCTCTAGAAATGGTAGGGAGAGCTTTTTGGTTGTAAGAATTCCTCCATGTTTCAAAATCTGATAATGTACACACTTATTTTTTATCTATTTTTTTTTTTTGGTTTTATTCTTATCTTTACTGGCTTTCTGACAGCTAAGAAAAGAATCTTAGACATTTTTCGAAAAAAAAAGAGACAAAACAAACAAACCATGGCTCATAAGCCTATACATGCAAATAAAGTAAATGGTGATAACCATCTATACAATAACTGAACCACAGTACATTAGTTCTCAAGAAATTATGCAATATCACTTTTTATTGTAATACAACTAGTCGACTAGTTCGAACGTATCTACACATACATGCGTTACTTATTCAAATCTCTTATCTTATATTGTATATATTCATATACGTGTATACAAGCACACAAGTACATATAATATATCCTTAGTTGATGATAAAGCTTTTATTATTGTATTATTAGAAATAGTTAAAAATATTGGATAATATTAGAGTTCATAACCCAAGGCTCTTTTTATTTACTTATCACTTGATGTATTTTTGTGTTCTTTTACACTAATCTATAATGATTTGGAACCTGATCCTGACATGTACTTTACTACATAATAACTTATATACTATCTAAGTGATCAAGTTTCTAAATGCAGGAGCTACAATATCGTATATACTTTTCGTTTCCTATTAAACATCAAAATGTTTGCTGACAAAATACGACTGTAATAAAAATGTTTCTTCTTTTCTTTTTGTTGTCTCTGACATTTTAGCTTTCACATGCTGCTTGTTGATAAAACGAATAAAATTTTTTTGTAGGAAGAATTCAAAAAGTTCAAAAAAAAAAAAAAAAAGTTTCATGAAGACCCCATCACTTTTTCTAAATTCTTCTTAACGGTGGCAAATTTTGCTATCTAGAAAAATTGAACCAGCATGTGAAAATTCAAAGACTGATTTTTTTGATTGATAAAAATTTTTGCCTTTTTCATACAGTCCTATTTTTCAAAAAAAAAAAAAAAGGAAAACGTGGAACATAACCTAATATGGATAGTTCAGGTCTTTGATAAAACTACCCCAATTGTATTTTTCAACCTTTACAGATATATTTTAAAGCTTGCAAGAATTATTTAAATTCTGCCATTTTCGTTTCTCTCTCTCTCTCTTTCCTTTTTTTTTTTTTTTTTTTTTTTTTTTTTCGTTATTATCATCTTCATTCTATTAATAATCTATATAGAATAAAAAAAAATCTCCATGTACAACTAAAGTTTTTTTTTAATTCCATCAATATTCTATTTATCCCATAACTAACCCTAGAAAATGGTTGAGTAAGAACATAATTGATTATATTCCTATCTTTTATTTTTTTATTATGATCAATTTAAAAATGCTACACGTTCCCTACTCAAAGGTTCTCAAAAAATATATATAACTGTGCATTTACGTTTATTCATTATAAAATTTACGAAAAAGTAGATCCATTGAGATATGTATTTCGGTCTCCACAAGGCTAGCAATGACGTAAAATATTTTTGTTTAAAATTAAAACAGGACAATGTGCAAAGTGTACTTTTTTGTTGTTCTTTTTCAAAAAGAAAAAAACAAAGTGCAAATACAATATAATTTTTTTATATATTAATAAAAATAAAATAATAAATATCTTACCCCAAAATCTATCTTGTAATCTACTATTTATCCATTGCAATGTTTTTCTTCTCCACACTTATCGTTATTAACTTGGTAAGATTGAAATAATTATAGGCTCTCTACAAAGTATATTCAAATTAATCTATACTACACTCCCTTATTCTGTATCAAACAAAATACTAAAGCTGATGTTGTTTTGCTATATATGCCATTAATATTATGGTTTCTTGGTCCTAAAACAAGCATAATAAAAAGGGGAATTCATATGGAAAATTCATCCATTAAAAGTGAAAGTATTCACGTTTTGTTGTACATGTTAAGTATTACTGGATAGTTGGAGTCAACTTACAAGATATCAAGGATACCTGAAATCAGACATAACTACACTCATCCTCTTTCCTATAATGAGAGTATTGACTATCAGGTTGTCTTCCACAGCTCCCCTCTATGATTCATATAGATAATAATAGTGTTTCTATTTATTAAACCTTCTATAGGAATACTCTCTATCTCCTTATCTTGTAAATATTCCATCAAATGTAAACTGATTGTGAAAACAGAATCATAAAAGGGAGATACAGTGGCGTTCCCAAATTTCGATATCAGGCACTAAGAATGAAGTCCTAGCAATCAGTGCTTCCATTCACAACTGCTACATATGTCCGAAAGGCACTAGTACTGATGGAAATCTCCACTTTCTTCCATATAGTAATGTGCGTTTAGTATGGGGCTTCTCTTATATATAAAATCAAAACTTCTTTTCTTTTTTCCTTTTTTCTTTTTTTTCTGTTTTTAAACAATTAATTTACGTTCGAAAAAACTATAAAAAATTGTTGAGAAAAGCAGAACCAAACTACAATAGTGTATTATTTACTCTTGGACAAGCCATTATATAAATCTCAATGAGTGTTTACTTAAACAATACAATGAAAAGAAGTCTGGTATTGTTTATTATTTCAACGAATTTTCAACCTACTTAAATATAATAATTATTGCACTTCTATTTCAAATATCGTTTATTGAAAATATAATAACTTAATATAATAGAACTATGTATTTTCTTCAAAACTAAAAATTTTTAACATACTAAAACTCAAAAACCATAGTTTTATTATGTGTTGTTGACCACCTCTTCGAGCAATCGAATTATTTTCCTTTCAAACCTACTCTGATTCAACATTCTGACAACAATATAACTCTCTATGCGAGAGATCAAAATGTGATCTCGATTTGTTAGCCAGAAAGCCTATTAAAAAATAAGCCTGATTATGGTGATGATATTAAATTTTTCTTTTCTTTTTGCAAAACCAAGAAGTAATATATATACTTTCATTCATTTGTAAAAATGATACTACTTGAGTGGCTCTCGTATATTGTTTCTCATATTCAAGTGTAGTCACTACGTTTTCTTGCGCAATCCTATCTGCTTATATTCCCAGTTGGACAAATAACCATAGCATACTCTCATTTATACCTAAATATTAATATTCCTGAATTCTCAACATATTAAAAATATAAAAAAATTCCATTAGATAAAGAATAATAAAAAAAATGATCTTAAATAAAAGAATACTGTTAGGGATATCTATCTTATTTACATTTGCAGGTTTTATATTCGTTTGTATTGCAACAGCAGGTTCCACATCTAATTATAAACCAATTACAAATGTGTATTTTGGTGATGCATCTATTTCCCATATCAATGTTTCCAAAGTCTTGCCTGTTTTTACTCCAGTACTAGAAGTTTTGGGAGCTGCTCTTTTAGCACCAGGTGTTGACGGAGATTTCGTGTTTTCTACTATGAGAAACATTTCTCACACTTCTGTATTATTGCCATTTTTGACTCTTCTGATTAACTGTGAAAATACAACAACTGCTTTAAGTTCTCTAATTAATCTAACTCCTTTAGTCTTAACTAGCCAAACTGGTAATACTAAGACTGAGTTAGAAGATCTTAACAATTTGTTGGCTGTGTCCAAAAATAGCAATGAGACTGTTGACTATTTACAAACTTTATTAAATGAAGTTTTGAGCAACAGTTCTACTCAAATGGAGGAATTAAAAAATACTGCGTTTACTTTATTACAGGATTCTTCTGATCCTGCTAATACCACTGGTAGTTTAGTGACTTTATCTAATCTAACCCTTACTGATATCATTCCACTACAACCAGCTTTTAAATTATTACAGAATTCTAATAATGCTACTGCATCATTTTTGGACCTGATAACTTTAATGAATGCAACTATTCCAACGAACTTGGCAGAAACATTGTTTACCACATTACAACGTGCTATTAACTCCGGTTCAAATATCACTAATGTTCTTACAAGTTTATCTTCTATGTCATCCAATTTCGCAGCATCTGGATTAGCTCTAGAAAATATTTTAACTTCTGCTAAGAACGCCAATAACACTTTGGGTTATCTAAATTCTATTTTGGAAGCTAACCTAACATCCTCTGTTACTGCCAAAAAAGTATTATCCACCATTACAGATTTGTACAATGATGCCAAAAATAAGACTCTTTTATTAGGTTCTTTGACTAGTTTGGTATCTGCTGTTGGTAATACTAATGCCACTAATGAATTAACCACCATGTACAATATCTTAGACAACAGCAATAATGCGGCCAGTAACGTCGATAATTTAAAAAGTTTACAAAGTATTATACTCACTGATACTTCAAATAACCGGTATATCCCATACTTATTTGATATCTTACGTACTTCCAAGGATCCAGCAGGTAGTTTTGGTGCTTTATTGAATGTTACATCATATGCCTTCTCGAATCTTGCAGAATTCACTCCCTTACTATCTCTATTGAGAAATGCCTCTACTGCATCTATTCCAACTAATGAAGAACTATATAATATTACCCCATTGGTTATTAAAGAATTGAATATCCCATCTGCATTTAGACTATCAATTTTCACGTTATGCTATCTCAATGACAAAGATGAAGTAACATACTGTTCCAAATCTCACGCCGTTCAAAACTTGGATTTCAGAAATATTATGTATAAAGCATTAATTGGATCTGATTTTGAACCTTACCTACGAGCATTAAACATCACCGCTAATGATTTATACTTAGAAGGTCATTTATTGAAAAAACAACATATGTATGCCCCAGCTATCAAGGCCGTACTATCCTTCAATATTTTATTCATTATTTCCTCATTCTTTATCTTATGCTTCTTTATCTACATGTTTATCAAGCATAATGAATTTGCTTTACCTCATTTGGGTTGGTTTGGATTATTACTTTTATCTTTATGCTGTTCATTATTCTCTGGGTTATCTGCTACTATTGTTGCATGCATGGTCACAATTATTAAGTCTGGTACTTATAAAGATAAGTTTAACGTTGTTTATACTACAGGAGGTGCATACTATGGTCTTTCATGGTGTGCATTTTCCATTTCTTTTATCACTTCAATGATTGTCGGTCTAATGTGGCTAGGTCATTGGAGAGGTATTCATCATGGTGCATTACCATTTGTTGACAAGGAAGAGGTCATCATGGAAGCTTCCACTGAGACTGCATCTGACAGTTCCTCTAAAGTCAGTAAAGATCACGTAATAACTTCTGAACAAAAAGTCTAATAAACAAAAAAAAAACGTAACCAACAAAGCAACACTATTTATCAATAGTGGAAATAACAGATACACACACATATACATATATACATCTATTATAATGCAGAGTATTTTATTAAGGGACGAAACAAACTCTATTAACATATATGTAACATAAAGCTATAACGACTTGATTCATGAATATATATATGTATTTGTATGTGTATATATGTTTACGAATAAAAAAAGAAAAAAAAACAAGATAATATTATCAACGGTTAATTAATATATGAGTGGTTTCTTTTCAATAGGTTCTGACATGTAAATAACTTGTGGACGTCTAGAAGATCTGACAGAACACCAAGTTATAAAACTGAATAATGCAGCCAGCACACCACCCCATATAATACCCAAATAAACATGACCATAGTTCAATTTGATACCATAGGAATCATTATCGTCCAAAATTCTGTAAATGATAATTAATGCAGCAACACATGAACTTGCACTGACCAATAAAGAAGCAAACGAGAAAAATGATATAAAGATGCCGACAGCTTGAACAAACCTGAAATGTATAACCCATCTAATGATACAGACTAATGTATTTAAGAAAGACAAAACGATACCTATCAACAGCGTGATAAACATACATTTAATTAGACCGTTGAAATAGGACTTCTTATTTTGAATATCTTCGGGTAAAAGGATTGAGGCAGAGTCAATGGCTTCCAATATCGAATTATTCTCTATGTTATCATACAACAATTCTTTTAAATTGAATTTTTGGATGCCCTTAGGAGAAGTACAACTGGCAATTGTTTTGTTTGTTGTCTCTATACAATACGACCAAAGTCCAAGGTTTATATAGCCTGGAAGACTGATATCAGATGCGGACGCTATTGTTGCTGTTGATATTACTGAACGTATTGAGATACCTGTCAGGTCAATTTGTGATGTATAGATATGGTTTATTGGATAATAATTCTTTGTTGAACCTGCACAACCAATAATTGATAAAATAAATGCAGAAAAGGAAAAAAATGCTGTTAAAAATAAGGCAAATGCGTTTGACATCTTTTTGTTTTTTGTTTTTTTTTTCAGCCTATCTTGCAATATTGGATAGAATGAAATAGAATGATACAAAAGCCAGAATGTTAAGAATTGAAAATATGTAGTAATACAAAACAAATGAAAAATGTATAATTAAAGACTAATGAAAGGACACAGCTCTTTTTAGATAAACTGGTGAATGATAATAGTAATAATAATAGTCTTTGATATGTAGTACGGTTATGTATATATCACCGTTATTATATTTAAAATTTAATAATACAGAGAGCGTACCTATCAGCAAATCAACGCAATGATATAACTAACTGACTAACTAACAAACTATCCAAACGGATCAAAAAGAGACTTTGAGGTATCTGAAAAAAAAAAAAAGAAAAAAAAAAACGAAATACAAGAGTATCTAGCTGAGTTCAACAGATCATATCATATAAATATTACAGAAGAGAAGCAAGAGACGACAATGAAAAGATATAATAAACAAAAAAAAAACAGATATCCCTGGCGTCATAAGCCATACCGCATACACCTACGTATATAAATGAAAAGAGATATGTAGACATATGTCTATGTAGACATACAAATATGTATATGTACTAGCCATGTTTTTTTTTTATCTAGAATCTATTTTTAACTAATCCAAAAGACGCAATATATTACTGATAACAACAACAGTAATGATGATAGAAATGCTAACAAGTTATTCAAAAAACTCACTAAAAAATTAAAATGGTAGGCTTGGCTATGTAACCAAATACGGAAAAATTCCTCAAACTCTACTGCGAAAGCCCTCGCGTCTCTGTGTCTAGCCCACTCAAGGAAAAGAAGAAATAAACCCAAAAAGAGATAAAAAAAGAAATTATTTCAGATTTTTTCCTTTTTCTTTTTCCACCTCTCCCCTAAGACTAAAATCCGACCAGAAAAAGTTTCCATTTTAGGTAAAGCCCAAGTCACAAAAAAAAAAAAACAAAAAACTATATAGGAAAGGCTTGTTGCTTGGTAAAAAAAAAGAAAAACGTTTCTTACTTCCTTACTTTTTGTTTCTTTTTGCTAGTTTTTGTTTCGTTTTTAGGCTTTTTTCGTTTGTAGTGATTTTCCATCTTTTCACAACCACCCATACACTCACACACGTGACTATATCCTTCTACCATAACTTGGCTAGAGTTCGATTCTCTTTAGTATCTATTTTAGTCTTTTCTTTTTTTATGTGTAAGAATCCTATTTTTAAAAGAGAGAATGATTTGCAGTTTGTGTCTATTTAGGTGGGTGAATACATAAGCATACATCCTTTCATAGTTTATTTGCATAATTTCTTATTCGTAAGATCACATTTCTATTCGCCACACTTACTAACTTCTACAAGAATAAAAAAATATAATCAAATATATATATTTTTATATATGACTCATACCGCTTATCAAATCCATCTTATGTATTATTAAATGATTTTGCTCAGATGACATATTTTCAATCTGTTCAAATAAAAAATTCTGGTAGACCTATCTTATCAAACGATGAACATGATATAATAATTAATGATTCTGTCGGTTTGTACAAAGATAATCAAAGAATTAAAGATAAACAAAATGGTAGAATTTTTTTAACTAATAAAAGATTAATTTATGTAGATAATCTTTTGCCTTTAAATTCTTCTGTATCACTAAATTTAAATGATATCGATTCAATTGATTACCAGTCCCGTTTTCTAAAAAGATCTTCTAGATTAATAATATTTCTAATATCAAATAAAAATAATCAAGTTCATAACCAATCTAACCTTCTCAATTGTTCATCATCCTCATTTCTACCTTCTTTCTCTTCCCCTAATTCAATTTTTTCTACTACTGAATGGATATGTCCCATATGTTCAGCCACTAATGTATCTGATGGTAAAATTACATTGGCTTCAACTAATTTTCCTGTATGTAATAATTGTGGTGTACAAATGGATTACAATATGACAAAGGATTCAGTAAAATATCATATTGATAATACCACTCTTACTACTGATACCAATAAACACAAAAATGGGTTGTCTTGTCCTAAATGCACCTTTCTTAATCATTCATCAATGAAATATTGTGAGATGTGTGATACAAAATTACCTCAAAGCAAAAATATAATATCTTCTTCTTCTTCCTCAAATAATAACCATAATAATAATAGCATAGATGTACAATCATCAGATATGCCCAAATATATTCAAATTAGTTTTAGAAAAACTGATGGGTCTTTATTTTTTGAAGCTACTAAAAAGGCTCTTAATGATTTAAAACTCGATAATGGCACTTTTAATCAAAATTTAGCAAGTGTTAATGGTATACCAGTCACACAAAAAAATAACATTTCAAATTCCACTTTTACTACTTTCACTACTACTCCTATGCTTAGTAGTAATATTGAATTTATGGGAATTAATGGATTAGAAAGATATAAGGAGACTCAACTATTAAATAATGATATTCTTTTCAATAATGCACTACAAGATTTAAATAACTTAATGTCACTAGCGAACTCAATTGAAAATTTATATAGAGCACAAGACAAAAATTTATCAAATAACCATATTTCTAATAAAAATATTATTGAGACTAATTTAATTATAGATCGTGAAAAATTTCTAAACCAAGATTCCTTTCTTAATGAATTATCAAGAGAAATTTATGATTTTGCTATGCTAGAATTCAAAGATAATGAAATTAATAATAATGTGTTAATTCCACTCATAGATTTCTATGCAATGTACAATAAAGCAATGAGGATAGGAACAGGCTTGATATCCCCACAAGAATTGAAAGAGGCATGCCAAAGATTCTCTAAATTAGGTTTAAATGATTTAAAACTAATTACTTTAAATAAAAGAATCTTATGTTTAGCCACCAATAATTCATTTGATTTTATTAAGAAGCAAATTTTGGAACTTTTATCAAAAAATCCAGGTTTAGATATTTTAAAACTCACACAACTTTTAAATGATATGGCAGATCAACATAAATCTAAATTAGACAATACATCTGGTTCTAATAACAATAAGAATAATCAAAATTCTGTTTGGACAGTTTCTATTATAGAAGAAATCCTTCAATCCTGCATTAATAATGGTATTCTAGTCATTGACGAAGATTTAAGTGGGGTATACTATTATACAAACCGTTTTTAAAGCATATATTAAACATATATCTTACTAGCATTTTCTTTTCTTTTCTTTTTTCTTAATGATATGAATAATTTTAATATTGTCTTAATATATACGTACACCCACACACACATATATATACATATATATATATATATATTATTTTCTTTATTGTATTAGGAATTATCAACCGTTTCATTTACATCATTATAACTACTGTTCAGTAAAACAAAGAGGAAAAAGAAATCTATTTATATATATATATCTATATATATCTATATGTTGGCTTAATAATTAATCAATGATATCCTCTACTTAATAACTCTTGTTCTAAATTGTTCCAAAAATAACGAACAATTTCTACATCCTTAAATCTTCTATTTCTATCCAGCTCAACCCTTTCAACGTTCCACTGTTGAACATGTTGTGGTATGACATCACCATTGAAATAAAAATAATAACCTTTACAATGCTGAAATAATTCTTGCGGTGTATTCCATTGATAATTATTAAACTGCCATATATGACCTGTGGTAAAAACTGCTACTACCCTATCCCAATATTCTGGTTTAGTAAACATTCTAGTGTTATTAACTACAAGAAACCTGATCGTTTTATTTATCTTGTCAAATTTCTTTTCAATGGTAACTAAATCGTCTCTTAAGGATGAAGACAACTCACGTGGATTAATATATTTACATTCTTGTAAAAATGGTTTAATATTAGATATAGTAATAATTGATGATGCAGCTGATGGTATCAAAATAATTGGATCTTTATGTTGAATATATTTTTTACGCGAATTCGAAGACACATTCTTTGAAATATGACCATGGCGACCTGCTTTATTACGTAATGAAGATTTAATGTTTTGAACCAATTTCAACTCCACATCTTTAATCAAATAACCAAAATCAATAGATTTTGTACCTCTTAACCCTGAATTGTGATCTAATAATCGTCTTTCATGTTTTAATACTTCATTTAATAACAAATCTGATTTAATATCATCGGTTATATCCTCTTTTTCCAAATTATCTTCCAAAGATTGTTCTGTTTTGACACCAGAGGATGGGTTATTCCCAGACTCTACAATAACTTTATGTAAATTATTATTATTATTATCATCATCATCTTTGGTTCTATCAGTATTAATCTTATCAGCTTTCGTCTCATCGGCATTAGCATTAATATCACCATTAGTAGTGGATGATAAGTACTGTGATGTTTCAAGTTGACCACTTAACCATCCATTCAAGTCATTTCTTTGAAGGAAGGAAACATTAATTAAATTCTTATTTTGACAATCTGCCAAATAGTCGGTACTGCTGGAATCTTTATGTAAAAAACAATGAATCACAACTCGTAACTCCATATTGTTTCCATCTATTGAAAAGTTAGTTTCTTTAGATAAATCAAATTTTTCCAATTTACCATAATCTATACTATCATCAGCATTATTATTATCATTATCATTCTTAACTAAAACGGCATATTTAGCCTTAGTAATATCATCGACAACTTCATTGTTTTCATCTAGAAGTTTTATTTTTTCATTTTTAATTAAATGATTCCTTAACACATTCAAAATGTTTTCAATCATTATATATTCGTCTTATATGTATATATTTTATAATGTAGCAAGTTATAAAGTAAATATTTATTAATATAAATATTAAGGGTTCTACCTTTTTTTATTATTATTGTTATTTTTACATTACTTTTGTTGTCAGTGAATCCATTTAAAGAAGACACCTGTAACAACTCCAGACTACCTTTCCTCTTTCTATTCTTCATAATCTCTTTCAACAACTTTGCAAAATCTCAATCATAACAGCATAATGTTCATCAACCTCTACCGAATCTTAGTGATCAAGAAATTTTTGGTAAGTAAATTCCCAAAAGAAATTTTTCAACCCCAAAAAATGAGGGTAACTTTTAAAAAAATATTCTTCCTTTTGGAAAATGAATCTGGGCGGTAAAAATCAAATGTTAAAAACTAATATAAGATTGATACAATCTTTATATTGATCACTTATTTGCCTATAAACTCAAACTAAAGGTATCATCAAAGTAAATGGACCAGTGATCAAAAAAAAAAAAATTACACAGGGTGCCATATAATACAGTATAATCAAATAAATGCGTTAATTTAGTGGATTACATAATTTCTATATTTTTTTTCTTTAATTTGCACTAAAATTTACTTAAGTATTACTGATTATACATATACATATATATATACAATAAAAATGGCTAAGAAGGGAAAAAAATCATCCACACCAGTTTCTACTAAAAAAGAGGACTTAAATGCTAAAAAGAAGGGTAAAAAATCCAAAAATTCCCACGATGAAGAGTCTATTGATTCAAAAGCAATACAACGCACCAAACAACAAGCACAAAGAGCCAAGGTCACTTCTTCTTCCAGTTGGACTGGAAAATTACCACATATTTTATTACATGAATTTTGTCAAAAAAGGAAGTGGGGTAAAGTGGAATATGATATGAAAAAGATCGGTGATAGAGGTATGCTAGCTATTGCTACATTATCCTATACAGATCCAAAGACTAAAGAATTGTTGACTATTAGAATGAATGATCCAACTTATGATAAAGTAAAACGGGAAGGTGTTTTAACTCCACAAGAGACAACTAATGAGGCAAGACATTATGCTGCTACAGTTGCACTTTGCCGTCTCGCATATAATACAAATTTACAAATGATGTTACCTCCAAACCATAGACAAATATGGTATACATTAGATGATTATAGAAAAAAATTGATAAGTGAAGGTAATACATATCACGCTAATCGTATATTTAATTCTGAACCATTTGTTATGTTGTTGGAAGATAGAAAAATGGAACAACAAAGGGCAAGGGAAAGAGAAGCGAAAAATAATCAACAGATGAAGGAACAGAAGACTCCTATCTTTATATCATCGACAAGTTTAGTTAAGAATGCCAATACCGATAATTATAAAGATAAAACAACAAAAACTGTTCCTAAAAAAGATGGAAAAATTACAAAAGTTTCCACCAATAATAAGAATTTATATGAAGGCATAAATCAAGGTATCATTAGATTTCCAAAAAAAGTATGGGAAAAGGCTACTTTTGTTGATTTAGATGAATCAACTAGACAGTTAATTGAATTGTCCTTGAAGGGCATAATTGATTGGAATTCTGCTCGTAAGTTAGATAACACATCAGGTCAAGTTAAGGAATCGGCCTTTAAGGAGAAACTGCTTTCTTTTAATTTCAGAGAAACACATGTGAATGAGGCTATGAACTATAAGGACCCGCTTTCATTCTTATTATTTAATCTACCGGAAGATGATTTACCTTTGTTTTTTCATAAACGTAAGGAGGATTCAAAAAATAAGATCGAGATATCATCCCTACAATTAACTACAAGAATGAGTGTTGAAAGATTATGTGAGTGTGGTGCATCTGAAGATGAAGTTTTATATGCTCTAGATCAATGTGGAAAAAATGAGAATGAAGCAGCACGTATACTAACAGAATCCTTAATTGATAATCAACAATTTTGTATTCCAAAACCTGACAAAATAAGTGAGAAAGAATCCATTGAATGCTGGAATCAGGAACTTGAAAGTTTACAGAGTATATATGGTGATTCAATCGAGAATGTGGTTTCTAATTCTAGTTACACAATTGTATTAGATCCAACTTTAAAATTAAGAGTTAAAGTTTATAGGTCCAATAATTATCCAAATTCTTTACCAGGCATTATTGTATCTACATTTGATAAAACTCTGAAATTACCAAACTATATTAAAAAACAAATATTGACTAAATTATTAGAATATATTCTAGAACACAATTTTGTTGGTGATATGTGTATTTTTACTATTTTTGAATGGTTGCAAGAAAACGTCAAAAATATTATTAACAACCCAGGACCATTATTATCCGAAGAATATCTTTCTAACGCCCCTGATAAAGATAAGGTACATTTAGTCAATAATAATAAAAAACTGTTAACGAACCGAACTTCCATCAATACCCATTTAAATCAAGAACAACTAAAGCACGCCAAAAATGAATATACTTTAAGAATACAATTGAAAGAATTTAAAGAAATGCAGCTAATCAGAAGTCAATTACCTGCTTGGGAAATGCAGGATACCATTGTTAAATTAGTAGAACAGAATGATGTAGTATTGATCACAGGTGAAACAGGTTCAGGAAAATCCACTCAAGTTGTCCAATTCTTACTTGATTCGCTAATGAATAGTTTAAAAAATACTAATATAATTTGTACTCAACCTAGAAGAATCTCCGCAATTGGTTTGGCAGAGCGTGTAGCAGATGAACGCTGTGTCAAATGTGGTGATGAAGTAGGGTATATTATTAGAGGTGTCAACAAAACTAAACTAGGGACAAGAATTAAATTCATGACTACTGGTGTGTTGGTTAGAATTTTACAGTCTGATAAATCTCTATTAAACAACTGCATTGTAGTTATTGATGAAGTACATGAACGGTCCTTAGATACTGACTTGGTCGTAACTTTATTAAAAAATTTACTAGGAAAGATACCAGGATTAAAGATTGTTCTGATGAGTGCCACAGTTAATGTTAATCTTTTCAAAAACTACTTTCCTAATCTAAACTCTTGCCATATCAAAGGTAGAACATTTCCTATTAAAGATTATTATTTGGATGATATTATTAATGAATTAAATTTTACTATCAGAAAACCTCCAAGTAACAAAATTCAAGGACACTACAATGCTATTAATGATGATGACATTAATGATGACTCTTCTTCCCTTGATAGTTTACGTGTTCAACCTGATCCAGATTCATATTATTTCAGATCTGGTAAGATCAATTATGATTTACTATGTCAAGTAACAGAGCATGTGGATAAAAAATTACAACTTGACGGTAACAATGGATCAATCATCATATTTTTACCTGGTATTGCAGAAATTGATAAATGTTGTAAAATGCTAAGGGATATTAACTCTGTTAACGATTTTGTTGTTCTTCCTTTACATTCTGCTTTATCACCTGAAGATCAAAAAAAAGTATTTAAGAGGTATCCAAACAAAAGAAAAATCGTTGTATCAACTAATATTGCTGAAACATCCATAACTATTGATGACTGTGTTGCCACAATCGATACAGGAAGGGCCAAGACGATGTTTTATAATCCTCAAGATAACACTACAAGATTAATCGAATCTTTTATCTCAAAAGCAGAAGTTAAACAAAGAAGAGGCCGTGCTGGTAGAGTAAGAGAAGGGTTATCATATAAATTATTCTCAAAAAAATTATATGAGGAAGATATGGTAGAGATGCCAACACCTGAAATTAAACGTGTGGCACTAGATTCGTTATATTTATCTGTTAAGGCTATGGGTATTAAAAACGTCACTAAATTTTTAGCCTCAGGTTTGGAATGCCCACCATTAGAGGCCCTTAAGAAAGCAGAAACAATGCTTTCAACTATAGGGTTATTAAATTCGGAAGACTTTTCTTTAACTGAATTGGGTCGATTCATATCACTAATGCCTGTGATGGATAGTAAACATGGGAAATTATTGATTTACAGCATATTGTTTGGTGTTACAGATATAGGTGTACTGATTACATCATTATTGAGTATTGGAGGATTACCATTTGTTAATGGTATAGAAAATAAAGAAAAAATCAGAAAAATTCTTTCACAAAATAAAAACAAAGGTGATATATTAGCTTCAGTAGATATAATTCAGAAATATCTTGAAATCAATGACAAAACAAAGAAACGTCAATTTATAAAAGACAACTATTTATCTTTTAATAAAATTAACGAAATTTTATCATCACAAGCACAATATTACTCAATTTTAAAAGATATTGGGTTTTTACCTTTTAATTATCAACCAAATGTCAAATTTAGAGAATTCAATAGAAATCAAGATAAAACAGAATTAATTGAAGCCATATTAACAGGTGCATATTATCCTCATGTAGCAAGACTGGAACTACCAGATACGAAATACCTATCTACATCATCTGGTGCAATTGAAAAGGATCCTGAAGCAAAATTAATCAAATATTGGATAAGAAATGAAGAATATGTAGATAAATTGCTCAATTTAAATAAAAATAATGATAATCAGAATGATAGCACCAGTAATGCAAATATGCCTTTACCCTGTACAAGAGCTTTTATCCATCCATCATCGATTTTATTCCATTCTAATTCAATGAACATTGATGAAATTAAATCTTTAGAGGATATGGCTAGCCTTAACATCAATGAAAAATACAGCAATAACAATAATAACCCTCTCTTAAAATTTCCATTTATTTTGTACAATACATCATCTTTTACCAACAAATTATATTTAAGAGACATCACTCCAACTTCAACATTATCATTATTATTATTCGGTGGACCAATTCAATATGATATTAATGACAATAATCATTCTCCGGGTATTATTGTAGATAATTGGTTGCCAATTAGAACCTGGTGTAAAAATGCGGTATTAATTAAACAATTAAGAATTCAATTGGATAAAGCAATTAAAACAAAATTAGAAAATCCAAGTTACATTAATGATAACATTAATTTAGACGATTCGAACTTAAGTTCCTCAGATAAAGTATTAAAGGTAGTAGAAACAATAATTTCTTCGGAAGTTTAAAAAACAACATTAACAAGATAATCAATCATATTCACGTATATATGTACATACAGAGATATATATATGTATAAGTATGTAGAAAATAATATCTATACATCATATTGTAAAGTCAAACTCTTCGCCACTTCAGTGGTCTCAATAGCATTTTTAAATTCTTCAAAGCTTAATTTCCCATCGTTATCTTTGTCATTTTCTACTATAGTTCTATCAACAATTTGTTGTAATTGATCATCGTCTAGATTATTTCCTACCATAATCTTCAATACAATGAACAATTCACCATTCGATATATAACCATCTTTATCGATATCATAGATCTTAAATGCAAAATTAAGCTTTTCATCTTTACTACCACGGCCAGAGAATATTGATAACCCCGTAATAAATTCTTGGAAATCCACATCCCCAGAGTTATCAGTATCGAACACTTCCATTATACGAGTAGCCAAGGGATTTGAAGAAACACCAGGAATAGACATAAATTCGTTTTTGTCTATTGAACCAGATGAATCCCTGTCTAATTTCATAAATCTTTTCCTTAACCTTTCTATCTCATCCCGATCAAAATTTGTATCTTCTAATAAGTCATCTACGATCTTGGAGGTAGTCCCACCCATCTTAAAGTAATGTAAAGTGAATTAGAATAAAATAAAGCCAATTAATACCAATATATATGTGCATTTATGCTTGTGGATAAATATATGATAACGTTACACATACAGTTTTCAGCTATCCATAGAGTATAAACCTATTCAAGGTAATTCTATTCTTATATATATATATATAATTAAAAAATTGTAAAATGATTTTTATAAAACAAGGTTCCTTCTTGTTATTAAGGGCTTTTCTGTACTTCTGAGTTTTTACAAACATATCCAACTACTAAAATTAGGGTATTTGAGTAAAAGTTTGTCTTCATTCTGTTTTTTTCTCTTTTTCTAGCAGTCGCATAAATCTATTCTTAACTGTTGAAAAAGTAAGGAAGAAGAAATTTGAAGAAGTTGAAAATACAGAGAACAAGAGTAGAAGTGTGATTAGAAGGAGAGTTGAAACTGCATATTCATCTGCATTGTTACATAATTAATCTATTAGTTATCACTCTAAACACACACCCACCCACACATCTGTTGAAACTCATAGAAAAAATACAAGGAACAGATGGCAGATAACACACCATTAGATTTATTGAAATTAAACTTGGATGAGAAAATCCATGTCAAATTACGTGGAGCCCGTACAATGACAGGAACTTTACAAGCATTCGATTCACACTGTAATATTGTCCTTAGCGACGCCATAGAGATAATATACAATTTGACAGACGACGGAACGTTAGAGAGCAATGAGAGGAAATCTGAGATGGTGTTTATTCGTGGCGATTCAGTGACTTTGATAACTACTCCAGAAGAAGACTGAGCTAGAAAAGGGAGAATAAAACAAAGTAATAAGCAATATATATATGTTTATAACTTAACATTTCTCGAAAGTATAGAGATATGATTCATTTAATGCTAACATATATATAGACACACCATTCTTTCTCCTTCAACATTTCTATGCATATATGTACTGATACATAAATATACATACATACATAAACGCACACACACACACACATACACACACATATATATATATATATATATATTAAAATAGTATAAATTTTATTATAGCAAAATTAAACTCTATAATATTTACATACATATATTTATTTTTTTTGTTATGTATATTTCAAATGATTTATTCATTTATTTATCTTAGTTTTTTTTTTCTCTTTTCTCTTTTTCTTCTTCTTCTTATGCCCGCAATTCATTGATTGCTCTTTCCATAGCATCAACACCTTTTAACAAATCTTCCTTTGAGATGACCAAGGGTGGTGCCAGTCTAATGATATGATCGTGTGTAGGTTTAGCCAGGACACCATGCTCCTTCATCTTTAAACAAAGCTCCCATGCAGTATGGCCATTGAACTTACTTGGATCGATGACAATTGCAGTGAGTAAGCCCAACCCACGGACCTCGGAGATGCAACCACCTGAGATATCTTGTAACCTGAGCAGTTGGTCTTTCAAAATGATACCCAACTCCTCGGCTCTCTGGACTAGATTTTCTTTCTTGACGACTTCCAAGGCGGCGATGGCAACGCTAGAAGCTAATGGATTACCACCGAAGGTAGAGCCATGAGAACCTGGTGTAAAACATAGCATGATTTCACGAGAGGATAAAACGGCGGACACAGGCAGTACACCACCGGACAAAGCTTTACCCAGTAATAAGATATCTGGCTTAACATTGAAGTGTTCAGAACAAAGCAGTTTACCTGTTCTACCTATGCCAGTCTGAATCTCATCAACAATTAGCAGGGAATTATATTTTTTGCAAAGCTTTGATACATTTGAGAGATAATCTTTTGGTGGGACGACGATGCCTGCTTCCCCCTGGATGGGTTCCAAGATGATAGCGGCGATATTGTCTGCATGGTTTTCAAATGCCAATTCCAAATCTTCAATGACACCGTATCTAATAGTTAACTTCCCAACATTTTCCTTAGAATCAAAGTTAGAATCAGGGTTGGTGGAGTTAGAGTGATGACGAAGAGAGGAAGAGATATTGTTTAAGAATGGACCAAAATTTTTCTTGGAGTCGACAAAGTCGGTAGACAAGGAGATAGCGCCAAAGGTTCTGCCGTGAAAATTACCTTGAGCACCCAGAATGATAGCTTTATCCTGGGGGATCCCCTTGACTTCGTATCCCCAACGCCTAGCCAATTTCAAAGCTGTTTCTACTGCTTCTGCACCTGTATTCATTGGCAAGACCATGTCATATTGGAAATATTCGGTGATATATTTAGCGAATTTCGCAAATGTGTCATTGGAGAAGGCTCTTGAGGAAAGAGTCAACAGTTTTGACTGTTCGATTAAAGCGTTGATAATATCTGGATGGCAATGGCCTTGGTTGACGGCCGAGTAAGCAGAGAGAAAATCCAAATATTCTTTACCTTCGGGGTCCCATACGTGTGCTCCTCTGGCTTTATGGAATACGACAGGTAAAGGATGATAATTGTGAGCAGAATATTCTCTTTCGTATTGGATAACTTGTTCAGAAGATAAAGTAGTCATGGTGGAAAATAAAAAGAAACAAAAAACAAAGAAAAATTGAGGTAAATAAATAAATAAATAAATAAAAAAGTAAGTAAGTAAGTTGTGAATGGTATTTATCTCTTACTGTTGTAGGTTGTACTATGATAACTACTATACTATATACAAGAATAAGAGAAACACAGAGTCAAGCCAAAAGAAAAAAGAACAAGAACAAGAACAAGAATGAAAAAAAAAATAAAAAAAACACAGATAATTTGTATGCGTATTTCTTCTACCTTCAACGAGTTTATATATGTTCAAATTCCATAACCACTGAAGACCATAACTACTTCTGTTGTACGTAGTTTCTTTCCTCCCCTCCCATACTACGCTTATTATCGTAGCACCCACTACTCCTGTGTCCAATATTAAAAAAAGCAATAGGACACAGAGCCTTTTTATACAATTCTCGGAGTCCTTACCCCTTAACTGTCACAACGAACAAAAGAGAAACAAAAAAAAGACAGAGGACAAAACAGCGTCTGTCATTTAAAAAAGAGGAAACCTCCGTTAAGAGAAGTCAGCAGCGAGGACAAACTCTGAATTTTGTGAAGTGGTGATGGGTGTATGGGTGTTCTCTACAATTAAATGACACAAATGAATAAACAAACAAACAAACAAACGCAATGTAATATTGATCAAACAACAAGAAACACAAACCATTTGTTGTTCTCTCTTGTTCGATTTTATTTTGATCGGAGGCTGTTTTGATATATATGCTGAGATAAAAGAGATAAGATAAGATAAGATAAGATAAAGAAATATTGGGTCGGCACGTGCAACACACACCAACCGTTCCCGTATTGAATGATATTGTGTTCTCTTTGTTGTTATCTGCGTATTTTATTTTGTTTCTTTTTTTTTTTATTTTTGTTTTTTTCGCATTTGATTTAGTCAGCCATCCGTTGCCGTGGAAACCAATTAACTGTATATATTTCTCATCATCATTCGAACAATCGAATCTACCATCTTTTTTTTGTATTTTCTATACTTTTTTGTTGTTTTTTTCTTTTTAGCTTATATATATGTTTATTTATTTATTTTATATTCTTATTTCTAATTCTCACCTCTTTTTCCATTTCTCTTATATTTCTTTCTTTCTTTATTCAATATTCTAACCATTCACTAAATACATAAACTTATCCATATCTATAGATACCACACACTTTTTTTTTTCTTTTCTTTTCTTTTCTTTTCTTTTCTTCTATTTGCTTTTTTTTTTTTATATATATATAAGTTATATCATGCAAAGAATACAACTGCCATCAAATAGTTTACAACAACAATATAAGAGACAAGCATCATTCGGTGTGAGTAACCATGATAATATAACAGAATCCAACAACAACAACAACAACAACAACAATAATAATAATAATGATAATGAAAGTACCACAAACTCACCTCACTACTATTTAAATGAATTACAAACTGTTGGAATGAGAATCAGACAATGTGTTGATCAAGGCTTTAACTTACTAAATAGAGAGAAATCAGATTTAAGTAATGCCTCGTTAAATACTAATGATAATGTCAAAACGTACGCTGGATTCATAGTTCCACAATATAATCCTACTTGTACATCTACACTATATTTAAATGATATAATTAATAATAATAGTAATAACAGTAATGGTAATAATCAGCAACAGTTCAATAGTATAAACAATCCCTATAATAATAATGATAATGATGAAAATGAAAATGAAAATGAAATCATTTATCTGAATGGGAAAAGAAAATATAATTAATATAGATATAGATATAGATATAGATATTGTATATTATATATTATATGTTGTATAATATGAAATTAAAAGGTCTGCTGCACTTTAATCTCGAAATACTTTTTCGTCTAGAAAAGAAAAAAAAAAAGATTATCACTTGATTAGGGTTTGAATATAATTCAAAGAAAAATTATTAATGAATTTCTCTTTTTTTTTTTTTTTTTTTTTTTTTTTTTTTTATTTTTATTTATTCTATTTTTTATTGCTTCGAACGATTTTCTCGATCCTTTTTTTTTTTTTTCGTTTTGGTCCCTTTGTCTTTTAAGTAAATGGTGAGAAGTGTAAGGAAATTTAACTTGATATTTTTTATATTATCATCAATCTATATCATTATCGCTACTACTACTACTACTGTTGATGTTATTAATACTGTTATCGTCTATATTGAATTAATAATACTACAAAGTAATATAATATTTGTTTGTGGATATCTTGATCTAATTCTTATACATAGATCCATGTATACACACATATTTATATTAATTTATTCAAAACAATACCATTATCCTAAGTCTCCTAGTTTCCTCTTTCTATTTATTCAATTTCATTCCTCTAATTGATTATCCCTTCCCCTTGGTTTTATTTATTTATTTATTTATTTATTTTTTATCATTTATCCTTTCAAATGGGTAATACTGATTCAAAGTTACAATCTGTATATCATTCACATTTCCAAAGATTGGCTACCCCCACAAATAACAATGATAGTAGCAATGATAATGATAATATCATCCCACTGTTCAATGATAACATAAACCTATCCTTTATTCTTTCTTTATTGTTTCAAAATAATAATAACAAAAATCATGGTACTGACGATAATGATAATGATAATGATAATGATAATAATGACAATCTATTAAATTATTCTGTATACAATAAATACCCAATCTTCAATCAATTTTTTTTGGATTTTTACAATGAGAACAATAATAATGATATCGAATCCTTTCACATTAATAAACAGATATTGACTCTTATCATTAATAGCAATTATAAAAACTATGAAAATCTACTAAGATTTGTTATATTACAATTTATTTTCTATTCGAAATCAGTGATTTTAATTAACAACAGTAATAGCACCAAGAATAGCAATAACATACCTTATTATTGTCCGAAGAAATTGATACAGAATTTATTATTGTCTATTAGATTGTTAATCAATTTGTTACCAACCTATTATTCTTATCAAAACGATATCTCTAATAATAACTTCCTCATATACGATACCGATTTTATATGGGATAATAAATCCTTGGATAACATATTTAATATAAAAAATAATTTCACTAATCAACAACAGAATTTAAATGAACTACTCGAACCTAATTGTTCCTTGGGTCAGTTGATCATTGAAAATTTATTAAATTTATCATTCATTGATGGATTCACTGTTTTTAATGATAAAAATAAAACTAATCAAACTAATAATAATAATAATAATAATAATAATAATAATAATGATAAAGATATCAATCTGGTTTGGGAAAATGGATTATTTACTAAAAATACCTTTTTATTAAAACAATATCCAAGACTGGATTTGAATAGAGTATACTGTTTGGAATTATGGCTGACTTTGTTTTCAATAGACTTATACAAAACTGACAACCATTCAGACCTCAATAGTCCTGACAACAAGACCAGCAATAATTTTATTGAATTTTTATTGAAGCTGAGATCAAATAAACTCAATCTTCTGTTTCTTTCAATTATTAATCTTCTATCAATATATGGAAACAATTTTAAATCAAATTTGATTCAAAATTCATATTATACAAACAACAACAACTATTATCTATTGAAGAAAATCGATGATTCGATTGTACCAAACAGCAAAAAAATTTTATTAGATTTAAAAGCAAAACTTATCCTATTAGGTCTACAATTCATTAATGTCATTTTATATTATATTACAATAAATAATATCCAACATTCATCCATCGAGATATTTTTGCAAAAATTTATGCAAAGAGAATTTGATTTCAAGTTATTATTGACCTCCTTTATTAAAATTTTTAAACATCCAATTGATAAATGTATCGAAATCGAATTAAATCCATTGAGATTCCATAATGATCTAACCTCATCACTTTCCAGCCCGTCAAATAATGTCAGTAATTCTACTTCCACTCTACAAGCCCAATCGTATTCCTCTTCCTCGTCCTCTGTTTCATCATCTACATCTGCATCTAATCAAGTAAATAGATCAACAAGTAATGATTCAAGTCCAATTAAAACTAATCTACCTGACATACCCGATCTATTAATTCAATTCATGCTATTTATTAAATCTTTTATTAATATTAATTCTAATTTCAAAAAATACTTTATTGAGAAATTTGCCAATAAATTTGTTATTTTTAATATATATTATATCAAATATTATAGTAATATTAATTGCTATAATTCTTCATTAATTCCACTATGTTACACGTTGATATTAACATTATTAAATGAAAAATTGACTCTACATAAATTGCTACAAACATTTACAATCAATTATTATACAAATAAATTACCCAATTTTTATAAATTACCAAATCTAGAATTAAGTAACATTGAGTCATTAACTTATAGAGATTTTATCATTATCCATTTATCGAATTATAACATTAAATTGATTAAACAAAACTTAATACCAAATAATTTAAATTTCGAAATACTCTATAATATATTACCAATTGGTAACAATATTAATAATATTGGATTAAACGAATTACCTAAATCGGCTATATTACATTCGAATCCGAATTCATATTCTAATCCATCCTCGAATGATACATTATCATACAATGCAATTTTGTCATTATTAAACCTATTTAATAAGATGTCAATAAAATCTTATCTTTCATCGTATAGCAACAACGAGATTTACTATGTAAGTGGTTCACAATACTTTGGTTCAATCCAATCATTATCATTACCTTCATGGAAACTGGATCAATTGGCTTTAATGATCAGAACAATCTTAAAATTTATTTCATTCCACTATGATGAATCTAAAAATTTATTGTTTTTATTATGTAAATATCAAAATCTTTTGTTTCAAGTTAAGGATTCTCTACAATTTATTGATAAAATTTTGTTTAGCAATCCATCAAAACTAAATGATTATGTTTTTAATAATCTAAAAAATATTAAAACTTTGCAAAAGATCGAATATATGACTCAATTAAATTACAAGGACAACATATATAATAGTATTAACATGAGCATAAATAATGCAAATGGTTATTCCAATTTATCAAATGATCCTATTAATATGGAGAAATTATCAGTAAATCACCCAACTTCCCTAGTTTTCAATAAGATTACATCTGACACAGATTCAAAGGAAAAGACAGCAAACAACGACACAATGTTAAATTCTGATAATAATAATAAGAAAAAAAATAAGATCCTTGAGCACTCTGATTATAACTATGATCTTTATTTTGAAAATAAATTTATTTATACTATTTTTCAAACACAATGGCCTTGGGGTTTAAATGAGAATCATAAATTAAAGTTATCAAAAAGTGTATCGATTGATACGACAAAATCTGCATTTTGGACAGGTCATTCAGATTTCAAATTGTTAGCTAGAATTATTAAGTTGATAGTGATGGAATTCCCAGAAATTTTGAATACAAAAAAAAATTCAGAGTTTAGTATCCTGATGAAAAAACTCAATGTCTTTAAACCAAAATTATATGAAAAATTGAAAGATCATTTGCCAATATATTTATCACACCCTAAATTTTATTCAGGCATTCAATTTTTGGATAATAATAAGATATGTTCTAAATGGTTATACAAACTTTGTTGGACAAATATTTTCAATGCTAACTCGTATTATTACCAATTTGATCCAGAACTTGATAGTGTATATCGTTCCAATGTTGGAACAAAGCCACAGACAATAATTTTACAAAACAAGAGATTAAATGGTGTTATGTCTATAAATGGTAACACAACGAGTAGACCCGGCAGTTTAGTATCTTCAGCATCCCCTATACTACCTACTTTGGAAAGGTGGTCTTCTAATAACTCGACACTATCAAGAACACAGAGTAATAATAGTTCAATACTTAGTTTTTTTACTCATGATAATAATAATTCTATTACTACGGCTAACTCACCAACCTCCACAAGTAATGATGGCCAATTTGAAGGCAAAAAGTCAATTCACAATTCATCAAATAATAAAAATTTGAATGGTAATAACAATGATGCTAATAACACTAATAATTCTTACCCTTTTTCATCTTCTACTTCATCTTCTTCAAATTTTTTTAAATTTTCTTGGAGTCATTTCCACAAAGGAAACGATATAAATGGTCTTACTATTCAAGAGGAAAGTGCTGTTGCGAATAGTAATCATAAAGATATGGTAGATGACGATGATGAAGAGATACAAAATTTACACACAAAGACCTATAACTACCCAATTGATTTATATAAGATTTCTGACGATGAGGAACTCTTAAAAGATAATATATGGGTCAATACTAAAGTTGGATTATTTGTTTTGAAAAAAGATAAGAAAGAAGAACTAACTTTCTTTAATGTAACATCGTCTTTATTAAAAAAATTCAAGTTTTCAAACAATTCAAACGACTCAGACTGTAATGAAAATAACGGGGTCTTGAATAATGATCCTTCTTCAATCAAGTCTACTCCAAGTACTACCTATATTAATAACAATTATAATAGTAACGATAGTACCCCGTTAACAAGACCTATTAGAAGATATTTCTAAGTGATAGAATTGTTTGCAGGACTTTATATCTACATTATTAGAAAATGAAAAAAAAAAGACAACGCATAGTGTATAGAAAGTCTAAGTCTCTATAACATATTACAAAGTGCTTTTATGTCTACAATGTCTCATATCCTTATGTTAGAATACTTTTATTGGAGACATTAATTAATTAATAATTAAATTGAAAGAAAATGCAATGATATAATCATACAAGTCATCCGCAGCAATATAATAATCTATCTTTTTTTATAGAATATTTCTGTTAATAGACTCATGTATTTATATACGTATATGGATAAATATATATCACCATCTAAAAAACAACAACTATCTAATATCTTCTTCTCCCTTTTTTTTGAACCATTTCAAACCCATCATCGTCAATAATTGGTTCATATCTTGAAGCTGGTTCAATATGGTCTTGTTCTACCTCAACATTCATATCTTCATCTTCTTCACTATCACTAATTACTTTGTTGATTTCAACATATCTTTCCTTATTAGCACCTGTTTTTTGCCTTTCTAGCCATTTGGTATATAACTCTTCTACTCTACTATAGTTTAATTGCCTACATTCATCATATAATATGATCATGTTATTTGCAATTGGTTGAGCAGATCCATCGTCAACATGGGTGTCAAATTCGTCCAACATTGCATACAATAGGGTCTCTTCAAGTAATGGAGAATCAACTGCTTTATTATTTTTAAATAGATCCACGATGATACCGGTTATCCAATCTCTTTTTTCTGCAGATTCAATACCACCCCATTGATTTATAACTGCAATATCTAATGCATCCCAACTATATACTAGCATTGATATACCTAATTCGAATCTGGCCTGTTGTTTTGGATCTGAAAACATTAAGCTTGGTTTTCCTGATTCTGATTCTACCATTAAATAGTCATCGTATTCTGACATACTGTTTCTTCTTTAATATATTATATGTAATTTTCTTAACAACTTTGAATTGATAACCAAACCACCCTGAACTCACTTCTCTTTTAAACCTGGATTTGTTCTTTGCTACTTAATTTACCCCAAATGCGTCAACTGAATAAAATTCCTATTAGCTAACAAATATGCTGTATTCCTCCTCTATATAAGCTCTCCTTATGATTTTATGCTCATCTCATCGCATCTCAGAGGAAACTTTCTTATTGAAACATAAAATTTTTCATTTTCTCGACTAAATTGAATTTAAAATTGATTTAAAAGGCAAGTTGAAAAAAAATAAAAATAAAAAGACCGAAAATGTAAAACTATAAAGACACAAAACTGGCTAAGACAAAGTACATTAAGGTTGTTTAGAACCTTTTTACAATAAAACATATGCAGTCATATTTTGCTATTCAAATTGACAAAGTTAGAAAGCAGTTGTTTTTGACTACTTTTGTTATATCGTAATATTTTTATTTCTAATCATCCGTATATCATTCATACAAAGGAAGATCGGTAGATAATTCAACTATTCATTGGATTATGTAATGAAGTTGGAGGATGTTCTAAAACAGCAGGTAGAAATTGATGAATTATTTGTGTATTTATGTAAATTGCATGAAAGATTATTAGTTAGAAATGATTCTGATAATGATGACGATTCTCTACAAGCTATATCATTAAATAAAGTCCGTCATGATTTAATCGTTTGCTTAAATGATTTCAATACGTTAAATGATATGTTAATATCATTTGATGGTGCTATTAAGCAAGATATTCGAATCCTAGAGGAAGCTAAGCTTGAAATTAATACTTTAAAACAGAGGAAAGGTGAATTGTTAAAACAAAGAGATCAGTGGGTTTTAACTTCTAATAGCTCAAATTTTATAGATTCAAATATTACCAAGAATAATAATGATGTTATGCAAATTAGAACATCCTACAGAAATAAAATTGATCAATATATTGGATTAGTAGGGATACAGAATACAACCTTGTTTAATCACTCTGGATTTACAATCCAAGGAACTGAAAGACTCAAAGAATATGAAGAGGAGATCTCGTTAACTCCAAAACAAACAATTGACTCTTTAAGATTACTAAATGATTGTCAGTCGGAGCTTCAAAAGGAGATCAAGGTACTGAGAGCATTATTAAGTAATTTAGAGAAGGATTCACAATTTATTATAAATGAAAAACGACAACTCACTTATCTCATTGAATACCAACGAAATCAAATAGAGAAACAATTAATTAATATTGAAAATGAAGCAGTTAAATTGCTAAATAAATGTGGTTTTTTATTTCCAAAAAACTCTGAAACTTCATCACCCTTTGCACCTTCAAATAATAGTTCGATTAGCAAAAAGTTATTAAATTTTTGGAATCCAAGAGATAATCATGATAGTACACCAGAGGATACAAATATATATATGGTGATTGACCACAGTGATGAATTCATCGATTCAAAAATTAACACACTGAAATATCAACTAAAATCCAGAAAGAAAAATTCTACAAATTTATTAGTTGACAAACAGCTATGGCAAGATTGTGTTAAAACATTAGAAGACCTGGAGGATTCTCTAGAAAAGACATTATCTGATGTAGATAAAGGTTCTAATTCAGTTTTGTTACCACCTTCTGCTCTATTATCTATGATTACTAATGAAATCGATTATTTAAAAGGTTCTTTGAATAATACTAATAATCCAAGACTGAAAAATTTGATCCAGCACGAAATTGCTAATCTACAGATAGCCTGTGACGAATTGTCTATTAAGTCAAATCATCAAAACAAAACTGATTCTGAAGAAATAAGAAAGCCGAATATATCTATCTCAGATCATTATATGAGCAATTTCATGGATTATAATACAAGAAGCTTAAAGGCACCTTTAATTATAGGTAAGTCACCCCCAAAGATTGGTGTTTCCAACGAAAGCACGAATAACATTTTCGATACATTCACTAGCAAAAAAACGAAGTGAAAATAAATAAATAAATAAATAGGAAATCAACCGAACATAAAAAATAGGACCATTTCTTTTATTATTAAAATTTTTATTGTAAGTTCTATTGCGGTGCACCTTCTCTCATCTGTTTTTTTTTTTCTTTAAATCATGATTTATTGATCATGATAAAATACTGGTTCTAATTTACATCCGTAAATGAATATCAACATATATATATAGTTTAATATATACTTTTCCATATTCAAATACGTCACAAATACAAAATTGAATTTTTGGTTAGTCTATTTATAATCTGTATTTAAATTTTCTAATGTCGTTGAATTGGCTTCTTTTTGGGAATAAAGGGATTTGAAGAAGAAGACTGCATACTTCTTCTATTTTTAACTTTCGGATTTGGTGAAGGTCGTTTAGGTACATCATTTAATTTCATGTTTATATTGGCATCACCTGTTATTGGAACAATTTCAACACTAACTAAATTTTCCTCTATAGTGCTACCACTATTACCATTCATTTCTTCAGTTAGTGAAATAGGAGGACTTGTCTCTAAAGAACTTGGAAGAACTGGCTCTAATGTCACCAATCTGCTAGATACAGTAGTTTCTTTAGAGTCAGTTATATCATCTGACAATACCAATTTTGGTTTTTTTATTTGAGGAACATAGTCATCTGGATTATAATCATCTTCTTCATCCTCAGAACGACTATTTTTTCTAGCATTATTATCATCTTCATTCTTAATAGACATTGATTTATTGTTTGAATTTTCCTTTTCACGTGGCCTATTATTCTTTATGTCTTGAATTGATCTATCCAAGATGTTATCTGGGATATATACAACATCATTCGAAAATGCTATATGCCTTTCTGATTTTTTACTCTTCTTTTTCTTGTTTTTAACCATTGGTGTCCTCAACTCATCACTTAGTGTATTACCACCGAATATAGATGACTTCTTTTTGGTTCCCGTTGTAATGACATGAGGATTTTCAGACTTATCACTGACTTTCTCTTTCTTATCCAACTTTGAATTTTTGGATATTCCTCCATCATCTGGATACCTAGATTTGTCTTTACTTTTCTTCTTTTTCTTCTTCTCTTTTTCCACCTCTTTCTCCTTCTTCCTCTTTTTCTTTTCTGCACCGCTATCGTCAATAATATGTTTCTTGATCTTTTCTGCACCGCTATCGTCAATAATATGTTTCTTGATCTTTTCTTCTGTCTTGGATTCCTTTGGTATGGACAGTTTTTTATTAGCAATATAATCTTCCGTCTTTTTTATACTTCTAAATGTAGTTTCCAATGGGTCATAATGGTCATGATCATCGACAACTTGCTTAGATGAATCTCTTTCATACCTTGAAATATAAGCTGGTTTTTTATTAAAGTAGCCTGGTTCAATATTCTTTACACAATGCCTATCATGTGCATCTTTGATAAGATGATTCCATAATTTATTTTTCATCAATGATCGTTCGTGTCCTAAAATCCATAAACTAGTTTTAGCTCTAGTGAAAGCAACATTCATACGTCTAAAATCTTTTAAGAAACCCACACTTGATGTATTTTCATCAGCTCTAACACAAGAAATAATAATAATTTCTTTTTCTTGACCTTGAAAACCATCGATAGTATTAAAATCAATATACTTGTTAATCATCCCACCAAAATGTTTTATAAATTCACTCCTCATCTTTTGCATTTGTTCTTTATATGGTGAAATAACACCGATTTTACCAACAAAATCAACCTTTGAATCGTATTTTCTAAATAAAAAATCTATCAATTCAATCGCAACTTTTACCTCTTCCATGTTGGTCAACGACATAGTTTTTATATTTCTTTCTTGTTGACCTGTTGCAATATTGAAAAATTTGTATGGTGTTAAAGGAGGGCATTCATGCCATGGACGTTTATTAATGATATCCATGTTTGGCCCATCTGTTAATTTACCATCATAAAACTCCAGAGATGGAAAACGGCTAATTTCTGGATGCATTCTATATTGGACATTCAGTAGGAACGGTTTGCTGTGTTTTGCCATTCTAACGAATAAAGATTGATTATATTTATAATTACTTGCTACACCAGATAAAACTGTGGGTGGTAATTGGTTTGGATCACCAACCATAATGCACCTTTGACAACCATAACGAAGAGGAATAATAGAAGAAAGTTCGGTACATTGACATGCTTCATCGATTATTACTGTGTCAAACCTTATTCCAAGCGTAGCTAATACGTCATGTGCTGAACCAGATAAAGTAGAACATATAATGTCACTGCCAGCAAGAATTTGCATTTGTATATTTCTCCTATGTAATTCCCTACTACGATATGTAATAGAGTTTTTTTCACGAATTTCATCACGTTGCTTACCTAAATCATTAATTATTTTACTCAATTCACGAATCTTTAACTGTAACTTGGCAATATCGTCATTTGACAAAGTGCTCGATGAAGAACCGTCTTCAGCGTTTAGTTTAGCTCTTAACTCTTTTCTTTTATTAACTACGTCATTGAATTGGGAATCCAATTCTGGATTTTGAGTATATTCAAAACTTTTATCACCTAATTTTCTATCTACCAGTTCTTCTAAAGTTAAATCTTTAATTGCTGCGTTGACAGCATCAGATCTACCAACACGAACAACATTTGGTTTGTAGAGAACCCCTGAGTTGTCCAGCACACCACCTTTCAAACGTAAACAAATTTCATCTACAGCAGCATTACTTGGTGCACAAATTAAAAGCTTTTGCTTTTTAAGCATTTGTTCTAATGATTGAGTTGAGGCTTCAGAGGTAGGAACTTTAATAATGTTGCTAGGTTTAGTCCTTGCTAGAGATAAAAAGTAGCCAATAATACCTAAGATTGTTTTAGTTTTACCTGTGCCAGGAGGACCTTGGATCAAAGAAAATCCATCTTTTAGAACACTATTAACAACTGCTTCAGCTTGAGATAAGTTCAGTTTATAAGTAGATTGAACCCTTTCAAATTCTTCAGGCGATACTACTGAGGGTGGTAAGGTTTTTGCCAACAATATTTGGTTAACTAATTCGTAGTATTGTAAACCTTCTAAGGTTTGAAATTCTCTTTCTACTGTAGTCATTTGCATAACTTTCGTAGCAAAAATCTCTGCACGTAAAGTTAAGAATTTAGAGAACTTATGATTCCTATGGATTCGTAAGGTTAAATCTACAGCTTTATTCTTGGTAACTTTAATTGAGCGAACTTTGGCAAGACAAGTATTTAAGGCCGATTTAAAATCATCATTGGATAATTTACTGCCTCTTTGATAATTAGGTAAATATGCCAAAACAATCAAATCCGATTCATTAACACCACTATCTTGAAGCATTTGTTTCGAAACAGACGCATAGACTTCATAAAAATCAGACACAGCAGTTCTATTACCCACAACAATGCTGAATGGAATATGTTCTTCTTTGTCTCTAGCAGAACAAAGACCCTGCCAACATTCTAATAGTAATAATGGTTTCATAATCTGTACATACTCTTCACTTGATTTAAATTCATCACATATATCAGAATACTTTTCTGCTCCCTCATCTGTTGGATATTCACTGTTTCTATTATAGTCCCATTGTAAGATAGCTTCGTAAAGTGGATTTAAATCGATATTTAATCTCTTTCTCATATTTTCTTCATCCATCTTTTTTCTTTGAGCAAGAGTGTCTTTCTTAATGGGTTTCCCATTGATATCCAAAATTTCAATACCTTTGCTTTTACTCTTAGTAGATGCAAATAGCTCTCTGGCAGATTCGATGTCTGCCTCAGAATCACTTTCATCACTACTCTCCTCATGTTTTGGTTTGTTGGCGCTTGGTCTTGTATGGAATACAGAAGTGCTGGGAGGATGAACAATTCGGTTATTAAGTAATTGTCTTCTAGCCTGCTCCATTCTAGATAGAGGTTTAGCAATTGGTTGTACATGTAATGATGGGCTATCAGTGACTTGAAATTTTCCAAAAGATGTTATTTTCAGCTGTGTTTGTTTAGGTCTTCCAATGATAGATGATGAAAGGGCTTTTCTTTGAAGGAAATCTGCTTTACTTTCAACAGGAGTATATGAAGGAGATGGACTAGATAATTGTAGACTTTTTTGTTTTTGTTTATCCTTTTCTCTGTGATATTGCTCCGCCTCTTCCACAACTTGATTTGTAATATTGACATTGAATAATCTTGTTTTAGCTAAAATTTGAGATGATTGTGCTTCTGTCAACTTATTTGAAAACTTCCTATATTTGGACGCATATTTGGCCATTTTTTCAATTAATATATCATCAAAATTGATATTCTTTTCCTGGGCTAGATCCGCAGTAGCCATAATTAATTTAACACAAGAATCAAGTAATTCCTCATCACTTAATCTTAACCAATATAGCATATTATCAAAAGTTTTTAAAATACAATCGAAAAGTTCAACATTATTTTCTCCAAGGATATCGGATATTTCTCTGTATAAAGATATTAATGATCTACTTAACTCTAAAGTGTCTTTGGTAAAATTCTCTAATTCTGAATATTCATATTTTGATGCCCAAGTAAGTGTACAACGATATATTGTATCCATAAATCTCCAACAATACTCCCAAAACTGAATAAGAGCTTTTCCTGATTCTTCAGTTTTTAAAGTAGAATAATTAGCTAAAATGCCTCCAATAGGGTCTGCGAATGAACTAATAATATCCATTAGTACTCTAACAGCTCTTGGACATGGCTCATAAAATTCACATTTGATTAACTGTTTGAGCACACAATTGATTGCATTTAATTGGTTAGTTAGAGAACGATTCATTATGGATTGAATACCTTCCAATCTACCCTCGACATCAAAGGTGTCATACAAAATATTTGTTGCTGCTTGATATAACTGTGTATTAGAGGAAAAGATACATGACCAAAACCCAAGAGAAGGTTCTTTTTCGGTCAAAATTAGAGATAACTGTTTTGGTAAAATATCAGTAAATTTCTCGACCAATTTGGTAGCAAATGCAATATAACTAGCCACAGTTGAATTGTGTTTTTGAACAGCAGGTAATTCTGCCGGAACTAACAATAGACCATTGATATTTCTCAATGAGATTAAAAGTTCTTTTGCCAATAAGGGACCATTCTCAAATGAACGTAAATCAATCTTTGATGTGATGTTTTCTAACAACGTCAGAGGCATTGGTAATTCGCTAATACTTTTGCCTAGATACAGTTTATACGTTCTTTGACACAGCAACAAAATATCATAATCTATGCATTTAGTGATAATGGACATTGACCCTTCTGATACTGATATTGCAGATTTACCTAATCCAGGATAAAACCCATTAGGATCAGTGGCTGAAGCAATGACAATATTTTGTATTAGAGGATTGTTTAACAAGTTTCTGGAGTCCGTTTTTGTGAATAAAATTGTTTGAAAATCTTCGTTATTATAAAGTTGTGAATATTCCTCTTCAGTAATTGTTAAAACAGCACTTAATAAAGCAGTAGAAGAATTCATCAGACAAGCTTTCGGGAGTGGTTGTAGACTAGAATTATTAGCAATGAGCCTTAAGAAGGCTATAGATACTTTTTTAACCATTTGAATACGTTTGGATTCTGACAAAGATTGATAAAACGGAAGAGTCCAGGACAGAAGATCTGATACTGAGCCAAGTCTGAAAAGTTGGTCTATTTCATCTGTTGAAATTGGAACATTTTGAATTTTCAACAATTGCAGAGCAAATATGTTTTTGTCAAATATGTTGTCCAAAATACTATGAAAAGAATATGGTTCAATTTTATTCCAAAATTCAGAACCCAGTTTCTCAAGAAACATTTTTAATATTCTTAATAAATAATCTAAAGGTTTATTGTTATATTGATGGACCAAATGGTTATACCAAAGAATGAATATTGATTCAATTGGATATCTAATATTTTGTTTTAGGGATTCGATATTTTTGGGTACCAAAAAATATTCCAAAAAGACTTCTTTATTAAATAACTTAAATATGGGATAAAATCTCATCCAAAATTGTGTTATTATTACAGTATCCCAATTAGCCGGATTTTCTATAAACAATAGATGGAAATAAACTTCTTGTAGAATGTCAGCAGTCAAACTTTTTGGATCAATTATAGTGTTTTGTTCGTGTAATTTTTTTAAAAAATCTCTGGACCAATTAATCTGTTCTTGTGTCCCCTCACACCAACAGTAAATTATACCGGGTACAAAAGTGGTAAGACCTTTCTCTGGGTTACTAAAGTTCAAAAATTCGTTTTTACTATTGAACAAATATTTAAATATGACATCAAAATAATTTTTAAAATTTTTGTTTAGCCTTAACATATGAGGGTTACAAATAATTTCATATATTGCCATTTCTAAAGTCTTATTAAAATCAACAGTTTTTTCATCAATAATACGAATATCTTTCAATACTGGAAATAAACTGTTAATTCTCCACTGACAAACTATATCATTAAACTTAGATACATGTTCATGCGGTACATTTCTTTGAATAGCAAAATGTTGTAACATATTACATTTACCACGACTAAAATTCAAAATACACTTATCACATTGACTTAAGATAGGATTAAATTTATTTTGAATCCAGTTAATAGTATCTTGTTCATTAAAAGAAAATATGGTTAGACAAAATATCGAAATTGGATTGATAGTTGGGTTACAAAACAGATGTACATCTTGTGGGATTTCGGATAATAATTTCAAAAGTTCGCCAAGTAATTGGGATTCGTTGATCTCTTTATTTTTACCTGCATAAACCTGCTCAATTATAATGGAATAAAATTTTGCTCTTTGAATCAAATCATTATCTAATGACGAATTTGGTGAAGTAGAAGACATTATCCTTATATGTATAGATATAAATAATTGCAGTTAAAATAACTTTTCTTAACTGTGTTTTTTTTATTTCTTTTTCTCGTTTACTTTCTATTGCGAATTGATGATTCTATTATATTCAGCTTTTTCCTTGTGGTTTTTTATCAACTTGATCTTGAATTAAAGTCAAGGTTATTAAGCATTAAATAGTACAGAAATAATGGTTATACTATAGTGAGTTAAGGACGTAAATTATTGTAATAATTATTTACGCAATTGCAATGGAAATATCCAATAACAAATGATTAGATGTATTGATCTCAATTCAAATTACAAATATTAAAAAAAAATTCTAGTCCTTTGAATACGCTAATTGTAATATAAAGATGAGATCAAAATGCTGAATATACGGATACTTATGTATATATATAGGTATATATTTATTTATATGTATAAGGAATAAAATTAAAGGCTGATTGCAAAAAACGAATAAAAAAAGAAAGGAGGATATAACTTCTTAATCTTAGCCTTCTTTTTTCCGATTTATCAAAGATAAAAAGACTAGCTGGGTATCTTAAAAATACAAAAGAGCACTTGCAATAGTAGAGGAGTTTTCTATGTGGATGTCAGAACAAGAACTTGACGATCATTATAAAGGTGTATTACATTCAAGATGAGGAAAGTTTCTCTCTCTTGTTTCTTTTTCTTTCTATTCTCAATATTTCGTGTCTTTTCCAAATGAAAAATTTTAAGCAAAAAGAAACGATGCGAAACGAAATCTTTTCATATTTTGTTTTTTGTTTTATTTTTCTTTTTTCAAGTCATGTGCTTTGGATGAAGAAACAGGTTATGTGTGAAGTTAAGAAGACAGAGATTGGCATAGAAGATTGCGAGATCAGACAGATGAAGTGAGTGGGTGAATACCAATTACCAAGCACCGGTTACAGTGTTTATGTGTTATATTATCGATTTGCAAGTTTATTTTTAAGTCGATATCTTGATTTCTTATAATTCATCTTGAATGTTTTGAACAAATACTTATACAAATCACTATTTTTTCAGTCTTTAAAAAAAATAAATATAAAAAACCTACATATTCATGATCATCATCACTTATCTTTTTTTTTCCTACTTTTATTTCTTTTCATTTATCAAAGCTTCAATCTTTTCTTCAAATGCTTTTAGTCTTTCATCCTTTTCAAGATTAGAAGCTGTTAAATTTTCCACAATTTGTTCCAGTTTCAACACCAAATTTGATAAAGTTTCCACGGATTGTTTTAAACCCATGGACTTAACAGAATGTGTAGAGGAGTGGATGTTGTTTTCTTCTTGTTTTTTTGTCTTATCCTCTGGTTTGATGTCTTCTTTCTTAGTGATTTTATTAATAACATCTGTAGCAATAGATGTTGGCTCAGGCTTACTGTTCTTTGGTCCATCTTGTTTTGGTGGACTTTCAATTGGATTAGTTAAAACGCTTTCTTTTCTTTCTACTGGTAATTCAGGGGTGGCAGGTCTCTCATCTTCTTCATCCCATCCAGATGTATCTCTAGATGGGTCTTCTGCAGCATTATCTTGATCAATATTACTGGATTTTTGTAAAAGTTTATCGACCGAAGAATTTGATTTTAAACTGTCACTTAATGTAGTTGGAGTAGAACTTTCACTATGAACAGTATTATTAACAGTAGGTACTTTTACAGAGGGACTTGAGGCAGTAGTAGCAGAAGTAAAAGAAGTAGTGGTGGTAGTAGTTGATGACTGAGGTTTTTCATCAGTTTTTGTTTCCATGGAAAGCTTTTCATCTCCCTTTGTTACTGGCTTGGATTTTGCTAGTTTTGTAGATTTATGAAAAGTTGGTGCAGTACCTTCATAAATAGATCTCATACTTACTAATATCGGTCCGTCAACGTCTTTACCCAACCTCCACTCTTCGGCAGTCAAAGCAGGTTGATCAGATGGCGCGTCTGGGTAAATATCATCTTGAAACTCCTCAGATCTTCTTGGAACATAAAATGAAACAGGTTCAATGGTCTGATCAATAACTGTCTTGTAACACTTCAATACTTCATTTGATTTAACGTCAACAAATCTTTTTGGTGCTATAGCGAACCCTCTTTGTGGATCAGTTGATTGAAACTCCGATAATTCAAACAATTCATCATTTTAGAACTCATAGTATCTAATGTTACCATCACCTTTACCAGCAATGTATAATATTTTGTTACTATCATCAAAGAAAGGCATTAAGATACCTGAGGATTGATCAACAGTGTAAAATCCACCTAAGTCACCTTTTTCTAAATTGAATGCATCCCAAATACCTATTTGACGATCACTTAATCTAGAAAAACCAGTAGTAGCCAAACGGTCAGAGTTACCTAACCAAACAACTCTTTGATTTTTGGCACCTTGATGGGCTGAACCTTCACTGACAACCTTCTCCGCCCTAATATCCCATACTCTCAATTTTTTGTCACGAGATACAGTGGCCAAATGAGACCCATTGTAAGAAAATGACATAGAAGTGACCATATCAGGATGTTTCAAAGTAAAAATATTGTCGCCTGTCTCCACATTCCATATTCTGACTGAATAATCCAAAGATGATGTCGCTAAAATATCTTTAGCTACAGGATGGAACAAAACATGGCCTACTTTCTTAGTATGGCCGGACATAATTTTAATTGGTTTAATATCCTTTGGTTCACCATCCTCATTTAAATAATTGTGGAAGGAGTAATCCTTTGGAATTTCCCAGATAGCGATTTTTGAATCATCGGACACAGAAGCAACTCTGTGGTCATCAAATGGATCAAAATCAGTATCTAATACTTGTGCAGTGTGTCCTCTGAAAAGTGGTACCTGATCTGGTGCTTTACCCACCTCTTCAACTGGCACAATTGCGAAGGCACCACCACCAGACGCATTCCAATTAACAGAAATAAATTTTCCGTTTGTCTTAATGATATTGGAATCCCAAGCATTATTAGTCACTTTTATATTTTCATATTGCAATTCTCTTTTAACAGCTTGACCAAAAACGTGTCTATATTTAGAAGCACGAACAAATTTACCACTCATTTTGTTTCAAAAAGTATATCTTAGATAGATAAGTGTATTAGCTAGTCTATAGTTCGTTGAATAGCCCTAAATAACTGAAGTACTTAAAAAGAGACCGGGTATGCTACTAACGTGGTTACAATTATGAAATTATCGGAACAAATATCTATCAACGGTTGAGATGCACTAGTATATGTCCCTTTACAATATTGAAAGAAGGAATTTTTCGTCGTGTTTGCTTATTCGTTTATTTCCTATTTCTCTGAGCATGTTTTCCCTCGAGAGATTGAATATTTCGTATTAGTTAGTCCATTATTAATGTTTATCTCAAATTGGAATCGATTTTTTTTTTATTTTCCATCCGTTTGTTTTCGCTTCGAAGAGATATTTCCAGAGGCCGTGGAATTACTTTCCGCAGAATCTTGCCAGGCAATTTCCAAAAAATCTTTTTTATTCCGCAAATCTTTAAATGGAAAGATTCTACTTGAATTATTTATTATTCAATGGCTTGCTATCTGTAAGCAGAAAACCAATCAAACGGAAATAGAATAGAGTGCTTATTACTATTAAAGTGTGAAGGTCCAACTAGAATTGCAGGCAAGATTGGAATACTTTGTTTTTGTTTCTATATACATTTTTCATTAGAGTAATTGTAAGAATTATGGTATTTTGTTTCGTAGAAGTTATCATTTTGTAGGTATCGTTTCCAAGATACTACAACATTTGAGTCTCCTTATTGAGAGCATTAAAGTTTTTTTATTGTTCGCAGCTTTCCTTTAAATGACAAGCATGTCAGTGTTCAATTAACATCATGTAAAAACAATCGCAAAATGGTTTTATGATCACTAAAAGAATCATTAAATGTCTGTACATTCTAGATATACAAAGTTGTTTATTAAAACAAAAATGTGATATATAATATACATTTATTATCCATGTCTAGACAGAATATATATATATATTTATATTTATATACATATATATTTTTCTCTATTTCGGCTAGGTACTGAATAGTACCACTTTACCCTTTTTTTTATTCTTTCTCATCCCATTTTGTCCATTTTGACTTGATTGGTTCTGAAAAGTTTGACCTGAAGTATCTTCATACATCCCTTCATTGGCTGCATGATTCTCATAATTACAGTTATCATCTATTTCGTGATCTTTTCCTCTCATTTTTTGAAGTAACATTGCCGCAAATTCTTCGTCCTCTTTGTATGTCTTTTCGTCTGGAATAACAGATATTGATGTACCCCATACAGTATTCTGTTTATATGCTTTGTTTTTATTACTGCTTGATGAAATACTTTGATTAGAATTATCTATTTTCTTTGACCACAAAGTTTCTAGTGTTGTACCAGAATCAAGCAGCTTTTTATAATCTGCAGTTTGTTCTGAAGTTAGAGAAAAGACACCGTTTTCAGCTTTATAAAATGCCATAATATCTTCCTCTAATTTAGCCTCATACAGTTTCTTGTTTCTTTCCTCTCTTTGTCTTTTTATATTTAATTCTTTATAACGTTGTTTTAGTTTTCCACTAAACTTTTCATACACTTTATCAGTTAAAATTGACATTTCCTTCCAATTAATGTCTAAAAATGCAATTTCTGTACCTAAAGGCAAATGACCCATATACTTATAACGATGAATTAATTTTTCTGTAACTACAGTATCATAGTGAATGTTTTCTACTTGAACTTCTAGTGTAGAGGGAAAATTTGAATATTTCTCAAAAATTTCAAGTAAAATCTTAACATCTAAGGGACTTAAAAAGTATTTAGTAGAAGTATTATGTGAGGTTTGATAAAAGTAGAATCCCGAGCTATCATCAATAGTCATAGAAGGTTGATTTTCACTTTCTTGCTTTCCAATCTTCATCTTTATGAAATTAGACGTCAAATTGCCCTGGGTTTCATCTAATATTGATACTATTGTGTTATTTATTTGTTCTAATGCTAAGTCAATGAATTGTTGATCATTAACATCATTATACAGTGCTTTGTCAATCTCATTTTGTATCTGCATAGCCTCAATATCCTCATTTAATAATTTTAATTTATAAGAGGAATCACATTTAACTAATCTACTATATTTTATTTCATTAGTATTATTTATACTTGGTATATTAATTATCTCATGAATATTAGAGCAGACTTCGATTGGTAAAGCTAGAATGGAAGCTTTCTCTCTAAACATTAGATCCAATTTAACCTGAGCACCTGGTTTGGGAATTGGTTCATCTTTAATATACAAGGCGCTATCTTCCAAATATGTCACATGATTGATTCGTTGAGGCCTGATAATATTGTTACATAATGGGCATTCTTTATATTTTTTTTTTTTAATTTGGCCAGTAGTCTTGTCTTTAAACCTGTCTTCTATAGAGAAGAATTTTAGCAAGCATGAATAACAAAAAATATGACCGCATCCAACCATCCTTGGCGCAATAGGTTTCTCACACAGACAGATTGGGCACTGTTGTCCAGAAGATACAACTATAGATACAATTTTGTCATCGCTAATCATACAATTTGGATCGTTGATTTGTTCAGAATAATTTCCCGTGTCCTCTATTAATAGACGATAATTAACATTGATAAAGGAATCGCCTGTTAAATTGATATGTTCATCTTCATCGATTTTTTTCTTACTTGAATATTTTCTTCTAGCATTTGAATGGGTATCTCTATCTACTTCGGGTAAATTAAAATCTAATAGGTGATTGATCAGTACTTGAGCTTTTTTACCCTTCATTTTGAAATTTCCACCCATAATTTCTTCTTGAATAGACAAATCTAAGTTATCATCAGAAAATTTTCTATAAGTTGAATCAGCTCTCCTTTTTTCTTTTATTTGATTATTAAATTTTTTGTGACTCTTGGTTCTGAATGATTTATTTAGCCTTTCATCTTTGGATTTTTTCTTCGTATTAATTTGACTTTTGTTCGATATATTTATCTGGTTCTTAGCTCCTTTGGGTGTCTTTTTCTTATTTTTACCATCCAGATTGACTTGCTCTGTATTGATATCTATTTGGTGGTCGAAAGAATGAGATCCTTGGTCTTTAGTGTTATCATTCATATTGAACTGATTATCAGTATTAGAATGATATCATACGAATGAAAATGCCAAAAAATAAAAAAATAGGTGGATAAGTGACGATGGATGGTAGTTATATGACTCGAATAGTTATACAGTACTGGCAAAACACCTTATTTAAGTTAAGCCAACTTTAAGGTTCTATGTACGGAAATAACCATGAGTAAGCGTTATAGTATTCATGCGCTCACTTATACAACTGTTTGGCTAAGGATATCTCACAAAGATTTCACTAAAAATGTGAAATAAAGAAAAATTAATCACAACAACAACAAAAAGAGATAAGAAATTAAACACGGATGATAGAATATAAAAAAGTAAGAGAATACCTGAAAGAGTAGGTGACTAAATTGCTGTGGTCATAATTTACTAAATTATGTATAATGTCTGTAGACATGGTATTTGAAAATAAAAAATTTCCTAGCTCATTACGTGTATCAAGCAAATATATACAGAAAAATGCTCAGGAGTAAAGCTATAAAATATGATAAATAGTAAATAATACTACATGAGGACAAATATCTATTAGTTTTCAGTTGGTAAACATGTGTCCATTTTGGAAAAAGATCTAACAAAGTTTTGAATACATGAAGGCATAGACATCAGTAGATAGGCAAAGTTAGCATAAAGAGGTTCATATATCACCCTTTGTCTACCAATCATTGAACAATCTATTAGTTTCTTTGCCAGCTGTTTTGTATCTACAACAGGAGCGAAAAATTGCCTTGGTGCCTTGAAACCATTAAACATATTTGTATTTAACTGTCCCACAATAACAAGAAGAATTCTAGTATTGAAATAGTTTTGTGTATTTAATTCGAATTTCAGAGAATTGGTCATACATGTCAAAGCAGCTTTACTAGCTGCATACACAGCCGTTTTAGCAGGTGATAATATACCTAATGTACTTGCAATATTAATGATATAACATTGAGAATTTGAAGACTGTTCTGGTCTTAATTCTTGAATAATTTTAAAAGGTGTATAACAATTTATTTGCATTACTCTTTGTAATTCAGAATCCTTTATGTGATTATATTCCGAATATGAAGATCTCACACCAGCATTGTTTATAATTAAACATATTTGGTTTCCGTATCGAGATTTTATATCTTTAATTATTTTTTCTACTTCAAGGGGATTAGTGAGATCGCAACATTGAAAGACCACTCTACTAGCATCCAGTGTTTTCTTATTTGGTTCCTTTATGTCAATATTAATAATTTTAATTTTCTGTGAGCTAGTTAGAAGTTGGGAAATCAGATCCTTCCCCAATCCATTACTACCACCTGTAACAACTGCTACCGGAGAATCTAACTGATCAAATGGTAACCATTTTTGCCTGTTGATGATTCTATTTTGAACTAGGCAATTAAATATTGAAAAACATAACATACATAGTGTATAAACGCCCAATATGTAAATTATACGCCCTGAGATGACTGTTTTGAATGGCAACAAAAAAAAAAATGGGTATTTTATAAAAGGTAGGAATATGTTATATACTAACACATCAATGTTCAATGTTTCATAAATAGGCATCTTGGGGTATTCTTTTGTCTAAAAACATGAAGGCATATATAATTGGATTGATAATAATTTAATTCTTTTAACTTTTTTTTTCATGTAGCACTCATCCTAAATAATATGTCGTTTGTTTATTTTTTTTTTCTTTTAATAGAATTATTTTAGATAAATTGGGTATTATAGAAAGTGCTTGGAAGATTTAAATAAATTATTAGTATAATATAAAACAACACATACTTTACTTACACAAATAAATTAAACCAACGGGTATCATCTTGTTCAAGTATTATTAAAATATCTTATATGAATATATTAAGATTTTTTATATAGAATAACTCAGCAAATATAGAATTATATGCAACTTTAAATCTAGTAATTTGTAATGTTACATTTTAATAATAATTGTCTATTAGGTATATTTGGATGACTTGATTTTAATATTACAGCATTATCATTAAGATTATCATTTAACAGATATATTTTTTTACCTTTAATTATTTGGCATGGAATGAGTTCTTGTAATGGAATATCCATGGCTTTATTGATATCATATACTTGAATCAAACTTTCTGACATTAAAAGCACATAACCTTCAAATAAAATAGTATTTGTACAGTAAAAATCCAACATCAAGACATTTTGTTTCCAGTTATCTAGAATTCCGTGGCAATTAATTTTAATTAAAACCTTGTCATATACTAGAATGAAATCTTTGCCATTGTTAAGTTGAAAACAATTTAAGGGGTTTCCTCCAGTTGTATAAATTTCTTTAAGAATATTTTTCAGTTTTTGATACTTTAGAATATCTGCAGAAGAATATAATGGGTTATTTTCATGAAACACCGATTTTACAAATTTTAATTTATTTAACGATTCTGTAAATTCTGCAACATCCACAATGATAGGAAGAGCTATTCCATCATCACAAAACTCATCAAAAAATAAGATTATCCCTTTCGAAGTACAAACAACAAATGATTTTTTAAAACAGACAATTTTTGATACAGAGATATTTTCAATGTTCACTAAGCCTGTAGGTAATCGATATTGTTTATATTCTTTGAAATATTTTAATTGTCTACTAATTCGATCAAATTCAGGAGTCAAAACATAGACCTTGCCTTTTCTTGTGAAAATTAAATGTTTGGAGTTACCAAAATCTTCTGCAAATTTAAAACAGTCTACTTTATCCTTGATGACTATACCAATAATTGTATTATCTGATATATATTTGTTTTTATCATAATAGGCGCCTAATATACTAGCCAAACTAAAGTAGAGAAGATTATGATTGTTTAGAATGAAAAGTATCCCAAGTTTGCAATTCACCTCTACTTTTGTCACACAATCACACTCAACTACCTTTTGAAAGTTACTGTCCCTTCCATTTTCTAGTCTCAAAAATACCCCATAATTGCATGCAACAAGTATAAAACTTTTCCCTTCATAAATGAACATAGTACTGGCAGAGATGGTGCAGGTTAATGGTAGGTTTACTTCCTTTTTAACTTTCTTTTCATATTTCTTTAAAGCAATATCAATTTCAGATCCTTCTATAGCAACTGGTAAGCTTAAGGGTGCTTCTCTCTCTGTATAGGCAAATCTGGCACTTAATATTTCAAATTCAACTACATTTTGAATGCGTTCTTTGGATTTTTGGATAGTTTTCAAAATTGATGTGGTCCATATTTCCTTTTCTACTATAGATGAAGTAATAAATGTAAATGATTCATTCGTTGCTGTATTTCTGATTTTAAAAGTTAATGTATCGGGATCACTTTCATTATTTGAATCACTACTTGTTAAACTATTAATATCTGAATTAAAGAATACTCTTTGACTTGTAGAATTGAAATTTGTAGTTTTTGATACAGTCAATGGTGTTTGTTTAATGTTATCTGTCTGAATATTTGTTGAAGATTGATCTGTGTGCCAGCTTTCTCTTTTTTTCGATCTTTTTTTTTTTTCAATACTTAAATAGTCAATTGGTATAGGCCTTTCAATCAATTTATACCAATTTTTATTATTTTTAACAGTGATTTCTGTTATTAGAAAATAGTTGTCTAGTAATGCAATATATACTGAAGTGGAATCCAGCCAATTCTCTCTCTTCTTATAAACTGAGCCTGAATAAATTAATTTCCTTTCGTTGTTTAACAACCCTAAATCCAATTTATCCTCAATTAAAGAATTGGCCTTATTTGAATGTTCAGTAGCTGATAAGGGTGTCGATAGATTTGAGTAGCCTGTAGTATTTTGTTGTTTTCTGCTATCAAACATAAGTTGTCTGGAGAACCTTATAAGATTTCTATGATCTATTGCATCTCCATGGACTCTATCAACTTCCTCATTTAGTTTTTCAATTTCTTTAGTAGCGAGCGATATGTATTCATGATCTTCATCTGAAGGATCAGTATTTTTAAGAATTGATTTTAATGTAATAGGTAAATTCTGTAATGATTTAAAAAAGCCACCGAAAAAGATAACATCATGGTATAACTTAGAACGTGTAATTTCCGGACTATTATCTATCATTTTTAACCATTTTGCAAATGGGCTTCCCTTTTTCTTCTCATATTTTATAATGTCGTGAACCGTAGCCATTGCTCTTGCATAATTTATATATGCATCATGAGCCTCGTGACACCATTTCAGATATAACTTACCAATACCAGATATGAATTTTCCCTTTGTTTTAATTTTCCAATTGATAGGGTTTAATAAAAGTTCTGTATGTAAATTAATTAAAGGGATAAATATATCAAATGCTAAACTGGCAAAATTAGGTTCATCAGGTAATAAAGATGGGTCATATTGTTTCCCATATATTTCTACGGCTGCATTTGCCATATTTAATGATCTTTCTTCTAAAATTATTAAATCAAATATAAAACTTTGTTTTTGTACATCTCTGGGATTAATATTTCCTAAATTTTCTTCAGTAAGATTCCAATAATCAGCCCATACTCCAACTGATTTATTGATGATGTTGGAATAAGAAACTGCATCTCTTTTAGAAACGGTCATTGATCTACTATGACAACTTGTAGAGTAGCATTTAATGTAAAGTTCATTTTGGATTGTATCGTCAAATGAATAACACGGAAGAAGCTCAGTAAATATACCTTGGATGTCAAGACCAGCCGTAACAACCGTTATATTACTTATTGTACTTTCTTCTGTAGTCTCTTCATCATTTTCAAAAATGATATTAGGTTCGAACCTAATGGCCTTCTGTATTAATAATGAGTTTATAATTCTATCAACGTTTGAGTCAATTAAATCTTGGTCAAAATTTGCTGGAATTTGGAATTCCAGTAATCTTTGAATCATTTGATAAAATTCAAATTGACCAAAGATATACTCTGTAAACCATTCGAAGTAAACTTTTAAAATCCATTCATATATATCTGATAATCTATAAACTGAATAACATTGATATAATTTATTTTCATCTAGATCTGAGATGTTAAAAGGATGTGTTGGAACAATCACACTTGGTGCAGCTTCTAAAGGTCTACCACCCAGTAATGAATTATAACTACTATGTCTTGCAGAAGAGTCATTAAAAGTGTAACTTGCATAAGAATAACAACTATCTATACTTTCCGAGACTCTACTCAACCCACTTATATCACGCAATGTAGTAGGCACTTGTGGTGGTTTAGTAAACGCTTCAGAACTTTGAGAATTGTCTTGTAAATTCAGATCACTTAGTTTTATGATGTAATCATTTGGTGTTATTTGTTCATGTATATTCGAATTTTTTTTAAGTGGAGATGACTGACTACTATACTGTGTAGATATAAATGACGATTGGAGTGATTGTGGTGGAGGTGGTGGCCTACGAGTTCGACTTTGTAGTGGTGAATATATTTTATTGTTTCTAGGACTTTCCATGCTGGGAGATCGGTTATTTAAAGGAGAATAATTATTGACCCTTCTTTGAGGCACAAGATCTGGTAAGGTCCATGATGATTTTATGAAAGAGTTTTGATCTTTGTCTTTGATAGGTGTAATGCGTGATGTTTCTGTATTATGTGTTAGTATAGTATCTTGAGTTGTATAATATTCATCATTAATTTCATATCTCTCTAAAAATGATTCTCTGGTAACTAATGGGGGCAATGTTGGAAGAATATCATTTCTCTGTGAGTTGCCTCCAGAAGATGAGTTGCTGTTTTGTTTATTGGAATACATTAACCTTTTTCGTTCTCCCTAAAATGCATCTTTCTTTCAGTAATAACTTTGCCTATCATGAGGGTAAATCTTACGCTGATGACTGTTCTTTTCTTTTCATATTTTTCACCATTTTTATTGAACTTTTTGAACAAGGTAACAGAAAAGGAAAACAACGGGGAAGACCTTTGTAAAAAAAAATGAAAATGAAGAACAAAGTATACACATGAGGAAGTTAGTTGTTTATAAAGAGATATCTATATATTTTTTGTGCTATCATATATAGTGGAGTGCAATTTCCTAACTACATTTTAGATCGTTGAATATATCTTTTAGTATATTAAAGTCAGTAATAGATAAACGGGAAATTTTTTGAGTTTTTTAGTTGGTTTTTGTTTATGTATCAAAGATTTAAATTTTTCATCTTACAATATATGATCAATCTTGTTATTTATTCTCTATTAATTAGCGATATTGCGCTTTATAGTGATTGTGTTGAAACATTGTGGTACTTGTTGAAATAGAATGTTCTATGATAAAATAGATAGAACAATAAGATTTTAGCAGACACTAAACGATAAATTGTTGAGTAATAATTGTTGAGAGGTCACCAAAAGTTGTTGAGTTTATTTATTAAATATCTTACTATTCGTAGAGGAAAATGGCTGAATGTTAACATATATAAAGCCAAGGATTTCATCATACATTATTTTTATCTTATTTACAATCTTTCTATATTATTATTTCTATGTTGTATATAGAGAAAGAAAGTGAAGAACTTTATTATAATTTTGTATACTAAATCTGTTTAATATAATATTGAGAATGTTTACTATATATCCAATGAATAAAGGCGCTCATTCCCAACAGTACTATATAATTTCAGAATAGGGATCTGTAAAATAAATCAGGGGAAAAAAAAAGCAACAACCATATTAGTGTTGTGATGAACTATTCTTTTTATACTGGTTCATATAAACTTTTTGTGTTTGTTTGGTATATGAGGTGTTGCTTTATTTATTATATATTAAAGTATGAAAAAGAACAAATTTATAAGATTATCACTTTTGACAAAAAAAAATAAGAAGGTATCTAAGAAGTTATTTCACACCTTGTGATCATTTTTTTACATATCTGTTAGAATATTATTTAGGTGTAAATAAGTGTAGTCCAGTAATCAGTAGAAATAAAGATACAATACAAGGAAAAAGAAAAAAGAAAAAAAAAAAACAGCACACTTTAATATTAGTATTATTACCTCTTAATTTTTTTCTAAACTAATAGGAGCAACATACTGGTATTAATGTTTGTTCGTTGCCACTTATTGAATATAGTGATTTTGGTTTTATTTAATTATTTCATATATTAAGGTGTGGTGAAGATGTTTGTTAGTGTTAGTAGTTGTAATTAATCGATATATTCTTTTGTTTAATTTGTTATAGGGAAAAAAGTTAGTTCCAACATGTCTAAAATACTCAAAAAAATAAGTATCAATAATGTTCAGATATAAATTGTATAATTGTTGCTTTGTAATTTTTTTTTTCTTTTGGTTTTATTATATATTTTTAAATGTAAAGCAAACGGCCTATTCCCAGGTATATATTTGGCAGTATTTTCTTCATTTTATGTTTGTGTGTTATAGTAGTTCTTAGTTTAGCCGTAGTTACTCCTCTGGCTGAATAATATTAGTATACATGTTCTTAGCGTCGGTGATCATACAATATGTTATTATTGTGTATTATTATTATATTGATATGTAGTGTAATTTTCCCTCGATCTCTTGATTGGGAATTAATAATTATATAAATATACAAGAAACATAAAGATACGATGTATATATATTATTCATCCAGATTGGAAAATTAATAAGTAAAGTTGTCTACTTATATATGTTTACCTTTTGGCAATTTTTCATAATATATTAATTTATTTTGATTCTGTTTAATCTTATCTCCATAACGTTGAATGTGCAAAACAAACATTTTTCTTCTTTGATATATTTACATGTTACTCAAATCGGTAATATATCAATCCAGCAGTTACCACCTAAATTAATGTTGTATAATCATCCAAGATTCTTGACAATTTTTTTTTTCCTTTTTTTATTTTTTTTATTTTTTAAGTTTTGTGAAATATAAGAGGAGTTGATAGAATAAACAAATTCAATCAATTTGATTTTTATTGATATTATGATTTTATATTGAGAAACTGTTGAGAATGAGCGCCTGTATTCACTGGATATATAGCAAACACTCTCAATATTATATTAAACAGATTTAGTATACAAAATTATAATAAAGTTCTTCACTTTCTTTCTCTATATACAACATAGAAATAATAATATACAAAAATTGTAAATAAGATAAAAATAATGTATGATGAAATCCTTGGCTTTATATATGTTAACATTCAGCCATTTTCCTCTACGAATAGTAAGATATTTAATAAACAAACTCAACAACTTTTGGTGACCTCTCAACGATTATTACTCAACAATTTATCTTTTAGTGTCTGCTAAAATCTTATTTTTCTATCTATTTCATTATAGAACATTCTATTTCAACAGAAACATCAATACATTATACTGCCAAACATATAATTAAAATAAGGTTCATTTATATATGCTTGCTTTAGAAAATGGGAAAAGACGATAATTAAACAAATATTACACTTTGACATCAAACATTCTTCATATCTCTTTTTTTTTTTTTTTAAGATTCTAAATTTAATATGCTAAACTTCTGAGAAAGTATTACAATCTAGAACTTCCGGTGTCCATGATAATGATATATATCATTAAGTTATAGATGCTTCTTCTATTTTGTGTGAACTTCTTATATTACTTCCAATACTTCTTTTAAAAAAATCCATTTTCTTCAAATCTCTGGCAAGCACTTTTAATGAAAGAATAAGATATTTTTCATATATTATGATGTATCCATACACTACATAATTTTACAGAAAAACCAAATTAAAAAAAAAGCAAGTGTTGTGGCAAATATCGGTGATATAAAAACTCTCATTTTTTAATGTTAGAATTTGGAGCCTTCTGCATCCATGGTAATGGTAGACATCATTAAGTTATAGATGCTTTTTGTATTGTGTACTAAATACATATATATACTTAATATATAGTGTATTCAGTACACATTCTTTTATTTACTTTAAGTTTTCTTTTAAAGTTTTTCATTTCTTTTCAAATCTTCGAAAAACATATTTGGTGAAAAATAAAATGTCTTCCTGATATTATGGTACATCCGTACACCGCATAATATACAGAAAAACTAATTAAAAATAATTCTTATGGAAATAGCAGTAATAAACTCTCATTTTCCAACAACATTAATTCAGGTACACTAATGAATTAGAAACTGCACCCCAATTCTCTAATCATGGTAATTAGTAATACACGTGGGATTTATTAAAACAATAGGTAAATTCTAGATTTGTTAAATCTTATGTAATCCAATCTCTTTATTATGCAGCATCTAATGTTGTAGCACGTGTATGGCTTATTAAGACAATAAATAGTTCTAGATTCATTCAGGATCTTATGTAATCTTGATGGTTATAACTATTCTATTCCACAACAATTGTTTGGTCAGTTCTAATCCACTAGTGCACCTAAATTAATGTAATAAATTTTAGGGTGAATCAGTCAAGTCATTAACGTACTAATCTGAATAATCGATCGAGCTCCAGAAAACATATAAAAGGACAACGTTTTCTGGAGATAAAAGATCATCTTCCATAACCGTTTCTTGTAAATAATTTATATATTATATATGAACAAAAAGAGAACAACAAGCAAGTAACAAGTTAAGTAACTTTGAATAAATAAATTAGCTCGATATAAGCCGCTCAATATATAAGACCATTTTAGTAATTATATTATCGCCTATAATTGATTACTATCTCGATTACTTGAATGACTATTAATATTATTTGCGCTTCCCTGGAATACACAAAGAATTTCACCACTTCATAATACAACAAGAGCTGTTATAGTTCGGACTGAGGACCAATTTTTTTAACAGTACTATTGAACGAATAGTAAGGGCAATAACAAATATATAAGAACGTTATATATATCTAGGAGAATTAAACGATTATTGCTTGTTTTTTTTTTGTATTATACAATGTGCTACATATAATTATAAATCAACCAAACATATAAATTTAGATACCAAGATACTGGTCCTTTCTATATGAACTATGGGTTGATAATTTCTTATTTGAGGTTCTGTAACGACTGTCACCGTAGATACATTTCTCCTTAATTAGCTATTTAATGTTTCATGAATGTTTCATTTTGTTACATAGTATTCAACAATCATGTGGGATTTATCAACAAACCCTAAGTCCTATAAATCCAAACTAGAACTTTTCTTGACAATCATCACAAAACCCTAACAATATTTTTATAATCATAATATCAAGGTTGATCTACGACAAGCTAATGTGTAGTTAAGACTCCATGGCCAAGCTGGTTAAGGCGTGCGACTGTTAATCGCAAGATCGTGAGTTCAATCCTCACTGGGGTCGTGTAGTTGACTTTTTCCTATCCGTTGAAAAATGGAACTGCATTTAAAACGCCAGTATAAACCAAACTATTCCCCGGATTGGAGAAGATCTTTCTGTTTTTACTCTTATCTTTTTAATCAATTCATATTTCTAATATTCAGTAAAGATTGGTGAAATGAAAGTATACCAAATCATTACTGCCTTTTACGTTTCTTTCTTATATAGTTTAACCAGTTTCCGCTTTCTGATTGTTTAACGGAATCACAAACCTCCTTATTCCGCATAATCCGAAAACTGTTTTTACGGAAATAATTTCCAAACAAAGCCTTATATAAACTTTTTAGGCGGAAGTGTTTTCATATTTTTATTTTTACATAAGGAAAAAGGGTGATTGGTTTGAATAATAAAAACTAGCAAATTCACTTCGAATCGTCTGTACATCTTATTCTTTTAGATTTATTACTACTGACATTGCATGTTAAGACATATGATAGAAGTAGGAAGCACATTTAGAATATTGCAACTCCAAATTAGGATCCTAGATTAGTCCCCCACTTGTTGTCATTAACATATTTAAACCATACAACTAGATCAATTAATTTTGGTTTTCAATATATTATCAGCAGTTAATAGTCCTTATTCTGTGCAAAAATATGTTTCGTTCGCTTTTAGTTAAGAACTGTAAAGTGGTTCAAACAAAAAGTTTTCTAACCAAGACTACAGTTACCCCAATTGCCTCCCATATGTTTCTCCATATTACATCTTATTCAAAAAATAATGGGGTATGTTCACAAACTACAAAAAAATTTTATTCAAACTATACTAAGAACAAGTATAATACTCATGGTACACTTGATAGTACACTAGGTGCAAAGATTTTGGCTCTGTTTGTGGCTGGTGGTGCATTATACTTTGTTTCCCCTAGAAAACATACTTCAAAGAAGCATAACACTCAACTGAATGATCCTATCGAGACATCTGATACAGTTGACGACTCAACGAAGGTTCAGCAACAACAACAACCAACTGAGGTTATAACTAAGCCTGCTTCCACAGAACACATTGAAGCTTATAACGATGAAGGATTAAAGGATTTGGAAACTGTAAATGGCGAAACATTTTTTGAAACTGAAGAGGAAGTTAACCAAGAAGGTGCATATAATCCAGAGACAGGTGAAATTAACTGGGATTGCCCATGCTTAGGTGGTATGGCACACGGTCCATGTGGTGAAGAGTTTAAAGAAGCCTTTGCATGTTTTGTTTATTCTGAAGCTGATCCAAAGGGTATTGATTGTGTAGAGAAGTTCCAAAAAATGCAGGATTGTTTCAGAAAGTATCCTGAACATTATACTGAACAATTAAAGGATGAAGAAGAAATTACTGAACAATTAGAAAAAGAATCTGAACCAAATAATTCTAATTCAAACAATATTGACACCAAGGAATTCGTTGAAATTGAGACACCAGAAACTTTAACTAGTTTTAGCGATGAATCATTACCTGATATTACTATGGAAGAAACTGTGGTGGTGGAAGATGTTCCACAGATTGATAATGCTGATAGTGATGAAACAACTAAAGAAATTACTGAAACTATCGAAGACATTGAATTAACTGAAAACAGTTAAATAAAATCATAGTTTAATGTCTTTAATAAAATAAAAGGGCTTCCGTGTAAATAAGAATATACATATACATATATACACACACATACATACATACATGAATAGATACAAATATATATGCACATGTATCTAGTGAACCACATTCTGACAACTTGTTCTCCTATTCATATAAATATATAACTCTTATCATGTATCTATTTCGCTGGTTTTGTAATCTTCATATATGAAGTTCATGTAAATACGTTGGAGTATACCTACCTTTATCATCTTCTACCCATAAAATATCGTCCTTAATGGCAATATTTTTATGACGTGATCCATTTCTTACTTCATAAATAGGCACCAATACACAATTAATCGAATTAAAAGATATATCTGTATATCTATTATTCAACTTTTGTAAAATATACCCTTTTTCAGCACAATAATCTTCAACAACTTCCTTGAATGTTACTGTAACCTTTCTTATCGGAAGTGACACCACTTTATATTCTTCACTATCACGATCAACATGTTCTGTATTTTTATTAGTTTCTCCATTAATGGATTCTAAAGAATCTAAAAGATTAAAAGTCTCATCATGAATTGGTATTATCTCAACAGTATCAACATTATTATCATCACCATAACAATCGTTGCCATTATCGTTATTATGTGAGTGATTAGTAAACTTGGAAAGAAATTCTTTACTTCTCTTGATCTGAGATATTTCAAGTTGGGAAGGTATATTAATCTTCATGGATCCAGAAAACACCTTATTAATAAGCCAATTAAACCAACGTTCCGCTCTTTGAACTAGCAGTTGATCATACTTATAATAAAAACACCAATCAAATATAAACTTATTAATTGAATTGAAGAAAGATAGAATAAATATTTCATAATCTTTTGGATAAAATATATATCGATGGTCTCGGATAAATTTGAATACATATATTGAATCAAAATTATCTTGTACCTCTTCTATATTATCACTATTGGTATAATTACTATTACTTAAATGAGCCATATCGTATTCTAAGTCGAAATATTTTTCAACCAATTTTACAAACTTTGGTAATAAAATTTTTCTAATAATTTTATAAAACTGATCATCAGAATCTAAAATTTGTTTAATGATCAATAAATTTTGTCGAGAAATTATTGAGTCTCTATAATACCAATGATAACAATAATCTTCAAATTTATTCTTCACCATCTCTTTAATGTCTTTAATCTTTTCATCCTGTAATAAAATAAGAATGTTTAATAACCAATTTAAATTTATACTGTCATCATTTAACTCCCAATCATCATATATTATATCTTCAATCTTTGGCATAAGAACATTTTCTAATAGATAATCATAACAATCTAAATATTTTAAGAGTTGTTCATAATCAATTAATGTAGCAACCAAAATATCAAAATCTATAGTACTTCTTAATTTTGTCGACTTTATTAATTCCATTATACTAGGATATACATTTTGAAATATGACTGTTTGAGATCTGTTTAATTTTTTTTTCAAAAATTTGTTTTCATCGATTCTATATTGAAGAATATCGACTATAGGTAGGAAGTACTTTTGAAATGGTGTATTCGCTAATATCCAAAACTTACTATCAATTTTATCATTACCAGCTATTTCTTGATCGTCATCAACACAATTCTTTTGAACGTTGAACAAGTGTTTTAAAAATCTTGACATTAAAATATCCATAATATCATCATTTTCAATCTGTAAAATTTTCTCAATACATTCAGGAACCTGCATTAAAAATACATCTGGATCCTTGATAGAAAGATGTTGAACAATATCAGATAATATAGAGCCAGACACATCCAAAACTTTGTGTTGCACATTTAAGTTGGCAATTCTATCACTTAAAGATTCTAATTGTATCTCGATATTCTCTAATTTCTGTACAATATCAATTATTTGTATTCTTGATTCCCTAGAAATAACTGTCTTAGTTTTTAAATTATCTAATAACGTATATGGAATTATTATACTTGGGTGATTTATTTCTAGATCTTTTAAACGGTTTATGAGCTTTAATTTTTCCATATTATTTAAAGTAACAGTCCCCTTTTTATTGAAGATAATTTTTTTTTTCTTAGATGATTTCTTATTCTTTTTAGACTTTTCATATAATGATGTTAGAGTATTATTAACTATATTCTCATTAAAGGGAATAGATGTCTCAGAAATTATTGAGGAAGAAAAGGAAGAAGAAGAAGAAGAACTGTAACCGTTGTCATCTTCTAGATCATCATCTTGATAATTAGACAAATCAGAAAGCATGCCCAAGCCAGCTTTCCCATGTGGCCTTTTAAATGCCTCAATCGGTTTACTTATGCCCTTACCTTCTGATCCAAGCCCATGTCCAATTTTGTAACCCATACGGGATAGTAATTTGGCACCAACCCCATATCTTTTAATCATATCGTCATCATCATTATTATTACCAATATTTGTTACATTGTTAGGTATCACATTCTTATCTAATTTTTGTCTTTTGCTTACAGCAGATTGAGAAACATCCTTAATATCAGTATTATTCATCTAGATTTAAATATTGTAGATGTTTTTATATATGAATACTAATAACAAAGTTTTTATTTATGAACATCAACCTAAAAAGAAGTTCTTCATAATCACTAGTTCAAAACCCTTGTTAAACAAAACAGATGATAATATAGTGGATAAAGTCAATAAGCACTAACTCTGAAAAAAAAAACAAATGATAATATTCTTTTATAGAGTTCTTCAGTGCTGATTTACTGCTTGATGACTTTTATTAATGTTATATCTACTATCAAAAAAGCAATTCTTTTTTTTTTCATAAAAAAATAAAAATTAGGGTAATTATATAATTGTAAAAAATTATACCAATTTTCATTTAAGAAACGTTAGGGCAACAGAAATTTTGCTAATCTTTTTCTTTTTGTTTTTCTATTACACAATTTTATATAACACAAATAAAAGCAGCATATTATATGGTATGTATAGTTAAGATCTAAAGAATATTTACAAGTTATAAGGATATAACAGTCTTCTAACCCAACTCTCGTTTTTTATCAGCCATACAAGATACGAATAGTTCTATGAAAAAAAGTTATAACTTATTCACAGGTTAGAATTTGACGTAATACTGTCAATAAAAAGACAAAAAAGGAGGCTTTGGGATATTCAAATGAATAGAAGTTAATGGATTCGAGTAATTTAAAACATTATTTAAATAATGCTATAAATTATCTTGTTGAAGCGCAATTGATATGTTATGATTGTTCATTAAAGATTAACACTCAGAGGAAACAATTATCTGGATGGCAAAACAAAGTTAGGAAGATTGTTTTTATTCAAGATTGTATAATTAAACAAAGTGAATATCTTTACGAAAATGTGTTGCATGGTAGAATTGAAAACTCCTTATTAAAGGGAGAATGGTCGAAAGATTCGCTTAATCAATTGACAGAAGATATGGAATTTTGGCAAAGTAAGATCGAAGAAAAAATGAAGGAATTGAAAAATACTGAGAATGTTTTGGTAAAGCCACAGAACAAAAGTGGTGCGGTTACACTGGCTGATTATGTTACTGGTGAAAATATAACTTTGTTAAGAGATAAAATTAAAGAAATTCCAAGTATAAAGAAACATATTAACAATATCCATATTCAATATGATGAACTAAATTTAACGATTAAAAATAAATTAATAGATAATAGATTAAATGAATTAAAATCTCTAATTAGGAAAGAATTAAATCCTTATTCAAATAAAGATTTAATTTCAATGTTTACTTTATACCCAAAACAATTGAGTGATTTAGAAGATGATTTAGGAACAATATTATTATCCTTAACCAATCATTTTGACAGATGTAAAATGTTATTTGAAAATGGACAAAAAAAGGAAAATAATTCAGATTCTCTTGCTGATAATAAAAAGGAAAGTAATAATTATATGGAACTATATAAAATTGTGAAAAAGGATGATGAAGAATTACCTTCAATATTAAATACAGTAAAAGAAGTTATTAATGATGTGAATATATCATTAAACAAATCCCGAAAGTTTTTAACTGAAAAAGAAAATATTGTACATCATGTCAAGAGCAAGATTAACAAAATATTGAGTGATTTAAAGAAATATAATGAATATCTTATTGTATTTCAAGATATATACAATCTTATAAACAATTTTAAGGATTCATGTAAACAAGATATGAAAATAATACATGACTTATTTGATTTCTATGAACAGTTCCAAAAAAGTTATAAGAATCTGTTGAAAGAAGCAGATAGGAGACGTAAAATCAGTCTAGAAATACAATCCATATTAAGAGAATGTGAAAATGAATTAAAGAAGTTAGAAATTGAGGATATATCTAAACGTAAAAGATTTTTAGAAGATAATGGCAACTTCCTACCTGGCAATATATGGCCAAATGAAATCGATAACTTTGAATCACTTTATACAATAGAATATTCAATCAAAAAACTTTAATGAAAAGCAAACAAAAATGAAAAAAAAGAAAGTAAGACAGTAAAGTAAAGGATGATATAAAACTAGGTTTGATAATAGTTAATATATATACTTACTTATATATATATATATATAAGTTATTTACATACAAGAATAATGATACGTAGACATAAAAATATAAAAATGGGATAAATACAGAGAGAAAGGTATGCTTTAATTAATTTGCTTCTGGATTAGATAAAATATATTCAACAGTTTCTCCAATGGTTTTTAAGTCATCAGCAATCTTATCTGGAATTTCAATTTCAAATTCTTCTTCAATAGCAACTAATAATTCAACAGTGTCTAAAGAATCTAATCCTAAATCCTTATTAAAAGCTGTCTCTAAGCTAATTTTTTCAGCATCTGTATTCTTATTAAAAGCCTTAATAACATCTTTAATTCTCTTTAAGACTTCATCTTTGTTTAAAGTAGAACCACTTTTAGTGTCTTCGGAGTAAAGACGAATATATTGTAACCTTTGAAATTGGGTAGAAACCGGAACAATGTTTTTAGTACAACAATAAATTGTTCTACTCGCTAAGGAAACACCACTCTGTCTCATAACAGTAGAGTAATGCTTAGTAGCAATTCTTAATGGAGCAGCTCTTATTATGCTTCTTAACATTTTTTCTTTATTTTACGATTTAGCAACTCTGGTAGGTGAGAAGGAAGAATCTGTGATTAATTAGGCACAATAAATGAATAAAAAAATACTACCTTGGAAGGCGCTAGTTGATACTTCTTCTACTGAGTCAGAATTAATCTGATGAGATTTTAGTTATAATGTACTTTATCACTGACATGTTTGACTATGCAAGAATTCTTGATCATTTAATGAATATTAAATGTACTTTTGTATTCTTTATCTTATTTTTAATCCTTCAAACTTATTAGTTAATCATATTTTTTGTGTTCAACAGATGATCACTCTGAACGAGACACACCATTTTCTATTTTAAAGAGTGTACAACAACACCGTTCGTTTAAAGTGATTACTCTAGGGTTCCTACGCATACATTAAATATAATCTTAATCTCATTTTATAAGGCATTCCCAACTGTCTCCCCTAATTCATCAACATAAAAGAGGACAAACCTTCTAATATGATTCACAATTTGGTGCACCTGTTATCACCATCACTTGCAATGTCGATGCTACTTATCTTTATGCTTACTAGAATGTCTGCATAACAATCACTGGCAGTTTCTTCTTATTCTTAGACATCAACGTATTGAAACGCCCTCTATCTTGATTGATTGTGTATAGATGTTGTACATCTCTTGTTGGGGTGCAACTCATCTTTCATGATATCTTCTATTATCATTTCATCAAGATTAATACCATTTCGCTTAATCTCATTCGAAAAACTTTCCTGATATAATTCAACTAGGATTTTATGATTATCATCTTGTATGCCGCTAATTGTTTGTAATCTTTCATTTAATAATAAACAATGGCTCAATAAAACAGTCAGTTTATCTAATAACAGTGCCAATTTTTCAATTTTATTTTTAGCATATTGATCACAAGTGGGTTCTATTAGAAACTTTCTATACTTAGAAAGTCCACCATTTACTGGTGCAGATATTGTTCCTGTTATGTTTCTTGAAAATTCTTGAAACAAATTTAATGACAATTCGTCATTATTTTTGACCGTCTTATAACAACTATACTTTAATGTTGTTAATTCTAAAATCTTTGTCTCTATATCTCTAATGGCATTTTCAATTGGTGATATTCTTCTTTTAATGACATCTTTTACAGGTGACTTATAGAATAATGTTGGAAATTCATCCACCGTAGTATAAATATATTCTTCAACCCATATATCTGCTACATCACTCGATCCAGGTATTCTCTTCGAATATTTGAAGACTTTTAATCCATCATGTAATCTTGACATACTAGTGGTAGTATCTAATATATTATTTGCTTGGTCAATAGCTTTCTCCACAGGTTCCACAGTAACCACACTAATGAATTTATCTATTTTTCTGTTTAACACTGATATTTCATCTTCACTTGGAGTATTCACAACTTGTGAATACGGATACATTTGTAATAATCTACTTTGTATTGATGATATATGTTCAAACGGTAACCCTTCATAAATAAACACCTTATTTCTTAACATTGAAGGAAATCCATTTCCAAAGAATTCCACTTTAAAGTAATTCGGAATCATTTTGTCCACATGCTGCATTTGTATATAAATATGTGATATTTGATCATGAACAAATGCTAATCCATCCATATCATAATTAACTTCGTTGTATGCGTTAAGTAATTTATTGTAAACTGATAATGCTTTCTCAAATTTTAACCCACGAGAAAAATTTCTACCAGCTTCTTTATAAAGATATTCTTTTCTTTCAAACGATGTTTGTTTTGGTAAAGGTGGACATTTAATAGCTGCATAATAATAATATGGGCACCAGTTATATGTGTTTGCGAATAACTCTAAAATTAATGCTGCTTGAACAAAATCTTGTTTTTTAATAAAACCGATGAAAAGGTCATTGATTAATTTTTCAAAATACTCAGGATGATTAATATCCATTAAATGATTGAACAATTTGAATTTACAAATGATCCGTTGATCATTATATTCCAATGATTTAGGTACTTTGTCTAACTCTAATATGTGTTGCAGAAAAATAAACAATTCTTGAAAAAAATCTATAATAGCATGAAAGTGTAAATCATTTTCCGAGATATCAATGGTCATGATAACACATCTAATGTAATTCTTTAGAATTTCCTCCTCAATATGTAAGTTACCTTCTTTGTGAGTATTGTATATCTCTATTACACATTTATTCAATAATTCCACTAAATTACCAGTATATTTCCAATATGACATAATTACATGAAATAAAAATTTACAATAAATTTTAGTCATAGGAATGTCTTTTTGAAACAAAGAAATGATAATTTCCTTTAATAAAAGCGGGGTGTCGACAATTAATTTGTATTTCATTTCAAAGCAATCAGAATGTTGGAGATCCTCTTTCCTTGATATATTCCAAAAGGTTTCCAATAAGAAAAATATTTGCTGCTTCATGTTATCTCTCAGTCTACATATAATTTTACCTGGTAATATGCCTACTTTTAATAAACTTACTACTTTGTGATTGGATATTTTAAATAAGCATTTGAAATAAGAAATCAATAACTTTTTATCCTTTTCTCTAGATTTTTCTGTTAAATTCTTCTTAAAGTAATTTTCTAAGATAAAATCTTTACATAATATTAAAAGTTCAACACAACATTTAATAATAAGAGCAGTAATTCCTAATAGTGTGTTTTGTGGGAAAAAATCAGATTCCACCAAAGATTCTACTGCTTCAATTATTACCATTACAGATTCTTTGTTTAATTTATTAATATAGAACACAGAATCGACCCTCATCTCCAATTTACAGTCTTCTAAAAGAGTCTCAAAAGTAACATAATTCCCATATAATGTTGTTGCAATTGCTGATAATTTGCAAAGAATAGTAGCAATTTCTAATAATATTTCTGATAAAATAATATGGTCCTTGAGTATCAAATCAACAGGATACTGCCATGATTCTAATGTTACAGGAAACAATGCAGTAAATGTGCTTTTGGGATTGTTAAGATTATTTTCCCTATGATATTTGTTCACTTCAAGAAATATCTCACAAATGGATGGAATTAATCTCAGTAAATGTTTCATTAATTTAGGATCTTGAACATTGTCGATGATATACATGATCACAGTGTTACATAGACTAAAGGTATGATAAAATTTAGAATTTCTCATAAATATATGCAATGATTTTAAAATCCATTGAAGTGTTTTACTCAGAAAATAAAATGCAATAGGATCAATATTTAATTGTTCGAAAAATCGAGCCTTTAGTTTTTCATGCCGAATTACAGTTTGTAAAATAAGAAATTTTGTATTTAAATACCTGACTTCCTTTTCATTCAAATTTCTATTATTTATACCTTGTAAAAGTTTACTCCTGATAAAACTTTGGCATATAACTTCAGTGTAACGAAGAATCCTATCCCCAGCAAGATCTATATCTTCACCCAGTATCCATACATTATATGCCTCTAATAATGAATTTTGACCATTCCAAAACCCTCTATCTGATTCCTCGATAAATTTTGAAATTTGAATCATTGTGTTATCTAAAATATTGTACCATTCTGTCTTACAGTCAGTGGAAATAAAAGAGAGCATCAATAGAAATAAAAATTCTTCACAGATATCATTAAGTTGATTTCTGTTAAGCAGAATTCTGTTTTCCAATAAATTATTTATCTCTATTAAAATCCAATAACCTACTTGAGGTAAAGAATCTCTTAACTTTAAATGTCTTCCAAAAAACACAAAAAACTTTTCTTTATAACCTGAATTTGGACTGTGTATTGTCAACCGTAAAAAACTAGCCAAGGATAACACTAACTTTTCAGGTAATTGGTTTTCTAGAAGATCTAGATATACAATCATTTCAAAAAACTGTAAATATTTGATCAACATTTCTTCAAAATACTTATCAAACCTAGCAGAATTCAATTTTTCTATTGCAGCCAGAACCCTTTCACTTTTTTCCTTAAACTCCATCATATTAACTTTCTTTTTCACTCTATCGCTCATTGATAATAATCTATTAAAATCTCTTATAATACTGGGAGGATTGAAATGAGATCCATGATAGGAAATATATACAAATAAATCAATGATTCTATCACCTTGGGATGAAAATAATGGGACCCCTTTCCTAGATAATGATTCTATTATTTTCCCATCTTTAATAATAAGCAGAGAACCGTGTGCCATTAAATATCCATTTATATATGCAAAGATCTTAAACGATTCATTTTTCATTGATGGCAATATATTGATAATAGTAATTATCTCATTAATATATTCTTCAGGTGATACCGATATAGACATCCAACTGTCCAATTCCATAGTTTGTGTGCCGTTAATAAATTTTATATTTTCATTCATTGGAAGAATTTTAATAACAATACTTTTTATATTTGTGATACGATTAGTAATACCAAGTAAAGAAACTTTTCCCAATTTTAAGTATAGTTTTTCAAGCACTCTATTTGATACTATTAGATTTCCATAATTCTCAGAACACTTTACATTTTTATATATAGGATAATTTCCACCAATAGATTCTATTTCTTTGATACTAACAGTGATGGACTTAGCGTGACGATAAGATATAAGATCGTCCACGGAATTAGTAAGAATATTTGTAATTAGGGATCCCCACTCTTCCTTGATGTGAGTAATACTCGAATGTCCTACTATATTCTTATAAGTCCCATATTTGGGTTTTTCTTTGTCATCTTTTGAGACACATGAATAAAGGTTTACAGTAAATTTATATATATCTTCGTTTCTATGTTGCGTCAAATTAGAATTTGATGGTAATTTGCTTTTGAAAATAGACGAGATATCAATAATGCCAATGGCAACACCTTGATTAATTTTATGAATCTTACTCACCATATTTGTATCTTTAATAAGTGTAAGGGGCTTTATAAAGGAGGATAAAATTATATCTTTTTTAAAGGATATTTTAATTTCTTTTTTTAAAACAACAACCAAAAAAACTCTGTTATTATACACAACCGATTTCAGCAAATCTTTGAAAAATACTGGGCAATGTAAATTAAATGTAGAAGTGTTTTTCAAAGATTTATATGGTATCTCTAAAGGTTCTGTAATTAATGTCTCATCTTCGGACATCAGTGACACAATTACCGTTAATTTATTTAATCCATGCATGCCATTTACCATAGCGGTTGAAATTTTCCAAATATTTATTAAAACATTTGTAGTCAAATAATCATGAATAACTATATCAGAAGCCAAAGGTATATCACATGTAAACCTTTTCTTTGTCATTTGAGAGGAGATTAAATATTGATGCTGATGGTTTAATAATGCATATGTTAGATATTCATTTACAAATTTCTGTAAGTTTGGATAATTAATTTCTAATGTATTATTATATAAATATAAATTAGGGAAAATTGAATCATAACCATAAGTGTCAACTATTGTTATTGCATTTTTCTTCGTATTTTCAACAATGTCAGTTGATTGTTTTGTAGAATCACATACAAAAGATATGATCTTGGACACATTAGATAATAATTGATTAATTGATTCGATTATCTGTAATCTCTCGCTCTTCAAACATAATTTATAGGATAACTTATAATATAATGCCGAAATCTCATTAAAGAAATCGGTTAAATGGTCGAATAAAATATAGTCTTGGTTTGAATAAAATATATATATATATGAACACAATATGTTTAGGAAAATATGTATATCTCTTTGCAACGAATTTAAATCACTTAGTTCCTCATTAGATAACCATATATGCAAGGGAAAAGATGAAGGCAAACTGACATCAAAATTTGAAATATTAAATGCTTGAAACAGAGAAGAGTTAGATTGGACATTAAGATTAAAAGTAAGATCATTAATCCATTTGCGTTTATTAGTAGAGCTATTATTATTATTAGTAGAGCTATTATTATTATTATTATTATTATTATTATTATTATTATTATTATTATTATTATTATTATTATTATTATTATTATTATTATTATTATTATTATTATTATTATTATTATTATGGATACCTTTCTTGTCAAAATAAACATATTTATATGGCACAACGACAATCTTCGATCTCATATCATTTAATTGAATATCTGAAGTATTAATTAGTGAATAAATATAATCCACCGGCATTCGACTTGAATATAAATAACCTCTACACCATCTTTTATCTTCAGTCAATTCAAATATGTAAACCTTAGAGCCAACATAAACGTCATGATATTTAAATTTAACTTGATCATTATTATTTAATTCTGGATGTTTCTGCAAAGGGAGAAATGATTTAATTACAGTGGCCTCTATCACGTCATCAGTTGCGAACCAGCGCATTTTCAACAATTATAGATAGCAGATGTCGGCATATACATTCACTTATTGAATTTGTCTACTCTACAAAAAAATAAAAGACATCTGTACCTGATAAATAGAGAAATATATATTGTGCATGCTCAGTCGTATCGTATAAACATCTTTCCCTTTTCCTATATCTCTAGCTTTGTATATTCATATCAATATTTCTTGCGACAATTCTCAAATTGAAATATCCGCCCTTCTTTTAAAAGTGAAAATCCTAAAAAAAAAAAAATAAAAAATTAAGAAAGAAAAGGTTTTAGAGCAATTTTGAGTGTTAAAACTTGTACAATGCAAGGTAGTAGAATAGCGTATTCTATAAAGTAGAAGATATTCTCACCACGATGTATAAGCTATAGACGCTAACAAGCTTTTCGAAAGATAAGTTGGAGAAACGATATTTAATTAGAAAAAACAGAGAATAAAGAAAGGACGAGTGGTAGAGAAGAGAAAGAAAGGAAAAATGTCATCAGTTATAACATTCAGAGCAGGTATAGCTACATACAATGAAGACACAAAGATGTGTGAACCAAAACCAATGCAGGGAGTTATCACTATCCGTCCAAGTGGACAAGATGAAGATGGGGAGGATGCTGAAGTGGGGGTTGAGGACGATTATGGAATGAAGTTCTGGGATTTCCAATGGAAGACAAAAGATCGTACAGTTAAAGAGGATAAATCGTTATGTGAACCCATAGAACTAATTTTAATACCTGGAGAGACCAAGTGGGTTCATGTGAAATCGTGTCCTGATGCAAGAATGTTTGCATTAATCTTTTCTTCGAATGAGAAATATTTCTTTTGGTTACAAGATAAGAATCTAGATGGATTAAAATTGAACGAATTGAACGAAAATGATCAGATTATATTTAATAAGATTACTGATCTTTTGAAATTAAGTTTGGAGGAGGATGATGCAAATACAATTGAAGCTAGTGATTCCAATGAGAAATCTCCAGAAACTGATAATAATAACGATAATGACGATGAACAAAACAATGATATCATCATGGCCAATGCAGCAGCATAAAACAAGTTCTGCGCACACTCACATCTACATATATCTACATACATATACATATGCATATATATATATATACAAATAGGTAAAACAATTATACAAATTTAACATCCCAATCTAATTCATGTCCAGACATAAATGGTATTAAAGTAACATTACCATCCTTCGAGACAAATTCATTCTCAATCTTCGTCTTTGATTTGAATAAAATACAATTATCATTACTTGATTGAATTAAATTTGGATTGATCTTATAAAATTGTAATGGGAATTTAGATACAAACCCAGACAATTTATCCAAGGAGTTATGTTGTGCAAAAATCTCTGCCAAATATTGCAAAGCATACCGCTGAGTGAAGATCCCAGCTGAAACATTGCAATATCTCTGTTTATTTTGTATAGGATGTGGGGCAGAGTCCGAGCCAAAGATAAACCATGGTTTCCCAGATATGGCAGCAGAGATTAGAGCATGCTGATCTGCAGGTAACTTAGCTACAGGTTTACAGAAATTGATTGGATTGCTTGCCCAATCATCGACGGTGATCCAGAGATGATGAGCGGTGATGGAACCAACAACACGGATATCGTTTGGATCAGCAACATTTTCGTTGATTTTATTTATGGTTTCGATAGCCTCTTTTGTGGTAGCGTGTTCAAGGATGATCTTTAAATTGGGGAAATCGTTATGTAGTTTGAGTAGAGCTGGTAAGAAATGTTTCTCAGCATTTAACACAGTGATGTCGTTTTGTGGGCTGGAAGGTTTTTCACCGTGTAGATTGAGCACCAAACCTGTTCTTTCCATAACTTTAAAGATAGGATAAAATTGGGAAAAGTCGTTTGGATCCACATTTGAATCACTTGAATTTGTGGTGACACCGGCAGGATAACATTTAATCCCATGAATCAAATTTTTTTTTGCACCTTGTTCGACCATTTGAGGGTCCAATTTATTGGACAAGTAGAGACTCATAAGGAAAGTGGTCTTTGGAGACAAAGCTTGCAATTTTTCTTTATACTGACGGACTTGTTCTAGTGAAGTAATAGGTGGTTGTAGATTAGGCATGACATAGACTACAGAGACACCTCCATCTCTAATCATGGGTGTCACCAAGTCACACATTTCACCATCTCTAAGATGAACATGCATATCACAGGTCAACCCTAGTGAAATTTCTGTGGAATCAGTCATCGTGGTATTTTGTAAGGTGTAGTCGTGGTTTCAATTGCAGTCGCAGCCCCTTAATCTGGTATTTGGTATTTTGCTAGGTACTAAACAGCAATATCTATCCAAACATATACCGTAACATTAAACCAATACATCTATCTACGAACAGACACAATTACATAATATATAATACATAATACATAATATATAGATAATGTATATTATATAATATCGGTAATATTAATCTATAAAAAGATAGTTTACCCTGCTTTCAGAAACAAAAAAAAAAAAGAAAAAGAAAAAACATAAAAAAATCTCGAACAACAAAAAAAACGTATTGGGTGTCTGGGTGGATACTTTGACGTCGTTGTCGTCCAAGATGATTCATTGTGGATGTCTGGGTGTTTTATTTTTTTTTGTTTCTGTAAAATCTTTCGAAGAAATTTGTTTGTGGTGCTTATTTTCTTCTTTCTATTAAATCATGTAAGTGAAGAAAGAAAGAGGAGGTCGAGTATCTCAGATGCGATGCGAGAGAGCGAGGAGGGAGGAAGAAAGGTTGGAAGGAAGCTGTACGGTAGACATTTGCACATATGGCAGATCTATATACAGAACTAAGATAGAGTGGTGTAGAGTGAACTGGAGTATTGTCAATCACCTTTTGACAATCATACTACCCTTGATATAAGCCCAACTCCTCTGGTATTCGAAGGGAGCTACTGGGAAAAGACCTATAAATATGAAATCCATAAGAGCTAATCCGCTATCTTCACACGTTGGAAGTAGAATAGTCTTTACTCATACTATTAATTTAGCTAGTTCACGTCATCTTCATGTTTCATTTATCAATCACTATGCAAGGACTAGATTCTCCCCACGTAAAAATGACAAACAGAAGAAACAGAAAAATCCATCTCCAACAACACTATTCCCCATCAAACCATCAACAAATTTGAGAGTAACCGATCCTATCCCGCCTACTAAGGACAATATTCAGTGTTCTGAGTCTCATCCTTTGTGGCAATTTTTCCATGATAAGCAATTCATTAGATCCTCCGACCAACTGGATTTGACCTCAAGAGCTTGGTCCATCCCAGAGTTGCGCAGAAAATCCTTTAATGATCTACATTCCCTTTGGTACAATTGTCTGATAGAGAGAAATAGATTGGCTAGAGAAATTCATCTCATTAGAGCTGGTCTACATACAGAGATCGATTCCTTTGTCACTGTGGATGAAAGAATAAGAACTACCATGTGGAGAATTAGACATGTCTTGTCTGAGAGAGATATTGCTTTTAAGAATGCCATATCAAATGATCTTGAAAGACAGAAATTGATTGATGAGTTTTCTAAGACATTCACACAGGTGAATCTAGATTCAAATTCAAATTCTCTTGCTAAAGATCTTGAGAACGATGATTCATGGGAAAAGTTGAAACGGTTCCAATTGGCCGTCTTTGGTATCAATGAGATTATTGAAGAAAACAAAACTATCGATAAGAATTTCGTACATGGTATAAAATTGGTGGCAAATCTAAAATTACAAAAACTATCGTCAATTGACCCAAGTATTAAGGATTGGTATATCAATAAATGGGGTGGTAATCAATTAACTGATATTGCTCAATGCTTTGTGGTATTTTCTTGTGAAAATGACGTTAAATCTACTTTAGATGCCTGTTCTATAGTTAACGAATTGAGATCGGATCCATCAAAATTGATACCTGAAAATAAAGAGATTCAAACAGTTAAATCTTATATCCAAAAACTGATTGAATTCACCGATGGGTGAAGAGTTTTAAAAGTTTTTACTTTTAATAACTTTTTATTACTTCCATGCACTCAACAATACCAATAATAATAGTAATAATAAACATGGTTATTTTCGTGTACATAGTGAATACATACTCGTATAAATATTATTAATATTTTGCAATAACAATCATCTATTAGTTTACCTTATTCATTTATTCATTTCTTTTGAATAAATATTTTGTATTTGTAAGTTCAAATTATTCCATTGATTTGTGACAATCTCGATCTCTTCTTCCGGACAAATTTTTAAAAGACTACTTAGTATCTGCATTTGTTTGGAAATAATATTTAAGTCAGCCTCGTTATCCTCACCTTTACAATTAATCATATCATTGTCCATAAGTCGATATTTTGCAACTTGGAATATAGTTAACCAATACCTTCGACCATTTTCATCCTCTTCTAGTAATTCGTTAACATGGCTAGATGCATATGAGAAATCATTATAAACCAATGAATAATCGATATGTAATGATAATAGGTCTGTGAAATCTGTTTCCTTTTCAGGGCATTGTAAACTTATCAGTATTTTGTTCCATAATGGCCATGTGACTTCTCTTATATCGTGACGATAGAAATTTGGATTCAATTCTAGTAAAATCCTAATTATCTCAATTGGACAATCTCTATATTTTAATATACTATTAGGAGATTTTGTAGTTGTGTCCGTGAATGATCTGTTTACCTTATCTCCATCCGTACCTTGAAATTTCCATTTTGATGATATATATAAATCACGACACAGTGAAGTCAATTGGTTAAGTCTATTTGAATATTTATGATAAGTATCATATTCATTTATATATTTTAGTAGAGTCTCTGCATTTGAGAATTCTATCGAATTTATTCTGTTAGCATTATGGAAATATTGCCAAAATTTATCAACTAATAAAATAACAATTTTCTCTATGTTATTCTCATTTGGCGATATTCTATCAACTGTTAGTGAAATTAAATGAAATTTCTCAAATTGTAAGGTTGTCTCTAAGACTATCTTGATGACTCGATCCATGTCACTTTTATCACTAAAATTTATTTTATTAAATAATGTGATAGGCTTTAATAAATCCAAGACTCTATTTTCATTGCATCTGAATACTGTATCACATAAATCAGTAAATTTTGTAAATTGTGTTTCTTTATCACCATTTGAGATAATGTATAAATCTATTAGACTGTAGTTAATTATTGATGAATAATCCTTCACAGACTGGCAATACATTTTGATTTCTTTGTTAGTAATGGGATATTTACTTGATGTTGCATCATCATCAATTTGATTCAAAAAATCGTTAACGATTTGTCTTATATCGATAAAGCTAACCATTTCTTTACTATTGACAAATAATATATCCATTGTTTTGGATTCTATTTCAGATAAATCTTTTTCGAATGTTATGCTTCTCAATATTTCAAATAATTTATTAAGTTTTTGGTACTGTAAAGGGTTATTGATCACCAATTTATTTTCATTATAATAATCATTAAGAAACAATTTATAAAACTTATTATCATATGTCAAATAAGGAATCAATTCATTTTCTAAAACATTAGGGTCATTTGAATTAAACCATTCAAACATATTATTTTCCTGCAATATGACATCTTCAAAATCACGAATCTTAACCTGAGTAGATAGTCTTTTATTGAAATATGAGAGAGGTTTTACGATACCCTCCATCCATTGGTCAATTTCTGAATTTTGCCCCTTTATTAAATGCCATAATGGTTCATAGGCCAATGTATTACTTGGATTAGCTTCATTACATATAATAACCCTTTTTTGGAACCAATTCAACTTATCATCTAATAATCCTAGTTCATTCAATTTACTATTAACATAACGTTGGACTTCATCATATCTTTTATCAATGGTTTCATTGTCCATCTCAACCATATACAATAAATCTGGACAATTAGAAATTTGTGAAATGATAAGATCATCATTATTGTTATCATTGTTATTATTTTTTTTTATCCCAAGTTCATTACTATTTGAGTTATTCGTTTGAAACAAAAATTTCAAATTTATCGAATCGTCTAGTTCAGGCCATAATACTATAACTAAATTAATGAACTCTTGTGAATCGAAAAATTTCCTGTATATTTTACTCAAATTAGTTGAATCTCCGTTACTGGAATGAAAACAAGCTATTAAAAATAATTTCTTGTCCATGTCTCTTATTTATTTTGTACCAACTTAAATAAGATTTGATCGCACTACTTGGTTGTTTATTCCTTACAACAAAAGGTGTTAATATTACTACAAACCATCTATACATATTAGTATATTTTATATATTTTGAATACGTGGGAAAAATTCGACATTGTAGTTTTGCCATTTTTTTTATTTTTTTTTGAATTATCTTGTCAATCTTCATTTACATTGGTAATTTTACTTAGTAATAAGAAAGCCAGATGAATAACAATGATAAAATATTTGGAATATTACTAATTAATATATGATCAGAGGAGACTTGTTGATACAGTATTCATGTATATCAGTTAGGATAGATATTTGATAATACATCACATATATACTACAAGGTATCACTAAGTTGGGACAAGAGTTGGGTTGCTTTAATAATAATTATTACTTTAATAACCTTAAACATTTATGGTAGATAGATTTGAATTATAAAACAAAGCTGAAATTGGCATGTTTATTTTAATGGTTTTTGCTTGATTAACGTTCTTTGTATCCTCCTTTGTAACAACTAAGAACTTTAAGGAGACTAAATGATGAATAATCTTATTCCAATTTAATACTTCAAAGATTTCTTTACTGTAGTTATGTGATTCTTTGGCTCCTGCCCTAGGTGTGTTATCAGAATCAATGATCAATGTTTGTAGTATATTAGCAATGAAACTGTTTTCTTTATTATTGTTAACTAGTTGAATCATTTTATCATATATTTCTTCAGTTTCTAAGAAATAGGTCATTTTCTCACTAACACATAAAGAGCAACTGAATAAAAATAATTTTTCAATGTACGACAATTTTTTGTATTGTTCGTCATCAATAATTATGTTTGTTTGATCCAATGATTTTAAAATTGCATTCAAATCTATTTCCTTTTCATTTGGCAAATCGGAAAGAGAGAATTCCTTATTACTTTTCAAAAATATGTTTTGTTCCTTAATGTATTCATCAATTACATAATCACTGGCGTTTTCAATGATACGTACGGCAGATCCAGCGTCATTGTTAGTTAAACATATTTTTTTACATGCTTCAGTTATTGTTTTATCATCCATATAGGTATTTATTACTTTAGAGATGCTCTTACTGTTGTTACTATTATTATTCTCTTCATCCTTGTTGATTTGAATTTTTTCAAATATTATATCCAAAGTTTTTGTGTCTTGATATATTTTATACTTGTAATTATCTTTCAAATTTCTTAAATGGTATTCAACAATTTTAGATAACTCTTTATCGGAATAATTTTCAAATGGAATATGATGATAATTTATCTTTGAAAGAACATGTTTTCCTAGAGATTGTTTAATTAAATCTGGATTTTGTCCCACAGCAATAACAATTAATTTAGAATTTGGAAAGGTAGTCCAAGAAAAGAATTTGAATAATAAATTTGGATTTTCATTACATAATAAATCCAAATCATCAAGTACAATTATTGAGTGACGTTTTCTATTTTTATCAATTGATGCAAAAAAGAATTCTAATGAACATTCAATAGCATCAGGACTTAAAAACTCATCTTTGTGATCAGACAATTTATCCCAAACATATTTATATAAACTGTCACACATGGTTCTACGATTCAATATTGCAGTATTGAAAATAGATAACTCTTTATAATCACTAGATTTCTCTAGTTCATGTATTAGTCTATTAACTATTGAGGACTTACCATTGCCAGATCTTCCATTGATGTAAAGTGCTTTAGATTCATTTTTACGTAAAGAATCAAATATCTCTAAATAGCATCTAGCAAACTCCTTCGATCTGGCGGGAAGAGACACAAAATCCTGAATAACTTGAATTATTGATTTGTCATCACTAATATCTTTTTGTTTCTTCAGTGTGGAGAAAATAGTTGGAGTTCTTTGGTTGTTAGGAACAGTTGGTTTTATTTTAGTTTCTAACGCGGCTATATCTAATGATTTTAAAGTAATATTACTATCATTTGAATTTTCTGAAATATTACTTGAAAAGTTTTGTGAAGGATCTTTTGAATTATTTTCGAACTTGGATTTTAACCTGGCATATTTATCTTTCAATTTGTTAAGGTCAACAGATAGTTGTTTTGTTTCTTGAGTTGCTAGTTCCATAGAATTGTCACCTTGTGTGTGTGTTGATTCTGGAATTATTGATTTTGATTTTTCTAACGGGGATGATGGTTGTGGTTGAGACGTGATCTTACGTAATGGTGTATCTTCCTCGGAATCAGATTCAGATATGACTTTTTTCTGTGGCTTGTTTTTAGAAAGTTTTCTTTCTTTTCTTTTTGGCCCGTATAATTCTTTTCTTAAAGCACTACGCTTACGATGAACACGTTCCAATCTTTCTTCTTCTTCCGAATCAGGTAAATGTGAGGAAGAGGAGGAGGAATCAGAGACCAATTCAGCATCATCAGCAACAACAAAACTGTCCTCCTCATTTTCTGAAGGAGAAGTGAGTTCCTCTTCCTTTTTTTCCTCTTCCTCTTTTTCCTTTTCCTCTTTTTCTGCTTCTTCTTTTAATTTTTGATCAACATTAGCATTAGCTTCAGCTTTATCTTTAATTTCTCCAGACTTTGATAGCGAGGTGTTTTTATTGGGATAATTAGAATCACTATCAGAATCTTCAGTAAATAACTTTTGTTGTTGTGGTTGTTGTTGTCCCATTACAGGTTTATTTTGAGTAATTGAGGAATTTGAAGTTGGTGAAGAATTTTTTGGCGGAGTAGTCTTATTTAGAATAAAAGAAGCTGGAACTTCCGAAGAAGACCATTCATCTTTGATATCTGGTTCTACCAAACGTTCTTTCAATTGTAATCTACTTTGAGTAACAGCATGTGTATTGGAGGAAGGGGCAGAAGATGAAGGCACTTTTCTACTAGTACTACTGGAAGGTTTTTCTATCCTTACAGTCATTTTCTTTAAATGTTCTTCCGAACTTTTCGGTTCCATCATTTTGATTCTTTTGACTTCTTTATTTATGTCCATGGAAACAAAGCTTTCAGCAGTAGGTTCACATATGTACCTAATGAAAAAATCTTTATCTTCAGCTAGTTTATCCTTTGGGATCTTATCATATTCAGCTTTAGTTACGACGTTAGCGATATCGATGAAATCCTTTAGCCAGATTTCAGACAACTCAGCAGTTAAGTAAATTTCGTTTAAATTGATCCCCTTGAAGAAAATATCTTTCAGTTCTTCATTTGATAAGCCCTTTTTCAACATTAACGGATCGAATTGAGTATAATATTTAGTCGGATTCAATTCAAACCATCTAAGATAAGAGAACGCCCAGATCTCAATTAGATTGTTCAAAGTGTTTTGACGGATCTCGTGTATCAAGTATATGGAGTATGTTTTTGTCACTTCGTCATGCATGACGACACTATTCCCGCGACCGAAACTTAACCCATCAGAGATTCTTTGTATGTAGACATTTTCTATGGCACCACCTTTTCTGGATCTTCTTCTAGAACCAGTAGTGATATTACCGTGTTCATCGGTAGTGATGACTTGCCAACCTTCTAGATCCTTATGTGAGGTAGCCATATGTTTTGTTCTGTTTTGTTGTTTGTTTGTATATATATATATATATATATATATGCGTGTGTGTGTGTTTGTGTGTGTGTTTGTATTAAGAGCGAAGAATAGATTAAATGAATTAATCAATTAAGTAAGTAAATATATATGTGTCCTCTGTTCTTGTAAGGATAGTGGGGTTTTACTTTCTTTCCCTATCTTTTTATTATTATTTTATTCCTTCTTTTTATTTTTTTTATTTGCAGGTAGATACACAGGGGGACTCTTAAATAGAAAATGTTTAAAATAAAGACCAAAGGGGTTAATGTGACCTGTATCGACTCAAGCAATGGAAACAAATATTATTAATTATCAATGGACGGCGTTTGAGTCGGTATTTCACGTGCAAATACTGAGATTGGTGAAATTGATTTCATCTAAATAACCAATCTTCTACGAATTTTTTGGCTTTTTTGTTTGTTTATTCGTGTTTCCCAAAATTATTCCTCAAACGAAGAAAATAAGAAAAAGAAAACTCAGAATTTCAAAGAAAAAGTGACTTTTCTTTTCTTTTCTTTTTCTTGTGTGGCTGTGAGATTTCCTCGACTCAATTGACGTGGGCAAAATAGCAGGAAAAAAAATAATCGAAACTGAAACTGAAACTGAAGCTGGAACTGAAAGAAAGAGGTAAATAATAGAAGATCGAAACAGTTTTGGGCAGCGAGAAGGAAGATGCATTTGGAAAAGAGAAAGGGAAAGAGAGAAAAAAAAAAGAAAGAGAATAGCGAGTATGGTTATGTTAGATATTTGTCTTCATAAGAACGATATCATATATTATCAATGGGGAAGTGTTTTTTTTTTTATTTTTGATTAAAATATACTAAGTCTTCAATATCAAGAATATCAGATAAAACGATAGAACTATAGAGTTTTGTTTGTTCATTTGTTTTAATATTTATTTTTTTTTTATTCTTTTTCTTTTTCTTTTTTTCATGTATCTTATGTGTGAATTGGATTAAAGGTTACCATAAAGTTGAAGACGTTATTTCTCCTGGACTTATTTATTTTGTTAAACATACATCGTAATTCTTTTTGGATTTTTTTTTCTTCTGTTCTTTTCTTTATTTATTCTTTCAAATTTGTGTTCTAACGTGTTCTTAAATGAATTTTAAATTGATCTGTTCCAAAATCAAAAAACGTCTCCTGTTGCCGTTCCAGGATCTAAATGATTTGGAAAGACTAGTTCAGAGTATCCGATTACTTTCAAGTATAATGCTTATTATCTTCGGATTGATTATTACCACTGTACCGTATTACAAACCACAAAGTATATATATAGGACGATTGAGTACATTAAAGGCTGATATCGCAAAGGGGGTCTTCACTGTATTGAAGCAAAGTATTGAATCCAGTGGAACCACAGATACAACTAATGGGGTCGGTTTAACAACGTCTGAAATTTTGGTTTTGACCTCTTATACCTTCGAAGAAGTTCATGGCGTGCCTGCATACATTCTTGTCACTCTCTATGGTAGTTGTGATGTGAAATATAGTGATAGTAACGATGATGGTAGCAGTAATAGCAGTAGTAGTAGTGCTACTACCACTACTACTACAGAGGACTATAGTCCAATTTCACTAAATGCTTGGGATGCTAAGAATAGCACAAAATTGGTGTTTGATTGTACATATCAAGGACCCGATTATCTTTTTGATTATAAAACTACTCTTTCTAGTGTGGGATTGGATATCGTTTTAGAATATGCCTATGGTTCATATTCTACAGGTAGAAATAATGGGAAACCATCTTATGATTTCTATATGCAGCGCCTGTCAATGTTGAAACAACATGTATTAAAGCTTTTTTTCGCGGTATTGGGTGTTCAAGTTATTTTCATATTTTTATCATTGTGGTATTATTATATAAAGGGTAGAAGACTAAACGAGTTTCCAGAAAAGTTTCTTTTACACTTACTTTCATTTTTATCGTTATTTGTATTTATTGCCGGTATGATTAGTACAATATGTTTACTTTGGATTAACTATTCAATGCAAAGAAAAATCACAAAAGAACTACAAGCCTTTGGATTTTCCTACCATATAGGGGTTGGTTGGGTCACATGTATGATATTCTGGGTTTTCTTTTCTGGTGTATCATGTCTTGTTTGGTCTGGTTTAGAGTGGTGTGTTACTTCAAATAATTCTTCGATAGATGATTATGAAGATGAGATTCTTGTTAATTCACACCAAATAAATAAATTTACTGACAATAACAACGATAATGATTTGGAGTTGAAAGACAAACAAAGTGGTAGTTTAAGAGTTTTATCCATTGATAGGAATATCGATGATTCCAATATGTCAATTTCATCTGTTTCCGCATTTGTTTCAAATTCTGATATCAATAGGAGTAACAATAGGACACAACAGAGGTACATGAATAGTACTGCGAACAACGACGATACCGATGAAAATGATAACGGTTTTACATATGAACTGCAAAGTATTGAATTTAGATCTAGTGATGATTCTGACTTTCAACGACATAATTTCAGTGGGTTTAATAGTGATGATGCATATGATGAGGACCATTACAGCATTCAAAGGATGGTTATCCCATCCTCTTCTATTCAATTTTAATATCTTATAAAAGAACTTACATGTATAGATATGTCTTGTGTATGTATTTGCATGTATATATATATTCTTTTCGATACCCCTCATGTATACGTACCTATAAAAATAATGATAGACTGCTTTTTTGAATAAGAATTATTAGATCGTTCAGCAGATAATGTTGTGTCATATCCCTGTCTATTCGTACAGGTACATATATATAGTTGACATTACTTCATTCTTCATATTAGTGAAAGTGGTTGTATATCCATTTTTCTAAGATAAGTTATTGAATTTAATATAAAAGTTAAGTTGAAAAAGGAAGACAGTGACGGCGCTTAAAAAGACAACTTTCAATACTAAGTCAGAAAGAACATAGATATTCACTGTTTAATTAAACAATACTTGATAGCAAATATAGAAGAATAAAAAAATAGGATTATTATGGAATCATTGACAAATACTAAAGAACATTCAAATCCACCGAAAGAACAGGAAGATGGCGTTGCTAAAACCTTGCAAGTTGCTCATAATTTAGAGTCATCTTTTTTAAAAGATTGGCAAAGCGATACTCATGTCTCTGAAGTACAAGAATTGATTAAAGCACACAAAACTATAAAGAACATAGAAAAGATGACGCATTCTATTAGGGATTTATTTCAAGAATGTAAGGGTGATCGTGATAATTCTATGTGTCTCACAGTCGAGAAAATGGAATGGGAAACTCTCCATGATGTAGCTTCCATGATTATACAGGAATACACAAGTAAAGTTGATCAAATTATGATGAAGTTAAATGATCTAAGTCGACAGATTATGTTATGGCAAGAAGCAGCATTTATTATGGATTCCCATAGAGGAATAGGCCAGGTAAGTGAGTGTCAGGATTGGATAACTTTAAAAGAAATATACTTAGATTACAAGCATAAAGTTCTTAACGATTCAATTAATGAAATAAAGAATACTGTGGCAAGACTACCCAATAATTAGTAAAAAGAAGGTCGACACTTGTGCCTTCTTTTTTTTTTTTAGTAATATTTCGGACTTATTCACGTCCTTGTCTAAAATAATTAAAAAGAACATAATATTAAAGAAGATTAACTTAGTGGTTATTTATCCCTTCTTTCTTTCAATTTTATGAACCCTTTTCAGTGTACCTATAGATTTTTATTATTAGCAATACAGGGAAATTAATTAAGAATATTCATTTTGCTCAAAATTTTTACAGCCAGTTTAGCTTCAATATTTCTATCATAAATAAATAAAAAAAAAGAGAGAAAGAAAAAAAAATAAACAAATGAAATAAAATTGAAAATATACTTGATCAAAATGATTTGAATTTCCTCTTTCGGAATACTTATTGAATGTAGTTTAGAGATTGATACAATCTTGAAAAGGAATCGAAGGAAAACGTTGTCGTGATGATTGAAGGCACAGGTTCTATTAAAAACGTACCAAAAATACTTTTATATAGGTCAATTTGTCCTCAATAATAGAGTAGTACTATCTACGTTTTCAATATCAATTTAAATGGTTATCTGAGGTATCTGTTCTCTTTTTTTAGATATTAATACAACGTTTAATCATATTTTTTGTAGGATATCAGTAAGATAAGACTTTTTAATTAATAGTACAATTTGTCATGCGGTATTCGGAAAGGAAGAAACAAGAATTTTTATCTGATTTGGAGTCAAAATTAATCCCAAAGGACTCGTTGGATCTGATAATAGATGAATTTAAGAATGAATTAAAAGAGAGATTATTATATAGTAACAATTCTATGTTACCAACATTCCTAAAAAAAACTTCTAATTCAGTATTTTATAATCATGCCTGTGATAAAATTATATTGGCTATTGATTTTGGTGGTACTAATTTAAAATTTGCTCTTTTCAAATCTTATCCGACATATGCTATTCAATATTCAAATATAATGGAAATTGAAAATAAATTGGTGAATATATCATTTTTTGATAATATTGTTAAAAATGTTGTTTTGCAATTAAATGATTATTGTTTAACTAATTGCCATAACTTTGAATCAGACTCAAGAAGAGACATATTTGTAAGTATTACATTTTCTTTTCCATTGAACCAAAACAACGAAATTACTGTTATGGGGAAAACTTTTGTATTGACAGATGAAATTAAAGGTCAACCTATTGACATTATATTACAAGAATCATTTGATAAGTATAGTACAAGTCTTATGAATGATAAATTCAAATTTTGGATTAATAAAAACATTATTAACGATTCTATTGCAGTTCATTTAACAAATAAATACAGTAAGGGATATGAAAATGAAATTGTAACAAATGAAAGGAATGAAGATGATAAAATGATATCTTTGATTTTAGGTACTGGGTTAAATGTATGTTTTGAAGTTCCTTTTACAAGTTTGCCAGATTTTAAAAAAATTGCTATGGAGGAGATCTACGAGAGTATGAAAGATGACGTTATTATAAATAGTGAAATTGGTTTCTTGGGTTCTGATATCATTCAATTAAATCCAAATTTTGATATAGTTTCAATTTTAGAGGTGCCAATGCCATTAGAAAATATTACAGCAGGGGATGCATTACCTAAAATTTTAAAACGTGTATTAGAATTTTATCAGATTTATCCTGAAATGACAATAAATTTTGATGGTAAAATTTTCTGTCAATTACTAGATGATCAAGATATTAAGAGTATGATTAGTGGTATTGATATCGAGTTCATAAGGCAAATTGCCTTGATTATTATAAAAAGGGCATCTATATATCTTGTAGCTGCAATATATGCCATCCATGATTTTATTCATTTAGATTGTGCTTTAAAAAATGATAAAACAATTAAAATTGGATATGTTGGATCATTTCTTGCTTACTGTAAGACGTATCAAGATATGATTGATCAATATTCATGTGGAAAAATTCAATTGCAATTTTTACCAGATAGTAGCTTGATCGGTGCTGCTATTATTGGAGGAAAATTTTAATTTACAAGGTGGTATAGTAGACTTTATTTTTGATATTAAAACCAAAAAAAATGACAGAAGTAATTAACTGTTGAGATTTCAATGGTCAATAAAACCTATTTGTGGGACTTTGCTGCTAAGATACTTAGATATATAATTATATGAAATCAATATTCTTTTTAGAGATATAATATAATATAATATGATCAGAATCCTTTGCAATATATATATTATATATGTGTGTATGTATGTATGTTAAGAATGATTATCTGACTATTCCATTCAGCACACAGATATATAATTAGTTATTCTATCTCTTTGATTTTGTGCAATACATTCAGCTATCCAAGTAATATTTCTGATTTCTTGTTCCTTTGATTTCATCCATGCCCATATAGTTGAAATAGTGAACTGTTGTGTGAATGCATCCTTACAAAGTTCCATTTCCATCCTATAGAAATGATCTTCCAACTCACCACTGTCGTCATCTAAGATAGTCTTATAATCATAGACATAGTTTAATGCAGAACGTAAACTTTCGAAGTCTTTGGCTTCTGCTAATAGATGGGTAGCTATTGGATAACATTTGCCTACAGATGGCATCAACTGCAATTTCAAAGCAGAGTCGAGGACATCATCATTATCGGCGGCTCCGTTCCTGTTATGGCCAGGAGAGGTTGAAGATGTGTTTATGGTTTGCAGGGAATTCAATGCAATATTTATTGTTCTCCTATCGGCTTCAAACTCTAATAGCTGCACCATGATATCGGAAGCGGGATTAGGTAGACAGGTCTTGACAAAACTGATAAAATCTTCTAAATATGCTTTATACAGTTTGTTTCTAATGATTTCGATATTTAGATCGTTCAACTCGTCTGCGTTATCAAAACAGTCTTGAAAATATGGAGCCAGGGGAGTATCTATCAGGACAGTCTCGTAAAGAGATTCCAGATCTGTGGCTACGGATAGGGTGGGTAGAGTGTCGAACCAACCAAGAGGATGGCATCTGTTTAAGATCTCTGCTTTATTACGGGAGTGGATTGTGCCAGTGATCATGAGAGTCACGTTATCGATCATGTAACTGTAGGTGATATAATCCATGAATTTTTTGCTGGTGCCCGACAATTGGTCCCTTAGATAGTTAAATTCTTTGTATAGCTTTTCGGATGCCATAGACTGAATAATTGAAGTAGTTAGTGAGTCCTGTGAGACGTTGGTGAGAAAGTTCCCGTAGTCTGTAGAGGATAGTTGCAATTTTAGGTCTTCTAAAGTTTCACATTGAGTCAAATTTAAATACTGATTGGAGGTAAGCAATCCATTTCTATAGCCTCTGACAATACCTTCCACATAACCGTTATCTATATTGAAATATAAACCTTCCATTGAAACAATAAAAAATAGAAATGTATATATAAAAAAAATAAAAATAAAAATCGTAGCAATAATAATAATGATATTTAAGTTGAGTACTTCTTATCTTTCTAATAAAACGGATTCCAAAAAAAGCTTCCCAGTATATAAATTTGATCAATCAGAAGTACTAATATCTTGCGGGATTATTTGCTTTATCCTATTACTCTAGCTTATATTAGTGTATCAGCCTATTCATCCATTCAACTATCCATCTCTTTATTAATCTATCTCTCTATCTCCAAAATGCCTTTATTGAAGGGAGGATTGATGGAAGGAAATGGTTGTGGAGAATTTCGTCTCGAATGGAGAAGGCCATTCAAAAACAAAGAAATGCGTATTTCCTGTTTGGGATTGCGTCAAAAAAAAAAAAAAAAAAAAAAAAAAAAGAAAAGAAAAATTTTCAATTGTTCGGGGAGGGTAACCTGATGAAATTTGCCAGATCTGCAAAGTTACAAATTTTCTTGAACAAAGAAATTGATCTTTAGAACTGGAGATTATTACTGAAACTTGACCTTATTGTATGAGTATGTGCATGTGGGTGTGTATGTGTGTGCGGTGATTAGCAGATCTTAGACCTTTCTTTCATTTTATGTTTTCGCATCTTGTTTTTTTTTTGCATTTATGTGTCCAGATCTTGTTTGACGGTTTTTCCATCTTTCTTCTTGTACTGTTAGTTTCTATTCTGCTTGGCCTGCTATTCTTGACCAATCTCCAAACGGGAAAGGGGGACTAGTAATACTGTACTTAGGGTTATAGAAATATATACACGCATATACGCGTACATACATATCGAAGGTTCGTGTTTATCTATCTAACTGTTTAAATACATACAAAGATTTATATATTCAGAATAATAATTAGAACGAAGCGTGTATTGTCTTAATTGGGTGCACCATGGCAGAGAACAATGAGGTCAAGGTCCCTCTCGTTGAACAAGTCCTAGCTATAACTGTGGAGAAGAAGGAGAAGAAGAAGAAGAAGCCAAAAAAGAAAGAGACAAGGGCTGCAGAAACCGCCACTGAAATGGAAAAGGAAACTAAGGTTGTTGTTGAAGGTGAGGCTGGCGAAGTGAAAAACAAAAAGTCAAAGAAGAAGAGTAAGAAGCCAAAGAGTAGTAATGACGAAAAAGCTTCTTCTTCTTCAATTACTACTACTGGTAGTAGCGGTCCAGAATTGGGTATTAAAACTGAAACTGACACTTCAGAAAAGAAAGAAAAGAAACTTAAAAAGACTAAGAAATCTAAGAAAGAAAAGACTAGTAAAGATGGTGAAACTAGTGTAGTAGAAACTTCTGACGCTACTATTAAAGGTGAGCCAGAAAAAAAAGAAAAGAAGAAGTCTAAGAAGTCTAAGAAGGTCAAGACAACTGATTCCACTAATACTACTAGTAGTATTGATAATGACGATGAAACAAAAAAGAAGAGTTTGAAGAGAAAAGATAACAAAGAAAAGAAGAAATCGAAAAAGAAGGATACCAAAGAAAAGAAATCTAAAGAAGCTTCAAGAGAACCCTCTTTGGCTATCCCTACTTCCGATGATGTTCCTGAAATCCCAATTGACACTAGTGCTTCAGCCCCAACTGAAGCATCTCCGTCTGTTGGTAAATTAGGAACGGTTACTGTAAATAATATTCCACACACTACAACAGTATTTGATTTAACTCACATTAAAGGTACCGAAGAAGCCCCTATTGAAACTAAGAATGATTTCAAGATACATTCCCGTGTTGATTACGGTACAAAGGGTACTAAAGTTGACGTCTTAACAAACCATGTATGTTTAACAGTAGGTGACGATGTTAGTGGTCATAAAAACTCTGAATTGGATCCATGGTGGAAATCTGCCTTCATTTACATCTATCACATAGATTTCAAACCAAATGGAAAACTAGGAAAAGGTGGGAAAGGAGGTCGCGGTAAATCTGTTCCACCTCCTGCCCCACTATCTAAATCAAAGAAATATGAATTAGTCGAAGCTTTATTCCATGAAGATGAGACGTTATATAAATACAAAGATCGTATCGCCTTTAATGGTGAAGAGACTTTGTATTCACACATTCCACTAGAAGAATTCACTTTGTTCGATGGTTGCTGGGATATTTCAAACAAACAGAAGAAGAAGAAGACTTCTATTGAAGGTTTAAATAACAACTCTAAAGAAGAAATGAACGAATTAGTTTCTCAAGTCACATTGAAATTCGTCTCTAAAATTGGTTTATCAGCAATTTATAAAGATACCTTAGGTAAAAATCCAGAAGATCAGGAAAATAAAATGTCTGCACCAGATAAAACTGTCTTACTATCTTTATTAGGTGTCAAATTCCTACAGTCAACCGATCCAATCTTCCAAGTCCATGGTAATAAATTTTTTGTTTATAATCAATATGCTAAGGCTATTCCTTTCCAAATTGGTGCTTATTTGATTCATGGTTTCACTGTGTCTTTAAGATATTCATATGGTTCTGTTTTATTAAATACCGTTAATGTTGCTCTGCCATTCTATAAACATACCAAATACTTACCAGGGGATCCAAAATTCAATGAAAATAATGAAACCCCATACACTTTAATGGATTGGATCCTTGAGTGTTATGATCAGGTTAATGCTCAGCATAATGGTGGTAAACCACAAAAGGGTAAACCTTCTGAAAAGGATATCAATTTCTTTATTAAAAAGAATAGAGATATCAAAAATCTAATAAAAGGCTTAAAATGTTACAGGCCTTACATTAATTATTCTGTTAACCCAGACGGCACACCAAAACCACCAAAGAAAATGCAATCTAAAGGTATTGTTGGTTTTGCTAGAGAGACAGCTACTTCTATGAAATTTAAAATTTTGCCAAGTGATGTTGCTAATCAATCACCAGTTCCCGGTGAAAAGGAAATTATGATAGATACTAATGACTATTTTGCTAAAAAATATAATATTAAATTGAAATACCCAGGTGTTAAATTAGTTTCTTTAGGCGGTTCCAATGTAGTTCCAGCAGAATGTTTGACTATTGTTCCAGGTCAAAAGTTAAGGGGAAGAGTTTATGATGAAAAGGCTGTTATTGATTTCACTGCTTTAAGACCAGATGAAAAATTTAGAGCCATTTCTAGATTAGCTTTACCATCTATTAAAAGGGCTTTGAGTGGTGATGAAGAAAACGTTGTAGCTCCACACGATTCTGATTACAGTTTCTTAAAGGTTCCATCTCGTGTTGTTGACGCTCCAACAATTCAATTCCAGACTACACAAATTAAATATGAAGACAAACCATATGGTACTAAAGTGCCAAACTCTAAAGCTGAATCACAAGAGACCAAAGGTAACTGGAATTTACAAGGTCATCAATTCATACAATCACCAAGTGAGGAATTGACTTTAAGGGCTATCTTTATTAACGATTCCAATAGAGCACCACCTGTCTCTATCATGGAAGATGCTAAGAAATCGTTGAACAAATTTGCCTCTGATGTTGCTTCTGTTGGTGTGAAGTTTAATGTATCCCCTCAACTTATTTTGATCAATGAATTCGACTCTCCAGTTAAGAAAGTTGTTGGCGGTCGTGGCGGCCGTGGTGGTCGTGGTGGTCGCAGTAGCCGTGGCCAAATATCTTGGGAGATTACGCCTGGTGAAGAAAAATTGGTTGAATTGTTATCAAACGTTCCACCAAAGAGTTATATTCTTTTCATCTTAAACAAGCCTAATCAAGATACTGTTTACAATAGATTGAAATACTTAGCTGACTTGAAATTCGGTGTTGTTAACTCATGTGTTGTTTGGAATAATTTCAGAAAGAACTCTATTCAATACAATATCAATGTTGTCATGAAGATGAATTTGAAATTGGAAGGCATCAATCACTCCTTATCGAGTGAAGACTTAAAACCATTAAAGGATGAGGAAACTGGTTTACCGTTCATGGTTCTAGGTGCAGATGTCACTCACTATCCAGAAAAGGAACAAAACTCTATTGCAGCTCTTGTTGGTTCATTTGATGATAAATTTGCTCAATATCCTGGTAACTATATTTTACAGGATGGTCCAGGTGAAGAAACAATTTCCAGAATCGGTAGTATGGTCTATGATAGATTAAGAATTTACCATGCATATAACAATGGTAAATTACCACCAAAGATTTTATTTTATAGAGATGGTACCTCCGAATCTCAATTCCAGGATATTGTTAAAGTGGAAGTTAAAGATATTAAAGAGGCTTTACGAAAGGCAGGTTCACAATTATTAAATGGTGCCAAATATGATCCACCTGTTACTGCTATTTCTGTTGTTAAAAGAAATCAAGTTAGATTTATGCCATTGTATAAGAATGCTATCAATGAAAAGGGTGAAACTTCTGCAGTCCAGTCTATGGGCAACGTTATGCCAGGTACGGTTGTAGATAGAGGTATTACTTCCTCTGCACACTTTGACTTCTTTTTACAATCTCAACAAGCCTTGAAAGGTACTGGTGTTCCATGTCACTATTGGTGTATTTATGATGAAAACCAATTTAATTCTGATTTCCTACAACAAGTTACACATGCTTTATGTTATATGTTCGGTAGATCTAGTACAAGTATTAAGGTTGCATCTCCAGTGTATTATGCTGATATCTTGTGTGAACGTGCCGCTGCATTCTTTAAAGCTAACTATAATGTTGTTAAGTTTGAACACGATAAGAGTAAGAAGAATAGGACTGATCCAATCCCACCTACTAAATTATTACCAGTAGTCAATGACAAGGTTAAGGATATAATGTACTACATTTAGATAAATACTTATTACTGTTTGTCTTTACTGTTGAAATTTTTTTTTTGTGTTCCCTATTTTCCTGAGTTTTAAATTTTATTGGTTTTGGTTGTATTTCATGTATCCCGTGTGTTTTAAATATTTTACTATGTATGTTATTCTTTTATATTATGTAAGTATGTTACTTTAATTTTCATATTTGTTATATTATAAAGTTGACTAGACTAAAAAAACTGAAGATCTTTGTTTCTATATCTATTCTTCATAAGCTTATCATAGTAGAGATAGACCCAACTATTTATATTTTTTGTGAACAAAGAAGAACAATAGCAACAGTAATTCCGTATACTAGCGAGAATAGAATAAACAAAACAAATATAGGAAGAAAAAGGATTAAGAATGGCAGGTATTACAGACTCTTTGAGACTATTTCCTGTTTCTAACTAGAATTACAAAAAACCATACTTGTAGTGTTAATTGGAGTGATAATAAAAATGACGCTTGTAATAGAAAAATAGTGCAAATGATTTCTTAGTATTAATTTTCCTTATTCTGATTTTTTCAATTAGGTCATTTTCTTTTTTTTACACTTTTTTCCATTTTTCCCTTAGGGTTTTATACACAGATTTAGGGCTCTATTTCTTTTTTTGCATAAATTTATCTTCTTTTTCCTAAATGGGAAATTTCTGGAGCCTTGCACTTATACTTCCAAAAAGGGAAATTTTTTGTCGATGCTTGCAGAAAACAAAAGAAAAACAAAAGAAAAAGGAAGAAGCCTGGAGAAAAAAAAATTTTTTTTTCTTTCTTTTTCTTTCTCCTCAATTTGTTTTCCTCTGTGTATGTGTGTGCATCGCAGTGTTAGAATGAGAAGAGGGGAAACAAGGCATCGTTACTATTTAAAGTAGTTATATGTATGGAGTGCCAGATTAGAGCTTGGTGGTACAGATTGTACTTTTTAATGGTTACCAGCTTATTTACCTTTCATGTAATCATTGTAGAATATTTATAATCCTGGTTATTTAATTTTCTTTTTTAGTTTTTTTTATTTTTTTCAATCCTCATATTAATAGTTATTAGGTTATTTCATTAGAGTATATTAGTACAATCGAGAAACTCTGTAAAAAGAGGAAAACAAATATTATTAGATATAACATTCTGTCAGTACAAAAATGTCCGATTTATTACCTTTAGCTACCTATACATTGAATGTTGAACCATATGATCCGACTCCTGCTATCAGTTTTGACAAGCCGGTGACTGTCCGTATTACTATGGCTGCCATTGATCCTGAACCATTCGATGATGAGGAGAAGCCATCCACTTTAAGAATGATTAAGAGAAATCCAGATTTTGATGACTCTGAAGAAGATGAAAGTGATATCGATTTTAATGAAGAAGGAGATGATGATGATGATGATGATGATGATGATGATGATGATGATGATGATGATGAACAAAAAGAAGAAGAAGAAGAGGAAGAAGAAGAAGAAAATAACAAAAAGAAAAAGGAACACCACCATCACCATCACCATCATCACCATCATCACAAGCACAAACACGACAAAGAAGATGAAGAGTCAAATGAAGAAGAAGTGAAGGAAGGTTCCGATGATGAAGAAACTCCAAGTGATGACGATGAATTTGAAGAAACTGTTCTTTTGACTTTATCTCCAAAGACTGCATATCAACAGGCTATAGATATCACTATTGCTCCAGAAGAAGACGTACAATTTGTTGTCACTGGGTCCTATACTATTTCTTTAACTGGTAACTACGTGAAACATCCATTCGATTCTATTATGAATGAAGATGAATACGATGATGGTTTGATCCCAGAAGATAGTGAAGAGGAATATGATGATGATGAATTAAGCGAAGAGGATTTGAGTGATGAACTGGACAACTTAGAAGATGCTAGTGACATTGAAGGTCGTATCGAAGAATTAGTTGCGGAAGATGAAGCCAAGAAGGAAAGTAAGAAGAGAAAGGCTGACGAAGAAGAAGAGGAGGAGGAGGAGGAAGAAGAAGAAGCTGAAGTCGAAATAGAAGAAGAACCAAAGCCAAAAAAAGCTAAGAAGGAAAAGACTAAGAAGCAAACTGAACAAGAAAAGAAGGTTCAAAAGAAAGTTGAATTTAAGAAAGAGCTAGAAGAAGGTCCAACCAAGAAGAAACAGGAAAAGAAGCCAAAGGCTCAAGTTTTACAAGGTGGTATTATTATTGAAGATCGTACCATTGGTAAAGGTCCTCAAGCTAAGAAAGGTTCCAGAATTGGTATGAGATACATCGGTAAATTAAAGAATGGTAAAATTTTTGATAAAAACACTAGTGGTAAACCATTTGTCTTCAAATTAGGACATGGTGAAGTCATCAAAGGTTGGGATATCGGTGTTGCTGGTATGGCTGTTGGCGGTGAACGTAGAATTATCATCCCAGCTCCATATGCCTATGGTAAACAAGCTTTACCAGGTATTCCAGCTAACTCTGAATTGACTTTTGATGTTAAATTAGTTTCTATGAAATAATTAACAACATATTGATTGGATTCATAATATCTTTTTATTATATATTATTTTATTATATATTAATATATTACTCAGAACTACATATATTTGACACTAAAAGAGGAGGAAGTAAAATGAATAAAACCTCCCCTTTAGCAAAATCTAAGTGAACGATTATTATATATATATATGTTTTATTCATTAGATGGAAGTTACTAGAAGATCATTTTACTGGCAGATTAAGACCTTTTTTTCGTATTAGAGTGTTTAACTTAGAATCAAATGTTATATTTAGGTATTATCCAATTTTAGTACTTTTATTATATATGAAACAACTTTTATACATATATATATAAATGATATAATTGATGATATGAGTATTTTTTTAACAAATAAATAAACAAAGGGGATTAAAATTTATTTCATAAAGACTATTTAGTACTGGTACATATTTCTGTGTTGACAAAGTCTTGGTAGATTTGAGGAAAGTTCAAATTTGATATACTTTAATATATATATTAAAACATTCTATTCAATTGTCTGCACATATCAATTATTCTCTTTCTTTTCTTTTTCATAATAGCTTGTTTCATAATAAAAGACTAACAATTATTGTTGCTATTAGTTAATTTAAGCAAATTATTTATAAAAAGATCCAATGAAATGGTGAGTTGAAAGAAGATAGTTTTTTATACATTAATTACTAAACAACTAAATAAGTGAATAGATTATGAATGAAACATAAACTGACTTCTCAATAATATAGAAACTCGATTTAATATTAAATGGGTTGTTCTATCTAACAAGATTCTCAGTTATATACGCCTTTCAAGTTATTATTACTTCTTTATTATTATCTTCAATCCCCATTTATTTTTAATTTAATATGTTATTTAAGAATGAAATACAGTTTTAAGTAGATATAAATAAGCATATATATTAATAACTATATATAAACATTAGTACTATTTTATTATGGCATAAATTTTTCATCGAACCGTTTATATTTTTAAGTCAGTGAAATCAGTTCATAATAGATCTGGCATTATTCACTTGTAGCAACAAAGCATTTACCTGTTCTAGAAGATTTTCTCTATCTAATTCAGTAATAGCCTCATGTATACTTGGAAGTATAACTCCCTCAATACCTGTACTTTTATTTGATGCAAATAAAGAATGCTTAAACCAAGGTCGCCCCAATAGTCCAGTTTTGCTAAGGAACATAGCATCTAATTGTTTCAATTTATCATTTGCTCTTAATAACCTCAAATATAACTTTAATTTTGTCAGAAAGGACCATATTGGATAGTCTTGCTTACATTGCATGGATATTTCATAATTTTTTCTATCAAATATTCTACTATGACGCCATGCCAAAGCAAAAATCTCCCTTTCCAATGAAACAGCCATAATATGTAACTGTTTATCATGTGGGAACATCTTAAGTATTTGTCCATACAGTCTTTCATATTCACCATAAATGACTTTGAAATAGTTATGTGTCTTGAACATATGAAGTTCATTCTCACTGAGCATTAAAGCAATTAAGCCTACCATAGATGCCATATTGCTGTGCAGTTCAAAATTTGGATCTACATATGTAGCAAGGAAATCCATATTATCATATAATGAATGGGTCACTGTTACTGGATCATCTTTCGAAGAGTTTCTTTGAAAACTAAAACTAGCAGACGGAATAGCTAAATGATACTGGAATGGCACATAGTCAGACGTGCCATCAAGTAGTTTAAATTTACTATTTGAATTCATTTTCCATTCATCATACAAAGTTACATCATCTAGTCCTTTAAAATTTATAAATTTTGAGGCGTATCTGATTATGTGGTGTAGCAATGGATTCGATTTACAAGTGAAAGAAGAACCTGCTATAGCATTATTATCCAAATTTAAATACGCAAGGGCAGACTTTCCTAGATTGTAACCATGTTCATCAATAAATTCGGTTGAACCTATTAGTCCATTATTTTCTCCATCCCAAATAATTAATTTAATAGGCCTCAAAGGTTTCCAACCTTCATCTAAGAGGTACTTAAATCCTCTTGCTATTTCTAATAAAATGGCATTATTTGAGGCAGTCGTAGCACATATTATGGATGATGTAGAGTCTCTACTTGCTCCAATAATGATTTCTCCATGTTGAAATATCCCAGGAATTTGTAATATAATGTTACGTATTTCAACAATTGAAGTATTTTGTTTATTAACTAATTGTATAACTGTTTTGTTAGTTGATGGACCTGATGAGTAATCGAAATTTTGGATATTACCATTCTCTCTCCATTGAATTCCAGTATTATTTATTTGCTGTAGAATTGGTGTAATATCTTTGACACTTAATGGAATAGATGGGATTCTTGGTAATTTCCCAACAGGTGACAGTCTTTCAGTGTAAGGGTACTTAGATGGATAATTGGGAGTTGTTGGATCACCGGGGAAATCTGTATAATATTCGACTGTGGCACGTTCAATGGCACTTGGATTTCTAGCTGGTCCATCTGGGAACGGTAGATAACCATTTTTAGTAGTTACAAAACCGTCATCTACTGGATCATTGAAAAAAATTACACTTGTTGCACCATATAGTTCAGCATTTCTAACTTTTAAGCCACTATTCAAATAGCCATATTTAATTATATGGATCTTTCCCTCAATATCAATATTGTTATCAATTAAAAATTTATAGTCATTTAAAGTACCATAATTACAATAAACAAACTGAGATGTAACATTCCCATTTGGTGCAAATGAATTAAACCCCTTTAATGTGTTTAGTTGGGTTTTATTGAATACAGTATCTTCAATCAAAGTGGCATTCCAGATAATTTTGTCATTTTGAATTAATTTCACCTGAGTATCTACAGGATTACTGATCCAGGGATAATAATTTTCAAAATACGGCGAAAACCCCATATTTTTTAAGGTATCAATAAGATATTTATCATAAGTTAAAGCGTTCCCAGATTTAGTTAAATTACTAATGTGATTTTCTGCTAGATTTTCTTCCTGCAAATTGTTTAAAAATATCCTGTAGACTTCAGCTGTAGTAAATTTTGATGAATGCCATCTCCTAAGATCTCTTGAAAGGGATGTTCTTGGAGCAAATAATGTCAAGAACCCAAGATATATGGTCAAACTGATGAAAATTAAGATTATAAATTTTTTTTTATCCATATGTTCTTTTATTATTTGATATTCACTTATTATTGAGGAGATTGTGTTGCTACGTGGACGTATCCAATTTTGCACCTGATCTATATGGTTTGTCAAATTCATATCATTGTTGTTATAGTTATTGGTGGTTGTAGTAGTAGAGGTACTATGGTTATCATTTAATTTAGTGGATGATTCCTGAGAGGAATAGTTAGTAGAGAAGTGAGATGAAGATAATAAGGGTGTATCGTACGAATTCTGGGGCTCATCAGGAATATTGTTGTTATTATTATTTGGTAAGTCATCCATTCTAAATCGATTCTAATAGCATGGATATATATGTGAGTGTTTGGATAAATAGATTATCAAATCATGCATTTCAATATTTATACCCTATTTACAGATAAATACATAAATAAATACATAAATAAGGTATCTGAGCCGGTGGCCGTTATTGTTAGTTTTGTTATTGATAAAGATTACGGATAATAAAGTGACTTAACTTTGATTGATTGACTTTTATGATATTGTTACTAAGGGAGAAAATATTAAGAAAAACACTCCGTTATCATAATACCAGTGGATTGTTATGGTCAGTGAGATATACAAATCGCATAGATGGGACAGAAAGATTTCCCACGAATATATATGGATAATATTGATAATTGAGGGTGGATAAAGACAAGACAAGATACAATGGTCTTTAATAGGATCTAAAAAGATCAAGAAAAGAAACTAATCAAGTCTGCAAAACAGTTAAAAAACAAAAAATAAAAATAAAAAAGAACATTTGGTATGTTCACCATGGTTTTCTGTGTTATAGCAAGCCATTTTATATTATGTAACCGGTTGGTTCATTTTATTTTACTTGGTTTACAATTTGTATAACAATATTCACTGAAATGTGGTGAAACTTACTATTTACCACGAACAAGGCCTCTCTTTCAAACGATTTAGGAAGCAGATCACAGAAGAGTTCGGTAATGGGTGTGTAAATTAATACCGCCATCATTCCGTAAATCTTCTGCATTGCCAGCCATGTGACCAATGGAAAAACAAAAAATATAAAGATAAAAAAACGTGTCACGTGATTTAGTAATTGGCTGCAAAAAGAAAAAATGAAACGGACAGGAATTGAACCTGCAACCCTTCGATTGCAATCTTTCCACTTGAACCAGGAATTAACTGGAGTCGAAAGCTCTACCATTGAGCCACCGCTTCATCTTCGAATGCTTGGTGTTCTATGGTGATATATAATGATTGTATTTCTTAGGTTTTCTAAAAAGTTTTTTAATTAAAAATTCAATTTAATTAACCTAAACTAACAAAACCTATAGTAACAAATTATTATTTAATATTTTATGATGATGTATATCTCTTAGAAAGTATTGGATTTAATATTTATATTCATCATGGTCTTAGCGTTAAGTAAATTGAATATCTTGTTTATTAAAAATACTAGGCAATGAATATGTATAAGCATACATATATTATATATATAAAAATAAAACCAATGATCTACTAAAAATTTTCTTGAATGAAGAAAACTAGTGAGCATATTTTCTTTTTTCTAAAAATAAAAAAAGTATGATACCCATTGTAAGAAGATATTTTAAAGATGTCGTTAATTGTGCTAATTTTATATAGTGTATTCATTACATATATATTTCTTCAAATTTATTAAAATATAATTCAGACTTTAGAGAAGTCAGCTGTACGATATTATTCTTCTCTGGCTTCTCTTGAGAAAATAAATTTTTATAAAAAATATTTTATTTATATATAGATAAGGGTATTCAATGAAGATACACTTATTTTTTGAATGCTATTTTTGACGTTGGGCATTAAAATAAGTAAGGGTTGTCAGTTAATAAAAAATTAAGATTTATGTAAAAAATCAGCTCATATAATAGTAACTAATTTTATAGTCAAAAACATAAACTTTATCTAAAGTATGACTACACTGAGTTTTAAAAGAAGTCTAACTCTTGAAAGGTTTTTTTATACAGAATTAATATTCTTATTTAATATATATAGAAAAAATTTGTAAAACTGGCTATTTCTTTTTATATTTTTTTTTTCTCTATGTTGAAATTTAAAAGGTGTGGAGTAATAACCTATAAGTTATAACGGAACTCTATGAACCGTATTTTTATAAGTAATCGCTCACAGTATTAAATAATACATATATTATATACAAAACTATGTATGACGTATATAAAGTTGTGAGTAAAAGAAATTATTTCTTGTCGGGAATGAGCGCCTTTATTCATTGGATATATAGTAAATATTCTCAATATTATATTAAACAGATTTAATATACAAAATTATAATAAAGTTCTTCCCTTTCTTTCTCTATATACAACATAGAAATAATAATATACAAAGATTGTAAATAAGATAAAAATAATGTATGACGAAATCCTTGGCTTTATATATGTTAACATTAAGCCATTTTCCTCTACGAACAGTAAGATATTTAATAAACAAACTCAACAACTTTTGGTGACCTTTCAACAATTATTACTCAACAATTTATCGTTTAGTGTCTGCTAAAATCTTATTGTTCTATCTATTTTATTATAGAACATTCTATTTCAACATTTCTAATTTCTATATCTTGACTATTTATATTTTTCAGAAAGTTAATTTTGAGAAAAAAAAGTTTTTCACAAAATTTTCATTGAGTCTGCGTAATATCTCAACACTTTAAGTCTTGAAATATAATTTTATTTTTGGAATAATCAATTTACTCTCAGATATTTATTAATCAGTATATCCTTTGTTGATGTTCACGGTGTTGTTTGTTTCCGATTATTATTTTGATAACAAATTCATATATATTTCAATATTTTGAACAGTTTAATAATTTTTTTTAATGGAGAGTACCATGTCTATTATTACTATTTTCATTTGTTTATTTTCTGATATTCAACTTTTGTTAAAAAAAATGTAATTTCATAAAATTTAAATGAATTTTGGGGAAAAAATAATTAAAAAATTTGGCAACTCCCTTTTTACAACAGATATTTGATCATTTAAAATCAGTGCCTGTATTTATGGAATAACGAAGATATATTGTAAAGAAAAAAATTTTTAAATTAAAATTCTCTCTTGGGAATTTTGTAGTTTGGTTTATAACAATATATAGTTGTAATAAGTAAAAGACAACATTTCCAAAATATTAAGTTCATCTTCTTTTGATTCAAATGTTTTATTTAATTTTTACAAAATACAAATGAAAAAAAAAAAAACAGATAAATCAGAAAACTGATACAAAACCCGGCTATGTTTAGTACTTAGGAAAAATATCTAATAATATTTTTTTTTGCAAAAGAAAATTGACAGAAAAATTACATAAAAAATCTTTTTCTTTTTTTGTATGACATCCTTAATATCAATATTCCTATATTCTTTTTTTTTTTTTAAATATAGCAACTGATGAGAATGAGCACCTGTAGTCATTGAATATATAGTAAACATTCTCAATATTATACTAAATAGATTTAGTATACAAAATTATAATAAAGTTCTTCGGTTTTTTTATTTATATATATAATTTATAATGATAATGTATAAAAGATGAACAAGGGGAGAAACATAATATGAAAAAAATGTTGGCTCTATATATTTTCATATCTGGCCTATCTCGTCTACGTACAACATCAAATTATTGATAAGGTTTGTTTACATCTATTGATAAGCAAACAATACATTCTCCACTTTTTCCTTATCGATTAATATTTATTAAAATCTAGTTGGCCTATTATTAATTCTGGAACGTTCAATTTCAGAAGTAACCATTTTATTTTCAAGGTGAATAAATTTTTGTATTACAAAATAATATCAAAATCAGTGAAAAATTAACTATTGCAATACTATTATATGTTCATTTATATACATATACTTGATAAATATCTACTTGATGTACTTGATAAACATATTAACAGTTAGGTAACTTTCCATAATATATTTTTAACAAGAACAAAGATCTTAGTTTAAAGCAAAATAAAAAATTTAGCATCTAAGGAGAGTCTAATATTTTCAAGATTTATTACACACTAATTTTTTAATTTTATATTTTATAGTTTGCATGTGATTTACATATACATTTGAAAATATACCAGAAGAAATAAATTAAAAAAAAAACACTCAACTCTACCCTATTTTCAATATGCTATATAATAAGTAAAGATATCCATATAAATAGACAATTTTCTCAATGTATAGCGTCATTTCTTTAAGAACTTTGTATGTTCCTTGCAAAAAAACTAGAACAAAAAAGAAACGCAAAACTTAGTTGTATCTAGATGTGTGTCTTATAAGGCAAAAATATTCCTGTTAAGTACGGTCTAAAAAATGAGAACAAGTAGGAAAAAAAAGGAGAGAAGACATAGCTTTATTCAAATTAATTGTATCTAAACAAACACGGCAAAATTCTAACAGATCTTAACAAAACATTTCCCACACTTGATCTTTCTTCCTTTGATTCTTCTTTCCCTTCCAATTCATGGCAAAATTATTTTACAAAGTAACTATGACTATTAATAACTAAAAGACTGGCTCACTGTCTTTATTAGTCATTTATTCAAAAACACATATGATCTTTGCTTTTACATTTCAGACTCCCTTTTTGTTCACTTCTATTTAATAAAGAAACAATTCAAAGACAAAACAAAACAACAGCAGCAAGAAACAGAAGTTTGCAGTCTAGCATACTTCAACAAAGAATACTCATTTCTTTGCAAAAGTAGTCAGCTCTCTTATCAATAAATAGCACATCTACACTATAATTGAATTGATTATTTTTTTTTTCCTATTAGATGTATCTAACCCTAAAATACCCTTTTACATTTTTTTTTCTTGTCATCAAGAAAAAAAAGAAAGTTTTTCTTTTTTCCGTGAGGGTAATATAGTTGCTTTGCCATGAAGAAAAAATGGAAGATATATAAACAAAGTACAAATTCTTTCTTTCATCCATTAGATCCTTTTCACTCTGCTTGCAGACTTGGGGTCTTCCTCACAAGACTTCTTGTTCTTCTTTTGACGATGGTATCTCTTCTTTTTCATACCTCTTTTCTTGCTCAGTTTGAAGAAGACCAACTTTGTCCAAATGTTTTCCCTTGCAATAGACAGTACGATTAAAGAGTATATTTATGTTCACTTCTTTATTCGTGATATGCAATGATTTTAAATGGGGAAAGATCAATTATAATTGTTATTAAGTCAACTTTATAAGAACTCGTGTGGAATTACTCGTGTACGTTTTGTACATCTTCATGATACTCGAGTGTCAGAGGTCGACTACAGCTGTATTTTCTTTCTCTCTCTTTCTCTCTCTAAGTATATACGTTGTAAGTTGATTTACAAAGTGAAAAATCTGGTTTCCGCTTTTTTATTTTGTTGTTTAACGTTGTGTTATTCTATATATATGGATTGGAGCAATCAGCTCTCTGTATAAAAGATTTTCCATATCTTGGATAATTGAGGTGTCGTTTTCACTAACACATGTGGTATTTAGTCCGTTTCTATTGCATTCCTCTAGAAACTGATTGATGGTCTCTTCACTTCGAATTGTGCATGAGATTAATATCTCTTGACAGCTTTTAAGTCTCAAACAAGATTTGATACAGCGGCATAATGCCACAAAACTTGTTGAGTCGTACGTAATATCTGCACCGACTAATAATGTCACATCCTCTGGAATATTTTTATCTTCATCCCAAACTAACCTTTGCCTTATAATCTTATTACCATCATTACTATCATTATCATTATTATTAGAAAGATTACTGATCCCGTTCAAACTTAAGTTTCTTAATAAAGAACCTTCTAATAGATTTGAATCGCCATCTGTAATATATATCTTACAGTTCCCCTTTAACCATTTATATAGAAATATAGACACTAATCCGGTTCCTGCGCCCAATTCTAAGATACATTGTTTGTACAAATTCATAGGACCCATCCTATATAAATATAAACATAGGTAGATGGCAGCTTCCCACGTACGGAACCCTGTAGTACTCAAAGAACTAATCAATCTGGGTTTTTCCCATAACCTAATTCCCACCTCCGAACCAATTGAATACAGAATCACATCTTCATAATCACCTGCTTGTGGAGGTTGACAGTGTAATAATGGCAAATATTCTTCATATACCCATTCATCCTCCGGTGTAATCGTGTCCAAGATCTTTTTCAAGACCGTCCTGACATAGTACGCATTGTAGCGCTTTATATCCATCAATTCTTTGTGTAGTAATGGATACTTAGATAGATCTTTGTCAAAATCCAATTGTTTAACAGGGCATCTACTCTTTAGTCTATTATACAATTCTCTTTCATCCATAGTTTGTTGAGAGCTCTTTTTATTCACTCATAACACTTCTTTATATGTCTCTTTCTTAAAACCAACATAAAAATAAACTCCCCTCAAATACAAACCCAAATACTGGTAGTCTAACCACCAATAATATACTGTGTTTGCAGTTCGAGATGACCTTAGATCTGTCTTCTTTTCTTATTTTCATTTTTTTCATTTTTTTCATTTTTTTTTTGATCTTAGTAAAATGAGCCTTCCATTGATCAAAAATGAGAGATATTGTGATGACTCGATGAACAAGCAAACACGTTTAAATACAACAACGTCTATTCACATCACTATTGATATGGGTACTCTTGTTATCGACGTACGTAGCAAATAACTACTATTACAACTACTATTACTACTTTACATATAATAAGAAATAACTATGCCTAGATTAGTACCTTTGATAGTTCTCTTTGTGTCGAGTTTAGCATATTATTATTATTATTCTAATTTTGTAAAACCAAACCGAACAAATATCGACCCAAAATTCCGTAGTGAACAAATTGAAAATGTCATTATACAGACCTGGACTGACTATAAGTTGAATGGTTGGGGAAAAGATATCTATCACCCAATTAATCATAGAACATCTAGAAATATGCCAATTTCTGGTGAGCCCTTAGGCTGGATTATTATTGATGCCTTGGACACATTGTTATATGTACATTCTTATTCCAAGAATCAAACAATTAAGGAGAATATGCAACAGGAGATAGAAAATGTTGCTGATTGGTGTATTAATACATTGAATTATGATATCGATACAAATGTGAATATATTTGAAACCACTATTAGAATGTTAGGTGGATTATTATCATCGTATTATCTCACAGAAACAACATACAGTCACAATAATCGTAGTACGAATAATAACAACACGTTAGATTCCAAAATATTCTTAGAAAAAGCAATTGATTTAGCTGATAGATTAATTCCAGCCTTCAATCAATCTGCCACAGGCATCCCCTATTCTAGCGTCAACTTACATTCTGGCGATGCAAAACGGAATCGTGCAGATATGGGTACATCCTCAACAGCAGAATTTACCACTTTACAATTAGAATTCAAATATTTATCTATATTAACTGGGGATGATAAATATTGGAAATATACTGAATCTGTCTATGAACCTTTGTATACGAATAATAATTTGATCGATTTATATGATTCTTTAATCCCTATTTACACATTTCCTAATACCGGTAAATTCTATACAAGAAACATTCGAATGGGTTCCAGAGGTGATTCATTCTACGAATATTTGTTGAAACAATATTTATTCACACATGAAACTTTGTACTATCAGTTGTATCGAAAAGCAATGGACGGGATGAAACGTCATCTTTTACGTCAATCATCTCCCAATAGGCTTGTATATATCGCTGAGAGACCATTCGGTTTAAATAATATCCATTCGTCTAAAATGGATCATCTGGTCTGTTTCATGGGTGGTCTATTAGCTATGGGTGCCACTGAGGGAATAACCATCAGTAAAGCACGTACCATGGATTGGTGGAATTATGAAAGGGAACAAGATTGGCTATTAGCGCAAGAATTAACATACACATGTTACCAAATGTATAAACAGACACCAACAGGGCTAGCTCCAGAGATTGTGGTATTCAACGACCCTGAATCAGCGGAGGCACGCCGATTTAATCCTAAGAACACAAATTGGTGGATTTCACCAACAAAAGATTTTGCTATTAAACCATTAGATGCACATAACCTACAAAGACCAGAGACAGTTGAATCTATAATGATACTGTATCATATCACTAAAGATAAAAAATACCGCCAATGGGGAGCAGAAATCTTAGACAGTTTTATCAAACACAGTTGTATTCATTGTGATGAACCAAACTTAATCACGTATACATCATTAGATAACATGATTCAAATACCAACAAAGAAAAAAGATAATCTAGAAAGTTTCTGGATAGCTGAGACTTTAAAATATCTATATTTATTGTTTCAAGATGATTTCGACCTAACTAAAGTTGTTTTCAATACTGAGGCTCACCCATTCCCGGTTATCAGTGAAGAACTATTAAAGAAATTAAATTTAACCACTGGGTGGAATATTTAAATAATGTCAATCTTCATACAGCCTCGCCCATCTTCACATATATATAGATCCATACAGATTTTACATAATGTCAATATTTCCCCCTTCTATTCTTTACATTAACACTTTATCTTTACATAATTGAAATATTGAATTGACAACATCACCCTGATTCAACTGCAGAGCATTAATTGCCTCGTCTTCAGTACATTTAGTTTGTTTTATAATCATATCAATATCTTTTTGATCAATAGTCAGCTCGTCCGATCTGTCTTCAAAAGAAGGTAACAAAGCAGGTTGTCTAGCTTGGTGTTGAGCAATAACCAATTTTTGTCCAAAACTATCTATCAGTGGATTTCCAAAGACCATGTATGTTCCATTGCATTTATAGACCTCAGGATTCTCAATAATGATCAACTGATTATCCATTCTTCGTACTGTTACTCTGCTGATACCGGGAACTCTCTTATAATTCGGTTTAAGTAACAGACTCTTTGCATGCTGCATGTTTTGTGATGACACATCTTCCTCTTGATCCACTGCCACTTTCAAACCGTTGTCGAAATCATTAATCTTATTATTACTCTGTTCCATAGTGTGTAATTGAATTGATAATATTCTATGATTCTGATCTAGCAGATAGTTAACCAGCGTCGAACATACAGTTGATGCCATTAGAGTGTAACCCATCTACAAATATCATTTCTCTATATATTTGCATTTACACTTTGCTACTTCAAGATTAAAAGATTATGAAGATTTAGTTTCCACCCACACATCCATCTGTAAATTCTCTTCATTTGCTTTTTGATTCTCTTCATTTTGTTTTGTTGATTTTATTAAAAAAAATAAGAAAAAACATAAGCAGGAGAGATGATGACTTTTAGTGATCATGTGTGTTGGATACTACTTTATTTATGTAAGGAAGCATAGGTGAATTAGTATATTGAGATTTAATACATTCCACCCTTGCTTATTTATTTACTTGTTCTTTTCGTTTATCTCTGCCATTTTTTTTTCTTTGTTATTTTTGTGTGGTTCTTCTTTAAATAAGAGTAACATCAAAAATACTTCCCAGGATGGATACCAATGCTTTATTGCACTGCTTTGCTGGGACTTTGAAACATGATCCAACTATCAGACATAATGCAGAAACACGGCTAAAAGAAATTAGCAAAACGCCAGGATTTCTGGGTGCATGTCTAGATATTATTGCGTCTGGTACTGAAACTTCTGAGAGCATTAAGTTATCTGCATCCCTTTATTTCAAGAATAAGATAAATTATGGTTGGAATGCTTCTGGAAGCTCAACAGGTACATCAGCTTTTTCTTCTTCAAATAAGAATGAATTATTGAGCTTCGTAGTGGATAATGACGAAAAACCAGTGGTCAAAGATATGTTGGTTCAAACCATGATAAGTTGTTCCAAAAATTCTCCTCACTGTATCCGTATTTTGAAATCTGCTTTACTTACAATTGTTGGCAATGAATACCCTAGACACAATTGGGATGATCTTTTACCTAAATCTTTGGAATTAATATCCAATGGGGATTTAGATTTAGCATATATTGGTTTATTATGTCTATCCGAGATTTTCCGTACTTATAGATGGAAGACTAATGATTCAAGACAAGATTTAGAAATGCTGATCATTAATTACTTCCCATCTCTTTTACAATACGCCAATGATTCTCTTTTATCAAATGAATCAAACGTCAATGATGAAAGAATAGGTGAGTTATTAAGATTGATTATCAAGATTTATAAATTTGTCACTTATCATGACTTACCATTTGTATTACAGAGAGATGAACACTTTATCCCTTGGGCCAACCTATTCGTTAAAATTATCCAATTACCTTTACCCACTAATTTTGTAAATAAAGTTGATAAAGAATCAAGAAGCCATTACTCTTGGATTAAATGTAAGAAATGGGCTTATGCAAACCTGTTCAGATTATTCCAAAGATATGCTTGTAAATCTTTATCCGGAAGATACGACTATGCTGATTTTAGGGTCATGTTTATTGAACATTTCTTACCCCATTTTTTACAGGTCATGTTTCAACAAATCGAACTATGGGGTAACGGTTCTCTATGGTTAAGTGATGAATCTTTATATTATATTTTGAATTTTATTGAAACTTGTTCCACCCAAAAGAAAACATGGCCATTGATCCAACCACATTTTGAAATCATTTTAAAATACGTTATCTTCCCATTATTAACACCAAACGAAGACACTTTAGAGACTTTTGAAAATGATCCACAAGAATACATTCATAGAAATTTAGAATTATGGGATAACGATTATTCTCCAGATTTGGCTGCTACATCAGTCTTAATTACTGCTATTGGAAGACATCCATCATTAACTTTACCACCAACTATGGAGTTTATTGTCCAAACTTTACAAACTAACGTGTTGAATTCAAATACCACATTAGAACAAGCAGTTCATATTGAATCTGTATTAAAAATGTTTTCAAGTATCTTGGATAAATTATTAGAAAAAAAATCACCATATCGTAACGACATAGAGAATTTGTTAAACACATTGATTTTCCCTCTTTTCAATTCTAGTTATGGGTTCTTAAAGGCTCGTGTCTGTGATATTTGTTCTAAAATCGGTGATATCGAATTCAAAGACCCAAAGCTTATCGAAATCATTTTTCAAGGCATCATGACATGTTTGAACGATTCTAGTGATTCATATTTACCAATCAATCTTTCTGCATCCCTAGCTTTACAAACATTTATCTCTGAACCTTACTTTAAAGAGACTCTGTCAGGATCAGTGGTTCCAATCATGCAAAAATTGCTATCTTTATCTAATGAATTTGAATCCGATGCAATATCTGGTGTCATGCAAGAATTTGTCGAACAGTTTTCTGATCAGTTACAACCATTTGGTGTGGAGTTAATGAATAATTTGGTTCAACAATTCTTAAAGCTGGCCATAGACTTAAATGATGCATCAAATATTGATCCTGCTACTATTATGAATTCGGATGATATCCCAGATGAATCTGATAAACAGATGGCTGCATTAGGCATTTTATCCACCATAATATCTATTCTTTTATCGTTTGAGAACTCTTTAGATATTGTAAAAAATTTGGAACAATCATTTTATCCTGCTGCTGAATTCATATTAAAGAACAATATCGAAGATTTTTATCGCGAATTAAGTGAATTTTTCGAAAACTCGACATTTTTGTTACGTCAAGTGACACCAATCACTTGGAAAGTTCTGGAATTAATTGGCGAAGCTAATCGTAAGGATGATAGCATGATTTCGTACTATTTAGAAGATTTTATGTTAATGCTCAATAATATCTTATCATATGGGGGTGAAGAATTAAGAAAAAATGGATTTTATTTAAATATACTTTTTGAGATTTACGCAGATTTCAGTATTACCGAAGATACCTCATTGGATGAATTAAATGTACTTTTCGATCTATCACAAAAATTGACAATTGCATTAGGCACACAGTTGCCTGATGCAGTGAGAGAGAAATTTTTAAATGACTCTTTACAAGCTATTTTAACAGAAAAGGATATATTGAAGACTAATATTGTGTTTGGCGTTACATCATTCAATGTTATTTTAGCTAATATCGTTTCAGCACCAGCATTAACGTTAAAATACTTACAACAATGTAATGCACTTGAATTATTCTTTGATATATGGTTGAACCATTATCTAGCACATTATACAAGAACGTTTGATATTAAATTATCCACAATGGCATTATTATACCTGTTGACTCAATTAACCGAGGTTGAATTGACTAATTTTTCCATTGCAAGAATATTACCTAAATTAGGTGCCGATCTAGTTGATCTAATAAAAAGATACCCAAAAGCTGAACGTGAATTAGCAGAGAAACGTAAAGAATATACATCTTTCGATAATAATCCAGAATCTACATTACACTTCAACGATGATGATGACAACGATGGCGCTTGGGATGCAGATGGCGATGATGAGGTAGCAGATAATGAGGACGATTTAATTGTCCAAAAATTCTTGGATGAATTGAAAAATAAAGATGATTCAGGATTCCATAATACTTTCAGTTTCAACGACAACGGTTCATTTGATGACTTGGAAGAAGACCCATTGACCAAATCTATTCTTGATGATATCAATATCTACTCATTAGTCAAGGCCTCTCTATCTCATATGCAGCAAGCTGATGGGTCAAAGTACCATGCAGTATTTGGTCAATTGACTACAGACCAACAACAATGCCTGTTGCAAGTAATAAATTCCTAACTTTCCGTCATCTTACACCTACATATATATGTATATTTGTGACATACATAGATTTAGTTATCTGTTTGTGACACTGTAAAATATATTGAAATGGATAATAGCAACTACTGATTGCTTGATTCAGTAGCAACAGTGTTAGTAATAGTAACAATAACAGTAGCAATAGTCAATAAGTAATTTATGGACTGTTGATGGTGGAAGAACCTGCTTATGGAAAGAAGTTTTATATAGTTACATGCTGTGGGGCACGGATGTTGTGACACTACTGAAAATTTTTCTATCTTTTCTTGAACCGGCAGAGTGAAAAATTTTGAAAAGAGAGCCAACTACATCAATTTTGATGTCTTTGTTCATCTCATCTCATCTCATCTCATCTCATCGCAATTTTTTACAACATCTCTGTTAGTCAAACCAAATATCAATTGAGACACTCACACGAATACATTTTATCTCTGGTCTCATATCTTAGCTTACAGGATTTGATCTTTTAGAAAAAGTGAGAAGAAAAGATTAGACAAAATAAAGATCCAAAAAACTTCAAATAGATAGGTTGAAAGATAATTAGCCACACAAGAATAGATTGGATTTAAAAAGTCGACATGGAAGGTGAGCCAAAACAAGATATTATTGCAAGTTTTTCGCAGGATGCGAGTAAGTTTGCATTTCAAGCCAATCTCTCACAAAAAAATGGGATTGATGTATATCCATTAGATCCTACAACTGGCTATAAGATCAATAGTTCTTTTGTTAGTTGTGTAGACTATGAGAGTACTGAATTTCATGCCTCTGATTTATTATTTTTAAATTGGTGTAAAAGTATTGATACTCCAAATATTGGTAGTAGACAATCAAAGAGAAAACTAGTAGAGGATAACGCTCCTGAAAGTAAGGATAATGATAAAAGAGAGCTCAAAACAGAAAATTTTTTTGTTAATGCATTTCCTAAGGGACAATTAGTAATCTATTCTTCCAATGGGAAGGATATTGTAAACATCATTCGTAATAAACAGGAAATTATAGGGCTAGATACTGTAGATAACAATATCTGGATTCTTGACTCAAACAAAATAGTCAAAATTTTTGACTATAAATCAAATAAACCATTGAAGACCTTTACTTTAATCGATGGGAAAAATGAAGATATTACTAATTTCCAAGTCTTTAAAATCAATGAAAATGAGATTTTGATCATAATATTCACTGAAAATAATGTTTATGTCATCGATCCAAGTAAAAGGAGGCCATCAACAAAAGCCAAATTCGAAATATTCGGTGGAATCTGTGGTGGTATCTCCTTTGATGGGCAATATATTGTGATTGCAAACATTGATAATTTATATGTTTATGATATTCAAAATCAGGAATTGATTAAATCATGGTCTTTACAAGTAGAAAATATAAAAATTTTTAACAATAATTACATATTTGCATTAACCACGAAGGGTCAACTTTTAAATGTCTACCAAATTGGTCAAGATGATGCCGTAAGCTCCATTAAAGTTGCTAATTCTGAAATACTTGACTTCACAAGAGTTAGGGATGATATGAACAATAGTAATATTCTAATAGCATGGTTAAATGTTAATGAACCAAATTTTGAATTGTTTACCTTAGATACCATTATTTCAAATAAAGAACTCATAATAAACAAAGAAAGTGTTGAGTTAGATACTATTAATAATCATAGCAAAATAAACGAAGAAAGGAAAAAGGACATGGAAGATTCAAAAAGTGAAAAAGTTGATAAATCAAAGGAAGAAGAAGAACCAAAAGAGGATGCTAATGTAAATGAAACGAAGGATAATAAAAAGAATGAAAACAAGCAAAAGAAGAAGATTACAAAGAAAGAACAAAACTCAGTTGTATCCCAATTAATTTCTCTAATAGAATCTCGTGGATCTGAATCAGAAATTATAAATAATCTAACTTCAGCAAATACATGGAATGATGCTAGAGTTTCTTGGTTTATTAGTAATTATATCACTTCCGAATCTATAGCCACATTTCTCTTCAAGTGTATTACCAATGCATTACAAAGAAGAATATATGAAGAGACTACACTTTTAAATACATGGTTAAAATGGTTGTTAACTTTAGTTAATATCCCAAACAGTTTTAAACATGATAAGGTAAACAAAAAAACATTAAAACATTTTAAGTCCTCATTAAAGACCTCCAGTGAATCTTTACCAATATTGTTGGGTATTCAGGGGAAATTAGAAATGTTAATCAGACAAGCTAAATTAAGAGAAGAACTGTATAATTTATCACTAGAAGAAGCAAATACGACCAATGTCCCAGATAATACAGTAATTGAAGAAGGTGAAGGGCAGAATAATGATGAAAGCGAGAATATTAATTATGTAAATGGTGAGACTGATATTTTTGTTGATGCACAAGAATAAAAGAAGACTATTTAAATATAAAACACAACAATCTACAGTAACAATATTTACATACAGATAGAAATATATATTTGTATATGGATATTTATAAATCTATAGAAATGTAGAATAATAATGGTTAAAATGGATATATTAATTCTAATACATAGAATATCCAAATTGTAGCGTATTCAACAGAAAATGTTTCTGATTGATTAGCCAAAGTTTAGCACGAATAATACTACACCAAATTTTTGGAGCACACATTTTTAATATACCGCAAAATATGAAAAACTTTAAAGTGAACAAAAGAAAAAAAATTATTTCAAGAAACAAACCACAAGGCAAACAATAGAGATGAGCTTATTGTGGATATTCTACTATTGTCAGAGTAGTCAAAAAATTAAGATATTTATACTAGATTAATACAGAATTATAAATTCACAATGTCTGAAATTAAAAAATACTATATCTCTTATAATAACGTTCATAAATTATGCCAAAAGGTAGCTAAAGAGATTTTAACGAGAAACGAAAGACCAGATATTATTATTGGCATCTCTGGAGGTGGGTTAATCCCAGCTAGAGTTATCAGATCCTTTCTAAAACAAAAAGGGGAGAAAAATATTCCAATCCAAGCTATTGGATTATCATTGTATGAAAGTATGGGAAATATGAATGAAGGTATGGAAAGAATTGGTAAAGAAGTTGTTAGAACCCAATGGCTAGACTTTGGTGCGCTTAAAGAACACTTTGATTCATTAATAGGTAAGAAAGTTCTTATTGTTGACGAAGTAGACGATACAAGAACAACCTTACATTATGCTGTCAATGAATTACAAAAAGAAGTTGAACAACAGCAACAACTATTGAATAGATTGAATGAACCAACAACATTTTCTGTCTTTGTTATTCATAATAAGGACAAACAAAAAAATGCTGAGTTACCTAATGAAATGTTGGAAAGTGGACGTTACTATGCAGCAGAAACAGTTCCAGATGAATGGTTAGTATACCCATGGGATGCTGATGACATTGATGACCATACCAGATTAGCCAAGTTACAAGGCCACGACTAATCAAAGACAATAACAAGAAAAAAAAACTCCATCACATGATAAAGTAAATATTTATATTTAAATATATATATATAAATATATGAGTAGGAATGCCCTTTTATTTAGTCATTTCTTGCATCTGTACCATTTGTTGTACCTGCTGCTTCATCATTTCCTTCAAATCTTGTACATCATTTTCTAATTCCTCTGCATATTCGGTTTTTTCTCCTAATACTTGTAAAGCTGTCTCAAGTTGATTTTCTAACTCAGTAACTTTAACTTTCAAAGAATCTCTTTCTTGCTGGAAAGTCTTTACTTTTTCATTCTCTTCAATCAATTTCAACAATTCATCATTGGCACTATTTTTTTCATCCTTTAATTGATCATACGCTGCTTGTAAAGAAGTTAATTCACCCTCCATACGTCGAACCTCACTACCAAGTCTACTAACCAACTGTGCATTAATTTGATTATTATTACTACTTATTATAGTATTGTCATTAACATAGACATCTCTATTATTACGATTATTGTTAATTATATTATCACCATTATTAATATTATCTGTTGAAGGTGAAAAAATACCGCTTATACCAGATACTGATGGGATATTAGCTAACAATTGTGATGTACTTGCTTTACGCTCATAATTCAAGGTTGATATAGAGCTTGCCCTTTTATTTAATAAAAATGAGTCTAAATTGGAAGATGCTTCTGGAAAATGGTCAAAATTTTTATCACTAACACTTCTTTGATTAAATGGCATGTTTATATCATCAAAAATTTCTTCAGGGTGTCCATCGACAGTTAGATCTCTTTGAATTGGTACTTCATTCACATCGTTTACTTTTGGTAAGATTAATGACCAATCATTTCCAAATTTTAACGAGATGGTGCCATTACTTTCAGTTTCAAAATCACTATTATTTTCTTCAACGGTATTGTTTTTATTAAGTGGGGAAACTGATCTATCCTGGTCTTGAAACTTTGGAAGATTCGTATTACTAGTAAGGTTATTAGCCAATTGTTCTTTTTGAATCTCAAATTTTTTTTGTAATAAAGCATAATCTTCGTTAGTCTCTTGTAGCGAGTTCAAAAGTTTATTCTTTTCGGACAATAGGCTACTGATTTTCAAATTATCATTATCTATTATTTTATTCTTTTTAGTTATATCATCCTTGAGTGTTTGTATAAGAATATCATTATTTTCATGTGCTAACTTTAATTTATTAATCTCCATATTAGAGGAATCAACTTTTTCTTGTAGATCAGATAATTTAGAATTTAAAGTAAATTCAATACTGTTCCAATTGGCTTTACTAGAATTGAATTGTTCTTGGAGTGTGAAATATTGAGTCTCCCATGAAGCAAAAGTACCTTTAATAGAATTTGTATTATTTTGATCATTAACAGTCGCATTATTATTACCATCATCATTACTACTACCATATTTATCAGATTTTTGATCATTATTGTTAAAACCTTTATTAGTATTACTAATGGAAAAATTTATATCTTTATTTGGATGAATGAACTTTTCCAATTCGATTCTCAGTTGTTCTAATTTACTCTCTAAAGTCGTGACCTGATCTCTAGTAGCCTCCTTAATAGAATTCTTTTCTCTTACATAAGCTTCTCTTTCTTTTATCAAAGTGTCATTTAAAGTATTAACCTTTAGTTCTGTTTCATTTAAATGTGATTTTAAACGTTCAATAGTATCATTTCTTTCCTTTAAATCATTTTTCAACTCAGACACAGTTTCATTATTCTCCAAAAATTTCTTGAGTTTAATGCTATTCTCTTTCAAATCATTCTGAAGTTGTTTTAATGATAGATTCTTACTTTTTAAATTATTTTGCAAAGACTGATTGTTATTTTGTAAACTAGTGATCTTTTGTTTATTGGATTCCACAATTTTATTGAAATTTCGATTATCTTTATCTAATCGATCAACATCTTCCCTAAGGTCTTCAATAAGTTGATCCTTTTCTTTTACTAGTTTCAATAAACTTGAATCGTTATTGTAAGTTTTTTTAGAATCAATGGTATTGTTATTTTTTTTCAACGTTTCAATATGAGGTTTTAGTATTGTAAGTACATCCATCACATTCAAAGAAGTATAGTTGTCTGGCAACCAATCTTTAAATAGTGTGAAATCATCAGTTTGTACTGTTTTGTTTTTTTCAACTTGTGTTTCTTTAAAATCATTCGAGCCCAGCAAATTATCCTCAATAGACCTGTTTTTTATCTCCTTATCATTTTCTTCATTATCTTTGTTGTTAATATTGTCATCATCATTAATTGTTTCTTCATGATCTATATCATTAAGATTTGTCTTAACTTTAGCAGAATCCAATCTTTGCCTTGCATCCTGACTAGATCCACTGATATCAGCTTGTTGAGTCTTGTTATCATCGATTTCTTTAGTTGACCCAATAGTTTGGGTCTGTAATTTGTTTATACTAGCATGTGCTGCATTTCTAGAAGACTTTGATTTTTTTTTACCCTTCTTGGCAGCTAAAGATAGTCTTTCTTCTAAAGAAAGTTTCTTAGTAGACATTTCTATCTCTACTGATCTCTATTTTTAAAATAATTTGGATACAGTTGGAGCGATTGTTATGAATCGACACGTTTACTACGATGTCCAAAAAAAGAATAAAAAAAGAAAAAAATAAAAAAAAATAGAAAGAGTTCAATGATCAGCCAATCCCAACATATCAGCAACTACTTCTCTCTATCTCTTTTATTTTCTCTCCTTCTTGATTTATCAATCTTTCGATTCATTCTTCATATTTTGAAACATTTTCTTCATTATTTTTTTTTCTTTTTCCCTTCCAGCAGAAATTTTCCATTTGACGTTTTCCCTTTGCTGTTGGGAAAGAAGAGAAATGGGATCATCTACACTGAAATGACACAGAAGTAGAAGTAGAGAGGGATTATACACACACAGGAACAGAGGAACAGAAGAAGAACTAAGGTTATTGGTTGGTATAGTGGTATCGAAAAAATTAAATATACACTAAAAGAACTTTCTGTGGCTTTAGTTATTATTGAGTGTCATTAAATCAATAATATAGAAAAGAAAAAAAGAGTAATATGGGAAAATGCCTCAAGGTAGCGTATACTACCTGCTTAAATATCTTCAGCAAAATTTATTAGCGTTACTTCACGGTCCTCACTATATCCATAATTTTTGGATTCTGCTACATTAATCAAGTCACCACTCAAAAGAATTCTATATAATTCTTTTGTATATTCGTTGACTTGGAAAGAATTCACTGTCAATGGTGTTTGATCATTTAAATTTATCAACCTTTGGAATAAAGACATTACTGTATCTGTATCTTCATCTGACAGTTGTGTTTTTGAATGAAAAAGATTCTTTTGCACAATATGCTTTAAATCTTCCCAATATTTATTGTTTTGCTCTTTTAATACCTCATTTGTAATTGTTTGCGGTGATACTATAAAGGCGCTTGAAATGTCACTGTTTTCTTTAAAAGCGTTAATTAATTTCAATAAATTACTATTGATTGCTTTTTGATTTGTACTGGACTCTTCTAATATACTCTTGTAATCATTCAAATAATCTAAATAGGATTCACTTGTCTCCTTTCTTGTGAGATTAGAACAATTGGCAAGGCTTAACCCAATCGGGTCTGATCTCTCAGGAAATATTAACGACCTTTTCAATAAAGATTTCCAAACTTTATCGTTAATGGGTTTAATCTCTTTAAATCTGGGGTCTTTTAACTTTTGATCTTTTAAAAGTTTGATTGTATCTAATGCTTGCCTTAGGAAATCCTCTTTTGTCGCAATTTGTCTTTCTAAAGTTTTTAAATACGCATCTAGCAACCAATTATTTGTTTCATCACCTGATTGAACACTATTCATTATTATTATTATTATTGTAATTATTATTGTCCAGATACAATATCCTATCTCCTATATATTATAATATCTCTTTTTCTCTCAGCCCTAGTCGCACATACACACACATACACACACATATATATATATAAGCACAGAGACAGACTTATTTACTCTTCTTTATCTAATACTCACCGAGTTGACTACAATATTTTTTTCTGAAGAAGATATCTTCCCATCTGCACATGTCTCTTTACTTCTGTTCCTTTCTTACTCTCCATTTTTTCATTCTCGATCTATATTTTATGTATATTTTTCAATTAGAGGATGATGCAGAGAGTTTGCAGGCTATCCATTTGTGGACTTCCACAAAGAAATAAAATAATTTCCTCATCATGAACCAACCATTAAATACAAATAATACCACGTTCTCTAGCAGTCGTGTTATATAGTAATTTGCCCTAGACCAAAAAAAAAGAAGACGAAAGAAAAGATACAGACTAAACAAATATAAAACACATACAATTGATATTTAAGAATGTCTTCTATCGATGCTAGTGAGATTGCTAAACTTGATAATGAATCCAAGAAGGAATTATTAAACTTTATGGAAGGGGAGAATTCAAAACAAAAGATTCAAATGTCTGTACATAAATTTACTAAAATTTGTTTCCCTAAGTGTGTAACCAATGTGGAAGCCATGCAGTTATCTTCTGATGAACAAGAATGTATGGCTAATTGTGTCAACAGATTCTTGGATGCCAATATTAGGATTGTCAATGGATTGCAAAATAGTGTTAGACAATAGTTTAAACCTTCAAACCCTTAGATATTCGTTTTCCTCTATTTTCTATCGACTATTATATATGTACTTGTATTATATATATAAAATAATTTTTTTTGTTAGCATGTTTAATTTAAATATCCTTATATGTAAATAGCTTAATAATAATATCTTTATGATAGTCTTCTTTAATTAAATAATCTTTTATTTGTGAAACATTCACCGATTTAACCTCCATTTGTCTTATTAAGTCATGTAAACATTTCAATCTATCTTTGCCTAATTTACCTTCAGTTTCACATTTGATCGTTATCATAATAATAAGACCCATTATATCATATCTATGCGCCTCTATCCTTTCCTTAGGTATTAATTCCACTATCAAAATTTTAATAAATTCTATTATTTTATCTACAATAGAATCAAACAATGTAAAGAAAGGATCTTTAACCATAGTTTCACCAATTACATATATTATCCTCTGAAATATAATCAAACTTGCTGCGTCTAGTAATCTTAATATAGTGATTAATTGATTTATAGCAAACAATAATAATTTTTCATACTTAAAACCTTCACATCTTGGTATACTATGTTGCAAAATAACTTCATTAGCTAATTGTACTAACATACTATTATATTGATATTTGTCAAACTTAGTAGGTGAATAAGAATTGGTCTGTAATTGGTACAATTTAATTAATGTTGGGAAAACTGTTGACCAAATCCTTAAGGTATCCTCAGGTTTAAAGCTAGGTGGTGTGAAAAATAACATATTTTTTAAGATTGGTTCAAATAAAGGGAATATACCAGTATCTTGCACCTGTATCCATCTACCCAACCCTTTATTATTACTATTATTACAAGTACTACTACTACTACTACCACTACTAGTATTATTATTCTTATTAAAACATATTAACAATTGGTAAAATAACTGTATAGATGGTAGTTTAATTTCTTCTAAATGATCTGTATCATCCATAAAATTCAATATTCCAGGTATTATCCAAGAAAGATTCCCAGATATATCCTTATGTTGTAGTTTCGATAATATAAAATAAAATAATCCAATATACCTTGTTTCGTTGTTTTGATACCATTCATTTCTCAAATTATCTTCTTCCATAAATAAACCCAATTTTGGATTTAACCCTACATTTCTATTACCCTGTTTTATAGTTTTATCATTCTTGATTCGAAGCAAGTGTGGTTTTAAATGAAGTATCATTGTATTAATAATAATGTCCGTCTCTTCCACTTCTTTTGTGTCCAAATACGTCCAGATTTTGTTTAAATTCAACTCTAGTCTCCTTTTCTGTTCATCTAGTATTGTAGTATCACACAGAAAAAAGTTAAACATTCTAACAATTGAATTAACAATCTAGTGCCATCTACGGGCTCATTTTCTTCTCTCTCTGATCCATCTTTTATTAATCTATCTAAATTTTCAACTGCTTCAACCTTGTCCAGTATAGTATCCAGTTGTTTTCGACAGATCTCATACTCTGTCCTTATATTATTATTACATTTAACCATCCATTTCTCAATGTAATTTAATGATGCCATTGCACTATTATCAAATGTCCAACCACATTACTTCTGATAAAAAAAGTAATTGTAAAGAAGTGAAAACACTCTAAAGTCACTATTTCTTTTTAAGTTATTATCTTTAGCGACCTGTTCTTTCTATTCTGTTTTTAATGAAATACAATTTATTAGAGTCAGTTTGAAAACCCATACATCTCTAAAGTGGTTCAAGGTTCTACACATAATACACATATCATTATTACAGTTATAGACATATGTGTTCTTTTTACATGACACTATCGATCCCAGTCAGTATACTAATTGGTTATAGTTGCGATATTAATAATAAAAGTAATAAGCTGCTTTTTTATAAATACATAATTGGGTATAGACGGTAGACAAATAAATAGGATTTAATAAATACATACATACATACATAAATAAATAAGGCTATAAAAAATTGAATGACATTAAATTAGTTAAACACTCTGTTCTTAATAGGCTTCTTCGGAAATATCATCATGGAAATATTTACCTTCTAAAGTTGGTTTGATAATACCTGCTCTAATACAGAAATCACCAAAATGTTCACCTTCATTCCTTTCAAGAGCCCATCTCTTAAATAATGGTCTCACAATATCAACAATATCCTCATCCTTAACAGAAGCCCTGTATAGTTTATTTAATCTTTCACCGTAGTAACCGCCGCCAAGCATGATATTGTATGTGTTTGGTGCTTTACCAATAAAAGCCAATTCTGCTAACCATGGTCTAGAACAACCATTTGGACAACCAGTCATTCTTGTAACAATAGAGTCATGACGTAACCCATATTCTTCTAAGATATCTTCTAATTGAGTGATTAATACTGGTAAATAACGTTCTGATTCCGTCATAGCTAAACCACAAGTTGGTAAACCAACACAAGATGTAGATGTTTGTCTAATACCAGATAGGTCAGTATTATCAATACCATACTTATGCATAATTTTCTTAACTTTATCTAAATGTTCATCAGTTATGTTACATATCAAAATGTGTTGGTTACCAGTCAGTCTAAAGTCACCAGAACCTGTCTTCTTCAAATATTCAGCAACTGTTCTAAAACCAGTCTTTTGTGGTTTATCTGGTGTATCCACAATCCTACCATTTTCAACAAAGGCAGTGAAATGGTTCATACCAGTCTCATCCTTTACCCAACCAAAATAATCACAATTAGATTTGATTTCGAATGGTTTCTCTGGACCAAACTTCTTACCAAAGATTTCTTCCACCTTTTCTTTAAATACTTCAACACCCATATCATCAATAGTGTACTTCAAACGGGCATGTTTACGATCAGTACGGGAACCGTTATCTCTTTGAACAATAAATACACTTCTAATAGCTGAAATAACATCTTCTGATTTAACAAAACCTAATAAAGAACCACGTCTTGGGTAAGTCTTTTTATTGTTGTGAGTTGTACCCATACCACCACCAGCATACATGTTATAACCAACAACATCATCAGTCTTTGGATCAACAATAGCAATCAAACCGACATCAGAAGACCAAACATCAACATCATTATAGGGAGGAACTGTAATATTGACCTTAAACTTTCTTGGAAGATAAACTGGGCTGTACAACGGTTCAATGTCAACTAATGAATTGTCAGATAATTTAGTCTTCTTACGATTTGGACCAGATTTTCTGCTTTGGAACAAAGTTTCCCAATTTGGATCTTCATCTCTTTCATCTGGACCATGCAACCATAAATCATAGTAGGCTGTAGTATTTGGTAAGAAATATTCTGAAATGTCATAACCCATCTTAGAAACTTGCTTATGAACCTTGGCATTAGCAGGAAGAGCAGTGACCATAACATTTCTGTTCACATCACCACAAGCAGCTAAAGTATCTAGTAACCTAGAATTCATGGCTCTGATAGCATGCTTGATATTCTTCTTTAAAATACCATGCAATTGCAGAGTAGCTCTAGTAGTAATTTTCATAGTGCCATTACCTGTTTCATCAGATAATTGATCCATAATCAACCATTGATCAGGAGACGCAACGCCACCTGGCAATCTGATTCTACACATAAAAGCGTATAAAGGCTCAATACCTTGTAGTTTACGAATTTCTCTAAGATCACGATCATCTTGAATGTAACAACCATGAAATTTAGTCAGTTGAGAATCATATGGATGGATATTCAAGGTACTTTCATCAGCAAGACTCTCTGCAATAGTACCTCTTAAAAAGTTGGAGTTGCTCTTAATATCTTCGTTAGTCCATGGTTTTTCTTCTTCAATACTTTCAGCAGAGACACCCAAAGCCTCCCATAATTTAGGCTCCCATTCATTATAACCGGTTTGGAAACCATCAGCATCTTGATCATCACCTAAACCCAATGGAGTCAAGGCATTGGCAGCTAGTAATTCCAAGCGGGTAAAAAGATCCTTAGCCGGTTTGTTATAGTAACGTGCATCTTCCTTTCTTGGCCAATATTGAGAATCACCCAACCCGAAGACAGCAAAGTTTAGTGTGGATAAATCTAAATCAGTAGCTGCCTTTAATTCTTCCCAAAAAGTCTTACCATCTTGGGGAAATTCACCTTGGCCAGCAGTAGATGTAACAAGTACAACATTTTCTTCACCAGCTAAATCTTCTAAGATGATGTTATCCATAGATAATACAGTAGCCTTCAGACCTACTGAGATTGCACGTTTAGATAACCTAGTAGCAATGGTTGCAGCATTACCACCATCAGAAGCATAATATATATGTAATGGTGGGCCAGATAAACCTTCAAGCAATTCATCGTAAGCAGCTTTGGCTCTATTTTCTTGTTTCCTTGTAATGGAATCGGTGGCAGATAATTGCAGGTTTCTAGCCAATTCTGGACAATTTCTCGTCAATAGAGTCAATTTATTTTCACGATCCAAGAAATCTTCTAATTCTTTTCTAATGATCGAGGAATCTAATGTAAATGCCAACTGACCAGTGGAATCGTCTTCCTTTCTTGGATCGTATCTATATAATGGCCAATACCCAGACTCAACAGCATTTTTAGTCTCCTTTAATACTTCTAATGGTGTATCTCTTTCAGAGTTATATGGTAAATAAGCTAAGACGATAGATGGACCATGGAAACTAGATGCCTCGATAAAAGCAGTTAATAATTGAGTGTATGATGAATAAGCAGCGACAGAGGCAACATAAACGTCATGGAAATTCATAGCATATAACCCAACATTCTTCTTGTGATTGTTTGTTGAGCGATTTTTTATTTCACTGTAGGGTTCTGAATCGATAATTAACATATTTATGTTTTTCTTTGAGGCAAGGACATGATGAACACCAGAGTAACCTAAATCGTAGGACCAAGCATCAGACCCAACTAACCAGTTTGATTTGAATTGGAAATGTTCCAAAGTTGGAGCCAACTCCAGGATCTGCAACACAGCGTTACAATCTTGATTATCTTGTAAAATGGTGAATACTTGATTAGCTAAATCATTTGCTTCATTGAGTTGGGATTCATTTAAACCTAATTCATTAAAGGAAACCCATTTAGATAGAAGCTTAACAAACTCATTAGGGTCTGGGATAGTGGAGAACAAGGTTGGATCTAGTGATTGCTTAACTTTAGAAAGTAAAATGTCACGATCATGATCGTTTTTCAAAAATCCACCGAACCCGTATTCTGGAGTCTTAATATTGATTGTGTCGTTACCGTATTCATTGATGATATTTAGGTTGTTGTCGAACAATTGTTTTAAGACTTTAGTGTAGGCTGTCTCCAAATTAACGACGTTTCTGATGGCTTGGGTGTATTCATTAATATCTTGATTTGTAGATAAATCCTCACCAAGATACAAGGAGTGGTTTGGAGCCGAAGATTGAACGTTATTGACGATAGTTGTTAAAGCGGACTCAATATCAGTCAATGTGCCTACATTAGATAGTACAATTTGGTCAATTTTTCTTTCTGCCAAAAAAGTAAAATTATCAAAGAAGTCCAATAAAAGTGAATTAAACCCAGTACCTTGAGTTGGGTGATTCTTGGAAGAGCCTTCAACAATAGCGATCTTGGTGATGGAAGAAGGCAAACTAGAAAGTAGCTGAGGCAAGGTCCATGGTCTGTAGATTAGGACATCTACTAATTGAACATTCAATTTGTTGGTAAAGGCAGCGAATTTGGAGCCATAGGATGAAAGATTAATTAAAAGAGTGGTGGTAGAAGAAGAGGAAGAAGAGAAGAAGAGGAAGAAGAAATTTGGTCATTGGTTGGATATATTTTGAAATATTCAACAGTATCATCTAATTGGTAATTTGGAATAGGTTGATCATTCTGAAGATCGAATTTTGGTAAAGCCAATTCTTTGTTGTAAATTGTATTTTCTCCTATAGAATCGAAATTAATGAAATGGAAGACGGGCTGGTTATTAGAGAGAGCCAGAGTATAGACCAGTTTTCCATTAGTACATAGTGATTCCAAATCGTTTGATATAAAAGTTGGGAAGTCAAGATCCTTTAAAGCCGGGATGATTGAATAATCGTTCAGATCCAAATCGATATTGATCACGGTGGAGGAGTCTCTTAAGTTGTATAGGTGGGGTAAACTTTTCAATATGGTCAATTGGTCAGTAGTGATGGTGGTGAGTTCATGGTTAGTGTGAGAGGCTTGTATTTCTGAGACTATGTGATCGAAGGGGTCCTGAGAGGTGAATAATGGTATGCTATTCTCTGTGAAGTTATATTTAGATTTTAAGGAAGCTTCCTTTGTGCGAGCCGTGTAGTAAACTTTATTCCTTGGATATAATTTAGAGAGTTCAGCTAAGACATGATATAATGTCACTGCTGAAGCCAAAGTCATGTTTTTATTTTTTTATTTTTTTTTATTTTTTTGTTATTTTTATCTTTGATCTATTAAAATATTGTGGAGTTAATGAATGAATGAATAAATGAATGATTAAATAAATAAATAAATAAATTAATAAATTAATAAATAAATAAACAAACAAACAGATACATGAAAAAAATAAAACAAAAAAACAACAACAACAAAAGGTTAAATAGCTATATAGAAGAGAGATTCAACAAGCTCATTGGAGAAGACTAATGTTCAAGTATATATATATATATATATATATATTGGATAATACTGCTGGATAACACAGTAATGTGCCAGAGGTATAAGTTAAGACTACCACATTATTTATTGGAGATACATATATACAAGAGATCGAGAGTATAGAGATAAATAACTAAAGCTAAAAAAAACAACAAAAAAACAACAAAAATAAAAGTGAAAAAAGAGAGAGAGAGAGGGAGAGAAGACAATGATTGTTGTGTCAAATAGTGTTTCTTTTTGATGTCTCCACCACCACCACCACCTTTCTAGAGTTGAGAAAGACCGGATAAGAAACCAAGGGAATGAAGCAATAGAACAAACAAACAAACTATAGACAGCATACAAGGCATACGAGACTTCTTACAGCAAGAGACAGAGTCATCTTGTACGCCATGAGTTGGTTTGAATCATATTATCTCTCCGGGAAGTATTCATGCATCTTCTCTTCTAGGAAGACTCGATCAATCTTAACTTGGTTGGGGAATGTGTGATGACAGTATGGTTCCCACAATAAATGATGATGATACACAAATACAAATACAAATACATATACAAATATACAAATATACAGAGACACACACACACACACACAGTTTCCTCCGCTCTGCAAACAAACTGATTTTTCTCTTTGATGTGCCGCGAAATCGAAGTCCACCACCAAAGGAAAAAAAATATAAAAAAGTCCATTGAAGAAAAACTGTGGAGCTCTTCCCTTTGTTCAGAACAAAGGGAAAAAAAAAAAGAGAAAAACTGTGGGGTTCTGGAACCTCCCCTTTTTTTTTTGCTTTTTTTTTCTTGTGACGAACCGAAATGTGTAGGTGCTTATGACTAATACTTCTGTGAGATGTTTACGTCATCAGTGCTACAACATCACGTGACAGGCTACTATTTTTCTTCTTTTTTGTTTAGAAGATTAATATATAATCATATTAATACATAGTATAGTACAATATAATATAGTATACAGTCGTTATCCACAAGATTGGCTAAGAAGAAAAAAAAAAAAAGGAAAAAAAGAAAGAATGTTAGCCAACGTTGATCAATCAATCGTTCGTTCGAATACATATACAGTCTGAACGCTGAGTTTCAACTCTTCTAAGCTCATACCATCATCATTATCACTATCATTATCGTTACCCCTCTAGTACTAATAACCATATTCATTTCAATCTTGACACTATATACTTTATATTCGCAACAATGTCTTTATCATTAACTTCATTAAAAATATTCACTTCTTGGAATGGTATTTCGATATCTAATAAAACAGAAGTATCATTCTTAAAAAAAAAACCTTGTATCTATCTATCTATCTATCTATCTATCTATATATACGTGAGTGTGAGTGTGAATGTGATTTAGTGTTTACGTTTGTGTTTGTGTTTGTTGTTTTTTTAACATTGCAACAAATTTTAAAGGTTACCTCCGTTGTGAAAGGCTATTTTTATTTTTTATTTTTTATTTTTTATTTTTCCTTTTTTCTTTTTCTTTTTCTTTTTCATTTTCCATTTTATTTTCCATTTTATTTTCACATAGTTATTATCATTGGCATTTCCCTCTAGTATTGACTTAACCAGCAACAGACAATTCTATCATACTTCACTTACAGTTTCTTATTCCCTTCCCTGTAATAAAACCTCACTATCCTATTTTTAAATAAAAGCTCTTCTTTTTTTTTTTCTTTTTTTCCTTTTTCTTTTTTCTTTTTTTCTTCCTAAAAGAATGAGAAGATATGACTTCAACAACCACTATTTTTACTAGTTTGAATAATAGGCAAAAGAGATCTAAAAAGAATAAATCAAACCGTAAAACTAATAAAAACAAAAATATCCTCTCAAACACTAATAATGCTCAATTATCTAATTTCAAAAGACCAAATAGTCCCCATATTATAAATTCCGCTACAAATGCTAATGTGATCACTTTAAATTCAGGTAGTTTGGTTGTTGGCTCTCTGAATAATTTGAATACAAAAAACGAAACAAATATTCATGCTAATAGTCAGAACCTATTAAAAGATGATAAAAGAAATAAATTCCAAAAATTATTATCCATAAATGCCAGTACCACTGCTACTTCCAATAATAACAATAATAATAGTAATAATGGTAACAGAACCTCCCTCAAAGGAATTGATTCAGACATTCATGACAACATAATAGATGATGATACCGTTGCAAACCCAAAAAAACATAAACCAAAGACATATCAATTGGAAATAATGTATCATGAAGCAAGATTTTGTAATGACCTCATACTTTTAAATTTAGAAAAAATTAAGGGAATCAAAGAAGGTGATTTATGTGAATTAAAAACTTATAACCACAACTATAAGAATAAAAATGAAAATTCTTCAAATAAAAAAAAAATTTATTTCATCGCTAAAGATTTTAGTGAAGAATTAAGACAAAAATTTAAAAATTCCAAAATCTCTATCATGTTAGGTCAATTGCAAACATTATTAGACATTCCATCAAAAACCAAAGTATGGGTCAAAGTTAAGGACAAAAACTTATACGAAGTTGATACTATAGAAATTAACATTAAGGATTGCTCACTGAATAGAGGTGATATGTGGGTTTTATCATCAACCTTGGTTAACACTTGTGTGTTCAATAATCAGAAACTATTATTCTTAAATTCAATAAGAGGCACAGTCAAAGGTATCTACAGGGATGGTACAAAGTTGGGTTCAGGTTACATTGGTGAAAGGACCAGAATTGTATTTAGGTCTGAATCAGCTAGATTAATATTCTTAATTCAAATAACTGAAGAAATGTGGCATTTTGATGAAACTGGTGAACAGTTATTTCAAAAAATGATAAATTCTTTTTCCCTAAGATATTTAAGAAATGGAAAGAAATAGATACACACCATTTAATTACAATAGCTTTTTCAATTTCAATGGATTTATCAACTAGTTCTTATAAGACACTGAAACCAGGTGAAAAATTGAAAAACGCAACTGATAATTATCGTATAGTAGTTGATCAAGTTAGTATTGTTCATTGGGTGCAAATTATGGAAATATTATGTAAAGAATTTGCAAATTTAAGAGAAGATTTATTAAATATTAAAACTGACAAAGGGTATACTTTAATAAAAGGTAGGTTTGCCCCAATAATCAAATCAAATTTTTTAGAAATGATCAATTTTGCTACCACAGTCTTGATTGATCCCTTTAAACAAGTAGATCTCAGACATACAACCACTCATGTAATGATCATATCTCCCGGATCAGGCTTATATGATGTTGATTATGACTTACTAAATTTAACAGGCAGGAAACTACTGTCCTTGGAAATGACAATGGACTTGATATGTTTATCAAGAGCTCCATTGCATGTTGTACCATTATTCAGATATTTAGATTATGAAAAACAATTACACTATTGTATACCGCAATGGCTCAGCATTTTTTTTTGGAATGACTCCACAAAGAATAAACACGAATGGCATCCCCGTTGTCAAATCTATGATCTGCAGATGATGGGGTTAACTGACAATGAACTTGTTAAACGACCTGAGGTTCCATGCCTTCATTGTGACAAACACACAAAATCTATAGCAGATCTAATATATACAATTGATGAAACAGTTTTTAGTCCTGTCGATGAAAATAACGAACCCATGAACAAAAAATTACATAATACTTTCTCCTGCGAACTTGATGCCATACATGAAAATGAAAACAATACTAATGTTATTGGATTAAAAAATACCCCCAGACTTGTCTGGAGTGCACCTATATACTCAAAACCTGTTATACAAGAAACGCAACAGTTTAATGTAACTGGTGATTTATCTCTTACTGGTTCCCCTAGCAACTCTAATAACACTAATTACAATCATGCAACTAATAACAAGCATGAGAATAACATTTTAATTTACAACTGCCAGGATAGATCAACTGTGATATCTTCCAAAAATCAAGATGCAAAAGATTTAAACACTGATTATCATCCAACGATACCCAACAGAACATGTAATATCTCTGGTAATTCTGCAGCATTGAATTCACTTAAAAGTTTAACGAAAAAGGAATCAATTAGGGACATAACAAAAAAGCTTTTTACAAAATTTACTGGACTATCAAAGGAGACAAGTATATCTAATATTTCTGATTCAGTCAACCCTCAAGACAATAGCAAAAAAGATATGGGTAATGAACTATCTATGAAAGGAAAACGTTTCCGTAGTGAAATCAATTATCCCAAATCAGAAGACCAGAACCGTAAAGCTTTAATAATAAAAAAAAATCTTGATATATTTCGCTCTCATGAAGACAATGATGATTCTTCACAACTTCACAATGATATTAGATCTCATAGGGAGTCGATGGTTACTAATCAATCCTCAAAATTTTCTTATATTCAGAAACAAAACCACTTACTTCTTTCGTCTAATAGCCAACTTTACTCAGAATCCTTTGAATATCAATTCACTCATACATGTTTAAATATATCCAATCCCTCAATGCCTGTTACCGTAGATATGGCTGCTAAATTACTCCCATTAAGATGGAAAGATGTTTGGCCTAAATATATTGCTAAGAGATATAGTAAATGGCGTTCTTTCACTACACCAGCAGAATTACCTATAACCATATCTGATTTTCCAACCCCAAAAGATTTTGAAGACAACTTCTTCTTTAGAAATCATTCTGTCACCTTGAATATTGAACAAGAACAATATAATAAAACTGTTCTGGATCTACTCAAAGATATGATTTATGTAAGGCTAGTTGCAGGTTTTCAATTATGTGTAGGCCTCCCTGTAGAGCAAGTAGAAAAATTAAAGGATAAGGATGCCTTTGTGGTTGAAAAGTATATTGACACAAAAAAGTGGAATATTATCAAAATTTACATGATGATCGATTCAGAAATTCATAGGATATGTTGCAATCAATCGGGTGTAATTGATGTTCAAAGGTATCTTAGGAAAAATGACATTGATTGGTTTGAGCAGGTGCCTAGTTATCTTCCAATGGTAAGAACTAGATACGAAGATCATTATAGGAAAGCTGGCATGGACCCAATACATGCAGGTCGTTCATCCTTAAATTGGAATCAGATAGATCAAGTTTTAGCTGGATATGGTGATTATATAGTTGATAAAACTTGGCATGGATTCAGAGCCAAATTTGTTCTTTTGCCAGCAGAAGTACCACCTAATACATTTTCTTTAGTCATTAATGGCAAAAGTGAAACATTAACACCTGAAGAATTAAGATTGGAAGGCTTACGTAGAGTAATTTCTTCTATCACAAGAGCAAGAATTAAAACAGAACAAGAAAAGAGAACTAAAGCAGAAGAAATACAATCAGAGGTAACATTTTACACTGGATCATTATTTGATTTTATAAAAGAACAACATAATGCATTAGAAAGAACAGAAAGTCTGTTTATCAAGGGGAGTAGATTATTGAATAAAGACATTGAAATACCAAAATTAATTCAGGAATTACAATATGGTCCAAATAAAATCAGACTTACAACTAGAAAATGGCATTGGAAAAAGCACAGGAATAGCTTTCTTGGATCAGAAATGGTGAATTGGTTGATACAGAACTTTTCAGATATTCATACAAGAGAAGAAGCAATCGAATATGGGCAAAGCTTGATGGCTAAGAAAATATTTGTGCATGTTCTAAATAAACATAGTTTTCTAGATGGTCATTATTTCTATCGATTTACTCCCGAATATGAAGTGGATGAAAATCGTATTGAAAAAACAAACTCTTCAAACAATTCATTATTGGATTCCACCCAAGCTTTAAAAAAAATGCCGACAAATGGAACACAAGATACCACCGCAAAGACTTCTTTAACGTTATCACGTTCTACATCTTTAACGTCTAAGGACGATCAAACTGATGTTAAATCGTCAAAACCAGTTGTCATGTTAAGTAATTCCATCACTATTGATGTGGATCCATTAAAAAAGTCTACCAAACATGAAACTTGCACTGTGCATTATGATTGTGTGCATAACCCTGATCATTGCTTTCACATTAGACTTGAATGGTTAGCAACTACTCCAAAACTGCTAGATGATCTAATTGGAAATTGGTCTAGAGTATGCGAAAGATTTGGTCTTAGATTAATCGAACTTCCATGGCAGGAACTTTGCACAATTCCATCAACTAATCCCTTCCACTCTTTTGTTGAGATAACATTATCTATCAATCCATGGGAAGATCCTGAATTTCATGACACGCAGCTTTTGAGCCAAAGTAAATTTTACTATCATATCAATTTACTAACAAAAAGTGGATTCATGTTAGATAATAGAGCATCTTCATTGTTAGAAAAAGATGACATCTATTTTGATGTACAGTATTCCTGGGGTAAGCCTGAATTTAAATATGCTCAATATATCCATTACACAGGTACTTATATTGCTGAGATAAGAGAGAATGGCGATTTATTTTTGGCTCCAAATAATATATATATTACTCGAATGTCTCTAGGGAATAAAAATGGGAAACTCCGTAATAAACAAAAGCTTACACTCACACCTCAACAAATTATGGAGGATTTCAGATCACTTTGTACAAACTATGAAAGTCTAAGAATTATATTTCTGGAAATCAAGGAAGAATGGCTTCTTCATAAAAATGATAACGACTAAGGCATTTATTTTTTATAATATGTACTATATAAATGTACATACACACAGATATATATACTAATACGACATAATGCATTTTAGATTTAACTATGAATGTGAACAATGATTCACTAACAAAGTGATTTGATAATTACTTCACTTGATGTTAAACATTTGGGATTTTCTCTATTAGATCCTTAATTCTATCAAACGCCTCCTTTTTACTCACACGCTTTTTACTAGATGAATTTTTAATGGTGTCTGATGTTGGCAACTTTTCTGCTACTATTATGTTTTTCATATTATTTGAAACTATATTATCTTCATTTGATTCTGATTGAGATACTATATTTTTATTCTCAACATCTAATTTAGCGTTTATCCCAGGAATAAAGAAAATCTTAAAATATATTGCAAGACAAGGCCCATCAAATGTGATTCCATTGCTACTTCTTTTTAATTGATACGCTAACTTTAATCCTTCAGTGTATTTATTAGAATATTTTGATGAGTCAAATGTCTTTCCTAACTCTTCACTGGCAGACAAAAACTCATTATAATTTAAATTTGGTAATAATGTTTCAATATATTTATCATTAACATTTAATTTTTGATAAACACAGTCAATATAGCGCTTAATAGAATAATCAATTGCATTATTCACATATGCCATGGCTGATCCAAATCTCCTAATTTTTCTAATAATGATACCAATTGAATTGAAATCCCCTTTTTTAACCAACAGATCCACATAGAAAATAACATATTGATATGTATAAACAAAATGCTTACCTGGCCTTTCCAAATCAGGCTTCCATATATTTATTAAACTTTTATTACTACGAATTGATATAAATTTATCCATCAATTCTAAAGCTTTTTGATAATCCTTGAATTGTTCGAAGTAAATGCGTGCCATTCGGTATTGAAGTCTATGATGCCAATTTTTTTTATCTAACGATATTAAGTGCTCTAAAAATGTACAAATTTGTTGATAAAATAATTCATCTGAGTCCTCCCTATCCTTTAAGAATATTTTATCATTCTCTAGGCAATCCTTAAATATTACATCTTTCCTTAAAATATCCCTTGCAGCGTTTCTAGTTAAAGTCTTGGCTAACACATATTTATAACACATTACTACAAGTGCATAATGAGGCTCAATAATAGCATCTTTTTGTTCGGATGACAACATTGCATACGTACATGCCTTTCCAACCTTTTCAAATATGGTGTCAATAGAATCTTCTCTATTGAATTTAAAAAGAAGTTTAGCAATAAAATAATAATTCATCCAATTTTTTATAGTAGCATTATCTAAAATGTTGTTTTCTAACTCAATAGCCTTTGAAAAGCAAAGTAATATTAATTGTTGAATGTTGAAATCTGACATAGTTAATGTAGACGATATATGCATTTTCTCTACGTGAATATCATCAGAAAGTTTCAGTATTGGACCATCATAATTCCATTCAAAACATGTCTTTTCCATTGGCTTGTAATAAGATATCGTAAGTTCTTTCCCTAGTGACTCCAAAACCATTTTCAATATCGTATTGTCATCTTTATCACGATTTTCCTTTGAGTATAATAAAGACAAAGACATTAACAGACACAAAATTACTTTCCTTTGAGCAACAGCTATAGTGTTTTTCTTTTCCTTAGAGACTATTTTATCTGCAGTCCAGATTAAATCATCTTCAACAAGAAAAGAATAACACTGACCCAAAATATACCAACTCTCATACCTTTGCGTATTATACAAAATATCCGTTGTAATATTCTTGATTATATAATCTAACTCTGATGGCCTTGCTTGCATCATTTTTTTTCTTTGAACATACTGGCCTAGTGCTTGTACAGAAGATACGTAAAAAATTCCTGCATCAATTGCCTCTTGCAATTCATCATTAGGTGATGATAATATAACTTTTAGCTTTCCAGCTAAACATTTCTTGACAGTAGAAATTGTAATCGGTTGATTTAAATAATCTTTTAATCTTTGATGATTTCTTATAATAATATATTTTTCAGAAGTAATCACATCACCTATAGTCTCAATTATTTTATCAAATATTTGCTTGGGAATATTTTTATTACCACCGTAAAGAATAGGATGAGTATGTTGATATTGTAATTTTAACAAATATATTCCTAATATCAAGGATGCTGATTTAGTCATAGGTCTTTCAATTGTAGAATGTGGCTTATCTAGAAAACTATCTGAAGCAGTAGAAAAATGATATTTACACCATAAAACAGGTTTTAATTCACTGTAAGATTCATAATTCACATATTTGCATAGAATTTTTTCTATCAATCCCAAAAACAACTGGTTCAAGGAATCACAAAAAGCTAATTCTCCCAGTAAAGTATGAAAATTAGAAATTATTTTGATTGAAGAAGAACCATCTATCTGTTTTTTTTCTAACTCAAGATAATTGTTTGTAAAATATATGAGAAGTGAAATAATTGCAGTAATATACTCTTTAAGTCTAGCTGATGATTTGGTAACCCTACTGAAAAAAGATGTACAGCCAATACTCTCACAATTGCTTTCAAAGTATAATATAGGGTAATAAAAATAAAAAAGTTTTAATAAATGATCCACCTCAACAGAGGTGGTAAAAAGATTATTAAACTTCCAATGACTTAGATCCATAAATTCTGCAATCCTTTCAGAAAAACTACCTAATATAGAAAATATGGACAACAGTGTTGCCATTCTATCCTCTTTATCACTTCCCTGATACTCTCCAGACGACAAATATCCCAATAAAAACATACTCAGATTTATGTATACCCTTTTTAAAGATACAATATCATTTGCTTTTAAATAATAACTGAAAATAAAATCCCATAATTTTATTTTCAAAGTGAGAGGTGCATTCTGGATGAAATTAATCATATCATCATCTAACTTAATAGATTTTATTGTCGAGTTCGAATTATGTAACAATATTTTTTCTAGGTTATTGATATTTTCAATTTCTTGATCAATGTCTTCCAAATTAATTACCATAAAACGTTTTACTGCATTGATTCTCTTAAGATAAATTTCTATCCTCTTTGTATCTAATGTTTGTATACAAGCATAATTTGGATATTCTATCACAATGTCAGCAGGAAGTTGGGAGCTAAGCTCAATAATATTTGTCAAGACACTTACTGTTACGTCACCAGTAACATCATTCATATATTGTAAATAAGTGTAATAAATCCATTTTAATAAAATTTGTTGCTCTAAAGCACAATCATAAGAGATCAACAATGAATGTAAACGATTGATTTTTTTTTCCAATTTATTTCTCTGTGTCTTTAAATCAGAAACTTTATTCTTATTTGAATTTTTAGACACAATTTCTTCAGTAAATTGTCCAAGCATATTAACAAGGATCTCATAGATCGATAACCCTAGATACCATTTTTTTGATAGATTTTGTGCCACATATTCATAAAGATTAGATTCAATGGATAAAACCATTCCTTGAATAATTTTATACAAATCCTCGGACCATAAATAAGCAGTAATATATCTAGTAATATTGTCTGAATTCAAAAGATATTCTATTAACATAAATCTGATTTCATGAAAATGAGGAGATTTCTTATTAATCTTAGTTATAAAGTCAAATAGTTTATTGTCTGGGATTGGTTCAAACTCAGAAGAACTTTTTCTGGTATCCTCGGACAATTCATTTCTTAATAAAGAATTCAATTTAAATAAATCGAAATTAGCCTTCTCTGTAGATGAGATAGTATTTTTATCGTTTTTCTTGAATATTTCAGTGTGCCAGCTGTTCCATGATTTTAAACATTGGTATAAATCATCATAAAATATAAGTGATACATTCTCCCTATTTTTCTTTAAACTCAGATCGGTATATTTAATAGGAATATGACAACCTATGTTTGTATATTCACTCTCTAATTGAGTATTAAACGTTTTATGAAGTGTATTCGAAATAGAAGACACAGTCTGGGATTCTTGCATTTCTTTTGTTTTAACTCTTTTACTACTTCTTTGTTTAGGTATTGCATCTAGTAATTCTATTCGTCTCTTGTTTATGCTGCTATCTCCAGTAGTATTATTTTTATTATCAACGCTATTATCAGAACTATTACTAACCTGTGTGAGCTTATTTTTTGTCTCTGTATCTTCAATCTCCCTCACATCACTGTCAACAGTCAATGTATTCTCAATTTTAATGGGCTCTTTAATTGTAAAAGTCATGCCTTCTATAGGATATTCAATTTCATTATATGGATCAGAATTTTTCCCCAAAAGTGTTGACATTTTAACATAAGGTAATTGATTTTTTAAAGTTTTGGCAAAACATTCCCATGTTGTTTCGCTTATCTCTAAATTTGTTAAAGCCAAAGTTTTCATTACATTCTCATCTTCAGTTTTTAATTTAAAAATTCGACCTAAAGTTTCTTTAAATTTATAGTTTATTATTTGATGATTCTCTTTAATCGACAAATCTGATTTTATGTTAAGTATATTAGAATTATTTGCTTGACTCTGTATATCTTGAATATCATTCAATAAACCATGGTATTCTAAGATCATGTTGGATAAACAAGGTAACAGACTACTTGTGTATGAACGACGATGGCGTCCAAGTAACAGCAATTGATTTTCATGTTTATTCAATTCATATTCTAATGTCAATCTTTCTAATTTTGTGGATTTAAAACTTGAAAAGACTTCCATTAAAATAGCTATGACAGTACTGTCTGCCTCTGAATGCTGTAAAGATTCAACTAAATACTCCATAACTTTTAATGTGTAATTAACTAATTCTGATGATGGCATAGAATCTTGATAATTCTCGGATAAATAGAAGTAATAATACATTGCTCTATTTCGATAGGAAAGGTACCTCAGTCTATCAAGACTTGGAGATTGGTGTTTATATTTGCCCCACTTATCTGGAACTAAGATATCCAAACCAAACAACTGTTTAAATTTTTCATCAGCCTCATCGAATTTACTCTGATTCATTAGTTTTAATGCTTCCTCATACAATTTGAATCCTGTCTCTACTTGTAATTCTATAGTGTGTTCCTCCTCCTCAACTTCTTCATCTCTGGGAAGTAAATTAATGGCATTAAACATGGACATTTATATCTCTATCTATGTGTGTACCCGTTACTTCTTTACTATCTCGTATATCTTTGAAAACACAATTATCTTGCTTATTTCTCACCTACACAATTTTAATAACTAGGTACCAACTGGTTTTATTAGGAACTGAGATAACCATATATAAAGGGATGCGACCTCACTGTTGTTTCACGATCAAATATCGTATATTTATAGAAAGTTATTTATTACTATTCTTTTATCTTTTTTTAGTTTAAAAGATCTTTAAAAAAAGAGATGAGGAAAGAAGATCAGTTAATAATTAGAAATATAAGCATATATTTATCTGATATAAAAATAGATACCTGTGGAAACAGCAGACTGGGGATTAACAAAGAATGAAGTATTTGATAGAATACTTACCTAGAATTGATTGTATTCAGGTTCAAATTGAGGATGATGTAGATAGTGTTATATTGAAGGGATTAACACCACAAGAAATGGTTATTGAATGTATGAGAAATAATAACACCACTCATAAGCTACAACAATTAAATATAGAATTACCTCAAGTTGTTCTAGCTGTTGTAGAAAAAAATTTAAAATTTATTAGACATAGTAAATATATGTGGTCCTTAAGATTAAAGTTATATCCGAAAAAGAATTTATCACACAAGATTTCGACTCTCTGGGGGTCGTACGACATATTACTAGATTCAAAATTGAATAAATGGAACAAGAAACATTTGAAAAGTTTAAAAGATTTTCAATTTATATGCGATTGTTGTAAATTTATTATTTTAGATAGTGACACTAATTGTCAAAGATTGAATGAGATGCCTTCTGACAATTGGGTGGAATTGATGGACTATTGGCATTGCCATAAACCTGATACTCCAATAGAATACATTGATTCCTCAAAGCAAGATTTACCAGCATTTTCATCGTCTAGATATTCCACTCTAAAACCATATACTAATGAAGTTTTGATAAGTGGATCAACTTTTCATACACTTTTAGGCACAATAAAAGATAAAATTGAGGCTATTCGACAAGAAGGAAAGACGATATTGAGATGTATTAAATGTTCAAATGTCTTAGGTGAAAGGACAGCCTCTAATAACATATGTAAATTGTACAAATGGAAATTGAACTTACAATGTAAGCAATCAAATGAATTAGATTGCTATCCGCCGCAAAATGATGTAATATTGAAGATTTGGAATTACGTTACAAATTATTCAAGAAGATACATTTTATTAAAATGTAAGGATCGTAAGGACCTTTTGATTTGGATCTTTGCTTTAGATATTGGTGTAACTTTAACTGATAACGTTGTGTATCCAAACTCGGTAAAAATATTATACGTAAATGGAGATAATAATGAAGATTATAATACTACTAAACAAGGGAAGCGTCCTAAAGATTGTAATAATAAAAATAAGACTATGAATGTGGAAGAAATTGACGTTAGTGAATTACCGTATGAAAAATTTTTAGCACAACTGAATAACAATAATCAACTTTTACCTAATGCAGCCCAGGTGTTTAATAAATGGAGAATAAGTTATCTTCCATTGACTTAAGATGATTAGTTTAATTCCAATGCTAGTTGGTTTGATTTTCATTGATTGTTACCATTAGGCCATCTAGATCCTCAATGGACCTTGCAAAAAATAGGACGAATATGTCCGTTATAGAAATGAGATAAATCTGAACTCTAAGACATCTAATTGATCAATCGATATATTACTCAACAAAAGTCAAGAAAAATATTATATCTTTACATACCACGTCATCACTATTACACCATAAAGATAGATTAGTATTACTAAGAGGAAAAAGAAAAAGAAAAAGAAAAATGGAAAAAAGAAAATAGTTTATAAAGAGATTAAGATAAAAAAAGAGAGAGATTTTTTGTTCAAGAAGTGGAGTGATAGATTAACTGTTACGCATAGACAATAACATGGAACTGCATACCTTTTTTAATGAGTGACCTTCTTAAGATTTCGACCTTAGATGTCTAGTGAATAATTGAACTGTTTTCTCGGACAAATAGCAGACTAAAAATACATTTACATATACGTACACCCATAAAAATAGGAAAAGTTAATAAGGCACAATGGTTAAAGTTGGTGTTCGTCCTAATGGTAAACAAGTTCTAATTAGAACGGCAGAAGATGACGAGAAGAATTTTTCTTTCCTTGATATTGTCAATAGAGTGGATTTGTTTCCTTTACATTTTGAAAACCTTGAAGCTTTCCAAAAAAACGTATATTATTTAACCACACACCATGGAATTAAAGTCGGATTTGTTTGCAAATTTATTGTTACAGAATTGAGATCATTGATTCCATCAGTTTTACTCAATGAAACATTTTTCATCGATGACGCAACGCATAGATTAATATTTAAGTCAACAGATTTCGAAACAAGAAATAGCCAACTTGAAGAAATTGGACAAATTTTATATAGATCCCCCAATTGTAAATTGAAGGCTTTAAAAGCGTGGAGAAATGAAAAGTATGCTATATGGATTGGAGGGGAACCTTATGTTTTATTGGAACGTGCTCTATCCGGTCCTTTTGGTATTATAACCCATGGTTCTCATATCAATGGCTACGTGACCGATCCTGACACTAAAGAAATCAAATTTTGGATTCCAAGAAGGTCTGCTACTAAACCTACCTGGCCACTTATGTTAGATAATATTGTCGCAGGTGGACTAGGTTATCCATATGGACCATATGAAACAGTGATTAAGGAAAGTTTAGAAGAAGCAAATTTGGAGAAACCCATAGTGGAAAAATATATTGAAGCTGCAGGCGTTGTCACTTATTTTCACTATGAAGGTGATGCAGATAAAGATAATTTCAGTTCAGAAAGATCATATATTGTTGGTGAGACAGAATTTATTTATGATTTACATTTGCCACATGATGTTATTCCTAAGCCTAATGATGGAGAAGTGGATTCTTTTAACTTAATGACATTAGAAGAAGTTGTTCAAGCTTTGATAAATAAAGAGTTTAAACCAAACTGTGGTCTTATAATGGTGGATTTCTTAATTAGACATGGATACATAAATGTGGAAAATGAACCTAATTACATTGAAATTGTTAACAAGGTACATAGGCATTTTCCGTTTCCAACAATTTCATCTAATTGAAAAAGAATTAAAGAAAAAAAAGCTATATTACCTCTTATAATAACTTAAAGATAGTCAATTAGACGTACATAAATAAGGAGACATATATATTAATGTATATTTTATTCTTGTTAAGAAACAAGAAAATAAACTGTTGATCATTTGATCTATTTTGTTATAATGTCTTATTTAGAGAAACTTAAAACAATGTTAAACCATTGTCTTAGAACAATTTCCTTTGGAGTCAAAGCAACATCACCGTATGTTAATGGAGCAAAGAAAATGAAGAAAGAGATGACACCTATAGTTACTAGAATAAAGAAGAAATTTAAGAAGAATGTATACACTGTTGGGGTCATTTCAAATGGTGCTCCTGGAATTTCTTCATCTTTTTCCACATTAATAGATTTACAATCACTGAAAATTACTTCCCAAAGACCAGCAGTAAACAAAGCTGCAATCAAATGAGCTGGCAAGTAGTGGTGTAAGAATTTTTGACGCCCCATTAAGAAGAATGGGAAATAGTGACATGCCCAACCACAAAGTAGGAAGGCTAATGGACAATAAAGTTTTTCTCTAGTGATTTTATTTAATGCAAAATAATCACGCTTTCTGGTAAGTAGATCAGCAGCAACAATACCTAGATAAAGACAGATAGAAATGACTTCGAACCAAAACCCGATAATGTTACCAATGAAATAAATTTGTTTTCTCTCTGCTTCTTTAGTCCAGAAAGATACACCCCTCAAACTGCCTGGCCATGACTGTGGTTGAGATGCAGCTGGATGCTCTGAGGTTAACTTATTGTTATGCTCAAACATCAAGTTTTGTAATTCGTACCATTTAGTGAAAAATGGTAGTTTCTTCACTTTCTTTGGTACATAAACATTTCTTGACTCGTCTAGATTGACGATAGTATCGACAGTCCAGACGTTACCGTCATCTTTAATCTTCTTATTACCATTAACTTCTTGTTGGTTAAACCCCCATTCAGGTAAGAGTTCATCGTTATGAGACCAAAGTGCTACTGCAGTGTCAATGTGGAAGATACGGAATGATGTCAGTTGTGTCTTCACAGTGTAACCTACATCATTCTTAGAGATTGGTTGAAATTCGAAAATTGTTTGTTTATATTTTTCACCGTTAGCTAATTCTTCATTAACAGTAGTAACTTCTTCATTGGTTGGATATAAGGGAGATGCAACATCATGGGTTAATAAGAAGGTATCTGTAACGACATGTTTCAATCTGAAGTGATCACCTAATAATAATGGATCAGAAGATGATTTTGGTGAATCTAGTAAAGGTATAATTTGCCAGTGATTGTTGACATCAGCTGCGTGGTAACCAGTGACCTGTTGACCTTCAGTAGAGATACGACCATCTTCATAACGTAATGGATAATAAGCCAAGTGAGAATGTAAGAAAGCATTAGTATCCTTGTGTTTAATGGTAATGATATCGTAATAGTTGACCGGTTTGGAATTTATAGTAGCTTCAGAATCCTTCAAAGTTTCTTGAAATTCCGCAGACATGAATGCATCACCTTGACCAGAAGTGTTTAAGATTGTGAAATGAACCCAGAACCAAAACAAGTAAAGTGCAAATGGAATAATAACCAAAGCGACTAATCTAGTCACAAAATGTTTATAAAATTTCTTCAAAGATAAACCGGAACGAATATCCAATAACTGCCATAAATTAATGGCAACAGCAATACTAATAGCAGCATAAGTCATTACACCAACGTATTTGGTGGAGATGACAAGGGATAATGATACCCCGGTTAGATGCAACCAAATGAACCATTGCTTTGTGAAAGGTTGTTTTAATTGTTCCTTGTAGAACCTAGTATAACAATAGAAGGTAGAGGCAATAGTGACAAGTAACATTGCATCTAATAAGATTAATCTAGAATCGATAACATGGGCATTGTCAATAGCAACCAATAAGGCACCCAAAGCACAGGTAGTAGCTCTGAAATTCAATTCCTTCAAAGTGTTAAATAATAAAGGAATAGTTAAAGTCCCTAAAATAGCATTGTAAGCACGATAAGCCAAGTATGGTGCAGGGTGTGTTTCATAAGAGTCACCAATTTCATTGAATTTAAAGGAACCATCATAACCACATAACCAACCAATAAAAGCAATTGCCATCTTAGCAAATGGAGGATGAACATCGAAGAAATAAGATCTTTCTAAATAGTAGGATGCAAATTTACCAAAATGGACTTCATCGAACACAACCTCTTTTGGATACCATAATTTGTAGAATCTGACAAAGGCAGCAAGTAAAGTCACAATAATTAACCAAGTCCTATACTGTCCTTCAGAGGATGGAGCCTTTTGAAGTAGCCATTTAGCACCAAGTTGGTCATAATTTAAAGCTTTCTTGGTATACTTAAATTTCATATCATCAACATCAACGGAAGACTCCCTGCTTGACTTATATTGTTTCCCGGCCATGTTAACTTATTTAAGTTTTGCTGGGCTGTGCTGTATTTTGTTGCAATAGCTATTTCTATGTCTATTTAGTTAAACTTTATTTTTTTGTAATTATTCACAACACAAGGTCTCTTCTAATTAATCTCTGTTTAATCTCAATCAAAGTTAGATAATAATGTTAAAATCTCACTGAAACCTTAATATAGCATTAAACCGGTTGGTAAGACAAGTTGAAGCAACACGATCTTTGTCACGACAGCTGTTGGTTTTGCACTTGATATCTTTATATTCTCACTTGTGCTACTTCAATCAATCTTTTTTTTTGTACGAACACGTAATCAATATATACTGAAAAACTTTCTCGAAGAAAAAAAAACAAAAAAAAAAGAAATTAAAACTGAAAAATTCCACTAAATCCTTTAGTTTTTTTTTTCACTTTTTTATGACAAATTTTGAAGGAACGGAGAAAGTTAGAAATCCTCGAGCTCAACACACATAATGATTTGTCGCTATCAAGTTGCAATTCCAGTGTCTGACTCGGCTGTCTATCCGGTCCAGTGAAGATGACACTAGAATAGAATCTATTTTATTCTGTGCAACAAAAACCGAACAGAATTATGTCACTAATGGATTATGGTATTTCAAAAGAGGAGTAGTAATCTATTTGTGTAATCTTTTATATAGTTGAAGATTTAGGTGCTACGACACTAACCTCAACCTCTCTTTTTTATTTTTTTTTTTTTTTTGATAAATATGTAAATTAACTAAAATAAAATACAGAAATCCTAAGACTACGTAATAACAATTTATTAAAGAAAAAAATGACTATAAAATTATATTTTTATGTACTGATTGACTATTTATGAATATACATTTAAATAAATGGAAAAATAAAGAGAGACTAAAAAAAAGAAGAAGAAGAATGGAGAAATTATTCTTTTTCTTTTTTTTCTTTCTTATTTTTAGATTTATCTCACTTTAGTCTTTTATTTCGCAACAGTTAAAATAATTCATAAACCTTGTTGAGCTCTTCTTCTGTCACGTTCTTCAGCAATAGTTAATTTAATACCCTTACCCTTTGGTAAAGAAATGTATGGCTTACCTTGTTCACCAATGATGAAGACATTGTTCAATCTGGTGACGAAGGTGTTGTCTAAGGAGTCCTTGATGTGGACCAAGTCGAAACCACCGTCGTGTCTTTCCTTGTGGACAATAGTACCAACACGACCTAAGTTACGACCACCAGTAACGTAGACTAATTTACCGGTATCGAACTTGATGAAATCGGTGATCTTACCAGTAGCTAAGTCAATCTTAACAGTGTCATTAACCTTGATGTTTGGGTCTGGGTATCTAATGGTTCTACCGTCGTGAGTAACAACGTATGGAATACCCTTCTTACCCAATTGGACTCTTTTGACCTTACCTAACTTGTAAGTAGCTTCTTCATCAGTGATTCTGTGGACAGCAAATCTACCCTTGACGTCATAAACTAATCTAAAGTTTTCATTGGTGGCTTCCAAAGTGATCACATCCATAAAACCAGCTGGGAAAGTAGTATCAGTTCTAACTTTACCGTCGACTTTGACATGACGTTGCATTAAAATAGCTTTAACTTCACGACCATTCAAAGCATACTTTAATCTGTTCCTTAAGAAAACGATCAATGGTAAAGATTCACGCAATTTGTGTGGACCAGCAGATGGTCTTGGAGCGTAACAACCAGATAATTTGTCCAATAACCAATGGTGTGGAGCTGCTAATCTTTTAAGATGCTTCTTTCTATACGTAAAATATAATGATTATTATTATTGTTATTATTATCACTTACAAATAATGTCTATCTGTTAGTAAGCAATTAATTTGTTTGAATAAGTGAAATTGAAGAAGAAAATGAAAGGGGACGGTCCTGCATTTTTTTTTCTTTTGTTTTTGAATATCCATTATTATTGGAATAGAAACGTTGTAAAATATATGTATGCTGTGGTATTGAGTTAATAACTAGTCTTGGAAAGAGACAAAACCATTTTTTCTTAATTTTTACTTTTGCAGATAAAAAGATCGATATTATGTCAACAATCAGATCCTCTATAAAGTAAAAATGATATAAACTGTATTGTCATGATTAATTAATAATTTTCATTTGAGAACGAATTTATTATAACTATAGTGCAGTTTTATTATGATAAGTATCATTTATGATCAGATATTAATATTACCAATATTTCCACGTTTACTGTTTTACTTTATCTTAAACTCTAACATATTGTAGTGATTTGTATTTGCAGAATAAAATTATCATGATTCATCGTTTCTTGTTTTCTCTTCTCTTTTTTTTTTTTTCATCGTTTTCATTAGTATTATAAATATAGTATATTCCTTGGATATCATTTTGTAACTTTTCAAAGTTTGATTATGTTCATTTCATAACATTCTACATATTCTAAGATATCTTAAAAAAAAAAAATAAACAGTAACTCTCCCTTATGCACTAATTAATTCATAATACTCTTAGCCCCAGGCTACCGTCTTAACTCCTTTTTTTTCTGCTATCCTTACAGTGTATTTAAATATGCATACGGTCCTCTAGCCATTTCTGCGGTTAAGTTAGTTGGATGCTTAGGGCAAAAAATCTCTCAAGCTCTATCACGAAGTAAACACGAAAAGGAGAACCAAAACAAACAAGCTAGCAAGTAAGTAAGCATTACGAATAAATGTAAAAAAGACACGAACAAAAGATGAATAACCATTATACAGCTAGAATCTCGAACCCTCCTACATAATGAAAGGGATTCACGGCTGCCACACAATAGCTAACTAAATCTTAGATGGCCTTCAACATTCGAAATCTGAAACCCATGATTCATTTTTTTTCTTTTACTGAGACAAGAAAGGAAAGCCACCAATATTAGAGTGGTTGGTTCCTTAGATGATACATCACAACATACGGAGAGTGACCAAGAGATACATTCAATCTATCAATCTATCGATCTTGCTTACTTGTTTCCTCATTGCAAACCAACATAATACCCAAAAAAAGAAAAGAAAAAAAAAAGTTCAAAGAATATAATGACCGACCGTATTCCACATAGTCAAAGAGGGAGAAGAGTAGAATTAGAATGAATGGAATGGTCAATAATAAAGACTTGTAGAGTGTAGCTATCACTCTCACTTACTATACGATTTTTCACAGTGAGGTCTTCTGTCTTTCTCTTTTTGTTTCTGTTACATAAACACACAGAGAAGACAGATGTTCACAAGTGAAGATGGTAGAAACATCAGTTCACATTACCATTTTCTCACCCTCCCGTTCCCCTGATTGTGACCAGTAAACTGCGTATAATAAGTTTTTACTTACCGGTAACAGTATGTAAACATTCATCTTCTACTATCTGATACGGTGTTCTTCCGTGAGGGAATTCTAAAGCTAAAAACAACAACCACAACAACAAGACCCTGTTGTGTGTAAAGAATACTTGCTTATTTTCCTAAACAGGAGACCCTGGTGAAAAACACACGTAATAGACAATACCAGCCTAAATGTATGGGTGTTTTCTAGATTAAGACAGTCTCGTCTTCTTTTCTTATTTTTTTTTCTTTATTTTTTTTTCTTTATTTTTTTTTCTTGAAGAACTTTCGATGTATCCTTAATTGTTTAAAAGTAAACAACTAAATATTGTCCGTGAAAGCTATTGTTTTGTTTATTGATCTCCAGATTTTTGTACCATTTTTACTCTTTTCTTTTTCTATCCTTTTTTTTATTTTTTTTTTTTTGGACGACCCCACGCGGCATTTAAAATACGACGAAATTACAATTGATAAACAAAAAAATAAAAAAAAAGCAAGACACAAAAATGGTAATGATAATGATAACAATAATTAATGGTAACAAATTCAATGGATCTATTGAGAACTTCCCAGATTCTCTAATTGATTTGACACTTATCGAACAATTCTTTCCCAGTTTATTGTGTCTCTGACAAAAATGACGTTTTTGTTTTAGTGTTTTTTTCAAGGGTACACACACAATAATAAGAGAGAATTTTCGTTTTTGTGTTTGTCTTTTTCTTTTTCTTTGCCGCTCTTTGCATTGCCCCATCAATAATGCAGGTTAGGACATCTAATTAGATTTATATGTCTTTCTGAAGGTCAGTGATTCGTTCAAACGATGGCCTTATTATTTGGATCGTACTCATAATAATAATATATATATACACGTGTATGTATGTGCATGTGTGTGTGTGTGTTTGTGTGTTTGTATAAGCATGTCTTTATGTCTTTATGTCTTTAATGTGGAGATATTGTTTCTTCTTGTATTGTAACATATATTATATATACCCTTGGAGTTCTCTTCTCTGTCTTCTCCTCATCTTTGTGGAAGAAAATACAATATTGTTAATATTGTTAACATTCCTTTATATTCCAAACAAATATTACTGAATAAGAAAGGAAAGGATTAAAAAAAAAAGAAAAGAAAAGAATAAAAGGAAAGTATTTTAGCTTTGAGAGCATCAATTAGTATACTCATTTTCATTGGTCCATAATGTCAGCTCCATTAGACGCATCGAAAATCGTTATCACACCAGTTGCAACCCCTTCTAAACCATTGTCAAATGACAAACTGATCTTTGGTAAGACTTTCACAGATCATATGTTGACCGTTGAATGGACAAAAGAAAAAGGATGGGACATCCCACACATCAAACCTTATGGTCCATTGTGTCTAGACCCATCTGCAGTTGTCTTTCACTATGCATTTGAATTATTTGAAGGTATGAAAGCTTACAGAACTGAAGATAATAAAATCGCACTGTTCAGACCTGAAATGAACATGAAACGTATGAACAAGTCTGCTTCCAGAATCATGTTACCAAACTTCGACGGTGAAGAACTGATTAAACTGATCACAAGGTTGATTGAACAGGATAAACATTTGATTCCAGAAGGTCAAGGCTACTCCTTATACATTAGACCAACACTAATTGGCACCACTACCACACTAGGGGTTGCTCCGCCAGACAGAGCATTACTGTTCGTCATTTGTTCTCCGGTAGGACCATATTACAAGACAGGTTTCAAAGCAGTTAGATTGGAGGCTACCGACCATGCTACAAGGGCATGGCCAGGTGGTTGCGGTGACAAGAAGCTGGGAGCCAACTATGCGCCATGTATCTTGCCACAAGTGCAAGCTGCGGAACGTGGATACCAACAAAACTTGTGGTTATTTGGTCCAGAAAAGAATGTGACAGAGGTAGGTACAATGAACTGTTTCTTTGTATTCAAGGAATCTGCGACAGGTAAGAAGGAACTGGTCACTGCTCCATTGGATGGAACCATTTTAGAAGGTGTGACAAGGGATTCTATTTTAACTTTAGCAAGAACTAGGCTGGACCCTAAGGAATGGACAGTCAGTGAACGTTATTGTACTATTAATGAAGTGAAAGAGAAGGCAAAAAGGGGTGAATTGGTGGAGGCCTTTGGATCCGGTACTGCAGCTATTGTATCTCCAATAAAAGAGATCGGCTGGAAGGAAGAATCGATTGACATTCCATTACTGCCAGGAGAGCAAAGCGGTGAATTTACAAAACTAGTAGCACAGTGGATTGGTAACATCCAATATGGGAAAGAACAGTTTGAAAACTGGTCAAGAATCATTGCCGAATTATGAAGGAAAAACTAGCTTAGAATAAGAGATAAAGTTTATATATACACGTTTATATACACACGTATGTATGTATGTTTTCTTCGTTTCCATGATAGCTAATGGCATTAAGTATATTGATAATGATAGCATTACAATTTGTTCATCTGTTTATTCATTCATCTATCTACTTCTTTGTATATATTTATATATTTATTAATTTAGCCGCCGGAACATTTCCCAAAAAAACATTTCTTCTGTTGAACAAAATATATGAAAAACACCAAAAAAATGTCTATCATTTGCAAATCATTGTAAAAAAAAAACAGATTGGGACAGGGGAAACATATACAAATAAAAGACACGTGGGACCAAACTACAATCCTTAATTTTGGGTTTATTTATTTATTTATTTATTTGTATATGCTATTTCACAGACAAAGAATTCTATTATTCCAGTGATGACAACTCTATTTTCATGCCATAAAACACAAAACATTGAACAATTACTACTGAAACACGTGATTCACAATCATAGACATACAGAATAAGGGATAATACGGCGCTACAATATTTTCTATTCTAAAACACAGGTTTTGCATTGTTGTTGGAGAGGACAAATCACAATAGCAAACCTTAAATACTTGCATTTGTTTAGTTTTTTATTACATGAATGAAGACAATATGTTGTATTATTATTGTTATTGTTGATGGCTATTGTTTTGCTTCTTTTACATGATTCCCCTGTTTTTCTTTTTTCTTTGTCTTTTTTCTTTGTCCTTGCCTTTTATCTTTTGTCTTTGTCCTTTGTCCTTTGTTCTTGTCTTTTGTCTTTAACTTTGTCTTTAACTCTAACTTGATCTCTGTTAAGAATGTGATAAACAATAGTAGTAGAAGAAAGTACACTGCCACACGTAAATAAAACATATACAAATATACAAACATCCAAATAAATATATACAAATATACAAATATATAAATATATAAATATATAAATATATAAATATATAAATACGTATCCTCATATTACACCGGACACCAAGAAATCTTCTCCCTTGATCTTCTTCTCCCTTGATTAAGTGTTCTGGTGCTTACATCACTATACCCTTAACTTTTTTATTACTTTGATTTATTTTTTATTCTATTTCTTTTGTTTTATACTTGACTTTGTTCAAAAAGGAATAGATCAAAGCAAATAAAAGACAGCCCATAAATATATATATTTATATTTATATTTATATTTACAGTCGACTATTACTACTTTGTTACTCTTCGATTTTTGCTTTTTGCTTTTTGTTAAACTCAGAATAATTCAATGTCTTCAGAACCTATTCCTCCTCTGAATTCAATCACTCATTCGACTGTCTCCCAAAATTCCTATAAGGAAGATAGCAATGACTTGAATAACCATTCTCCTACTGACTATCACGGTTCTGAAAATAATGACAGTTTGAACAATGAGAATGATTATTTGAAAAAAACAGATGAAGATATTGCTCCAACTAGCAAAATTACTGAAATCCCTAGGAAACCTGCTTCTGCCTACATAACTGTCTCACTCCTATGTTTAATGATAGCCTTCGGTGGTTATATATTCGGATGGGATACAGGTACTATCGGGGGTTTCATCAATCAAACCGACTTTCAAAGAAGATTTGGTCAAAGAGCAGCTGATGGTACTTATTATTTCTCTAAGGTTCGGACCGGTTTGATTGTATCTATTTTTAATATCGGTTGTGCCATAGGTGGTATTGCTTTCTCCAGAATTGGGGATGTGTGGGGTAGAAGACTTGCACTGGTTTGGGTCTCTGTCGTTTATATGATTGGTTTAGCTATATCAATATCTTCTATCGATAAATGGTACCAATATTTTATTGGTAGAATCATTTCCGGTATGGGTGTAGGTGGGATCGCCGTCTACTCCCCTCTAATGATCTCAGAAGTATCCCCAAAACATATCAGAGGTACCCTTATTGCATGCTATCAATTGATGATCACGCTAGGTATCTTCATAGGTTATTGTACAAACTTTGGTACCAAGCGTTACAGTAATTCAACTCAATGGAGAGTGCCATTAGGTTTGGGTTTCGCATGGGCCTTGCTAATGATTGCTGCAATGTTTTTTGTCCCTGAATCTCCAAGATTCCTAATCGAGGTTGGTAGAATAGAGGATGCCAAGAAATCCATTGCCAGATCAAACAAAGTCGATGTTAATGATACATCGGTACAAGATGAGGTCGATCTACTTCGCAGCAGCATTGAAATGGAAAGAGCCGCAGGTAATGCTACATGGAGGGAGTTGTTTTCTCCAAAGGATAAAATCTTACAAAGATTAATAATGGGTATCTTTATTCAATCTCTACAACAATTAACAGGTGCTAATTATTTCTTCTATTATGGTACCTCCATCTTCAAGTCTGTCGGTTTAGAAGACTCTTTTGAAACTTCCATTATTATCGGTGTTGTGAATTTTGTTTCCACTTTTTTTGGGATTTATTTTGTCGAAATGTTTGGCCGTAGAAAATGTTTACTATGGGGCTCTGCTGCAATGATATGTTGTTATGCAGTCTACGCGTCGGTAGGTGTGACACGTCTATATCCAAATGGTAAAGGTCAACCATCTTCAAAGGGTGCAGGAAACTGTATGATCGTCTTCACTTGTTTTTTTATCTTCTCTTTTGCCACCACATGGGCTCCAATCGCATTCGTTGTTGTGGCAGAGACTTTCCCATTAAGAATCAAGGCTAAAGGTATGTCAATCTCAATCTCTGCAAATTGGACTTGGAATTTCTTAATCAGTTTTTTCACACCTTTTATTACTGATGCAATCAATTTCTATTATGGGTATGTCTTCATGGGATGTTGTGTATTCGCCTTTTTGTATGTTTTCTTCTTTGTGCCAGAAACTAAGGGATTGACTTTAGAAGAGGTTAATACTATGTGGCAAGAAAATGTTTTGCCATGGAAGTCTTCTAATTGGATTCCTCCAGCAAGAAGATCTGCAGACTACAATGCTGAGGAGTTGGCACATGATGAGAGACCTTGGTATAAAAAGATGCTTGGTTGAATATCCTGCTTTTTTGTTGTTTTTGCTTTTATTTTAAGTCAAGCATCAAGTCAACACCCAAGGCATTCTATTATTAACATAATTTCTATTAATCAGTTTATTCTGACTCTAATTTTATTTAATTTTTATTTTATTTCACTATACTATACCTTGTCTAATCCTGTTTTTATATGTACATATGTTTGTATTTTACTAGGTTAATGCTACTTTTTTTTTATTGATTAAATCAAATAACTAACTAAAAAAAAATATTAATAATGTAAATAATAGTAACGCACAATCTGCCTGTTTTTATTTTCACTATTATGCTTTTTTTTTCTTTTTTCAAGATTTTCTTACTATGTAAATTACAGGTTGCAGTTTCATATACATGGGTGTACGTTCAAATCAGAAGAAAGATTTTTCAAAAATTTATTAGGTTGATATGAAAATATTAAATAAAGGCTATTACAAAATTTTATAATACGAAGATATATAAATAATATGTAATTATATATTAGAATGTGATATAGAGTAAATCGTAGTTACAATGGTTCAATAGAGACCCACAACCATAAAATAGATAAGCAAAAAAGAACAAAGAAAAGGAGATATATTCCATTAAATCATTTGACATCAACTAAATCAATAGAGCAACAGCAGCTAAAATGCATGCACCGACACCAGCAAATTCCTTAGCAGCCCCGTTTTCGTTGACTTGTTGTGCAATGACAGGCTTGGAAGAAGTGGCAGATTGTTCTGATCTAGTAACTTGACTAACAGTAGATGGTACAGAAGTAGCCAAGGAGGCAGATTTCTTAGATTGACAGACTTCATCACAAATTGTGGATGTAACAGTAGAAACGTTACTAGATGTGACTGTTGCTGTAGATTCGGCTAATTTCTTTGATTGACAAACTTCATCGCAAACAGTTTCTGTAGTTTCAGAGGTGTTTTGAACTGTGGTAGAAACAACTGTGGAAGACTCTGGTGGACAACTAGTAATAGTCGTAGTGTTAACATAACGATTAGTAACTGTGTTCAACATAGTTGTCACATTGAAATATTTAGAAGAGTCGGTAACAGAAGATAGGACAGAAGAGGATGTAGTATTTTGAACGTATCCTTCTGAAGATGTAGATACTAATGAGGATGAAGTTATAGCAGAGGATGAGGAAGTGGTAGTTAAGTTAGCAACTGCAGGGATAGAGGATGAAATGATGCTAGAGGAAAGAATAGATGAAGAATAAGAAGAAGAAACTGGGGTGCTAGAAGAAGAAATGACAGAAGAGGAGAATGGAATTGAGGAAGATGAAGCAACTAAAGAGGAAGGAGAAACAGAAGATGATGGTGTTGCTGAAGTAGAAGTTGTAGAAGAAGAAGGAGTAACAAAAGATGAGGAAGTTTCTGAAGAGACGGTACTGGATGTTGCGGAAGAAGAAGGAGTAACAAAAGATGAGGAAGTTTCTGAAGAGACGGTACTGGAAGTTGCGGAAGAAGAAGAGATAACGTCAGAAGGAGCCGAAAAAGAAGAAGAAGCTACTGCAGAGGAGGTAGGAGTGATGGTGAAGAAAGAAGAGGAAGAAGAAGTAACTGGGACAGCATTGATACCTGTGACAGCAATATCTTCTTTGTCCAAATAAGCTTTAAGAGATGGTAAGATTCTTGCAGAATACCAAGGAACACCAGTTAACATCATTTGAACAGTTGATGGATTAATACCAGTTAAGGCAGTAGTCCAGGAATCATCTGCAGTGTTCATCATAGCTTGAAAAACAACATCGTTTAAAACACTTGGGTATGGTTGATCTGGATTTACCTGTCTAAATGAAAGATATTCCATCATATGACCAAGAATATCATCAACGTAAACGACTAATTCAGCCATTTGAACATCTTCAGCGGTAATAGGTAAAGTAGTAACAGCACTGACTTTGTTGATTGCAGCAATAGCAGCTGTAGCTGCTACATATTTATTAACTCTAACCATTTCTATTCTTATAATATTATTTATTAAATAATTGGTTTAGTCGGCTTTATTTGTTTACACAAAGACCTGTTTAACCAATATTCCAGAAGCGGTAGATTAATTCATAAAAAGAAATGATGCAAGATGCTGGAACTGTCGCACAACCACACACATATATATATATCTACATATATATATATATATATACTTGAATACTTATTTTGTGAAAGAACCATAAAACAAATAGACTATTTTTTTAAAAATAGCTTAAGGTATTGTCTATATCAGTTGCACCGTTTAAACGAATAGGTGCGAACTGAAAAATAACAGTTGTAACCTCATGCCAATGAGATCCAACTAAGAATTTTGGTTTAAAAGTAAAAAAAAAAAAGAAAAAGAAAGACATACACTAAATAAACAAGAGGACACCCATCCATCACACCACTAAATAGATAAAATTAGCTGAGTAAATAACTCTTTTAAAGAACATTACTATGTGGAGCATAAAGTAGAAAAAACATATATATGGTATTCATATTCTCAGTTCAATAAGCGATCTATAGACCCATTACAGGTGAATACCTCGTTCCTAAAACCTACTCTTTAATAAATCGCTATACAATTAGTGAAAAAAATCTAAAATACAATTATCAAACCAATTTACCATTGTATTATTCTAACCCTCTCCTTGAAAAGCTAATTACCTAATACATAGCTTATGATCTATACTCTATGCTTCGTATAAAAATGCATATTATACTAAATAGGAGAAAAAAAATTTTTTGATATATAGAGATATTTGAGGAGGGAAAAGAAAACAAATGTAAATTAGGCAATACTCAGCGATGTATATAATCATGTACATTTTTATTTATTTCCAGATTTGACACACTAGGGGGGGAAATGTATACAGATTGTTCGTCTGTAGTTATTACACTCAATCGCTAATTATTTCGACTGCCCTCTTACCTCGTATAATAAAGTTCAATGCAACCTATATTTTTTTTTGAACAGTCTTGTTTGTTTATGGTTTTTGTTTACTAAAAAGTCTTTTTTATTATGGGAACAGGTGATAAAATAATACAAAAAAAAATAAAATAAAAGCAAAAAGAAAAAGGTAACCATTTTTTTTGTTATCGCGTGTATTCAAATGTTTTTCCTAAAAGGGTAACACATCGACGAACAAATCTCCCGTTTAGATCAAAGAACTGAAAAAATTAAACGAACGAACAAACAAACTTTAAAAACTCTATGCTTTACTTGTCGATCGTTTACCCAAAATGGTTACACTGTTTTGTAATGTTGTGTGTTCTAGTGCAATTGATTCTTTAAACATATAATACTTTAAAATCTTGATCTGTGTATATTCCATTTTAATCACGTCATCTAATATATTCTGTTATCCCAATCTCTGTCGACAGTTGCATTTTTCCCATATTTGAATACCACAATACCAAAAAAATAATCTATGAGTTTTTTATCATCAAAAAATTTCGTATGATATGACATGACAGAAACAGCATATTGCCTCCATGTTTAGAAACTTGCAGATTAAATAGTTGTGTTTTATGCAAGATCGTCTATTCAGTTTATCAATAAAGATTATTAACAGATTTGTCATCTCTAGATCATTCATCGATAAACGTATTATTAAAAGAAAGAACTTGTTCTGTGGTTTATTTTAACATATATCTTAGTCCTTCTTTGCACAAGGCAACATTTATTCAATTATTCAACTAAATAAGCCTACTCTACTTGCCCTCTTCGATTATCTTGAGAACATTGAAACCGAATCTGACACTAATTCCATATTTCTGCAGATTCTTCTATTGAATCCCCAACATCATTCACAACTAATCCTGATATTCCTACCGAGAATCTTTCACCATCAAATACTGCTGCACTACCATCTTTCGAATATTCCTCAGACGACCCAGAGAACAACAGTGTTCAAGAAACTAACCAACCTATTGATTCAGTCCTAAATGATGATTCCGGCTGAAATAGAATGAAATAGATACAACAATGAAATTTTAGCAGATACTATACAATAAAATGTTAAGTAATCATTGTTTAGATATCACCAAACATTGATGCATCTGTTTCGTAAATATTTTATCGTTAGTAGAGGAAAATGGCTTAATATCAACATATATAAAGCCAAGGATTTCCTCATATCTTATTTTTATTTTATATACACGTTTTGTATATTATTATTTCTATGTTGTATATAGAGAAGGAAAGTAAAGAACTTCACCTTAATTTTGTACACTAATAAATATACAACCATCATAAAAACATGATTGAGAATGTATCCTAATATATCAATTACCAACGCGCATTCATTCTCAACAATTCCAGTTGTGATCACCAACGCTGTTACAATGTATACTAATATTCTTCCTCCAGAAGAGGTGATTACTCAATATACTATTAATTAGTATCTAATAAAATCTCATTGTTCTAACTATTTTTTGTAGAACATTCTATTTCAAGTAAACAGAGTTTACTTCCACTACAAACACTTATTTTAGTCAGCATATGTTGCTGGAACAGCTATTTTTCTGTCATAATTTGTGATACTTATTCTGTGCTTCGTATAAAAATACATGTTTTCACTAGGTGAGAAAAATTTTCTTATATATGGAGAATAGATGGAGGAGGAAAGAGAAAAAATACATATAAGCATTTATCATAAAGTTATTGTACACAGTCAATTGCTTGTTTCGAACAAGAAGAATATGGAAGAACTTAAATATAATTTTGTAAACTATAAAAATATAACTATAATAATTGAAGATGTTTACTATTTGTCAAGTAATTACAGGCATCCACAACAAATATCTTATTTAGAATACTTCTCTTTTCAGATTGTTTTTATAAAGTAAAAAAGAAACTAGATACTTTATTTAAAATATTGATAGTATATATAACGGAGTAACTATATTCAAAAAAACACCAATTTAGTAAAACAATGACTAGCATGTTTAACCAGTTTGGCATTCATTGTCAATTCCACCATATGCATCAACATATACCTCACCTACCATTATAGAATCAATCCCTGGAGTAGAACTATCTCCAAATGAAGCACAAAATTTACTTTGAACACTATAGTAGGGCATATCAGTACATGGCTGAATTTGAGATACAAACATATTTCCAATGTCCATAGCTCCACTTTTTGCTTCATTTTGCATATTTGCCTTGAATAATTCAGCAGCAACAACATTTAGATCATACAAGTTGTACGAAAGTTATTCACCATCTCCTCTCTTGTGAAAAGTCTTTTTTTGCGTAGTAAATTCTTTAAATGCTTCAGCAGATGCTAATAAATGTCTTGGATGAACTATAGTAGTTATCATTGTGTCATTATAATTGATAGACCAAGTCAACATATTATCGATGCTACCATCTCTTTTATAAAGAGATCCCTCATTATCATACCAAATTGCTGGAACACCTGTAATATTGTCAAAAAACTTCCCCAAAGGTTGATTAAGAGCATATACATGATCTTCAACTAAAGGATCAGACGCCAAAGTTAAATTTGCTGCAGGATATGGATGTTCCAACAATATATTTCTTTTAGCAACACCTGACTCCTTCCACCATTGCCAACCACTACTAGCACCTTCAGCAGAAAGAACGGCACTAATAGAAGCACAAGCGGCACCAATAACATATGTCCCAATACACCAGGCTGGTCCAGAAAGAGTAATACCTGATATTGCTACTTCAGCAGCAGGATTGCAAATTTGAGGAGCAATTAATCTAACTCCATAAGCAATATATCCAAAAAAGGTAACACCTGCTGCAAGTAATATACTCTTCCAGTTAATACGTTTTATTAGATATGCAGTTGTGAGAAAAGCAAGTAGTAGTATAATAACAATATATTTTTTGTCTTATTAATCGGCATCACCATCAATTCTATTTAAATATTCTCTTTTAAAAATTCTTTACCACTTTGATAATCTCTATAGAATTACTTACTTTTCCAATACTTAGAAACATTCCTATACCTTAAATTTTCAGTAAATAGAATTTGTTTTGCATTTGTGAAAAAATTATTAAATAACGTGTATATATATATACATGCATAGATATGGTTATAAATTCAGATAAACGACATATTTAAATTTTTGCTAAACTTAAATAAATAATATTTAGAAGTTCTTAGTAATGCTTATACAAAACAACTCATATTATTATTTAATATTGTTTCCATTATTATTATTATAATAAAAAAAGATATTATCCCTGCTGGAATGATATACTACCTGTTTAGGAAGTAACTCCTTATCTTAAGGATGAAAAAATCTGTATCATGCACAATCCAGTATTGTAGAGATAAAATCAAATAAAATCAAAACAAGGAATAATATTATGAAAATTTATCAAAGAATAAAGAATATAGAAATGGACAACATTATTTATTAATTTCCGAATCTGGATGAATAATATATATACATCGTGTCTTTTTATTTCTTATATACTTGAATAATTGTTGTAAGGAACCTAACTGGAAATCCAGTAGATACGCAATTCCGAGGGTAACACCTGAGTGTCTGGGTGAAGGATTGGTACGGCCATGTGCGCAGTGGCTTGTATAAGGTATTGAATCTGATAGGAGGATTTCCAGGGAGTGATAATTATATCAAATCTTATCAAGAGGCCTTTGACTATTGAGAGATATGGCAGGGGTAATCATCTTATTTAAATACATCTTAGTAATGATATTAAGAAGTAACTCTTAATATCATACAAGAAAAAGAAAACAACAAGGAGAAGTAATAATATAACATCAGGGTTATTAATTAGTGATATATAGAGCTTACGTAAGAGTGTTTATAGTTGTACTAATTGATATGATTCATCCATTTACATACGACAACTCTTACATATATATAGTATATACATCTTACAACGAACTTTCGTGTAGCCATTTTTTGCATTTCGCTCGAATTGTGATAACATCCAGGGGAATTGTGACATGACTTTGTCTTCAGAAACCTGATAATATAATAATGGGTTCTACTGTTTTTAAAACTTCCACTATTTAAAAGAGAAATGCAAAGTGGCACAAGTCAGTCATAGGAAATCTTTTTTTTGAACGGTTGCTATTATCCATTGTTGCAGATACTATTACTCCACCAGAGCTCTTGACAACTATCGAAGTAAGTTTAATCATGGCACTTATCAAAAAAGAATCTATGCTACATTTTTGGACCACCTTCGTTCTTAGAGTTATTTTCATAGCAGCATCTATACTGTTGATTTTGTGGTTTTATTCTATAACTGTTGCTCCTATATTTGGTGGTAGGTCGTGGAAAAAGAAAGCCATTATTGGAGCTGTTGGAGTTGTGCTAATTACAGCTACCTTTGCAAAAACCTATCCTGTTCTTTTTAAACGTGCACGTTGGACCTTTGCTGTAGGCTCAACATTGGCAGGTTTAGTGTTAGCAGCTGGAAGTGTAGCTATTCCATCCTGGACAGCAGCCATATGCTTAGCTTTTTCAAGTCCTGCTTGTGTTCCTGTTACAGATTCTATTTTGATTGCTGTTGATGTTGCAATTGCTGCTGCTATTATTTGGAAAACCGAAGATTTTGAAATGCATAAAAAACGGAGTACAGCTGCTAGGTAAGTTTCTATTTTTGGTTCTGATATTATAGCTTTGTTACATTATTTTATAGACACAACGCAAATTTCCTCATCTACAAGAGAGGCAATTAGTTTTGAACTTGTTGGAGAGATTAGTCAGGTTAATCCTTTGCAAAAACGAGACAGTGCAGTTAACCATAATTTTATCCAGTTTAATACTACGTTCGGGGTTCATATTGCAGTATCACCAGTGTTATCTATTGAGGAGTTAGCAAAGCATATTCTAGTTGCTGAGCTAGGTGTGCCTTTTGGGAATAGTAGTTTGGTAAAACGTCAAGAGTTTTCGGTTAATTGGGTATCTTATGGTTGGGATAATGCAAATCATGATTTTTCTCAAGAGTGGTATAACTATGAGGGCGGTAATTTCGATTCTCTATTAGAAGATGCTGTTCAAGACGCACTTGGCAAATATCCCGATTGGAAGTACTGCGTGGCACCAAATGATTTAAAACGAGGTGAAGCAACCAATTATCAAGATAATCCAGGTGTAGGCACAGGAACAGGGAATGTCATGCACGGTGAAGTCTATTTTAATACTTATGGCGGTATTGATGGTTATTGTAATGACAACGAAGACGGAGCACAGAATTCCAGTGATTGCTAGTTTTCATATTTGTTTCAGTTAACTTTATTTCTTTTTTGTTATTTACAAACTCAATATTTGCTTTTTTTTAAATATAACCTGCTAGAATGATTTCCCACCCACTTAAGAAGTAAATCACTACTTCAAACAAGAGAAATGTGTGTTTTGCACAATCCAGTGTTGTGAAGATATTTCACGAAACTCAAAATCATAAGAAAAAGTTATAAAAAACTTTTCCAAATGCAAAGAATATATAAATGAATAACTTTACTTATTGAATTCTCGGTCTGGATGAAGCATATACATACATTGTGTTTTTATGTTTCATTTATAGTTGTATAATTGTTTATTCTCTGGACAGAGATCAAGGGAAAATAGTCTATAATATCATTGAATAATAATATAAATATTGTTCGTAAAATATGATCATCAATGCTAAAGAAATGTATATTGATACTCTTCCTCCAGAGGAAATGATTACTCAATATTCTATAGTTTAGTATCTGCTAAAATCTCATTGTTCTATCTATTTCTTTTTAGAAGATTCTATTTCATAGAAACAGAACTCATTCAGTAGAATCTACAACTTCTCAATATACACACAACTGTCCTTTTATCTTTTTCCGTTTTATTTTTTTTTCTCTTCTGGAATCCAAATTTTCTTAAATCTCAAAAACATTTTCACTCAAATAAATAACTCACACAGATATGGACCGCTCTACAGCGCAAATACATAAACAAAACAGATATATAGACAGTTCCTCAGTTGTAATCTACCTACTCCAAGCATTTGCGTGATATAAATATAAACATACACTACCATTCAATATGATATAATTATGCCAAATTACATCTAGCAGTTATTCATAAATATCCTTATTCCAGTCCTCTGAGATATCATAAAACGTAGAGAACACATTCACAACAATCCACGTAATAAATATAGTATTACTAGAGAATGTGTATATAAATGGAATACACTTATTTCTATGTTATGATTACTTTATCACTATGAGTATTTAGGAAAACATGAACACATATACTCATTGACATCTTCCATTTAAATGATACAATCTGATATCACACATTAATCCCACATAGTAATTACTTTAGTGCCACTATCATGAAATGTACAATACATTCATACGAATGAACCTCACACTATAATTATCAACACTGTACAAACTACCATTGCATTCCATAAAGAACTGTTTGTCATTGCTTGTCGTCAATTGGTAAAATTCAATAATACTGTTATCTATTCTTACAACTCTAACATCGTATCTGATAATTACCAATATTAAATCAAATAATAAGCATGGATGATCTTGTAATCAAATGGTAATTACAAACAAAAATGGTTCAAGTATGGGATATACAACAGAAAATTGGTTGTTTACTGATTTGCATTGGATCTGTGGAAATTATTTTACCTGGATTACTATATATATACAGTTGGGGAAGATGGAACAGTATTTGCTTTGAGTGTTACTATCAACATTATAATTGATATTTCTTACTTTATACAGTGTTATCTCATTTACCCAAATCAAGAACATCAACATAGTCAAAGTAAGTAATTTTCAAGACACTCTCAGATATTTAATATACTGAAGCAAGATGTTAATTTCTATGAAACATCAACTTTGAACAAACGGCTAAAGGTTCTTTTATTATGTCTCTTTTTCTGGATTAAGATTAATGTTGTATGGTGTATTCTTGCCATAAGTCCTTTTTTTTCTGTGAGTTACACGTGGGTAAAGAATAAAATATTTTACTATACATTTTATGTATAATAATGCACAAAAATATTGAATAATCATCTGGGTTTTCTTTCGCAAAAACATATATAGGTTAATATCTAGTACAGTCACGTAGATCATTCTCCATTGGTTCTAGTTTGCCTTATTTCTATAACGAATTGTAATACATGCAATAAGTTCCACATTCCATTGTTTTTAGTTACAATTGTTATTTTTTCAGTAAGTCGTAGTGCAAAATCATGTTCTATTGAAATGTTCCAGTTAAATAAGATTATAATGATGTTACCAGATAAAAAAAATAAAGGTAAGTATATCTTCTGTTTTTATGAAGTCTCAAAAAAGTACTGGTGTATATCAGTTTTGTTGAAAATTAGGTAAATTTTACTACAAGATTTATTAGTAATCAAGTTGAGTTATTTATACATGTATATGTATCGAAATGATTAAAAGTCGAATTGTTGTTTTGTTAATTAAAATTTATTAAGATAAAGAATGAGAAAGAGTTGAATGTACAATACATACACAACAGCTTAAGTCAGTATATTTCTAAAATGTTTGACTTCTTAGATAGTAAGATGTTATTCAAAATAGTTGTAATTATTAAGCGATATAATACTAGTGCTTGTGTATAAATTAAGTGTAATAGTGTAAAAGTGTTTTGAGTGATGATATATTTCTTGGTTAGAATATAAATATTTATTAATGTTGATAACTTCAAAAATATCTTCAATAAATAACGGTAATAGATTTAGAGATTATCATCCTTTTTTATCTTATGTCATAATCTTATGTTAATAATCAAACAGTTCATTTTAATATAATGTAGTATCATAAAATAATTCTGTTAAATTAATACAATTAATAATCTAGTAGTAAAATGTTTATAACCGAGAATGTAATTATAGACATAATGGTAGAAGAATTTTAAAACATTTATAACACTGTAGATAGTACAAACATGTTGGTTGTATTCTTGTTTTATTAATTATCTTTATATTCGTAATATTGTTATTTAATTAGAGATAGTATCCATTTTAGAGTAGACACTATATTAGTCTTAGTATAATAATTAGCAAGCCATTGTTTATAGTCAAAAATTGTTTAGCTTGTTTATTATCCAGAATTTTTAAAGTAATAATTCATTTTAATATCTATTCTAGTAACAAAGAGTAATAGAATTATTAGTTGATCGGGTTTTGAATGGAATAAATAATATTCATTATCGTCGCTACAATACAATTAATGCATCCATGTTAGTTAGATAGATCATTCACTGTTATCATGTTATAGTTAGTTTTCAGTATGTTCATACAATTATCATTCTATATATATAAAGTAATATATAGAGTCGTTTCTTTTGTATTGAAGGCATTAACGAGAAGTGCATGAATGTTCTTGAATAATCGTATTTATATAGTAGTTATATCACAATAATGCATTCTATTGATAGATATGTACCCTAGTAATAATATATGTATTAGGTGAATTGTTGTGAATGTAATCTCATGGTTAACAATATCTCAGTTGGTTGTATTGAGTATATGTAAATATAGGATGGTATAATTACATTATATCAAATAATGGTTTGCTAATGTTCAAAGTTATGTGACATGAAAGTGAGTGGATCATAGTTGATTGTTCACAAGCCAGTGTGTCTATCCTGTTTACATATCTGTTGGAGTGGTTGTTATTGTTGTTGATTCTTGCAAAATATTTTTTCGATTTTAAAAAAAGTAAGAGTGATCTTGGATGGGAAGAGATTGATAGTCAAGAGGTGATGGTATGTGATATTGAGAGTAATCGAGTAAAATGTGATATAATATATATCGATGATAGTTATAAAAAAGGAATATGAGATATCAGTATAAGAAGACCTGTTTAGATTAAGTTAAGAGTAAACAATTCATCAGTATAATTTGTTATGTTATTTTCATTTAATGTGAATGTGTTTTATATCGATGGTAAATGCATAGTCTAACAGTGATGTTATAGAGTTATTAAGTGAATAAAAATATAATTAAAGCTAGCTGGTTGATAAGACTAGTTCAGTTCAAATAGATGTTAATGTTGTAAATAATGTTGTATGTTATGGAATACACTGTTTCAAAAAATTGTATTAGAGATCGTTAGTGATATTATCATAGTAAACATAGATATAAGTATTAAACATCATAGTAAATTGCAATCTAGAGTAATTATGGTATGTTATATTGGAATATGATATATTAATGTAATATTTAATACAGTTATTGAATAGGAATAAAGACAATTCAGAGAGTACAGAAAAGGTTTGTGAAACTGTATTAAAGTAGTTATATTATCAGTTGAGAATGTGCATTCACGTCTAGCTTATACTTTATCATGCTGTTAAGATCAACACAGGTAAACTCAATACATTATATCTCTCTTTTAATTGATGAAAGATACTTCCATGTTATTTTTTTTTTTTGCTTTTCATATTTTCATTCCAGAGATATTGATAGTGTCACAAGGAAGAGAAGAAGAGAAACATAAGGAATGGTAATATAGAGAGCTAGAGAGTAGTAGAATCTGGTGGTGGTTATAAAAATGTTGAAGTAGAACATTTGTAAATTTGGAAAATAGAGAGTGAAATTATTATGTAGTTAAAAAAAGATAGGATGGGTGTGGATACAACTACCCGACTGCACTATTTTTTGTATTAAATATGTCGAAATATAATTAGAATTATGTTTGATGATCTAAATTCACCGTACTAAGTAATTAAAAGTTATAAAAATTTATATTAAAGAAGATTCGAAGATAGATTCCGAAGTCTTGCGTCAACATCTATGAAGCAATATTAATATATAGTTGGCGGCTGCTTTGTACAATTTTTATAAGAATCTATCATCTCTTAATATTTATATGTCGTTCTATACTTGATTTTTTCTTTTCCGTCCTTCTTTTTTTGTTTGTTTTTTGCATATATAATATTTAAGTATAGTTATTAATTTCATTCTTATACAAACTTTTTGAAAATCATTAAAAAAGTCCAGACAAAAATTTGTAAGGATTCTTATAAATAATATACAAAAATATAGATATTAATTATATCTATAAACGTTTACAAATCACATAATGGTCAATTCTAAACTAATAAACTCATTATTTTTGGCTGATCTTGAATACCTAAACTGATCTTAAGTTATTTTATTTTCTGGGCAAACCTTAGAAGATAGAATACCAACCTTAAAACTAATAATTACCTCTGGCACATTCTCTCAACAATCAGAGATT